TAAGTTCCCTGATGATGGTCTATTATATTATATGTGAAAATATTGCAGAAAACCTACTCATTATTTTCGAAAACTTTGTATACATACATAAAACTATCTATCTATTAGTTTCTATCCATCTATTAGGTAATCGCGATGGAAATCTTTGAAATCTTTAATTCGGTATTTATACAGGATTTTCCCTTAGTTATATACTCCTGCTCGTTTTATTATATTTTTCATTCAGTTAAACAAAGGAAAACAAATCAGTAAAAAAAAATCCTTTTTTCATAAAGTCCAAGTGAAAGTTACACCCTCCCTACCAGTACATACAAATTATAAAACAAAAAATACCTTCGGTAGTTACAATTACTAATACTTTTCTTTTTTTTTTTTTTACATTTTTTTATTAATTGATATTATTGCTGTTATTTTCCTTGTGTAGTTACTATTTATACCATTTACAGTATTCAAAATAGTTTTTATAGTACTTACTTACCTATACAATTTACAACCTACTAGCTATAACGTTATAAAATATTATTTTATTTAAAAAAAAAAAAAATAAAAACATATTTGCATAAATACGTATACCTATATATATATATGAGCGTTATTGAATGTAAACATTAAGGCTTGGTTAATAAAAAAAAGAAAAGGAAAAAAATTGTAAAAAAACAAATAACCCATTATTGAGCAGATGATGGAAAGAAAGATCACCCGCAGCCATTCGCATTTGCATATATTCGTATGTATATATAAACGTAATATGTGTATTGTAATACAAGGTGCGCTAGTAAATGGAGGGCAATTTGTTATGAAAAGTAAACGCTCCTTTAATGCGTTTTCGACCCTACTACACCTCGACCACTCTTGTGTTTGTTCAGCAAACCCTTTTACGTATTGTTTTTCGACACACGCGTTTTTTATCCTGCCATCGTGCAGTGAATATAATAATAATAATAGTAATACAAAAAAAATAAATAGTTGTCACAAGCTAAAAGCACTCATTCTTAAAAATGTCCGTTCTACCCATACCTATATATTCCTATATTATAAAGCAGATTATTGTTTGTACACAAAAAATTGTATAATGTTGCCTTTAAAATATGACTCTTTTCTTTTCATTATGCAAACAAAAATCAAAAAAAAAAAAAAAAAAAAAAAAAAAAAATTAAATAAACCCATACTTTGTATACCCATTAACAATAATGGTAAATCAAACTGTCCTAAATTTATTTAGTACGATAATATAATATGTACAATATTAATGAATATCCTACACTTAGATATAAATTATGTTAGGTAGGTATTTTAAATATTTATTATTGAAATTACGGATAGGTATATACTCGTATTATAATATTATAATAATATAATGTATAGCCTAATTCCTTGACAAATATAATTGATTGTTACACATATAATCTCAAACTAATATAAATATTAAATTCATGTTTTACAAATTATTTTTTTAACTGTCGAATAAAACAGGGCAAATGGATTGGCCTATAGACGTGCAGAACTTGAGGGAGAGGGAATGGCCGAATTACCTCAATTAATTTGGAAATTGTTTAGCATACCTTTAAAATTTATTTTAAGTAAAACGTACGGGACAGTATATATGTTAGCATTTTCATCAAAAACCATGTCAATAAAATTTGAAGTCGTATAAGTGGTTATTATAAAATCGTCTTCTTCTTCTTCGTCTTCATTCCAACTATATTGGGATCGGCAACCCTCTAATTCCACTTGACCCGATTTCCCACCTAGTATACACCGGATGTTCTCATATCAATCTCAATCGTATCCAACCATCTCTTATTCGATCTTCCTTTCCCCTATTTTTTTTTTTACAATTCTTACTGCTTCTGATTTCTTTTACCTCATGGCATATGCACAAACTATAGCAGTCTATTTTCATTAATTTTGTCTAAAATCGAATTCATGCCTAAGCTGCTATATCTCTGATGTTTTCATTCCTTATCCTATCCGATCTCACCCCATTCATTCACCTAAGCATTCTGATCTCTTTCACATTCATTTTTTATTCTATTTTTCTGTCTACCGCTTTATACTCCAAACCATATACAACATAGTCGCGGTCGTTATAGCAAGTGAACTATTTATTTTTTTTTTTAAATTGAATAAATTTGGAAAACCAGCACTTGCATTCTCTTTTTAAAATTTCAATCCTTTCTATGTATAGAAGGGTGAAGAGAAAGTGTGATTTTAATATTTAATATTTTCAAAAAACGGTACAGATAATAGATTTACCTTCGGCGAAAACCTTCGTACTTCTTACCCATCGCCGGTCCATTACTTCCGCTCCCTGTTATCCCAGCCCAACAAATTGTTTACTACGGCAGCGACAAGTTTACGTACCTACTATTGTACTTACCACGTCGTTACCGTACCAGCGTTCTCGTAAGTACTATAATATATCCTCGTAAGTATACAGGGTGTTTCACGGAGATCTGACGAACGCAATTACATTTGTTATGTTCAATATTTTTAAGTTTTTTCGGTCGTGTAATAATTACGAACTTCTGCTTAATTCTTTATTTTATATTAAATATATTTTAAAACTAAATTTTTGTGTTATAAATATTTACTCATGATGGACCGTTGAGTTTCTATAATAAATTGTTTGTGGTTTACAAAAATCATCATTCTAGTATTCAACTATATTTCATGGACAAATTGGTGAATCGATCGATAATATTTATGAACTTTATGAACATTTATTAAATTGTTTTAATTATTACTATATTAAATTTAAATAATATCAATCTTTTTTTATTACTTCCGTAAAAAAAATTTTGTTAATGATTATTGTAACATCAAAATATTGTAGAAACTCAATCATTCATTATTAGAATAAATATTAGTAACGTCCAAAAATTTGTTTCACAATGCATATATTTATAAAATGGTCATCTTGCAGGTTTTAGTGAAAATGACTATTTAAACAATTTTTTGTATTTTTAATATAAAAAAAAAAATTTTATAAGAACCATAGGAGTGGCGCAACCAGGATTCGTCAAAGGAGGGGGGAGAAGAGGAGTGCAAACAGAAATAAAATTAATGATTTTATCGCATAACAAAATACGAATTTTCAAGTTGTATAACTATAAATATATCTAATGATAAAAGCAACTTCCATAGTGCTTCGAATCGGCACTTTTTGGAAGAAAAAAAAAACAATAATGCGGTTGGTGAGAGGGGAGGAGAGTCCGCCACCACTGATTTTCATCGCAAAAGGCTTTAGTGAACGGCTAGAGCAATTGTCATACGGGACGTGAAAAAAACCTGAAAATATTGAACGCGACGGAAGTTATGACGTTTGTTGGTTCTCCGTTGGGACACTCTGTATAATAGGCGGACTAGCGATATTATTATTATGTGCGCACGGTAATTCCGCTATGTATACACACACACATATATATACATATACGTAATACGTATATCTTTTACTTATGCGATCGCGACGAAGTTACGAAGTGGAAACGCGTCCGCCGGCTCGCAGTGCGTGTGTCGGTTAATCGAAATCGCCGCCGTGTGCACGATTCGCGCGTGTTAGCGCACACACAACGCCGCGCACACAAACACACACGGTCGCGGGCGTCGCAAGTACACGAATAACGTGACGGCGGGTGGCGGCGGCGGGTCAGAGATCCGTCGCTGTGTTCCGAGCGGGTGCAACGCGGGTTATAATATTATACACACATACAGACTATACAGGTGTGCGCGCGCCCGTGTGTGTGTATTGTGTGTGCATGTGCGCGCGCGCGCACGCGTGTATGTGTGTGTGTGTGTGTGTGTGTGTGTGTGTGTGTGTGTGTGTGTGTGTGTATAACTACATTGCGTGTATATAGAGCGGCGGCGGTAAAGGGACGACAAGCTTACGACGAAATTAATAACTTTAGGGCCACCGGTCACGAGCCGCGGGGTTTTTACCGTGTTTGACACGCTGTTATACGGCGGCGGCGGCGGTCACGGGCGGCGGTGGAGGCGGCGGCGGCGGCGGCGGTGTATAACATTATATCGTAATATGGGTGGCCGGTCCCGCGGCGGCCGGGGCCCCGACACGCCCACGGACCAACACACACGCGCGATCGTCGCGCATCGAGCGCCGCCCTGTGCCGCCGACTTAGTAACGGCACCGCCGTGCCGTATTCGCGCGGCCTACAGCCGGATGTACAGCCACCGTCACAACCGCGCGTCTATTCGCTTCTTGGCCCTGTCCGCGGTCAAACTACCACTGCACTACCACGTCAACGCAGCGCGCCGTTACGGACGAACACAACACGGGTGAGTTGCCGCACGCAATTAGTATTGAATTTTTTTTTTTTTTGATAATAACGTGTAACGTTCAATCGCCGCCATAATATTATAACAATAATACAATAATATTTATATTTTTCGGTAGTCTAGTGTATAGTTGCGGGGGTGAGATGCAAAACTAAACGATATCGTAACGCGACGGACTGAAAAAAAAACCAAATTTGTTTTAGGGAAATCGTTTTATCGATTTTATTTCGTATAATAAATTTCAAAAAAAAAAAAAAAACAAGATAACTATTATATTTTATTTATTTCTCCTATTTTCGGAATTCGTGTGAAATGTGTCCATATACTTTTAACAACAATATTCCGTTTGTCCATAATAGGATTTTTAGACGTATACCAAAGGTTTAAATCCACAGTAAATGCCATTATTATTAGTTTATATATAGGTAATTTAAGATTACAGATTTGTACTAAAATTATTTTCCGTATAATTAAAAAAAAAAACTCGCGAGCGTGCCAAATGCCCTCTACAGGTTACGGCGCAGTGTTATTCGTATTTTTGATCACGTGCATTTAACACAATAATATACCCGCACTGCCGGGTATTATTTGTTTTTCGGTTAATTTAATACATTCTCGAAATTTGTTTAGGTTTTCACAGCTGAAAAAATTGTATGCACATGAATTCTATCATTGGTGCCTTAGCAACATGATTTGACGTACAGATAATGGGAACAGGTAAGTCCTTAACTCGTATTATATTAATAATGTCGCACATCGGTATTCGAAATATAGCTACAGATCTGCAGTGATTATTTAGTTTTTCGTGAATTATTTAGTAAATTTAGTCGGGAAATGGTAATGTGCAATTTATATTCTATTATGAATTGTCTGTATAAATAATTTTAATTTTTTTTTTCTACAAAAATTCATATTTATATATATATATCGTTATTAAATTAATTAAACGAAATAAATAATTGTTTTTTTTCAGACTCTTAAAAAGGGTTTCTAAATTATCTCCTACTTTAAAAAATTAGAAAGTTTTGCATTTCATATGTTTTACTGACTACCTTAATAATAAGATTTTTCCACTAATCGATTGGCTGATACTCATTAAAAGGAAAATGGTACGAAAAAATATGCTGTTTTAGACCATTAAGCTAGAGTAAAATGCTCATTTGCTCACCCAATTTTAATTTTCTAAACAAATTAGAATTTTTTGATTTCTTGTCCATATTTTTAGTACGAAACATTATTGGTTCGCAGTTTTTTTTTAATTCATTTAATTACAGTACATGATGAATTTACATTTTATTCATAAAATTATACCTCGTATTTCAAAGCGTCGAAAAAAAAAAATAAAATAAAATATTTTTTCGAGTAAAACATAGAAAAGAAGTAGATTCATTTTTCAAAACAGAAATTGGACTTCTAGGAGTATTGATCTGAATGTATTGAAAAACGAATCGTTTTCAACGGTTTTCCATTGAAAATCACATTGTTTTATAAAAAAAAAATAATCTAAAAACCAATGATATACAAAAGGGTAAATATAGACAAACACAAACATTAAAAATTACATAAACATTAACAGTTTAACAATGTGAGTTTATCAAGTTGTATACGTATCTCTCTCGGATTTCGTTTAACTTTTATTTGATGCGTTATTATAAGTAATACGACAATGGTAAATTACTTTCAATTATTAAAAGGTTCAGTCATTATTATAGTTCAGTAAATTAACACATACGTTATTTATTTTTTAAAAAAAATGGTTATATCATCTACAAACTATAATTTAATATTTTTTTTACGATCAAAATAACAATTGCTATCAATAAGTTAAAACCGCACGGTAACTTTTGACATTAAAAAAAAAAAATGATAAAAAAAGTATCGTATCTGAAAATAATAATACGCGTTTTAATATTGTTATAACTTATAAGTAATTGACTGGCACATAATATTGCATAATAAAGTCTTTATATTCTGTACATAAAAAAAAATCAATTTAAAATGAATCAAAAAAAAATCGCAAAATCTTCCAAACAAAAAACGCCTCCGTGCAATAAGGGTTATTGTATTCCGTTGTAAGGCAATTTAAGTTTAAATCACTTTTTATCTTAATAATTTTTCTGCGAAGTTATTTTTCGTAAATATGGAAAAAATCTTTAAGATAATAATATTATTAATTGTTAAATTTTTAATTATACGCCAGCTGGTGTTAAAATTATGTTTACAATAAACCAATAAAATACGTAAGTACACAATATGAAACTCATATTTTAATTGAATACTATTAATTAATGTTTGTATATTTTCCACTAACCAACCCGTGTTTAATAATATTATATTATGTTAATAACATAATAAAAGGTAGATGTACTGACAGTATTTTACATAAAATTCATTTAGTTTCATAATTGTATTTCATTACGGTTTGGAAATCGTAAATTGTGTTCACTATTTCGCAATTTTCGGAGGTTCTGCATTGTGATTATCATCTTTTTGTGAACCATACAGGACAAAATAAACTTTCAGTTATTTAACGAACCGATTTAAAATTATTAATAATATCTACATATATATTATATATGTATACCTATATTAGTTATTTACGTCACATTTAACACACATCGAATTTAAGTATTTTTCACTTAGCGTATATACGAGATATTATAATCATAGAAATTGGTGAAATACTAAAATTTCTCATCGTAGTAAATCCTTAAAATACGAAAAATAAGTACTCTCGAAGTCGCGTTATTTCATATTTCTTATATAATAATCAGTTGATCCCGGACAAATACACTTGCGCTTTGGTTCTTAGAATCATTCGACCCTCTTTTTAAAAGGATCGCAAGCACATCATAATCTCTATTATTGAAAAGTTTTGTTGACCTTTTTGTATCGTCGCAACCGTAAGCCTTTCTTTCGGTTGAACTCAAAAAGCCCGAAGAAGATTAGGCTATTCCCTAAAGGAGAATACAAACACAGACACACACACACACACATACACCCATACAAAAAACTTTAAACGAGAGTACTCATTTGCAGTGTGGAAACTTCGAGACGTCCTTAAAAGAGAAATGTTTTATTTCTTTTTTATGATAAATAATAAATAAACGGGGAGAAAAAAGTTAAACCTTTTATCAATTATTATTTAACGCGTTAAAAAGCATTGAAATGGCATTTTTTTGAGTTTTAGCCGAATGACCTTTTATAGATTCATAAATATTAAACGTCCACTTAAAATATTAATATGCTATAAGCTATAAAATTGAAGACAAATTAAAAATTATATTAAAATTAAATCAAAGTTACCTTAATATTGATAAAATTGAATTTCGAGTTTAAGAACAAATTTAATCCTGAATTAGATTAAATTACAAAATCCGTATTATAATTTAGAGTAACTATTTCTTATTATTATATACCTTTTTCATAAATCTCCTTTTTTGCACTCGTCATGGCATCCTCTCTCCCGTCACTTTTATACGCATATAGTCGCGTAGATTTAATATAATTTTGAAATCCATATAGTATAGGACTATAAGTTTATATTTATAAATATAAAGAGATGTGTTTGTGGAAAAAACATTTTTTGAACCGATAAAGTTTATAAATGATAATGAAAAATACCCCCATTTGGTGCATTTACCGCAAGCTTAATGATTATTTTAAAATTTTCCAAAGAGTATACATTCCAATAATGGATACACAATATACATGTACATTTAACTATACAATAGTGTAAACTGTACACGCGCAAAGTTTTAAGCTAAATAAATTTTATTCACAAAAAAAAGTGGCCCGACAATGCCGTGCAGGATAGCTAGTATAATATGAAAGGTCCGTTTCCTGAAACGCTTTTTCGGTTATACTTAGAACGTTAATTGTGACGTTTAGATTGAAACTAGAGTTTAAACACAAATAACAAAATTTAAATTAGAGACTATTTTCGAGGTCTGTATGCAATTTTTTTTAAAAAAAAACATTTAATACAAAAAAAGTCACGAACCGTGTCAGTTATTGCATTTTTTAAATAACTTTAGTTCGTACAAGAATTATATTGTTTGTGATTTCAATCTAAACGCAATCTAATGCAATCCAAAACGTTCATCCAAACGACACAATTTTTAATATGTTTTAAATAGCGTAATTTTTTCTTTATCATTCGTTAGTAAGACGGAGACAACATATTTATATATATATATATATATATATAGCCAAACATTTATAATTTATGGTTTTTGACTGCAATGCGACATTTTATCATGGTAGTGCACCCAGTTTCCTAAATTTTAAATGCACATCAAGAGTGTTTCGCTGTTGAATTGGTCGTTGTAGACAACTTCTATCAGATGAGTGCGATTGACGTGCAATACATTATTATCAGTTATTCTTTAACCATTTAATACCACTTATATATCAGTTTGTGTACGCAATAAAGATTGTAACAACATGTCAACAATAGAATGATCCTTGAGCTAAAACATTTGGTTTCATTAAAATTCGTATGTAAAAAAGTTTTCGTCATAAAGATTCACAGTATTTAAATTCACAGCACCAGTTATTTTATGTATTTCGATAACCGTTGATATAATACGCCACCGATCATAATATATTATACAATATCTAATATTTATATTTTTGAAAATGGAAATCGTCGAGTTTACATATTCTATTCCAGTGGTTCCCAACTTCTCTTATTTTACGCCCCCTTTGTAGCTTTATACAAATCTCTCTCACCCTCTCCTCTTTTAACAAATATGACGAGTAAAAAAAAAAGGTCATCAAAGTGTTGATGAGCAAACAAATCTTATCAAAAATGTCAACTGTTCCCTGTCGTCTCTTCCTACTAAATACGGCCGTGTTCGTAATCTTTACCGATACCCAATCCCCGGTCATTATTAAATTTTTATTTTTTCCCTACATTGTAAAATACAAATAATTTAATAAATACAAACTTTGTTTCGTGATTACTGCCTTCGTCCCCCCAGCAATGTGTACACATCTCCCCTAAGGAGGCACTCCCCCGGTCGAGAAACACTGCTCTATACCTATCATACGGTCTCAGCGCTGCGCGGTTTATGAAGTTTTTAAGACAGCGGCGTGCTCGCCCGACGACCGGTCAACTTCGAAGCGCCACCGCGTCACACTTCGTAAGTCCTTGCTCCGTGGCCGCCCGTCAAAGTTTCGACGCGCACAAATCCGCGGGTCGCCGCCGTCGACCGACCGTTTTGTCGCAGCCGAACAACGCGCACATCACAACGGAAAGTTGGTCGCAACCGTTCCGCCGCCGCCGCCGCCGCCGAACAGCCGCAGGCTGCGGCGGCACAGCTGCTGTGTGTAATGTACGCAGCTTTTTCACAACGCCACGATGTCCCGGCCACAGAACGGAGGACCGCGGGTGCGGGTTCCGGGCCGGCGTTACACCCGCCACTCGCCGCCGCACACTTGCGCGCGACAAACATCCATTAGCCGCCACTGCGATGACAGTATTTCCCGCCTCGGGACGCGTACATTATATTGTTATATATTTATATGAATGCGTCTATATTTTATTATAATATATACATATATATATATACATGAGATGTACACGTATATATGTATTAAATACAATGCGGCCGCCGGGGAAACGAAGCGGCGGCGGCCGTGACAGCGGCGGTGTTACAAAGTTAAGAGCGGCAACGCGCACTTCCGTATCGGCCGTCTCCGTAGCACGGAGCTACGCGATATCGCATTTTATAAGGCTCTTGACGCGCGCGAGAACGCGTATAAGCGGATTTCGGAACAAGCTCATTATTAAACCGCATCACGGCTGCCGCCACCGCCGAGCCTTTCTCCCGGGGCCGAGGTCTTCGCATACACTTTTCGTTGCTTATACATATATAATTACAATGTATATGTATATTTTATAATATTCCACCCGGGTAACGACACTTTGCGCGTTTACAGCTGCTGCTGTTGTGCAGTGCAATATATACGACGGCCAACTTTTGTCATCCCCCCTCCTGCTCCGATACCGCAGCCGCACTTATACACGTCAGCGATCGTATCGTTTACGGTCGGATAAGCGCGAGTGTATACTGTAAACATATATTTATATACATGTATGGTATATAATATAATATACGGGCCTGATTCCAACGAACTTTTCAACGTTACGGCGGTTTTGGGTGTCCAACTTTCAGAACGTTGCAGCAGCCCGAAATTCGCGAAACCGCCGATCCGCTCGTCGTCACGACGCCTACGACTCTCGCGTCCGTTTACCACACACGTCTCCGGAACGGTCTACACGGCGTCTTTTCTTTTATAACACCGCGACGGCTTTTGTGCACGTAAAGCGCAATAATAATAGTTCGCGATACCGTGTTGACTTTTTCCGTCGATGTTTTTCTTCTGGCTACATAAGTTAAGTTTCACAACCTGAGATTGTATTGTATCGATTTGGGCAAAAAACAAACGAAAAAATTAGATTCTAACCAATAATATAATCAACGGCAATCTATTCACTTGTAAATTATTACATTAATCAATTGTATTACGATTTTCATTCATATATATATATATATATATAGTAAGTTAAAGGGATTGGTGACGGTTTTCCAATTTTTTAAAAATTAAATTTTTTATTTAACATTTTAATAACTATTTTAATTATAAGACTTGTATTAATCTACTGCCCGATACCCATTTATATGACGAATATGACGATTTACCAGACAAAACTGTAAGGATTGCATTTGACGAATTTCAGAAAATAACTACGATTCGTTAGATTCTATACAAGGATACGATGGAATTAGTTTTTAAATTTTAATTTTCTTTATTATATAAAAGGAAAAATACTTTAAGTGCATTTTATTAAAAAATACAATCAAATTTGTTTACGATTAATAAAATAATTATACTTCTTATTCCAACATGTCCTATCATTGAGGACAAATAACTTTGAGAATCACAATTCGTTTTCGAAATTTGAATCCGTCAAACATCATAATTCCTATACAGTTTTATCTGGCTTTTAGCTCCCAGTCAACTAAAATTTATACGTAAATTCAAATAGATCTTTACTGTTTTTATTTTCATGTGATGTTTATATATTGTAAATAAAAACATAATACATTTTTGCGCTTTACAGGAGATCGATTATTGGACATCCCGTGCAAAGTTTGTGGGGATAGGAGTTCTGGAAAACATTACGGAATTTACAGCTGTGACGGTAATAACATATAATTCATTAAATACACCGACCGTTGTTTGTTGTAAATTTATATTCAAATAAATTAACGCCATCGATTTGGAATGACTGAAAAATAAATACGGTTGTGTACTTGTATCGAATAGGTTGTTCCGGGTTTTTCAAAAGAAGCATCCACCGGAACCGGGTGTACACGTGTAAAGCGCAAGGCGAACTCAAAGGCAGGTGCCCTATTGACAAAACCCACAGAAACCAGTGCCGGGCTTGTCGACTCAACAAGTGTTTTCAGTCGGCAATGAACAAAGACGGTAAGTTTATGTTGACATATTGAGATTGCATGTTGTTATCATTGAATATGTCAGCGCACTTATAAAGTGGAAATAATATCTAGTTTATGGATTCAGGGTTTTTATTTGTATACGAGGACATTTTAGATTCTGATTGGAGCGAGGAATGTATTGATTTTACGTTTTAATCTGTAAACAACTATTCTACCAGAAATTTGTAGTCTTTTTCTGAAAAGAAATTTGATTAGGGTAGTACTTTATGGAGGTCATCTTTTGATTTTCGTAGTTGTTTTCATGATAAATGGAAAAACAGGGAAAAACACGTAAAAAAACCGGGAAAATTTACGAAAGTTTAACGAAAATTGTTATAGTAAATACTTATGTAGGTGTATTTTGTGATATATGACTATTATGTAATATAACCAAGTACAAGTGGTTTATCGTTAGCAAGGTTAATCGTTGGGTATAGATATACATTAAATTTCTCTTCTACCTTCCCAATTTCTCATTTACAACAGTGGTCCACCCATCGTGCGAAGTTTGTCTGTCTTTTTGTTATTATCATTCGTACACAAATTTGAAATTAATTATTAAGGCGATACATTCATTCATTTATTTATTTTATTTTTATGTAAACATTTTTTTATTTATTTATTTACTATATTACTACTGTATTACTATATTTACTTTACTTTTTTAAATTATCGTTTCATATCGCAGCAACAGTGGCGGTTATTCTATACGGTCTGAGTTGTGTTGCTCCGTCAAAACACACACAATTGATTATTGCGGCGATGTACTGATATGATGTTTGGTGGTACCTATAATTGAATTTATAATATGATGGGCTTGGTTTTTCTCCGGTTTTTTTTTGTTTTCTAGTTTTCTACTAAATATAACTTACAAATAATACGAGTATATAATATACTGTATATTATGTATAGTATGAAGGTGAATGGGTCATCAGAAATACAACGTATTCTTTTGTTGAGGATAGCCGCCACTGCCCGGCAAAATACATTATAACGGTAAATTGTTATAATAATAATAATATAGTCGTTTCGTCGAAGGATTGCTTTCTTGAATATAATACACGCATTTAACCAGAAAACACCGCAAAAGCTACTTCAACTATGTGCCCGGTGAAACTGTTAATATTATGCGTACCCACGATTTTGCGGTGCCATCGTGACAGATCATAAAATCAGCGGCACCGCATTGTGTTTATTTGGGGATTTATTGTTTGAGGAAACAATATTCAGTTTTGAATTAATTTCGCATAATATACATATTTAATACGAACTACTGTAATATACAGGTATATATATATATATATATACATACATATATAATGTATATAGTTTACACTATTATACGCTTTATTTAAATGTACACATAGATATTTAAAAATAATTATAATTTTGTTTAATAAGTACAGTAATAATTAAGTAAAATTTAATTAAAACTCAGAATATGTAATTAAATTTAAAAAAAAAAAACTATACTTATTGTTTTATAATACTTGCAAAATATGGCTGGTGATAGAATAATAGAGACTTTGCGTTTAATTTTTTTCCTTGGACACTAATTCAAATCTTTAGTCAATAACCCAAATAGTAGTATTAAACAATGTTTTTTTTCATATACTTATGCTTAAAATAATTAATTGTTTAATTACTCAATAATCGATTTTTGCATTTATTTAATGTGATAACAGCGGCGACTTTGCTGAGGTATAAACGGTTAAGACCGTTATCAGTTTATTATTTTAAAACGTGTTATGTATTTATGCAAGTCAAACTTGGCCGTTAATTCACGTAATTTTATAATAATATTAAAACATTGATAATATATATTGTCTAAATGTATTAAACTGTAGAATAGATCAGTGTTAACGGATTATAATCTAATCTAACATTGATGTTATAACATACGCTACAACACCTTTATTCACAAACAAAAACTACAAATAATATTACTAAATAATGTAATAAAATACCATTATTTATCGAACTATGAAATAATATAAATTAAAAAAATAAAAGAGCTGATACTGGGGATGGGAGCAGCCACTGTTTTAGGTGAGAAGTTGGGAAGGTAGGATACATAAAGTTATTTTATTTATATCTGTAAGCAGCGATAAACCATTGCTTGACAAAAGACGATCCGAACACAGTTCGGTAATACATAATATAAAGTGCCATAATTTTTTTTTTTGCGATTTTCGTTTAAAATTGATTTCAAAACGCTTGTTAAAAAATAAAAAAAAGTCGTCCGATAATTATTTTAATTTTATCACGTCTAGGAAAATTCCGTATAAGTATTATTACTAAGTTTCAAGTCTTTACGTGTATTTATATCCAAATTACAGCAAAATAACTCCCAAAAATTAAAATTCCTTAAAAACTCAAAAGTTTTGGCAATGATACCGTAAGAAAGTAAATCAAAAAAGCAACAAAAAAGATTTCTAGTAATTTTTCGATTAAATCATTTTTTCTGGTAGAAAACGTCGTCTGTGTTTTTATAAAATAATAGAATCGTGAAATTGTACGTTTTCCTACGTTTTTTCTCACTTAGGTGCTTTTATTTAAAAAATGGTGTCAAAAATAGAAAAAACTACCTGTTTTAAGTACAATCTAGACAATTTGAGCTTTTAGAAAAGTTGGTATATGTAAAAACCGGAACAAGTTTAATGTTGAAAAACGTGTGTGTCTATAGGCTAGAAAAAAAAAAGAAACAAAAAATAAAAATCTTAGTAAATCCAATAGCTCCCTAGCTACGCTCGGAATCGAAAATAATAACTATGCGATAGAACAAAATAAATTATAGGCGCGACTATAGGGGTGCTAGGAAGACTTAAGCACCCCAGAATTTAAAATTATTGCCTAACTGTTTTAAAAATATTTTTTGAGACTTGAAATGTCGACAGAATATTTATTTTTGATTTTTCTAGACGCGGTAAAATTGTCAAAACATTTAAAATGTCAGTTTAACACTAGTGTCTATAATGACCCTCTTCAATTTTTAAGTATAAAAGTTTCATTTATAAAAGATACCAAAAATAATTTTAAATGGAATTTATCTGCACTATAATGTTCACTAAATATTGTAGGTTCTGAACAGTTTATTTTCTTCGCTGTTTTATACAATATACTACATTCGATCGACATCCGTCGCTCGTTAAGGGCTGACTAAAGATTTTCGTATACACGTCTTTTATTTTTTCTTCTTCTTTTCTCTAATTTCTCGAGAGTGTTGAATAATGACCCGCCTCCGAACAAAATACCTAGTTTATAATGTCGTTAACGCGGAGTCTTCAATCACGCCAAGCAAAACCTCTCTTAACTCTATCCCCTCTCGTCTTTAATTTTAATTTTTTTTTTTTTGCTTCTTACCCTCCTCAGCCTTTGATAAATGAACGACGTTTTGCGCAAAAAGCTATACACGTATATAATATTATCTATGTACGTCGCTCCAATACTGAATATAGCCAATTTTGCGAGCTTCATTGAAAATTCTCCGGCTATTCGCGCACCCCTCCGTTAATAATATATCCTTTTCACGCCTCTCACGCCATTCTCGAGGCGTATGTATATGTGTGTGTGTGTGTGTGTGTGTGTGTGTGTATGTGTTGTATCTGGCCGTGTTGTATACGTGTGAGTTTTTGACAGCTGATAGCTGGATTAACTGACTTACCAACGGAAAAACAAGTGTAAAATAGATGGGAGGGTTCGGTGACTTGATACGCAATTCAAATGTGCAATTCGGAAAATGATACCCATTTAAATAAATATATGTAGAGAGCAGTTTTACCCCCTTATACTTAACGTTTAAGTATAATATAACGACAAAACAAGTTTAGTATACTATTTTTGACATACATCGCAGCTCCCATATTATATAAAACATAAAACACACTTTTTTGTAATCATTTTATCATAATATGACATATACCAGTATATTGTTGAAAAAGCAACACTATTCAACAGAACTCCACTCAGAATCGATTTTTCGTAATGGTTTATTGTTGCTTACAGATATACATTAAATTGCCGTCTGTATTCTATATTTTCACCTTTTCACCTACAATAGTGGTTGCACTCACGTGCGAAGTACGTCCGTATTTTTTTTCTGTGTAACCAAGGTTATTCATAAATCAAGATAAATTATTAGATTTTCGTACCGAAAGCCCCGCGTAAGCTTCCTTTAGGATTTGATTCGTGATCACAGCCTATGTCATCCAGGATTAGTGTAGCTAATCTACCAGTTTTACCATTGAAAGAATTTTCATAATCATATCAGTGATCATCTCCTACAAACACACATACATAAATACATTTCTACAATTTTTTCTCTTAAAAGTAAAAGTATAAGAAAACCTAATAATAATAATAGATTTTTTTTACTGTGTTACCAAGGTAACTCTTAAATCAACAAAAACCTATTTACAGCGCGAGACTTTAATTTTCAACGCTTTTAAATAGTGATTAAATATGACGTTTTAAAATATAAAAAATGAAAGTTTATAACCACCGTGTTAACGTAAGGTATATATAAATAAAAAAATTTAAAATCGGTCCAATAGTTCTGGATATGACCCCCTACATACAAACAAATGTTACATATTATATAGTATAGATATTTTTTGTTATACAAATGATAAAAATATTTTAAATTAACAGCATAATAATATAATGTCTCACAAACATCACTTTAAGGATCTTTTGATTTTAGCATTCATGTATTAAAATCAAAAATGTGTATACATATTAATTATCGTTATTGATCTGTTACATGTAATTTATAAATACGATTTCAGAAGTTATAAATGTCCTCACCCCCCTTTAAAGTATATAGAACAGTGAAACTACTGAAACTTCATATGTTTATGAAAAAACCTATCAATAGAAACTCATTACTACAATCGGGTGTTTTTAAAATTAATGTTACGCTATATTATTACTTATATTTTTATATAATATATAGGTACCAAATTCTAAACTTTGCACTTTATATTATTGATGGAAGAAAGTTATCGCATTTGTACATAGTGGTGTACTTAGAAATAAAGTACCTACATAAATATAGTCTCAATCAAAAACCATCAATAATAATCGAATATAAAACAATAAAATGCCCGTATGTCTGCGTAGATCGTTAACTAAAACAACAGAAATGTTTCGTTTTGAATATTCGTTTTGATCAAAAAGGTATAGTGGATAGAGATTATTTGATAAAGATGAAAAAAAAACTGTTTTATATTATACGGGTTGTTTTCTATAGTTAAACATAAAAATAAATCATCTGGGCCACTACGCCGTCGTATTCTTTGAATTCGTTTTGTGTAACGAGAACTTGCGAAATCACAAAGTTTCCTACCTATCCACATATATACAAGCTGTCAGTAACGCGGCGGTGAAAAGTATAGGTATCTAATTTAATTTCGATAAAAAATAATATGAAAAAAAAAAAAAAAAAACAAACCGAAAATACAAAATATTGTTATTTGAATACAATTCACGATAAATTGATATCGATGCCCCCCGGGTGTACGTATTGCAGGTGATTTAGACTATATATTAATACACACACCGTATATAGTACAATATACGGTATGATAACAAAAGAACTGGGACAACAAGGGAGACTATATAAACGCAGAGACAGTTTTCAATCAGCAGTAAATATCTGCGAACAATGAAACGACCCTCGGATATAAATGCGTATTGATATCGGCGTGTAATCCGACGAGCGATGAATTATTATTATTGCTTTCCGGGTATTTGAATAATATCATAAATCGAGTTTTAATAACCATTTTTCCCCCGCAATGTCTGATTTTATAAAAATAAAATAACTATTCGAAAAGCTCAGACTAAAAAAATACAAAAAAAAATCCGCGAAACGTTATACCGGGATAAAAACCATATAGGTACATATAGCATGTGTTTTTCCCGTGATTTTGACATTTAATGTACATCGTCGAACGTCAAAATGCAATATCGGTGAAATGTTAAAATGAAGCACACGAATTCCGAACAATATTTAAAGACAAGGTTGCGAAGTGTTTTAATCCCTTTGTTTTAAAAACGTTTTAAACAAATTCCTATGCCTGAAACGTTGTTTTGTACAAAAATGTTTTAATCGTTCGAAAATTCAATTCAAATTACTAAATATTATGTTCTGAAGAGAGAAGATACATAAATATATAGTTTCTATATTCCTCAATATAAATGACAATTTCTAGGATACTCCTATAATGCATTTAGCTGAAGAAGTAATATTTTTTACAATTAACTATTATTATAATAGGATGTTTGTCAAAAAAATTATGTTTGGAACAAAAACAGTTTTATTTTTTTATCACCCTGCAGTATTACAGGCACACTCGCCCTCGTAAAAATAATTTTCACCTACACGACGTTTGGTTGTTGGAGACTGCGTCCGTTTATTGTCTTCTAATCAATATTATTATGATTACATTATAGCGGTGCAACACGAACGAGGACCGCGCAAACCAAAGTTACATCATCACCACCATCATCATCATCATCACCCGATGAAGGACTCGCCACAGTCTGTCAGCCACCAGCGACAACCCGGCCAAATCCAGTTGAGCGCCGAACACATGATCCAAAAGACTTCTTCGGCGTACCCGAAACCGCCTATGGATGCGTCTTTGACTCCCGTGCCGCCGCCGCTGCCACCGCCGCCACAACAGCAACAGCAGCAACAGCAACAACAGCAGCCACCGCCGCCGCCTCCACCACCCACACTTTTGCCGCCCACGCCGCCGCAGGGACCCGTGTTCCTGGGACAACAACAACCACCGCCGCCCGGACTTTTGCAAATACTTATGTCGGCCGAAAAATGCCAGGTATAACATGAACCAAATCGATTATTATTAATGACCGTATAGTAAGTCTATGACTTACAAACACTACGCCATAGTCACTATACAATAATTAATGTATACAATTTTTTTATTTCACCATTACCAAAATGCACAAATTTCGCGTCAATATATTTTAATAAATGTTACTGACATTAAATCCAATAATAAATCATGCGGATAGGGTATAGGTGTAGTATACAAACAATATAGGTAGGTACTAATTATACAGGATGATTCACTAAACGTACTCATCCCCTTTTTGGAACTCTCAAGTGTAATTAAAGCCGATATATTCGAATACATTTTTAACAACATTTAAGGAGTATTTTGTGGTGATATCAACTTTGGTTTTTTAAATGAGAACTTGTATTAAAAATATGACTTTAAAATTAAAAATTATTCAAAAATACATAAAAAACAATTAATAACAAACCGAGTCAAATCAATAGATCTTTCAGAAAAAAAATACCTATTATTATTAACAACAATTCAGTGAGGGAATAATGTATGTAAAAAATTATATTGATGCCAATGAGAATACCACTTTGTTTAATTGTTTTATTTTAAGCCATTATAATCCAAAAAGTACCATGTACCTACCGGATGAGTCATTTAAATTAGTACACTCATTATCTTGGTAAGTATTAACTTATTTCGGAATTATTTTTCTAGAAAATATTTTAAGAAAAAATCAGCTCTATAATTTTATATTTATGTTATTTTTTTTATCCCTTATTTTTGGAGGTAAAACCACTACCTACCTTTAATTTTCAAATGGCAACCTACATTAAAAATTCCATAAATTAATGGAGTATTAGTTAAAACAAATTTTAGTGCTAACATTTTTGATTTCCGTCTATTCCTCGACGAAATATTCTACTTAAGTTTGTGTCGAGGGAAAGCAGTGGAGCACTGATAATAAAATACTGTACACCGAACCGCCACACAAATGATACTCCACTACTCTCCCCCTAACTAAACTTAAAAGTGAAATATCACGTTAACAGGTTGGCAGAAATCAAAAATGTTAACACCAAAATTTATTTAAAGTAATACTCTGTCTATTTATGGAATTTTTTTATATTAGTTCTCATTTAAAAAACTCATGTGAAAATTTAAATGTTGTAAAATATCTAAGAATTCTAATCAATTTAACCAAAAAAATAGGGTGTGCACGCTTAGTGAATCCTTCTGTATATAAACCAGCATATAATTAATACAACTACACATTAATACACATAAATATAGACATGAACCAAACGGATTAAAAAAAGAAAAAGTAAAATCGGTATTAACAAATAACAGGATCACCGTTACCTAATAAAATATAAATTTTAGCCGCATACCGATGTCTTACAATATAGTACATACACTTAATACTTTTACATTATATCTATGTATTCAATGTGGATATAGCCGGTAATAAATCAATCTAGAATCCCCGACGTAATAACAACTAATTTCACAATTGTTTTAAACAATTGCTTGACATTGGAGTCATATTATGTCTTTTTAAAATATGTAGATTTAAGAATTAGGGGACTCAAAAAATACTATTATGGGCATAACGATGAGTACTATATCGTTATTAAATTTCAAGCAGATGAAGCAGACCGAGACCATTGTAGTCTATAAAATAGGCCGATTAACGAGAACGTCAATATTCGAGAATAATATCAATGCTATTATTAAAACCTGTATTTCGATGTTTTCGAACTGTTGATATTTGTATTAATTTGGTTTTTATTTTATGCAATCGAATAATCGTTTGGCTTGTTAGACATGCGCATATTTCCTTTATACCCAAAATTATAAAATCGGTGAAAGCGTGAACGAAGGAGCAAGCGGGCGACTTGACGAGCGAGCGAATATCTTATTTTCGGCAATCGGTAAGCCCGATCAGTAGGCACGACTATTATCTATTTCATCTATTTAGTTCTTAGTTGACTGTTGATTGTTGAACAAGTAAATTATAAAACAATTAATTATATTATATTATACGTTAATTGGATTATTATTAGCTGCAAACTTAAAAAATGGATCGTATAGTACATATACTTTACTTTGTGCGCCCACGAGTTCACAATTTATAATAAGGAAAATATTGCATTCAGATAATAATTTGAATTTAAATTTATTCAATAGTATAGCGGAATCTTGGCTTGTAGCCGATAAATACTCATATTTTTTAATACAATATAAGCGTTTTAAAAACAAATATTACGCGTGTTTTTAACGGGACACTTAAATAATTGTTCGGATCCAATTATTACTGATACAAGACCGATAAGAAGAGCATGATAACGTGGACACTACTAGGTATTTTCATCGGGAGGCGCAAAATTAACATTTGAACTCGGGCGTGATGCGCGCGCGAAATGATCGTCAGTGTGAGGCATAATATTATAATAATAATATATACGATACGATCCGGAGGCGCGTCGGACACACCGCACAGTTCAGATGATAATGTAATACACCTACGTATACACTGCAGATGGACGCACGCAAAACATTCGGTGCTCGGATAATATACGTGTCTGCGTATAATATACCGTGTGTTTGAGAGAGAGAGAGAGAGAGAGAGAAAGAGATATTACGTATAGCGAACGCCGCGAGTGAGACGATAGAGAGTGGACCGAGTGGACCGAGAGGACGCCGAGGCAGAAGAGTGCGCGCGCGATGAGTCAGCGAGGCGCGCGCGGACGTTTTGATGTGAGAACCGGACCACATGGTCCTCGCGGGTTTTGGCAGCAATCGAACCCTTTGTTCGCGGACGCCAAAGACGCCCTCTGGCTTTACTGTATTGTACACGTACACACACACACACACACACACACGCGCGCACACACACACCGACGAAAACTCCTATACGATCGTATTTATATGTATATGCGCATATTGTGTTGAGTATTTTACATTGCACGTTCTCCGCCGACCATCATCCGGGGGCTTAAGCTCGACTTTTATCGCTATTAACATCGGCGTTGACGGGCAGCGATGCGGCGGAGCGCGAACAGGGTGACGACCACCGAACGCTATATAGAGGTATACATTCGATTTGTTTTCTCTTACATCGATGACTTGGGAAATTTGGTTTACATTATTGACGAGCAAGAGCGGACTACATATACGTATAAACAGAGGGTCGGCGGATGCCGGATATTCAACGTGATTATAATCATTCGCGCAGTTTAAATCCCCTAATATAATATAGTCCGAAATCTAATTCTAAATTTTGGCATCACCTAAACTACCCTGTATCATAATAATGTATCCTGTTCAACTTCCCACTAATTATTACACCAGTATAGTCTATACCAATGCAAGCAATATCGCAATCGGTTCATTTTTAAATTAATATTATTATATTTGCCTTACAGGAGTTGATATGGAGTGCAAAAATGTCGGAAACCTCATCCCCTATCGGCATACCACAACCGACCAGTCCTCAGGGTTCATTGACTCTGTTACTATCGCCAACTTGGGAAGTCTTACAGGTAATCAAAACTAAAACGTCAAAATTATAATCGATGTATTATAAAATATAATAATTAACACTTGCCAATAATACCTATAGCAAAAAATACCGATAAGTTAATCAGTGAAATTTTATTAATAAATATGCAGCTTTTATTTTTAAACGTTAACTCTTACCATTAGTACCCTAATATAATCTTAACTTGTGTTTATAATAAACTTTTATTTTTATTTATTAACTGATATATAATACAAAACAGGTGTCTAGCACATATCAAAGTTAATGATTTAACGAAATAAAAACAATATAAAATATTTTAAATTTAAACTGAAATTCCAGTGTTCATTTTTTAAACACATTTTTTATAAAATATATTATGATATTATGTATGTGCTATAATATTTATTATCTTATAAGGGATGATGGGCAATTCAACACATCGATAGCATCGAACATCAAAATCGAGTTATTTTTTGGTATCAATTTTGAGATTTTATGGTATGTTAAAACAATAAGTGGCAACGAGGTCGTGGTTGAATAGATATTGGATTAAATAAATAAGCTTTATATATTTTATACAATGAGTTTTTACATCTAAATTCTAAGTAGGTAGTATTTTATAATAATAAATACTAATAATGATTCATATACATCAATGGTGTAACATCATATTAATATTATTTTTTTTTTATAACAAAAGTATCGAGAATTGAATTATTAATATCACCCATCTCAATTTAAAAAAAATGATATAATAGTAATATTCTATTTATTTTAAACTATTGATTAAATAGATCGACTAATTATTATAACAGACAATTCAACAAACACATCTAATATTTAGTTATTGTATACAGCTGATGTTAAACATATCAAGTCGATTGTATAAACACAATGGAGTAAGGGGAATTCATATAATATACTTTATACGCGAGGGTTGACTTTTTGACTGCCCGCCTACTTTTCTGCGGGTGGCGAAAGGTGTGCCCCTTTATCCAATCGTCTGTGATTGAAGATTAAAAATGGCGACCCTGTGCGAATACATTTAACAAATACGTACAGATATGATTTGTACTATCGCCGTATAATAGTAACATAATCGTTTCAAAATAATTTCCATTTTATTATACCGGTTCATCTAGTTGTTTTACCATTTAAAAAGTTAGATTCTGAACGTAGCCGAAGGATCTATTAGTTTAAAAGTAATGTATGTTTTTTTTTGTCTGTAAACAACTTTTCTACCAGAAATATTACTCCAATAAAAACATAACAAAGACATTTTTTGTAGCATTTTAGATTTAGTTGGTTAAAAAAAAAACATACATCGCTTTTCCAATCAGTTTTCAGATAAACCAGAAAAACCAGAAAAATCGTAAAAAATACGGGAAAATTTATATCATTGGTTTCGTTATTTTCTACTTTGATTTTTCATTGTAAATCGGTAATCAATTTTCATAAAGAGCTGAAATTTTCACATTTTTAATTATAAATAGGCATTTCACAATTGATAGTATTTTTATACGTAGTTTTTTTTATATATTCTGTAGATAAAATAGTTAAACACAAATGCTTGAACATTATACAAAAAAAAAATGTTCGAGGTTTATTATTAGTTGTACGTTTCAATGTTGAGCGTAATGCAGTAATTTTTATTTTTGTAACCGTTTTAAGATCAAATTTAAACAAAAATTGTTAACATTTATAACTGAATTTAGCTTAGAAAATATAAACAAAATATTTTATATATCCTACTTCCTACCTACAAAAGTGGAGCAACCATCAGCAGTATCAGCTCTTTTTCTTTTTTTATCTGTAAAGAACTTTATGATTATAAATCGAGCTCCAATCGAAAAATGATAAAATACTTTTTTTTTGCATTTCGGAACTATTAAGTGAATAAGTCATTTTTTGATTTTTCAATTAGTTTTCATAATAATTACGGAAAACTGAAAAAAATCTGATAAATTTACGGCGTACGATTTTATCACTTTACATTTTTACGAATTACTTTTTTTATCAGAAATCTTAATGCAGTCAAAATTGAATTTTCAATCTAGTTGATGAATAAGAAAGCCATTTTTCTGATTTTTCGAGATGTTCTCATAATAATTGTGAAAAAACAGAAAAAGCATGCAAAAAAAAAAAGTTGATACTGCTACAAATTGTACCAAGTTTAGAAAAGGAAAATATAAGTTTCCAGTCAAAAATTTCAAGTTTCCATGAATATTTTAAAATTAATTACAAAATAAAAACCAAAAAAAAAAAAAAACAAAATTTAAAATAGTAAAATCATTATTTTTCAGTTTTCCCAATTATTATGAAAATTGCAGGGAAACATAATTAAATAAACAACTTTCTAACTTCTGTTTTTCTGTTGGAGCAATATTTCAGATAGTAAACATAGTTTGCAAAAATAAAAAAATAATGATATCGGTAAAGGCAAGTCGATAATTTTTTTCTCAGTTTTTCTCAATTATTATGAAAACCCTTTGGAAAATCAAAAAACATGACCTTCTCACTAGATAAAATATCCTTGGTGCCACACTTCATACATCGGAGGAAGATTTCTGGTGAAAAGGTTGCTCAGGCACAAAAAATAAAAATAAAACACACCATAGTATCACTCCGTTCGTAATATTATATGGTTTCATTATATTTTTGTGTTCTAATTCAGTTAAAAATATTCGTTGCGACTTGAAATGTTTACAGAAAATTTGCCTTTTCTAGGCATTGTAATTATTACGTTATTAATTTTCGTTAGGTACTATGTCACTGCATAGTCTATATGGATAAAATTGGTTGACCAAACAGAAATGCTTGAAAGGTTACACAATATTAAAAACACTTCCCTAACAGTAAAAAAGTTACACTAATGTCTAACGGGGTAATCAAAGAAATCTCTTTCGATTAGGAGATACTGAAAACCAATAATATTGGGTATAGCACGCATTACCAAACCTAACCTAACCTAACTTAACCTTAACCTATATCTACGGATAATTTTAGTACCTATTAAATTAATTAATATAACGTGTACAGTGTACGCGTTAATAAACATAATATATAAAGTTAAAGTTGATATACTTTAAAAGTTAACACACATCAAAAGGTGAACAATCGACTGCTTATAGTATTGAAAAAAAAAAAAGTAGGAAGGTAGGATACAGAAAGGAATTTAATGTATATCTGTAAACAACAATAAACCATTGCTAACGAAAAAACGAGCAGAGTACAGTTGATAGTGTTGTTTTGTTAACAATATGTATATTATATTATGGTAAAATAATTAAATAGGCATTATATATTTTTTTAATAATATTTGTTTAATGTCGATTCGATTTTCCCGGTTTTTCGTATTTGCTGGAAAAACTCTTGGGAAAATCGAAAAATACCTCCCCAGTCTAATTTCCTTTAGAGAAAAAATTTCTTAAAGAAAAGTTGCTACACTTAAAAATCAGAGTAACATTTCTGGTAGAAAAATTGCACAGAGATAAAAAAAAAAAATGAACATCTTTGTAAAACCATAAGCTTCTTCGCTCCACTCAGAATCTAAAATAACATTGAATTCGCGTACCAAAATATATTTGTATAATATTTTAAAAACCTACTTGGTCATTGACAAAATGACATTGTTGAATGTTTTTGTACAGGAAACCACAGCTCGGTTACTGTTCATGGCGGTCAGATGGGTCCGATGTCTAGCTCCTTTTCAAACGCTTTCTAAACACGATCAGGTATAATAAAAGAGTAATATTTATTCTGTTTCACATTATTATATTATTTTATTTGACGCGCATACACTTAATTAAATCTCCCCTTTTAAACTATGGGTGCCCAATTCGTTTATATTCATACTATGATGTATGAAAATAGAGTATTTTTAAAAAATATTTTAATAATACGAAAATAATATAAAAAACTGTATAAAAGTTCGTAAATTTCAATACGGAAAATCGACTGGCAGTCAAATGCCAATTTCAAATGCCTTATTGGCATTTTGTCAAATGTCAATAAGTAATTCATCTAATACACACCACGATTTTTCATAGTGGCCGCGTAATTAATAAAAGTGTTATGTAAAGTTAGAGAATTTTTCTTTTTTTGTGCCCCAAGTCTGTTTTTCCTATTCTCTGTACCACATCGTTGACAAAAGCGTAAATTATATGGATTGGTGACGGTTTTCCAAATTGTGTTATTTTTTTGAAATTTTAAAAAAATCGAATGATCGTCTTCATAATAAAACTTTTCCCAACGAAAGGAAATGAACACGTCCATTTTTACGAATAAATGAACTCAAATTTCAGTCCAAAAAGCCAGACAAAACTGATATGATAAAAATTGTCTTTGACGAATTTCAATTTTAAAAACGAATCATGATTCTTTAAGTTCTTTACTAGGACAAATTGGATTTTTGTTTAATTCTCTTTATCTTTACTAAAAATCAAAATAAATTTACATATTTGAAAATTGTTTAACTATAAAACCGATTTGTTTTACAATTTCCAGTAAAAAAATTGAATTTCTATTTATAACTTATCCTAGTAAAAAACCAAAAAATCATGAGTTTTCAAAATTGAAATCCACCAAACTCAATTTCTACTGCAGTTGTATCTAGCCTTAAGGTACAAATACTAAAATATGGGTCATCAATTCACATAAGTGGATTATAATAAAGTCCACCACCGCTATATAAAGACGGCAACGAGCGGTATTCGTTTTTTTATTACTTTCAATTGTCTACTGATTTTTTTTACATGGTTTTTGTATTTTTATTTGTAATATAAATGTAAATGTCTTTTTAGAAAATTAACTTATTATAGCAGCTACCTAATTATTTTTAAAACATATTTTGTTTTAATGCAACTAAGTATGTGTAGTTGTACACCCGATTTAAATGTATGTGCACCAATATATACATGTATAATATTATGAAGTACATATCTATAAGAACATCTTTTTTTAATTTTTAACTCATTACGGTTTCATAGCTACTACTGCTACAAGAGTCTTGGAAAGAACTGTTTTTATTGCATTTGGCACAGTGGTCAATACCCTGGGATTTGTCACCGTTACTGAACTCAGAAAAGGCTCACGAAAGGCTGCCGGCAGACGATACGCAGGTCAATAACGAAATGAAAATCATACAAGAGATATTGGCACGTTTTAGGCAATTGTCCCCTGATGGCAGCGAGTGTGGTTGCATGAAAGCGGTTATTCTGTTCACACCAGGTTAGTAGGTAGTACCAACTACTAGTAGTGATCTACGATTGAATTTGATTCGTTATCAAACACCAAATTGATTTTATATTGAACACAAATTGCCATTAAACCTTAAACCATTCCTACAAACATAATAATCTATACATATTATTATTACAAATTTCATTTGTAATTTCCTCAATTCTGTCTTCCAGCCGTTTTATCTATTCTTATTATAACATATTATTTCCCAATATTTTTCTTTTCATAGTTTCATCTCCATAAAAACGTGCAGATCCTATACAGGTTGGTTCAAAATGTATGTTACAGTCATTTTATCATATACTATTCAAAATAAAAATAAAAAAAATACATAATACAAAAGTTTTTCGATTTATAAACATCTCAAATAATTTGTACGTTTTTTTTTTTTTTAATGTTTTTTTGGGGGGAGAGGAGGGAGTTTTGAAATTTAAAATTAACACGAAAATTGATTTTAACTAATACTTTAAATATTTATGGAGTTTTGGATTTAAAAAGTTGACCCCTAAAAAAAAGTAAAAAAATTTACAAATTATTTTAGATGTTATATAATGGAAAAACTTCTATAATATTCAATTTTATTTATTTTTAATATTTACATGATAAAATGGAACATAAATTTTGACCTCTCTGTATATGAGTATACAAAATGTTTCCTTTTAAAGGTAACACGAAACATTTCTGTACAATCACATGTGTTTTTGGGAGAAGTTATAGGGAGTACTGAAATACACATTTTTGGACAATTTTCAAATTTTAATCCTTATTATTGTGCGCATGTGCAATACAACTTGCATTCTTTTAAATGGTAACATGTATTTCAAATACTAGATTTAGATGAACCTCATTTTGACCTTCTAACCATGGCTCTAAAACCAAAATTAACTGAATGACAATTAGTTAAATCTTCAATTTAAATCGATTAATTTATTATTAAAACAACTTTAAACAAATTGACCCAATTTCTGTAATTTCTATTATTTATTTTATACAATTACTTATCACCAATACTTATCTTATAAATAGTTTGAAATTGAGCTTATCATTATCCATGTATGACTGTAGTTGACCCATTACTCAATTTCGTTTTAATTTTGTGTATTTCAGTGTCCCCTAGCTCCTAACCCCATTTCAATCCAAAATTACTAGGCAGAAATACTTCGTGTTGCCTTTAAAAGGAAACACATTATGTTTTATACTCTCAGTCCAACGTCAGTGTTTACAAATATACTGGCAATAATATTGTGAATCAACCTATCATTATTTTAATTGGATGATATTTAAAAAAAAAACCCCATTTTTTAATTAAATATAGAAAACTAATAACTAGCTTTTAAATCTATAGAAACACCGGGCCTGATCGATGCTCAACCTGTGGAAATGCTGCAAGACCAGGCACAGTGCATATTGGGCGACTACGTGCGGGGTAGGTATTCTAGACAACCCACCCGTTTTGGTAGGCTGTTGCTCATGTTGCCAAACCTGCGGGCTGTCAGGCAGGCGACCATCGAGAGACTATTCTTCAAAGAGACCATCGGTGACATACCCATTCAAAGGTTGTTAGGCGACATGTACCACATGGAAAAATCGTACGCATAAACGGTGCAGGTTGAGTTACAGGTTTTACAAAATAGACTTACCGCACACTATCTACGATTTAAGGCGTCTTCGCGTGATGTACTGGAAACCTATAAAAATGGCATAAACCACAATTTTGTTAAGTGTTTTTGGTGTGAAAGCTATCCTATATTCTTCTTGGACTTTTATTAATTAGGTCTATTTTTATTATTATTATTTTCATTATTCATGTACTTATCATAATATTATGCAATTAATATTCGTGCATTAATTGTACATAGGAATAATCATTTATTTATTGTATATACGTTAATATGCCTACTTTAGAATATAGATAGGTACTGTAGAGACATTGCTAAATAATAATATTATTAAGTAGGTATTTATCTAGGTCTCTCTAGTATAATATTGTATATAACTACTTTATATTAAATATTATAAAATATGTGTAGGATTGTTAGGATCTTTGATTAAAAGATTAAAAGAATAACTAAGAAAGCACAAAAGAAGCAATTATATGTTCCTGTAATTATAATAAAAAAGGAATTATAAAGACAAATATAAGGATTTACTTATATGTGTATATATTTACTAACAGGTTTCAATTCAAAAAAACTTTGGCAAGATGATATTAAAAAATAGTACTTTACTCAATTGATATAGGTAGGCAAGTACTACCTAGTACCATCTAAATGAGGTCCATGTCCCGGCACCACTCATTAAACATTTTGGATTTAAACTCTGGGCTTCCGTTTGTGCTGGTTTGTCCTACCATCGTTTGTGCTCAACCCCTTCCGAAGTTATTCGTGATTTACCTTGGACGGTGCTAGGGACATACTGACACCACCCAATAAAAATTTGGAGTTCAAACCAAGGACTTTCGTTTGTGCTATTTTTTGCTGTAAATGCCATTTCCAATTTTTAATTTGCCATTTCCGAAGTTTTCTTTAGTTTTTATTTGGTAGGTACTAAAATGGTTACTACATGGTTCATGAATAAAATTGTTTGTCCAAACAGAAAAGCTTGAAAATTTAACACATGATTATAAGTTAAACTTATGATAAAAAAAAAGAGTTGAGCGTAATGTATTAGTTTTTTTTTACAATCGTTTTAAGATCAAATTTTAACGCAAATTGTAAAAATTATGGCATTTAAAATCATGCATAACCGAATATTTGCTCACAGTTATAAATTAAATAATTTTATATATCCTACCTTATCAACTTTCTACCAATAACAGTGGTGCACCCATTCCCAGTATCAGCTATTTCGGTATGATATTTACTTATTTGCATATCACTGAACTACAAAAATAAGTGATTTTATTTTTTTTCACACTAAATTTATAAATTTTACAATTTAATTCGGTCAGCAAACAATTTTTTAAATGAGCTGCGTAATACGTATCGCTAGTTAAAAATCTATGTCAGAGATCAGCTAAACTATCTGTTTATCGTTAAATAAAGTAAAATTCAGACTTTAAATATTGAATAGGGACAATATCCATTCGTTTATACTCGGTATTTATGTAGTCATTAATCTTGAAATATAAATTGAATTCCCTAAAAACTCAAAATATGCCTGCATTAATTTCCTAAAAATCAAAATTTGTATACATGTATTATACATAGATGCACTAAAAAATTATTCTGACTTCTCACCCTCCTCCTCCCCCCATCAAAATATCAATTAATTCCAATAATATTCTACAAGATTCTAAAAAAAAATATTGCGCGTAAATTAAAAACAATGAAATCGGTAACGTCTCGGTAAGCCGTTAAAAAAGGTTATTTGCCGTTTTTCCTATATTTTGTTTCCGGTTATTCCCAATTATTTTGAAAACCCCTTAAAAACTCAAAAAATGATTTCTCAAATACACCAACTGTGTCAATAATAAATAAAAGTAATGTAATCCATTGTAATTTTTTAATCGGAACCAGATTTCTGGTAGAAAATTTTTTTATATACAAGAAAAATAAAGCATCCTAGTAAAACAATACTTTTCTCGTTACGTTAGACACTTGGAAAAAAAAAAATAATTAACACACAGTACTATAACGGTATTGGTAGGTTTGGTTATTTTAGGAAGGATTTACAGCACAAACGGAGCACAAACGAAGCCCCGGGTTTGAACCCAAAATGATAAATGGGAGGTGCCGAGGCCATGGACCTGTGTAATTGGTATACAATTTAATTTAATTAATTTGATTACACGTATAACGTGTATATAATTTTTATTCAGATGTGAAGTAAATAAATACGTATAGCGCTTACCTACTTTTGTAGGTACATTTACAGAAAAAAATGAAAAAAATTGTAGGTTCATAATTATTAGCCATGTAAATGTACATAAATTATAATTACAAATTTATCTCATAATACATTTCATCATAAATTTGGCATTTGTTCCCGTATTATTCCAATTTTTTTTTTTAAATGAGTCAAGTGATACTAGTCAATTTTATAGTGCAAACATTTTACAATGTGTATCCAACATTATGTTTACATTATTCAATATTTTGTATAATAAATAAAAAAGAAATTTGCATTACTCATCATTTGATCTTTATAGCAGTTTATATACGGTGCAATCCAAACGGCTTCCATCCATTGTTTGTTTTTTCCCAAACGGCTCCCGTCGAAAAACACTGCACAAGTAGGTAAATTCCCAAACTATTCGGAACTACACTTACATTTCTCGTAACAAAATAAGTAGATACAGATGCGACGCAGAATACATTCATGTCATATATTACTTTTTACGATAACAAGTTCTATTAAATCTATTAAAATTATCGGGATTTGGATTTTACGTTTCAAACATTATATGCCTATATGGATTGTTGTTAAACGAATTTTATCTAGTTTATCGAATTTTGTTTATAAAATTTAACCGGATATTCAATATGGACATGGCACATTTTGTGTATCTGTGAATTTGTAATGTAAAAAACCGGAGTCGTTTGGGAATTTACCTTTTTGTAAAACGGGAGCCGAATGGACTACGTCCATATTATAAAGTATATTAGGTATACCTACCCAACATTCTCATAATTGTATTTATGTTAAACCTGTTACCAAACCATATTGTACATAGTTACGCAAAAATATTATTATTATTATTACTATTATTATTATTATTATTCCTATTATTATTATTATTATTTATATTATTATTATTATTAATTATTATTACTATTATTATAGTTAATATTTTAATATATACCCACTCGTTTTTCTATTTAGGATTCTATAAATTCGTGTATGCCCCTAATTTAAAAATTATAAATAATTTAACTCTATGAATAAGTACCCATTAACGATTAACTGATAAGTGTGCATTACCTATGGTATTATTTTTGAGTTTTAATCATATATTTACCATAGTCCATACACTCTACACACTACTCTAAACGAACAAAATGTGTACCTATCAATTTTACTTAGAAATAAGTGATAAAGACTTCTATTCAATATCTAGTTACGTAGGTATAGGTTATTATATATTTATATTTTAGATTATTATTATACTTACATTAATTATATAAGAATTACCTACCTAATTACTTTTGACAGTGTTTTTATTGACATGATTATTTGTTCTGTAATGTACCTACATATTAATATATGAATGTGCATGCAAACTAAATTTTTTATACTATACCAATATACTCTATATGAGTCTATATGATAATATTATTTAGGTAGATATCTAATATCTATGGTCCATTTTCTTGATCGTGATATCAATTGACTATTTATATCTACACTCCCGACTCCCCAATTCCAGATTTATACATTTTATTTATATAATAATACATCGTAATTTTATAATAAGAGATAAAAACGATTACTATACCTCGATATACCTCGACTAATTATTGTATCATTTGTATCAATATGATCATCATAATTATGCATTTACTAATTATTAATTATTATTTTACCTAATAATTCAAAATATGTATCATTTATTTATTAGGAATTATTTATAATAATATGTATTGTATATAGTATAGGTGCTACAATATAGGTACATATTGTTATGTTGGCAATTCGATTTTAAATAAAAATACATTAATTAGTGATGTTTGTAATTAATTATTATTATTACCTACTGTAATATTATGTAAAGTCTATATAATGCTTAACTTAAACTGCTTGAACGTTAACTATGGAAGTTAGGTTTAAACACAAATGCTTAACAAAAACTAAAGATGATAATACTTAAGATTATATTTCCAAGGTCTTTCCGTTGCTTTTTTCCAAAAAAGATTGGGAAGGTAGAGGGGGAAATTTAATGTATATCTGTTGAATATACTGAGCGGAGTTCGGTTAGTAGTGTTGCTTTGTCAACAATATATATGTCTTATTATGGTAAAATAATAACATACGCATTATATATTTTCTTTAATATTTGTTTAATAATGTACGGATATTCCCGTTTTTCCCATTTAATGAGAAAACTTCTGGGAAAATCAAAAAATGACTACCTTAAGGTACTACCCTAGTCAAATTTCCTTTCAGAAAAAGTGCTATCATTGTAAACCTGAGCAAAATTGCTGGTAGAACTATTGTCCACAGAAAAAAAAAAGAACATAAACATCATTGTAAAATCAACACATTCCTCACTCCACTCAGAATCAAAAATTACAACCATGTTTTACTCTTTTTCAAATGAGAACGCACCGCGTCGCTAATCGTTATCAGAGGCGGAACCGTCCCTACCACAAAATTAGTAAAGGTGTGATTCCTATGCACGCGTCTAGAGACGCGCGGCCGACGCGGCGCGATATAATTTTAAGCCGGTCCCACACGACTCGTGTGCTTTACGAGCGTATACTCGGCGAGTGTACTTGCCAAGGTTGTACAATGCACGATGTTTGCTCCTACACGACTCGTATGCTCGCCGATTATTTGTCAATCGTATATACTTTGCTATAAATTAAATAATAAAAATTAAAGATCGTTTAAATATTGGAGCCGATTGCCAAGTGCACGATCCGTGTGGGAACGACGTGCGACTACTAATACTACTGCTAAAACAACGATATTAACAATAAATAATAGTCTGGGGGAAAATCCAAGATTAAATTTCTTATCAGCACGAGTCACTCGTGTTGTATCTGACACCGACGGGAAACCGCGAGTGAAAATAACCGTCGTGCTTTACGATTGAATACCTCACACACGACTCTCAAAGTAGTACGATTGACGAATATTCGCCGATTACACGAGTCGTGTGGGACCGGCTTTAGCCGCGCAGGTAATACTTGTTTTTAAACATAACCGATTCCTATGACCGCGGCCGCCGCGCTCGTCGGCGCTAGAGCCGCGGGGCGACGACCGCTTCGAGAGCAGTAATATCGCACGAGCCGCGCGGCTAATAGCTAACCTAACCTAACCTAACCTAACCTTATGTATAATACTCGTATATTATTCATATTTTAATAAGTTTAGTAATAATTATAACAAAACGTGCGCGAGTTTCGACCGGTTTTCGTCCATCACCCGGTGCATTCTTATTTTTAAAAAAAAAGAGTATTTTCATTTTTTTTTTTTTTTCAAATAGCTTTAATACCTACTTTAATTTTTAGATTCTGAGAAGAGCGAGAAATGTAATGGTTTTACAATTATGTTTATTTTATACACTAATCTCCCACTACCTATACTTAAAAGTGGAATATTTCATTCACGGGTTGATGGAAATGAAAAGTGTTGACACCAAAATTTATTTAAACTAATACTACATTTATTTATGGTTTTTTAATATAGGTTCTCATTTGAACAACCAAAATTGGTATCACTGCTAAGTACTCCTCAAATGTGAAAAATCTAAATTTATGAAAATATCAGCTTTAACTACACTTCAAAAATTCCAAAAATCAGAATTTCAATATATGCAAAATTTCACAAAACAAAAAAATGATAAAAGCACATTTAGTGAATCATCCTGTATATTAAATGTACTTAAAAATAATAATAAATAATTATTATTATTCTATAGTTAATATTAAACTTCTAATTAATAGGTTTACTAACTAAAATTATAATATAATTATCTAAAATAAATGAAAAAAAAAGTGTCATTAATATCATTAAATTTAATATTAATTCAAAATTGATTAGAATATTAGATACTTAATTCAATCATTAATACAAAATTTAAATAATAAATATTACTGTAAAAGGGGCCCACCCAACTTCCAACATAGTCAATATTATGACATTGTTAACTAATCATTTAAAATTATAATCTGTAGGAGGATAGGAGTTCAATACACTACCAAATGTGTAATTAGTATACACCACAAAGTACACTTACTTTAATCTATGTATAAAGTAAAATATTTTTCAACATATAAAATTTTAAAGTGTGTGTGTGTGTGTACATATCTATAGAATTAAAATTGTTCTGTCAGGAAACCTGACTATATAAAAGATCATTATACTAAAAATGTTTAATTGTAATCAAATATATATTATTTTTTATCTTTTACTACCAAAACTATTTGAACACTTGGATGAATACAAAATATGTATATTTTTTTTATAAATTATTCAATAATTGTACTTTAATTTATAATAATTTTATTCAGTTTAACTTTATTGATAAAATATGAAAAATTTTAAAAAATGATAAATTTTATTAAGTACATTATTATTATATCATGATAATTTCCTCCCTCATTTTTTAACTCTCTTCATTACACTGCTTCTTATTAACCTACAACCTTTATTTAATAAGTATCATTTGATGAAATGCGAATGAAGCACACCTCAAAAATATTTTTGTTACGCATTAAAATAAATAATTAAAATACAGAATAGTAATATTCAGTTTAAAAATAATCTTATAGGCAGGCCTAAGCACAAACTTCAAATTATCAAAACAAGTAAAAACAAATTAATTTTATAATAAAGGAATATAATTTTTTTTAACCCTTTGAGACATACATTTTTTTTTTTGGGGGGGGGAAATATTAAAATTTAGCACTCATATTACATAAAACAAAAAAAAATAAATAGTTTCACTATGATACCACAATGACTCAAAGGGGGTTGTTGATTTTCTAAATTTATTAAAATTTTGTAAAATGCAAAATAAATGTGTCATTTATGAGAAACAGGGTTCAGCCAAGAAGGGTTTTTTGTTTTAAAGTATTAATCTATTTAAATAAATCATAAATTGACTTGAAATCAACTTTCTTACATTTTTTTTATTTGTTCAATATTATTTGCAATTAAAAAGTAAAAAGTTGTTTTCCAAATGTTTAAGAATTTTTCAACCCAGAATCATGCTCATAATATATGGGAAAAATTTGGTTAAAATGTACGAAATGTAGGTATTATTAAAAATATTATGGGCTTTTCTTTCTGTGTACAACTTTTCTACTAGCAATTTCGCTCAGATTTAAAATGATAGCACTTTTTCTGAAAAGAAATTTGACTGGGAAGTAATTTTTCGATTTTCCCTAGAGTTTTCCCAATAAATGGAAAAAATCGAAGAAAAAAACAGGAAATCGGTAAAATAATTAACAAATATTATTAAAGAAAATATTTAATGCCTAATTAATTATTTTACTATAATATGACACATAAATTGTTGACAAAGCATCACTATCAACTACTGAACTCCGCTCAGAATCGTTTTTCGTTAGCAATGGTTAATCATTGCTTACAGGTATACATTTAAACATCTATAACAGTGGCTGGGCCAGTCTCCATTATCCTAGGACAGCTTTTTTAATAATATAATTTGTATTGCGGTTATATTACAATATTATTGTAACGGTGTATTTAAAAAAAAAAATTATAGTATCTCCTAATCGAAGAAAAATCCTTCAATTATCCTATTAGATATTAGTGTAACTTTTTTATTGTTAGGGAAGTATTTTTGATATTGTGTAACCTTTCAAGCAATTTTGTTTGGTCAACTAATTTTATCCACATAGACTATGCAATAACATAGTACCTAACGAAGATTAATAACAAAATAATTACAATGCTTAGAAAAGGTCTCCATTATCTTAGGACATCTTTTTAAATTGTTCAAATGTTATGTTTTTTTAACAAAGAAATGTTTGTTGGAAATTTTCCTTTTCTTTGTTTTGAGAACTTAGGACTTACAGTTAATTAAAACTGATATGTTAAAAATATTTAATTTTTAATTTTTAACAACCTAAATAATACTTTAAGGAACCATCTTACCTAATCTTATCGAATCTGTCTAATCACTATTCATTCAATCTTCTTGGTTTCTGGACTCCAACACACAGAGAAGGAGAAATGCTGCTTTATTGTTCACTTGTTCAGTCAACAGTAACCTACATTTTACATAACAAAGATACATACCTAGTTGATTCTTACCACCTTATTTAATCAGTGACACCCCATTACACCTGGTTATCAATAATATCATTTAAACTACAGAAGATAGTAAATCAACAAAGGAAGCTAATACAAGAATAGTTTTAGCGAAACAAACATTGGAAAAAAAGAAATCTCTATTGACAAACAAGAACTTAAGGATTAAAACTGGAAGAACTTCATAAAATCGTATAAGTGGAGTATTTTGCTAAATGTATACAAGTAGATCATAAAAAAGTAAATAAATCTCACAATTTAAAAATATTATTATTATATTATAGCTATTCTTATTGCTAAAACAGGACAATACCCATGTAATAAAATGTAAAAGGACTGTAAATAATCATTTAATTATAATACAAATCTTATCTATACCAAATAATAAATCTAAATAGTTTAAACTAGGTACAAATAAAACACATTAGGTAATTTTTAAATATCCTATTATAATATAAATAGGTAAATATGTCTCACCTTTTTTTTAATTTATTATAGCCATGGTTGTGTTATCTACAGCTCTAACTATAGCGATCTTATTCCTGAAAATGAACAATTACTAATAGAAAATGTAATAGTACCCATATCAAATAATAAATTGATTAAAACTAAATAAATAAAGGTACTTACCTTAAATAAATATTCATAAACCAAAATTATAAAAAATTGAATTTATAATTATTTTAAGTTTACCAACGAAAATATAAAGTTTAACTAAAATTATTCAAAATATGTTTATTAATTCAAAACACAAAATCGGTTTAAAAACACATTACATAAATATACGATAACCATCATTAACAGAACCTACGATAACCTACCTACCTACACCTACCTATCTACCAACCTACAATACTAAGAATGTTAGTTGTCTTAATTTATAAAAAGAAATTAGAGAACATCCATCATCAATACATTTGTATTTATTACATTACACAAATATAGAGTAAAAGAGGTGATTTCATTAACTCCTTAGAAGTATATACCTCATAATTCTAAACAATTAAGTTACACTTGATCTAAAATTAATATCCAAATGTACAGATGAATTTTATAAGTTTCCTCATACTACCTTTTGTAGTTAAATCTTTTTCTTGATACAGTGAGTGATGACTGAAAACTTAAAAAAAAAAAACATGATAATTATATAATAAGTTATGAAAAAAATATCTTTAATTTTAAATATCTATAAAAAAAAAAAAAATAGTCAATTGAATTGTGTAAACTGATTTTTTTCAAGAATTGTTTTACATTTAAAAGAATTAACTGTTAAAATATATAAAGTTGTGGGCATTAATTATAACTACCTTGACTGAAATATTTTAGTAGGTAATAATAATATACCTATAGGTAACTAGTAGGCATAACAAAATAAAGATAACATAATTTAAGCTAAGCAAAACTTACCTTTAACATCTTCATAATTTTCAAGGAGACAAAAATTAAATATTCTCCAATTTCTACTTAACATTTAATATTATACTAAATTATAAAACTTTGAACATCATTTTGTATTATTTTTACATTATTTCATTAAAACAAATTTAATATAAAGTTAGTTTTAAATACTTTACCATAACACAGATCAATTAATGTATGTATAACATTATATAACTATAATTAATTCAGTTTTAAATTCTATTAATACTCTATTAAAAGACTCTAAAGAATTAATTTAATTTAATATAATACAAAATTATGTTCATTCAGCTTTCTTATCCAGGATTCATATTTTATGGGTATTTATCAATATTAAGATAGATTGTATGTTAGTAATACTATGGTGATTTGGGAATGAATCACTAGATGTTTAATATAATAGTATTCACTAACCTTATCTGTGACTGCAATTTGCACTTATTACTGACTATGCCAAATCTGAAATAAAATTTAAAAAAAAAAAATTGTTTAAATAACTGTTGTATACTAACCTGAAAATATAAAAATGCGATGAGAACCTCAACAATTTTTTTTTCGGTTTAATCGAATTATTTTAAAAAAACCTGTCTAATGCACTAACTAGAAAAAATTTTGTTTCAAAAAATATGATACAGTTTAATCATCGGACCAAGATTTCTGGTAGAAAAGTTGTTCACAGACAGCAAAATAGAAAAAATAAAAAAATCATGCATCATAGTAAAACCAATAAATCCCTCGATACGCTTCGAATTTAAAACGAAAGCGAACGTGCTCGAATACAATTACATTTTTGAAATTTGGGCATTCATAATAAATTGGACTACTCGATTTTAGTTTAAGACATACAAATCAAGAGTATTTACCAGTCACAGTTCTCCGGGTATATTTTGACAAAAAGCACCGCTGCGTTTCAGTCTTGAGCTCATGACGAACAACATCACACACTGCAATATTCGCGACGAAACGTTTCAATTTAATATTGACCGTACGGATAATAAAAAAAAATTACGAACGCCGCGACGCCGCACAAAAGGAAACACTCGCGACCGAAGACTGGCGGAAAATGAAAAGTGAAAAATGAGCACGAAGCGGTCCGACTGCCGAAACCCACGGGCCACGAATCATCGGCGGTCCACCTGTAATATCGGGCGATCTAATAGGTTAACGGTTTCTACATTGGATCAATGAACGCGCCCTGTGCGTGACCGTTAGGTCGTGGATGGGCCAATGTGGATACGCAGAAAATCCCAGTGGGTCGGTCGGTGCAAGCGAAAATTAATTCACATTTAAAATACCATTAGCTGCCTATGGGCAGGGCATGGAACCGAAAATAAAAATGCCGGTACATTATAACCGGACCTTTTGTAAATATTTGAATCGGTACGTTTTTTTGAAGAACCTAAACCGGAACCAGTAGATACCGATGGAGAATTTTTCGGTCATTTGGTTTTTTCTGTTCAAATTTTATATAGCTATTTAATATACTTAGATAATTATTTTTCTCTGCTTTAAAACACATTCCTAAGTTGCTTTTTATTGGGTCCTGTGGCGTAGATATCGTAGGACAAAGTGAGGCCTTGCCCCAGAGCAGTATTGGGCATGTTCCTTATAAAAAGGAATTCGTTTTTTTCTCGTTTTTTTTAAAAGTATTTCGTTTCGTTCCCTGTACCTAAAAAAAAATTTATTCGTTCCTTTGCTGTTCCAATAAAAAATGAAAAAGTTCCCTTTTTTGTTCCAAATGAAAAAAATATATATATTTACAATCGTGCCGTTCATAATTTAACACGTTAATTGTTATCAATAGTTTGAAATATATTTAATTGCATTAATATGCAGTTAGACTATAATAGAAGTCAAATGTTTATCAAATATCACTTACAGTGTACTCATAACATTGAAATATTATATGATTCTTCATATATTTAGTGTAATTTAGACATTAAAATTACTTCAAGTTGATATCTATTTTTCAAATTTGGAAGTTTTATGTGTTATTATGTTCTAAAATTCTTATCAAAGTTTTTTTTCTCAGTAAATAGGTAGATAGATAATACGCCTATTATAATAGTATAGGCAATATTATAAATTTTGATTATCTAAAAATTATAATTTATAAACCATAAACCTTGATAATTCCAACCAGTCCCAACCAGCATCATAAAATAATACAATTTTAACCATAAAATTTGATTGTTCTTTAACCTATGCCTACCTAGTATATAATATGGTCCTGCTATTTTCCGTTGCAATGACAATCATGTCTATGCATAAGAAATATTAATATTACAGTGACTAGTAATAAAACGATTAGCAAAGGCACGTCGATAACGAGATCACCAATCAACATACACTCAGAAAATAAAGTACTTGTATATTATTTTAGGTATTAAAATTTCGATTATTCACATATTTGTGTAAATAAGAACTAAGAAGGAACGGACTTAATTTCGTTCTCTTTCCTTGATAGAATGACCACGTTCAGTTCCTCGTTCTTTCACTGTAAAAAGGAATTAGTTCTATGTACCGTTATTTAAAAAAGAATCTGTTCATATTTGAACACGATCCTTCCAAACACGGATATATTTCGAATTTTAATAAAGATTATATTAGTTAGAGGGTCTAGTTTTTTAACTGCACTGTGGCACTTTCTCATATAGCTTCACCACTGGTTGGGTCACAGAAAATGTTTACCACTGGAAAAATTGTTATAAATATAACTTTATTGTCGGTTGTAAATATATTTCCATACATTTATTAAATTAGTGAAATCGTGATTATACTATTTAAACTTAATGGTGAAACCCTAACAAAGTTAATCTTCATTAAATCACGACTAATCTGCCCTTTGGGTTCAGTTTTCGTAATATATACGGATAGTCAGTACCATTAAATTTTAGAAACTAGCAAATGCATAGATGAGTATTTTTTTTCTATTTTTAAATCGTGTTGGAAAGAAATAGATAATCTTATCATTCTTATCGTGTGTTATTTTTATTATGTGTTATGTTTGATCAATCATAGTATTAATTTTGTTTGCATTAAAACCAGCTGAATTCAGCTGGAGATTACAGGGTTAAAGGCCATCTAAATATTAAATAATAAGAAATATGTAACAGATAATACTAAATCTTGCGTTTTTTAATTACCTATACTAACATAATAATTTTATTTCAGTGGTTAGTTTTTTTGACATTTGTCGTTTTCGGTAATTTGGTGTCACGAACAATCTAGATAGCGGATACGATTACAGTTAGGTTGGGTATCAAATGTTGATTTCTTGTGTTAAAATTAAATTTCTATTTTCTACGTTTACAAATTCCATAAATGGTCCTATACTCCTATTTAGATTTCTAAACTATCGTCATCCTGTTCAGTCATCATCATCATGATTATGGTAAGTAGTCTTTATTTGATTTAAATTCAGTTATTTCGAGTTTTACACAAATATTGCAAATTCATCAGATATTACATCGGTGATAATAATAAAAACGTTCTGCTCGAAATATTTAATTTGTGATAACGATTTCAATTTCATCATTCTTATCGGTGTTCCCGACTTTCCCGTTGATTTACCGTGTTATTTAACATTTGTACAGTTCATATAATGAAATTGGAAGATTAAAATTGTATGCATTTAATCTTTTTCTATAATGTTATGTGTCTTTTTGCAGTAGATCGTGTCGTATTTTTCACATAAGAATCTGTAACACTAGTTAACCATTTTCATCAAACTGGAGGAGAATATGGCCCATCCAATAATTGGGCAGAAGTCTACTAGGAGGAAACAGTGGACTTTATTGAGTAATATACCCATTTACAATAAGTTAAGTTTTATTTTTAATGTAATGTGATGTTTAATATATATAGATCGAACACAAAACCGGTATAATCATTTTGGAAGTTACTTAGCAGAAGACGGCTGGCCAGATTCTCAGGTCGATTTGGCAAAACAGTTATTGAACGAGAATTGTGGTACATTTTGATTTTTAAATATCTATAATATTTAAATAAACAATTTTGTTTATTTTGTACTTTTTAAAACAAAAAGTATTTAAAGTGGTTTTCTAAGAAATATCTAAACTATTCAAACAAACTAAATAATCATGTATGGGGGAATACATTTATTTATTACAAACAAGTTTTAAAATGATATACCTACACATATTTAATATTTAAACATTTTAAAATTATCATTAAAATGAAAACATTTTACAAAAATTAATTTTTCATTAAATATTTGAAAGCCATAAAAATATTATTTTATTTATTTAGTTATGTTGAAGATAATATTTTATATTGCATTAAAAATATAAAAATTAAATATTTTTAATTTTTATTTATTAGCATTATCACCATAATCATTATTTATTTGTACAGAAGATGAAAAAGATCAAGAAGAAAATGCTAGTCTAGGGGTTTATTGGCTGATTAAAGCTTCATCACAGGGACATAAAGAGGCGACTGAACTTTTGAAACAATGTCTTGATACAGGAAAAGGTATATTCACTAAACAGTTTTATTTATTTATAATTAACCATTTTCAATTATTAATAGTTAATTCCTACTTATGTTTATTATTGCATTAACCTATCTGTTAAATATTTGAATAACATATTTGGTTAGAACTTATTAAATGATACAGTAAATAAACTGTTATAAAACCAATACAAGATGTGATGTACACGTTAACACATTACATATTAACTATAGGTAGTTACTCTGTACATAATGCGAAGCAACTTTGTCTGTGCATAGTAATAATTTTTAGGTGTGGAATTAATCTTAGATTATACCACTTTGTATGTCATATTTTCAACGAAGAGTAATCATTTGACAACCAAACACTAAAGTGTTAGAAAAAGTTAAATATACTTATGTACAGTGTTGTCTGCAGTAGTGTGCCGGTAGGTCATTCGACAACAATTTGCTCAAACTATGTGGAGCAATTAAGTAGACGTGGTACCCCCATATAATCATAACTAATTTAGTTCAAATATATAATAATTAATACCTATATTAATAATTACACTGAAATTTGTATATATTGGACATTTATAATATCATAAACAGTGTCCATTATATGAAAGGTATCCTTATTAATAGAGAGGTACGGAACGTGATATTGTAAAAAAAAAAAATACTATAATAGCTAAGTGATACGGAATAAGCATTGATAGTCTTTTCATTTTCTTCATGCTTCTAATTACTTCTGTCCCAATTAACTTTATCCTTATTATCAAACATATAATCGGTATTCAAAATAGAACAGCAATGCTGTTGTGTGACATGTATATACACGTTTGCAATATATTTGATTTTAAACTAAGATAGTCGTTCATTATTAAGGTATTGGCGTACAATATTACTGTCTATGCCCGTAATAGAAAGAATCTGTTATAAACCGTCTGAAATACATTGGAATATCAATCTTTTTGTCAGGACTTTATTATTTTATCCATTAAAGCTAGATTTATTAGATATTAGTTGATAATAAGTACACTACAAATATGCTCTATTTGGTAAATTTGTGTGTTATTTGTATGTATTTACTATTCTAATATGTTGATTAATAATTTATTTTTTCCAGGTATCACTGAACATAATTGGTTAGATGTTAAAGTTTGTTTGGAAACTTCTCAAGAGGATAAAATTATTCAAAAAACTGCACATGAAATTTTTGATAGGTATGTATATATTACATTTTTAAACGATAAGCATGCCTCATAATTTTACTATTTTGTGTGTGTTGTGCTTCAGTATATTTAAGTAAAATAAAAAAAGTGATCAAATTGCACCATTATTAATGATTAGTGATTACCTCAAAGTTAACACAACTAACTATACATTTAGCATAATAACAAAGAAAATGATTTTTTAAGAAATAATGATATGCTATATACTTATAATATAATTTTTTTTATTGTGAACCTTTATCTCAGAGGATTTTAATAAATTACCTATCTACAACTCTTCCCTACTCTTCTGGTCTAAAATTTAAACTGTTATAACTCATATGCGGTAAATTTGATATTAGTGTTATGCATATCAAAATTTCTACGAAAAAATTCTCTATTCAAATCTGTGTTTAAAAATGAGGTTTTCTATTTAAAAAATCAAAAGTATATACTGATTAAAAAAAAAAAAAAAATCAAATTCACTTAAAATCCTCCGAGATAATTGCTGGTTCATGATAAAATAAATCATCCAGTATTTGTATTTATTACATAATTATTTATGTAGCTGTAGCCTAAAAGTAAAAAAATTCATTCTATAATGAATAATTGCATTTTTAATTTATTTTGTATACAATATATTCTAGAATGTCAGCTGGAGAAGACTTTATAACAAGTGACCAATTGAAAGATGAATTAAATCAAGCATGTAGTAGTACATCAAATGATTCAGATATAATAAAAGTAGATGAAAACTTAAAAGATTATAAGCGTATAAAACCATCACGTCAAGGTATTAAAATATAAGTACTCTATAATTATTATTCATGTAAGATGTAAGCTTTGCAAACATATTAAATATGAGTATTTTAATAAACTACATTGTACAGTTGCTTGTATAATAATAGAGATGAGTCAAACTTTAATTTCCATTGCTTTTAATCTAAATTGTTTTCAAAATAATTTTAAAATAAAATATATATTATTTATTTTTTATTACCAATTTTAATACATTTATAATTGTTTATTTAGAACATTTTTAATTATAACTAGTTTATGTCAATTTCAAATACCATCTATTTAACTATTCATACATTTATTTACAAACAAAAATTCTGATTTATTTTTAATCTAGTTTTAAATTAATTGTTTGAACTTCTTAATGCTGTATGTGTTATTAAATTCACCATTATCAAATCAATAATATGCTGTATAAATTTATTTGTGTAGATTGGAAATCTAGAATAAATGAATCTGGTGAGAAACTCACTGAAGATGTATTACTGAATGCTGCTAAAGATTTTTCACGTGGGCAAATGCCAATTGTGCAAAAGATACTTACCATTGAAGAAAACAAAAATCATGTATCTACTACCTGTGACTTATTTCTTCAGCCAGTGTATATTATTCACAATTATAATCTTTGTCTTCAAGAGAGATTAAATAAACGATTTTCCAAATTAACATTCAATCCATTCTCATATTTTCATGCACCAACACTATTAACAACAGTTCTTTGCTTTATACTGGGCATAGATGGAATTTATATATTAATTCCATACATTCTTTTTTATGGATCTTTACTTGGAATGGTTGTAGCTACAGTATGTGCACTATGTGCAAAAAGGGATTATGGAAATTTTCATCGATGGTCCAATTTATTCATCCTATATAGTGGCGGTTCTCTTAGTGTTCAAGAAGCAGAATATCAATACTTGATGAACACCCTTAAGCCATATGTATTCTTTTTTGTTTCACTGGGAGCACATTTGTTTTTAAAAACTCTAATTGATTCAGACACTATGTTTCAATCTGAACTAACCATTGTATCCATCTGTATGACATTTTATACACTTTATTCTTTTTCGGTAAATATGCTTTGTATATACAATTTTTATAATACTATTACTATGAATCTTAAAATAATTTAGTACTCATTTATTATAAAAACGTGTACATATATATATATATATATATTACCTTTAAAATAAATCGCAAGTTCTACTTTTAAACTTTTAATAATAGTATTATTAAAATTACATTATAGTAGTTTTTAATGAATTTTTTTTTCAGTTATGTGGTCCGAAATTAGGAAAAACTAAAAACCTTGATTTAATTGCATTATTGTCATTCTGCGTTAATGTTTTAGCAAAATATCCATATGAAACTGACACTGTAGTAAGTAAAGGTTGGAGATTTCTTGATTTGCATGTACCAACATTTGCATCCTATGTTATTGGTTAGTAACTTGAAATATCATTAAGAAATATATTTCATTAATTATGGATATTTAATTTTCTAGGCAATGGAGTTGAATTCTGTCTTAACTTTAGAGCATTATTTTATTTAATATTACCAGCGATCATGGTTAAAATGGCAGCTCGTAATAATTGGAGAGGAATTTATACCGATTTAATACCACATTGCATGACTTTATCATGGTGGCAGATGGCTTTGGTGGCATCACAAGGTGGATAACATAAAATTAAAAATTAAAGGAAATGAAAATAAATCACTAATATTATTTTTCCTTAGAATCTACTTGGTATGGACTAGTTCGTAGTATATTAGCCTTGGTCTGTGTGTTTATACTGTTTCCAATTACTGGAATTTTCTTACCATTTGTCACTATTGGCAATGATTTTGAAACCATTTATCAGATTATACAATTACCTGTTGTTCTAATATTTATGTGGATATTGCATATAATATTGCAACATTTAAAACGGAAAGGTTTTCGCACTGATAGGTTTTATACATATTTTCAGGTAGTTGAAGCAGCAATTTTTTAATATTATATTTAAAAAATTATTAATTTGTATTGTTTTATAGGTTGCTATTGTCCTCATTGGTATAACAATTTGTGTTTTTAATAATTATGAACGTATACAACAATGGATTGAGCCATACACTGACCATCACTTAACTTATAATGATTTCTCTGAGTTTTGTAATAGGGGCTTTGGGATAAATTCTCAAGAAAATAATGTGTTAGTTGATGTTGAATGCTCACAACTGATTGGCCAAAATGTGCAATGGGATGGTTATGTAAAAACAAGCAAGATTGTGTCAGTATATAATCCTATATTAGCTATACTGAGCTTCTTCCCAACGGTAAATTTAATATAAAAATATTAACTATTACTATTATATAAGAAAACATGATTTTTAATTATAGATTATAGCAAGACCATTGACATGTTTACTGGGTAAACATTTTTCTACTTGTTCAGAAAGTTATGGTTGCAATGTGAGCTCAAAACTTTCAGATCTATGCCATGTATCTGAGTGGAATCGTTATACTTATGAAATAGAAATAAAAATGAAGAATGATGGTGTATGGGGTAGTAATGGTGATACAATAACATTGTTTACAAATAGTCAAGATATAATAATGGATAATGCAACAAAAAGTTTGAGAGAAAATGACCACATTTGGTTTTCTGGTCAATTATCTGGTAATAAATTTGGTGTATTGACAGCAAAGAATCCATTTGTAAAAGTATCTGCAATTGGGTGTCTAGTGTGTTCCAATTTGCAAATGATTAACAATGTTAGACCAAAATCATTTGATGATGAATTTTTCAAATGTGCTAAAAGACTGATTCAATTTATTTTGTATCCCATTGTATTATTTAAATGATCTTAACTAGAAAAAATTATCACTATCCTACTAAAATTGTAACTAGTTAACACTTAAAATTTAATATTTATTTTTAAAAATGCTTTTTATAAAGTATAATTTGCCATGTTTATTATTTGATTTGTAACACTTATTTATTCAAGTGCAATAACAAACTATAATCGAATTAAGAAATTAACCAAATATTTGTTTTCATTATATATTATTATTATAAAAAAAAAAAAATGTTAAAAAAAAAAAATGAATAAATATAAAATGTTTAACTAAGTTATTTACTTTATTATTTTTAGAATATTGTTGAAACAAATATTTTAAATGTATTAAAAACATTTTTGTGTTAGACTCGTGTAGTGATATTTTACAAGCACCAAGGTAAGGTTGTCATAACTGATATGTCTTAGATTTCATAGGATATTACCAATTTCATGACTTGTGCTTCGGTATCCCAAAGAGAATTTTTGAGACATTAAAATGTCCCGGATTTAAGTTGGTAGTTTTGATTAAATAAATGAAAACAATTTGATGAATATAAATTGTCATAAAAATACGTGATGATTGGCAAAAACGGGTAATTTCTATATTATATAAATCTATATTATATCTACTCTTACTCAATGAATTGATATTTTGTTTTATTTTTTATATCTAATAACATGTGGTGGTGTATTATCCATATAGAGTTTAGACTATATTTTATTTTATGTCAGGTCCACACTAAACTGACACAGGAACAAAACAAAAACAACTCTTTTTGTTTGAAAAAAACAAAACATACTGTCCAAACTAAACTGACTAAAAATTAAACCAAATATAAACATTTTGTTTTCGTATTCATTTAATCACTGAAGTTCAAGCAATTCAGACATATGTACAATTTTGTTAGTAGTAAAATAAAATGTGGAAAATATTAAAAAGAAAAAATATTGACAAATGAGATGATGAAAATTTATTTATGTTGGGTGTAGGGTATATATACTATTCGTACTACTTTTCGCCATCTCGAAACACTATCTTTATCTTTTATTATATTATTTATATATTCACTATCTTTATCTGTTATTTTTAAAATACCATTTACAAATGTTTGACAATGTTAGTTAAAACAAAAACAAAACACAAACCTTTGAATGTTTACCGACACCGCTCGGGACATGAATTTGTTTCGAAAAACAAACAATTTGTTGAAAAAAACATAACTGATGTAAAAATGTTTTGATTTTGTCGCAAAAACACGAGTTTGTATTTTATTTTAGTTTTGTTGTTTTAGTGTGGACCCAGCATTAGGCAGTACTTATTGTGTAAACTGTGATAGCATACAAAGCTCTGGTGTATTGTTTGTATTGACTAGGTATTCGTTATATTTTTATTATGTTTATTAACATTCTTTAAATTTCTTCTTTTAACAAATGTTATAAACAAGTAACATTGTTTTGTGTTTATTTATTTTTGATACAATTATTATTTATGAAGCCACCAAAATATTTTAGCTGATTTACTGAAAAATTACAGAATAAATTTACATTTTTAAAAAAAGTATATTGATACCTAGATATAATGACTATGAAATGTATTGTACAATTTGCTCTAATTTGTTTTTGATTAGTCACGGTAGGTCAGACATAACAGACCATTTAAAAACTAAAAAGTATCAAATAGCCAAAAAAGCAGCTTCATTTAGTTTGGTGTGTACATTTTTTACCAATTTAAAAATTGACAATGCTGCACTAAAATTAGCAGTGAAAGAATTAAATTTTGTCTATCATATATTAGTTTCTCACAAAGTTTCAATTCTAAGACTTGCACGTCAAGTTTAATTCGTAAATTATTTAATGAAAAACAATTTACAGTATTCTGTTCAAAATCTTAAGAAATACCTAAATATGATCACTCCTTTTGTCATTAAAAATTATTAAGGAAGACTTAGAAAAAGCTAATTTTGTGAAAATTTTAATTGTCAATGCCTCGAACCACAAGTCTGAAACTTTTTCCCAATTATTGTGCGTAATTTTTCAGTTTTCGTCTGTTTAGAACATAGAGAAGTTAAACCAAATTTTGTAGTTCTGGAATTTATCAGAAGAGACCACGGAAATAATTCACGTGTGTAGGTATAGTCATATGTTTTAAAAACAATGTACAGAAGATCTTCTCTATATCATGGTTTTAAATGAAAAAAACTTTAAGTGATAAAATTGAGATAATGACTACAATAGACAATCGTATCAAAAAAATTGAAACAGTAAGAAACAAGAATAGTTTGTAACCACAAAAATTCATAATTTGTTAGTGTAACATGAAAAATCATGGTAAGTACAAAATACTTATACTAAAAAAAAATTGTATGTGCTTTTTCTTGATTATTTGTATAATTGGACTGGATAAATTCACACAATCTAACCTTACCTAACCTTAGATTTAAAATCGATGTTGACATTGATATCGAAATCGGTAGTTACGTGGGAAAATTTTAGAAATAACATTGTATTCATTTTTGTTTATGTTCAAACATAACAATAGTTGAAGAAATATATTTTGAGCAATTTAAGTTTTTTGAAAAAATATTTTAGGTATAAGTAAACAAAATAATGAATGACATAAACAATAGTTAGAAGTTAAATGGTTGTTTATTTTTAAAATAATATTTGAGACTAAAGAAGAATATTATTGTATATTAAAAGTAGTGTAGTTTTACTTGATCTGTCAGTTTATAATGCGGCTGTTGAACTTTTTTCCCTATTGAACAGCATATGGACTTAGTCGCAAACAAATTAAATAGCTACCTATGTTAACTGTTTTAAAAACTTGAGAACAATTTTATGAATATGTTGTAGGAAACAGAATTGTTGAAAAAAGTTCACAGCTCGTCCAAATATTCAACAAACCAAGCAAGCCGGAGATACTGGAAGTACAATTTTGTCTAACTAATTTTATATTTATATAGTATTCATTATCAAAAAGATATATTTATTTATTTTGATCTTAAACAGTATCAGTTATATCTATGTTAACTTGATATTATTACCTATATATACTAAACATTTTTTAAATACCTAGGTTAAGTATTATTACATAATTATGAACTGAATTCGAGCAATAGTAATTTGGTAACCATACTCCAAGGTCAATAAAAAACAAGTATCAATTATGATCCACAATCATATTTCATACAGGATCTGAAATATTGTAATTTTATTGTCATAATAAAATGCACAATATGTTTGTTGATAAAATGAAGAAAAAAAAATGAAAACTCGAGGTATAGTAAGTAGTGTTTACCTTAAAAAACTGACAGGTAATACCTTACAAGTAGTTAAAAAAAAATGGTTGAGTAATTAATTTAATTTATAGTGAAATTATAAAAAATACTATACTATTTATTTTTTATATTAATATACTATTTAGCTATTCAAGTTTTAACTAATAGCTCAGATATAATTTGTCATAATAATTTATAATTTAAGAAATCATATAATAATTTAATTTAATTGTACATACAATATAAATGACAAGCCATCACAATAAAATATGATATATCTGTTACTTAAAAGTTTCTGTATTAATAAAATAAGTTTCATCCAAATATCGTGTTGAGAGATATTAATTATGTTATTACCAGTACAAATAATAATATATTGGTTTTAGTCTTTCAATATATAAAGTTTAAACACTAAGATAGGAATAAAAGTATATTTCAAATTATTTTGTAAAATATTCACTAACCCGTAGGATAGTTGAAATACATATTTTTTGTCACAGATTAAAATAGTTGAATGTACATTAACTTGATACAAAAATTGAATAATTAAGAATAACGGTGAATTTTTATTTTTTAAAGAATATAAAAATGTATAATTTTAATTAAGTATACAAAATAAAGAGAATTACAAAATAAAATGTATACAAATTAATTTTACACATTACAATCAAGCCAGGGTGAATAATTAAAAATAACATTCTAATACATTTTAGTTTATATCCATTCAAAATAGTTTTATATATGAAAAATTATTACCTTGTCCAATAATATTCAGAATTTATTTAATACAAATGTAAAAAACATTATACACAAATGATAGTATCGTAAAATGGGATGAACGGAAACATTTTTGAACTTTGAAGTATCATATAAACTATTCTATTTGGGCTACATAATTTATTAATACACCGAAATTTCTCTAAGTACTTTAAGTATGTATATTCAAAATATTTGTATTCTTAACAGATTTTTGTTTTTTAATATATTTTTTTAAGTGCTCTGTTTCGATTTTATTCACCTGTTAGGCAGAATTTAATTTTAGAACTAAATATATACATATATAATTTAATGAATGATGTTTAGGTAAGGCAGTATTTAATTATTATAAAGTTTTAAAGTTTAGTTTGAACTGAAGTGAACCACAATTGTATGGGGTTGGTTTAGATAATTTTCCTATGGTTTGTTCAAATTGAAGCTCAAATTAATCTTTCACATTTGGAAAACAATAAATGTATCCAAAATCTCTGGTGTTTTTTTCCTTAATAATTTTCCTAAATGACCATAATTGGTTTTTTTTTAAAAAATAATTTGTCTATTAAAAGATGTGTAGTACATCTTGCTTGTTGTTGATTACCTCAATCTCTTACATAATTGCATTATATTTTTGCAATTTTGAATTTGTTAGACAAAAATAAATTAACTCTTAGTGGTTTGAAATAAAATAATAATGCTTACGATTTATTAAAGCTAATAATATTTAGAAAACTAAGCCAAGAAAAGAAATTGAAATAAATAAGTTTAAACCGCAAATGGTAACTTTGAATTTTGAATATTTTTCACTAATAAGAAATGTTTTGGTATAAAAAAATGTCTTACTTATAAATGTTGGATTTAGTGAATGTTTCATATTGGTAAAACTAAAACTGAATTATAAGGAAATAAAAAAAAATTCTTAGTATTATTTCTATTCACACAATTTTATGGTAATACAAATATTATTAAAATGAGTTAGTTTAAAATTTTAATAATAAAAATAAATATAAAATAATCAATTTTGATTAAATAAGAACTAAATATTAAATATGTATTCTTATATTTTATTGCACTTAATATTCATACACAAATATACTTAGAAAAAATGACATATTTATTCTAGGTGTATTATTTTATAATCATATGTTTGTATAAGTGGAAGTTATGCACTGAGCAATTCTTGAATCTCATCTATAGTTTTACCTTTAGTTTCAGGAACAAAATAAATCACAAAAAATGTGCCTACCACACAAAACAATGTGAATAACCAGAATGTATTGTATATAAAAATAGCAGATACTAATGATGAGTAGAATTTGGTGACCAAGAAAACAAAAAACCAGTTGGACATACAAACTATTGAACTAGCAATACCTAAAACAAATATATGATACATATTAAAAACTTGGAATATTAAAAATATAATAGAACTATGATCCGTTTAAATAGTACTTATGTTACACCTAGCATACCTTTAATTTGAGTTGGAAATATTTCTCCCATCATCATCCATGGAATGGGACCGAAACCAATAGAGAACATGACTATAAATACACACAATGACACCAATGGGACATATCCAATCGATGAAACATCATAAAAGGTATCCTTTGCATAGAAAAATCCACCAATGAGAAATGTTGTAATTCCCATTGCAACAACAGAATACAAAAGTAAAATCTTTCTTCCCAATCTATCAATGACAAGAGTAGAAAAATATGTAGACAGTACTGCCATGACACCAACAATGATTGTGGATGTATTTGATGAAATTGTGCTACCGGTTGCCTATATTGAATTATAATTATAAATTAATCATTTAAATTAGTTGCAATATTAATAAGTTTACATCAAATATTGTTGTAGTATAGAAAATAACAGCATTGGCTCCAGTAAACTGTTGAAAAATCATAATTCCAATTCCTAAGAATAACCCACGTTTAGCTGCCGTAGTTTGGAATGCTTGTAAGATTGTAAGTCTTTCATTTTTAGTCTATACAAAAATAAAATTATCTATTTACATTTGTTATACTTAATAATTAGATACTCTATAAAATATTAATTTGTACTTTAGTCAACGACTTCTGCAAAATATATAATTCATGGTCCACTTGACCATGAGATCCATAGAAGAAATTCAATGATAATACAGCCTTGTTTACATCGCCCTTTATAAGGTGGAACATTGGACTTTCGGGTAAAAAAAATAATAAATTTATATATATTATTGGAACTATTGCACAAGCAAAGGACAATCCAAATACATTTAACTATATAAAAAAAAACATAACATTTAACACAAATACTTGATGAAATTAAAAATATACACATACATATGATCCCATAAAATAGGTAAATAAGATTCCCGAAAAAACTTGTAGCTGGAAATAGGTACCTAGAGTACCGCGGATTTCTTTTTCAGCTATTTCTGAAGTATATTGTGGTACAATAACGGAATAAGAACCACTAGCAAATCCAGTTAAAATCCTGCCAACATATATCCATGTCACCTTAAATGATGATTTTCAAATCAAAAAAGTGATTAAAGAATAATAAATATTGAAAGTTGCTTATACTTACAGATTTGGCCCATATTATCATTGTCCAACCCAATAATGTAGGTACAGTTAATATAATCATTAGTTTTATATTTCCCAATTTATGCACTAGTACTGCCATAACTGGACATCCAATCATGGCACCAAGGGCCATAAACGAAGCAATCCATGAAACATTTTCTTCAGCCACGTGAAATTTATATTGGTTGTTTTTCATCATTGGACCAGCTGGAGATGTCCAACCAAGTGTTGTGCCCATGATAAATCCCCCAATAGTTACTGTTATAAATATAAAAAATAATAAATATTTTTTTTTTTTAACTATTTAGCTGAACATAAATACTTACCAATTAATGCAGCTAAATATTGAGTCCATTTTCTTGTTGTTATTGAAGTTTTAGCTGACTTATCCAAAAGTGAACTTTTTTCATTATAAGAACTCTATAATTAAATAAGAAATATACAAAAAAAAGGTACAGACATACTTCGCACAATGGATAGGCCACTATTGTGGATTAGAAGTTAGGAAAATGGGATAAAGAGGGTAATTTAATGTATATCTGTAGGCTACGATTAATATTTGGTAAAAAAAACGATTCTGAGCGGAGTTCGATTACATGTTTGTAGGGTCGTAATATTTATGATTTTAAACTAGATAATATATTTTGTAAATTTTCCCATTTTCACCATATATTATGAAAACTGGGAAAATCAAAATAATGATCACACTAAAGTACCACCCAAGTCAAATTTCCTTTCAGAAAAAGTGCTACACTTGAAAATCAGAGTAAAATTTCTAGTTAAAAGTTATTCACAGAAAAATAAAAAAAAATAAACATCTTTGTAAAACCAATACATTCCTCACTCCACTCAGAATCTTAAATTAAATATCTATTTAAAGTTTGAATAACTAAAATGAATATATATAATAAAATGTAATAAATACCTTTGATGGTTTCATTTCTTCATCATTTGAACATGGGATTTCATCATACTCTTTAGATCCACCTGGCATTTTGAACTTATTTTCACTGAAGCAATTATTACTTATTTGTTTTTAATGAAACATTAACAAAGATCAATATGTGGTTATGAATTATTTTAAAAATACAATCAAGTCACCTAAAATAAAAATATAAATATGTAAGTACCACAATAATACCACAATAATCACTACTATATTAGACAATTACAATATTTATTAAAAATTTAAATTATTTATATATCATAATAAGTTATGTAACCAACTTAATTATTATTATCAATTCTTTGATTGATTTATCAAAATATTAAAATCTGTTTATTTTGGTAGTAAAACAAAAATCTTGGGTGCCACAAGTTCAACATCCAATGTTTAATGACAAATGAAATTGTTCTATGAAATACTTATACTTTATTTTAATAATATTAATAATTGTGGTTTTTTTTTTTTAAATTTAATTAATGACACAGGCATATTATATTAAATATTAAAGAATAGATTTAAGTGTTCAGTAGTCATAAAAAATGAAACTTCTTATGTTAAAACAACTGTTAAAAACAAACGCATATAATTCGTACAATGGGTGGGCCATTGTTGTAGGTGGGAATTTGGAAATGTAGAAAGGAAATTTAATGTATATCTGTACACAATTAGTCATTGCTTACTAAAAGTAATTATTTTTTTCCATTTATTATGAAAACCTCTAGGAAAATCAAAAAATTATCTCTTTAAGTATCACCCCACAAAAATGTTCTTTCTAAAATGGTGTTACACTTGAAAATTGGAGAAAAATTTTTAGTAGAATAGTTTACAGAAAAAAAATTAAATTTTATTGTAAAACCAATACATCATCTCAGAATCTAAAAAGTAATAGTTAATATATGTTGACACACAAAACAACAGCTGACCCTTTAGTCTAATATGCTTGATGGCTAAAAAAGATTATTTTTTGGTTAAAGGTTATCGTTGGATGTTCATAGTAGTGTACACTATTAAATTACTACACTTTAATAGTACATACAGATCTGTATGAAGTTATACATACAGATTTATAATATTTATTATAATTATATTTGAATAGGTATTTAAATTATATTTTTTAATTTGAATATTGCCTACTAGCCTTATATTCCATGATTGATGAATGCATCTTTTTGGCAAATGGATATGAATGTAAAGACTAAATGTTTTTACAATTAGATTGTTTGACTATTTGTACATAAACAAAGTTATGTTGTAATGCGATTATTCTAGCTTATAAGCAATTACAGAATAAGTACTTTAGACTTTAGTACCTATTTGCTATAAGTAGGTAATAAAAACTACTCTTCAATACGGTAACAGTTAAACTATGTAGAATAAATACCTAGTTAATATTTGATAAATTTTTTGAATAAAATACCAAATTATTTATTGTTTGGTTTATGCATTGTATTGTTATTATTTTTTTATACTTAGTTTACCAATGATCATTAAGTCTTATTAAATTATTAGTCATTTGTATGCAAAAAGCATAAAAGCATTTATTAAAATGCTATGTGATGGGAGTAAGAAATTTTAGAGTTTCATAACCTGTAGAATGTGCCAAAAAAGTTTTTTTCGCATATTAGTGCATATTAAGATCGTAGAGAATATTTTAGCATATTTTTGTAATACTGTTTTATATTAGAGAATATTTTCTTGTTTTTAGTTTAGTTTTAATTTTTAGTCTCCATACGACATTACTCAGTAATTCCATGTGATAAATTGTATTATTGGCATGAAATTTAACCATAGGCAATAAACGTATATATAAGTAAGTATAAAATATAATGACACATATCTAGAATTTTTTTCGAGGGGGCTGATCAAAATTTATAAATATTGTCATATAGTAAAATAAAAGAAGCTGTCCTAGGATAATGGAGTCGTCTGCGGCCACTGTTATAGGTAATTTAATCTAATTGTAAGCAACGATTAACCATTGCTAACGAAAAAACTTTTCTGAACGAAATTCGGTTGATACTGTTGCTTTGTCAATAATATACATGCCATATTATGGTAAAATAATTACATATGCATTATATCTTTGCTTTAATAATAATATTTCTTTAATATTGTACTTAATTTCCCGTTTTTTCCATTTGTTAAGAAAACCCCTGAAAAAATCAAAAAATAACTTCTTTAAAGTACTTACCCTGTCAGATTTTCTTTTAGAAAAAGTGCTATCATTGTAAATTGGAGGAAAATTGTTGGTAGAAAAGTTGTGCACAGAAAAATATTATATTAATAAACATTACTGTAAAACCAATTTACAGAGTGTTTTTTTTTTATCATGAACCAGCAATTATCTCAAGAAGATTTTCAATGAATTTGATTTCCGTTTTTCCTAATCATTATGGAATCGTTTAAGCTTTATTTTAAACCATTTTTAATTTTTACCCTTCTCCATATACTTTAAATAATTACATACTTTTGATTTTCAAATAGAAACCTTCCTCTCCCTTTTGAACACAGATTTGAATAGAGAATATTTTTCTAGAAATTTTGATATGCATAACACTAATATCAGATTTATCGTTTATGAGTTATAACTGTTTAAATTAATGAACTGCCTATCTATAGCCATTCTCAACTCCTCCAGTCTAAACTTTAAACCGTTATAACTCATAAACGGTAAATCTGATATTAGTGTTATGCATATCAAAATTTCTAGAAAAATATTCTCTATTCAAATCTGTGTTCAAAAGAGAGGGGGAGGTAATTAATGTATTATAAAATAAAATTTATCACAATGATGTATATTAGGTACTAATTGTCTGCAAGGTTGAATTTAAAATCAATAAAAAGTAATTTAAGACTATTGCTGGACTTTTCATAGTCGACGGAAATAATTTTTAAATATTTTCTTAAAATTTTTTGGGGGGGGGCTGCAGCCCACTCAGCCCCTCCGCCCATAAGTACGCCCCTGATATAATACATGGGTATAAATGGATATACACAGCCTTAGAGTAATACTATAAGACACCCCCACGATCTCACACCTAATATTATAGATAGGTACGATTATCGTGACGACCAATAAACTATTGCAATAATAATACATATCATTGTTTTAATAAAGTTACTTAACTGTAACTATACCTGACAACTAGCAAGTCAAAATACGTACTATCACCATCGTCATGTTCAATCCAAAACGCAGTATTACCCGTGTTATCTATATAGGACCCATATAGAACTATAGACATTAAAGAAATCTTCAAGATCTATGTATAGAACCACATTCCATGATAAAATAATTAATTTTATCACGATTAGAACAAAACATTGCGATTGCATAATATAATATGTCCCGTGTTAAATTCATAATGTGTCGCCAGAAATTAACCTAACCACATCAAGGCCCGTAAAATTATTTAAAAAAAATTAAAACTACATTTAAATTAAAAAAACATTTACGTATATTTTTCGCGGTTCAATTCAGATTTCCAATTTTTTACCCACTTAAGACGATATTCTTAGATTCGGAGTGTTATGAGAGATCCATTGGTTTAACTGTTTTTTTTTATGTATCAAGTGTAGTGTTTTCGCAAAGTTTTATCTAGTTAGTGCATTAGGGTGATCGTTTTTTGATTTTCTAAAAAGTTTATAATAATTGGGAAACACCGAAAAAAGTCGAAAAATGAAAACAACCAATTTAAGTAACAAAACTTAAAGTTACAATTTCAGTATTTTAAATTTGTTCCAAGTATATGTACAAGAAATCTTGATTTCATCATAAAACCATAAGATACATTTATTGTTGAATTTTGGATCTAGTTGATGAGGAAGTAAGTAATTTTTTGATATTACAAGTAGTTTTCATAATAATTGGAAAAAACCGGAAAAAAACGAAAAATAAAAATTGATAAATTAACTGAGTTATATTTTCATTATTTTTAGTTTTTAAGATTTATGTTTTCTACAGAAATCCTTTTTTTATAATTGCTTTAGCTATTAATATACTTATCTAAATAACAAATAGAACACTTTTGAAACAGAATCTATTGACTGTTTGACACTTTATTGAGTTTCTTTGATAAAAGAAATTGAATTATTAAAAAAAAAAAAAAGTGTTTCATATTATATTGGAATTTAGGAATCCTGAGTATAACATAAAACATAAACTTCTTCATCTAGCCCAGCTAAGCAATACACAAAAACTTTAACTTAAATGTTTTAATTCTGTTATTTAAAAATGGTAAGTTTTTCAAATGTAAATAGGTGTTGCATTAAACCTCGTAGTTTGTACAAACATTTGAATCTAAGTGTACCTAAGAAATAAATTTAATTGATTTTAAGATATGTAGTTTACACAATTATGTTTAATTGTCAGTTAAAACGGTTAGAAAAACAAATTTGATACATTTTAATAATAACATAGATAATCTTCATCTAAAATTATTATTATATATTTATCCATTAGTTATATAAACTGAATTTAAAGTTTAAAAAAAAAAAAAAATTAAATTTGATTTTTTACTTTGCCTTTATTTTCAAATTACTTATACAAATAGGTATACTACACTTAGCTTAAATTGATTAGGAACAACTTTCGTTTTTAAAAATGTTCACTGTGAATTCAATGCAATTTAACAACAATCTGTTTATGAATTTATTGTTGAATAGGCAAATTAAAACAAATTTTATTACCTATGTACCAAAATTGATTACAACTAAAATTTAATTAATTTATTATGTGTGAATATAAAAAATAGGTATAGATTGCTATTTGAATATTAAAAGTTGGTAAAGTGGTTTCTCTGCTTACCAATAAAGGTTAGGTAGTTAAATTTTAAGGTTAAATCTATATTACTTGTAATATATTAAATTAAAACGTAATCATAAATTTCCCAAAAATAATGTTTTGATAAAAGTTAATACACTCCAAGATAATGAGAGTTTTGCATTGAACAAATAACCTAGCCTTCTATAATAACAGGCACGGTAAGCCATTGATAATATAGGTTGATAGGTACTAACCTAAGTAATCTAATAAATAATTTAATAGAAACTTGAATTACCATAATTTTTGTTTTCTTTGTTAATTTGTGCACCAGTAATAACTTGAATGCATGCACATAATAGATTGCCGATTAGAAATGGTTTCTTTCATTGTAGAATTATAAAATCAAGGTACTTGGTACTCATTTTTTAAATTACCTGCCGAATGCCGAATTATTGTCATCAATATAAATAAGTGATAGATGTTATTAAAAGTTAACACATTTGAATTTACTGAATACTTGTGTTTTTGTTGTACGATATGTCGATATATTGTGTAATGATAAAAATCGTAAATGATAAGGATAACACAGGATAAGGATATGTATATGGTTTCAATTTAAAATCGTAGACATTCATAGGTAAGTACTCACACTTCACAAATACATATTTATTATTTTATACATGTGTACGTATTGTAGTATAAGGTCTATGTTTAAAATAAAGACATGAACCATGAATTAAGATAATATAAAGATTTTAAATCACAGATTCACACTGCCGTCAGTTATTCCTTATTACCTACCTAGGTACTAATTATTTAGTAGATTTAAATTAGTTCTTTGTTTCTTACCAACAGGTAGGTACTATTAAATTGTTTACACGATTACATGGTATTTTTGTTATTTATCAAAATTAATTGGTAGGTTTTGAATATTTAATTATTTATCGTAGATATTAATTAACGTGATATCTGCATGTGCTGTCACAGTGCAACTAAAATGCACGGATTAAGATATAAGATATAAGTATATCTTAGTCCGTGCTAATCGGCAACTTATCAAAAAAATTCCTTCGCAGACTAAGTACCTAGTACCTAAGTACGTTGAACTGGATTAAATTTGGTTTTTAAGTAAAACCACCCATTATAAAATTAAAAGACGAAAATATTCCGGAGAATAAGATAATGCGTTTTTTTCCATTATTCTAAATACTATTCCAATTATAACGTTCAATTTGTCATTTAAAAATAAAGATTAATTCAATAGATTCAATGCATCTTGGTGAATCGATCGCGAACAAATTAATTACGGCTGCAAATTGGTCGCCGAAAAAAATTAACGTTTTGTATAGACTTTTTTTCTCCGGTTTATATTAATTGTTGTTACCTATACATTTTATTGATTTTCTAATATTTTATTAAATGTGTTTTATTAATACAACTTTTATAAAAGTCGAATAGTTTAACAAGTTTTTTTTTTATAATTTAATGGATAAATATGCTAAAAATCAATAAATTTTAATTTTATATGAACATAAATAAATATGTAAAGATTATGTAAATAAAGATGCAATAGATATTTTAAAAGAAATAGCCCATAACTTTCAATTTCAACGTTAAACAATATTTTGTATTTTATTTATTATTTTTTTTTGTAATAATGTAATGGATCAATAAGTTAAAAATCAATAAATTATTTAATATTATTATTATTATTTTACTTAATAATTGTGTAGTATAAACCAGAGAAGTCTATATAAATCAATACCTAAATAATTCAATTTTTTATTTTGGTAATCAATTTAACCAGCGATTAATTTGCAGCCGCGATCAATTATGACCAATTTACCGGATACCTAATTCAATAGTTCGAAACATGAATCTAAAAAAAGAAACGTTTTGTCGTTCTGACCCCCTATCCATCTCTGTGTGCGCCACTGTTTTAATTATTCACAATGGGTGGCGGTGAAATTGGTCGCACTATAATAAAATTGAATCGCTGCGTGAAAAATTAATAATATTCCTCAATCCCTAACTTTCGGAAAATTAAAAAAAAATGTTTATTTCCTTAAGTTTTATTTGAATAAAAAACTTGTCTGGACAAGTGTACAGCATACATTAATGAAATAATAATAATCTATAGTTTTTTTATAGAAAAACCCTTAATGACTATCTCAGTTTATTTTTTGTATTTTTGGAACATTATCCTTTTTCCATTCAGCTGTTCAATTTATCGTCACGTTATTTTACTGCGTGATCTTTAACAGGTTTCACCTATTATTTTTTTCTTTTAGTTTTACATATTGTATACAGTAGATGGGTGGATAGGTCTATAGGGAAAAAGCGATTTTCCCTGTATGCCATCATTTATGTTTATGTTGAATTACGGAAAAAAAAATCCCCGTAGAAAAACCTCTGGAAAAAATTCCTAAAGCAACTATACTGTCAAAAGTATATGTATAAAAAACATTGAATATATTTTATTCATCAATTGTTTGAATGTATATTGTGCACACAACATTTAAAAGTAAATTTAATGTTATTTTTAACAATATGATAATACCACAAAAAGTTAACAAGCTAGCGGATATGGCAGATTGTATGATTTTAATAGTTGAAATAATATTCTATTTGTTAATAAACAAATTCTAGTTGTTATATTAAATATGCGAGCGAAGAGATCAAATTTTTTTTGAGTTTGTGGGCTCCTAAAAATAAATCCCCGTAACAAAAATATTACCTATCCACCCCAGAATTACAATGTACTATTTTACCGTACCAGATTTCTTCATTGGTATCACCACCCTCATAGCATCAGTGTGAACGAGGACTTTAATAATTAAACAACTATTGTGGGTACCTATATACCTGATCTATGGAACAAAATATGAAGTCTGTTTTCACTGCTCGGTTTTCAATTTTTTTTTTTTTTTTCAACATGTGTGATATAGGCATATGGCACTGAGTTAATACATTTTTGAACAAATTGTTGCTCTTTTTTTTTGTTAGTTATACCAAAAAAACTTTTTTTTTTTTTGAAAAGACTGGGTTTTTAATGCTAATGATAGTATAATCATAAGTCATCAACAATTGTGTAACAATAATAATATTATATAATAAATATAATAAATATTTTAGAACTGTACCATATTGAATTGTTTAATTACACAAGTTTAGTTTAAAAAATATAAGACAGATTTAAATCGTTAATAGTACATTAATTTGGAATGGTTATTGATAAATTACAGATATAATATCTCAAATTTATTATGGTATATATTTTATAACAAATAATGTATATCATTTAATAAATGGCATAGGTATTAAAGGGAAAATTTAATGCTAATGTACAAATATAAATTATAAGTATTAAAACAATATATAATAATATAATAGTATATATCATAAAAGTATGGAATATAATTCATAATATACAGATTAAATTTAAAAAAAATAAAGAATAAAAAATAACAAATTAATTAACACATCACAGCCAAAGTTTGAGATAATTTTCATTTAGTTTCAAAATGTACATAAAACATTACTTAATCTACTAGAAATATAAATAAAAATCCTTTTAAAACACCCAAAATATCAATTTTAAACCTAAATAAAGTATGTTTATAATGTTTATAATATAATAGTATAAATTGTATATATTTTTAATGTCTCTATTAACAAGTTATACAAACAATTATAGTATTATGACTTGAATAATATATGAAGGCATTAAAAAATAAAATTAATTTTAATTTATATTATTCTTAATTTCATCAAAATGTTCAGGATTTTCTGGCGAGGGTATAATAGGTTCAGCACCGAGTAATTCTTGAATTTCGTCCAAAGTCTTGCCTTTAGTTTCAGGGACAATAAACAACACAAATAATGTACCTAATACACTGAAAAATGTGAACAGCCAGAACGTATTGTATATATAAATGGCTGATACCAATGTTGTGAAGAATTTAGTAACCAAGAAAACGAAAAACCAATTGGATATACAGACTATTGAGCAAGCAATACCTATAAAAAACAATTTGTAATAAATAATTAAATATTAATGACCTATAATTCTATACAATTTTGTTCATCATTTTATTAATAATAACTTGGTATACCACGGTTTTTTATGACAAGAATAATTGAATATAAAGTCTTCCAGGAAATTAATCATCAAATACCTACTGTATTAGTAATTACCAGAGCATAGATGTTATAGTAGTCAGAAGTAATACAATTGATTGTATTGCATTAAAAATACCAAAAATTGCGCATAAAAAATTAAAAATTATATTATGTAACACAAAATTTACAGACCAACTGAAGAACAGATTATCAAATAATTACGATTTACAAATTATTTTAGGGTTAAATATAATCTTATCTATACCTAGGTATTGTAAATACGAAAAAATTGGTAATCACAGTATAACACAAAATCAGGAAGGCCTAGAATACCTTTTATGAAGCAAGTGATAAAAACACTGAAATTAGTACGTACAGGAGCTTAAAAGTTATAGATAAGTAATAAGGGATAATGGAGACATCAATTATTATTTAACCAATCTTAGTATTGAAAATAAAATAACAATAATAATATCACTATTGAGATTTTTGTTATATATCTATGTATGTTAATTTATGTAACAAATATTTAAAATTCAATTTTTAATTTTACTTTGATAAACTTATATACGCTTTATGTCAATTTTTCAAACAAAATATTTTTTTTATATAATTTGGTAAATTACCGTTTACATTAGGTAAAACATATTAAGTATACCTATTATCTAGTAATATATTAATAATATCATATTTTACCTTTAATTTGAGAAGGGAATATTTCACCCATCAGCATCCAAGGAATAGGACCAAAACCAACAGAAAACATAATTACAAATGTACACAGTGCCACCAGTGGAAGAAATGTTATGAATGAAGTATCATAATTAAAATCCTTTGCATAGAAAAATCCACCTATAAGGAATGTTGTGATTCCCATTGCTACAATAGAATATAAAAGTAATATCTTTCTTCCTAATCTATCAATGAGGAGTGTAGAAAAATATGTAGACACTACTGCCATAACACCAATAATTATTGTGGATATATTTGGTTCTATTTTACTACCAGTTGCCTGCAATTATTAATTACAATTACATATATATATATATATTAATTTATATATTATTTAAAAATTTTATAAGTAACATATTTACTTACATTAAAAATGATAGTAGCATAGAACATAATAGCATTGCATCCAGTGAATTGTTGAAAAATCATAGTTCCAATACCCAAGAACAGACCGCGTTTAGCTGGTGTAGTTTGGAATGCTTTTACAATTGGTATTCTTTCCCTTTCAGTCTGTAAAAATCATGTATAAATTACCTTATATTTAATTATTAAATCCTTTAAAATGAATAAATAAATATGTGTTTATACTTTTGCCATCACATTTTGGATGTCATTTAGTTCTTGATCTACTTGACCATAAGGCCCACGCAAGTAGGTCAATGATAGTTTAGCTTTTTCAACATTGCCTTTCATAAGATAAAAAAATGGACTCTCTGGTATAAAAATCAGTAAACATGCATATATCACTGGAATTATTGCACAAGCAACAGATAGACCAAATATGCCATACTATAATTTAATAGGTAAGTACAATAGTGTTTGAATACAAAATGTAATACATTTAAAAATGTAGACTTACATATGATCCCATAACATAAGTATACAAGATACCTGCATTAACTTGTAACTGAAAATAAGTACCTAGAGTACCACGGTTTTCTTTTTTAGCTATTTCAGTTGTGTATAGAGGTATAATCACAGAGAATGAACCACTGGTAAATCCAATAAAAATTCTGCCTACACAGATCCATGGTACCTTAAATGATGTTTTAAACCAAAAGTAGGTATAAACCATTTGTAATACAATTATTTAAACGTATTTACTATCTATATTAAATATATGTATTTACAGATACAGCCCATATTATCATTGTCCAACCAATTAGGGTGGGTATTGTTAATATCATCATTAGAGATTTCCGTCCCAATTTATCTACTAGACTAGCCACGACTGGACAACCAAGCAATGCGCCAACTGGCATTAATGCTGCAATCCATGAAATATTTTCCTTAGTTACATTGAAGTCATACTCATTCATCTTTGGACCAGCTGGAGCTGTCCATCCAACTGCTGTTCCCATAATAAATCCTCCAATAGTCACTGTAATATACTTAACATGTGAGTTATTTTGTTAATACATTTATTAAATGGATCATAGTATATTAACCAATGAAAGCAATTAAGTGTGAAGTCCCATCACGGGGTTCTGTTTGAATATCTTCTGTTTCAGTTGATGGATTATGCGGTATAGTTGTAGATTTATTTGTTGTTTTGTCAAGAAGACGACTATGTTCACCATAATTTGTCTAATAATAAAATAATAATAATGAATTATTTTCTATTCAAATAAAATTTTGATAAGTGATCAGTAAGGCTCAAGGCTTATTGCATTTAGAATTCACAAAAAAGCACTTAAAAAAGTCAAAAAAAGTACTTCAACAAAATATTATAAGAACAAATGGTAGACGGATTTAAAGGTCCCTTGCCTAATGACTATAACATATTGAATACAACTTTCTAATACTATAAAAATAATTAACGAAAAGTAATTTTGTTTAAATAAAATTGTACTTATTATTATAAAAAAATAACTTTGAATTAATTATTTGTATAATGTTAGAAAATAGTATTTAATAAATTAGAGCCGTTTAAGGAGGCGATTTAATCCTCCTAACATTTTTACCTTTTGGAGCTTTTTTGTGAATTTTAAATGCAGTAAGTCCTAAGCCTTGGTGAACAGATAAATCTTATGAACCATTTAAAATTGATTATGCATTTATAAACTATTACTCAATTAATAAATAAATATTTTATTTTATTATAACTAGGTAGGTATATATAAATCATATTATAATACCTTTGATAAATTATCTTCATCACTAGAGCAAATAATTTTATTATTAGGGTCATTGAAATTCATTTTTACTAGTTTAAATAAATTTGTTTAGTTTCATGAAAAGTAAAGAAAGGTACATCAACAAATTATAATATAAAATTTAAAATTTACATAATAGGTACTGTAAATACAATATTATTTTTTCATAAAAATGAAACGTATTTTTTTATCTTGCCCACTTGTTATGATTCTGATAAGATCCTATTATCATTATTTGATGATAAATTAAAATAGGTATATATCATAATAAAATATAATTTTATCATGACATCCCTACCAAGACAAATATTTCTTGTGAATATTTTTATACATTTAAAACATAAAATATCTTTAATATCTAAGTAGATAGGTATCTACTTTAAGCTATTATGTATCATTACAAAATATTATAGATTCTATAATCTATGATGATATTTTTACAAGATATCATATTATTATTACCTTTGTTCGTTTTAACAAAAAATGACAAGTGTACACTGTAGTGTAAATTCGACACCTACAGTCTACACAATTAATGGTGTGAATAATGCAGATATTCCTTATCAAAAACGTAATAAAAGTTATAAATTCTATAATTTTTGTGTACGCTTTTTGTTAAAACGAACAAAGCTAATAATAATATTATGATGACTTGTAAAAATGATGTCATTAATTCTATAATCTATGATGATATTTTGTAATGATACTTAATAGTTTAAAGTAGATATCTACCTACTTAGATATTAGAGATATTTTATGTTTATAAATATATAAAAATATTCACAAGAAATTTTTTTCTTGGTAGAGATGTCATGATAAAATTACATTTTATCATGATATATATCTATTGTAATTTAGTTTGTGTAAGTATAAAAAGCAATAATACACCATTTAAATTTAAAAAAACGATTTTGAGGAAGCTTGGTAAACTGGTATGTTTAAATTAGTCGTGTTTTTTACTTATAGTATATATATATAATCAAGGTAGGTAACTTAAAAATAAACAAAAATAAGATCAATGTATAGTCATTTGTTGTGTTTTTTTTTAAATTTAAATACGATAAGAATGAGTATTTTTTAATTCTATTTTGAACAATATGCAATATCCAAATTTTCAGCGATTAACATTTTCTTTGATTCAATCAGTGGCCTAGCACGGGGCACCGGAGTGGATTTAAAAATTTGCCACCCCTATTTTAAGAAAACTAACTTGGGTATAATAAAATATCCATGTATAAATTTATTTCTCAATAATTTGCAATTATTTTTTCATTTAAGTAAAGTTCAATAAACAAAGTTTTGATTTTAAAATAATATTTGTTATTTATTTTTTTAAAGTAGAATACATAAGAAAAACATAAGTTTATATAATATAAATGATTTTAATGCTAACCTTTCATAGTTGTTTACATACATTTTTTTTTAGTTTTCATTTTTGAACGATATAATCATAATCAAATGATGATGTTAAGTGATTCTCTATTGTTAATAGGACAAAGAAAATTCAGTCTTTCTTTCAACATACCTAGTTGATCAAAAATTAGTCTTCGTTCGGCAGTACAGTGGATAGTTGATGTTAAAACATCATCAGAATTTCAATATTTGGATAAAGATCTTTCATATTACGATCATATTTTATTATTTACAGCAGTAGGAATGGTGTAATTTTCTTTTCGTTAAAACATGTAATTAGATGAGATCGAAAATGTAAAAATTCATTTATAAATTCATTTTTTTTTATATCTGATTTATAAATACAACATAGTTCATTTGCTTTAACCATTATTTCAGAGTCTTGAAACTCATGTAGTGTAGTAAAAAAATTAGGAAATGTAGGAAAACGTACAATTTCATGATTTCATTATTTTAGAAAAACATGGACGACGTTTTCTGCCAGGAAAAATAATTCAATCGAAAAGTCACAAGGTACCTTTTTTGTTGCCTTGTTGATTTACTTTCTTATGATATCTTCACCAAAACTTTTGAGCCATTTTTGTACTTTTAAGGAATTTTATTTTTTGGGAGTTTTTTTTCTGTAATTCGATTATAAATACACGTAGGAACTTGAAACTTGGTAATAAACTTGGTACTTATGTTGAACTTACCTAGATGTGGTAAAATTTCCAAAATCATTGGATGAATTTTTTTCCTTTTTTTAATTTTTTACAATGGTACTTTATTGCTATTTTTTTTTTATACTATCGACCACTTTTATCCTAGAAAACTTGCTCCAATGTACAAGTGTAGCACTTTTTCTTAAAGTTAATTTTATATTCTTGATAAATACATAAGCTATTTTTAAACAGTATTTAAAATAAAAACGGGAAAAAAATACGATTTTTTCACGATTTCTTTATTTTAAATAAGTACCTACCATGTTTTTCAGCATAAATATGACTCCAGTTAAAAACGACAAGGTACTTTTTTTTTTAATAAGCGTTTTGAAATCAAATTTAAACGAAAATCGCAAAAAAAATTACGACACTTTAAATTATGTATTAACGAACTGCGCTAGGAATCGTCTTTCGTCAGCCACGGTTTATCGTTGCTTACAGATATAAATGAAATAATCTTATGCATCCTACTTTCCTTACTTCCCACCTTCAACAGTGACTGCACCCTTTTCCAGTATCAGCTATTTTTAATATTATTCAGTTAAAAATATTCGTAGATACTTGACATTTTACTAAACATTTGAACCACTTTTGAGCTATTTTTCGACATTTTAATTTAAAGAGCTTTTCTACGTAGGTAAGTACGCATGTGTGTATAATTTTTATATTAAACGAAAATGCTTGAACATTTGACAAGAGGTTCATAATAATTTATAAGTCGTACTTAGTGGTAAAAAAAAAAAAAATTATTGTAATGTAATGTACCTTGTATTGCTTTAGATTCTGAGTGGAGCTTATGGTTTTACAAAAATATTTATTTTTTTATTTTTATCTGTGTGCGACTTTTTTCCAGACATCTTGCTCCGGTTTTTTAAGTGTAGCATCTTTTCTAAAAGAAAATCAGATGGGGAAGGTACTTTAGAGATGTAATTTATTTGATTTTCTCATGAGTTTTCTTATCAAATTTGATAAATCGAAAAAAACGGGGTAAAGGTAGGAAACCGGGAAAATCGGTACAACATTAAACAATGCTAATAGTAATTTCACATACTATTGTAGTATAACATTATTTTCATGGACAGAGAACGCACTAAGTTAGTTAAGCAACTGTTCCTGAGAGCAATAATTGAAATTATTTATAAACTACTTCGGCGCCACTGCCAACCAGTCATAGTACCAGTACCGGTTCATAAGCACGTGTTTCAGTTTACATTGTTATTTGTTTGCTACTTCGATTTCCGACGATAGTGTTTTTAATTTAACACCTAATGAAAAAGTTATATAACAGATACTGTGTACCTATATTTCTTGCAGAATAATGATTATTTTATACCGCCGGCGATCGTGTGATGCGGACAGCGATCGTGTCATATTTTAATTTTTTTTGCGATAACTAGTTCTATTGAATCTATTCAAAATATTATTAATTTACTAATAATTGGCTTGGAGTTCGAATTTTACGTTTCACGCATTAAATGGATTATTTTCAAACGAACTCTATCAGTAATTTTATTTAAATAATAAACAACTGGTTGAGGACTGACGTATTTATGCAACGAGAGCTGTTTGGGAACTGACCCATTTGTAAAATGGGAAACCGTTTCGAAAAAAGGGAGCCAAATGGAATATAGCCGGTACATAACCACCTTAAGAGGACGTTAAACCCGCATCTACTGTCTCAGTCCAACTACCGGGTAACATGCAAAAACAACGCAGATTAATTAAAACTAGCTTAACTGTGATTTTAGAGTAGAAGTACTTGTTATGAAATTTATAGATAACAATATTTTGGAGAGAACGTCATATGTGTTTTTTGAATTATGAATTATTAAAAAGTTAAAGTTATTTATAAAAAAAAAAAAAAGGTTTTTGTCTATCTATTATATCGAACTGTATATTATGAATACTATGGCTAATACTAACATTCCCTCCGAAATAATGTTCTCTATACATTTCATAATAATTACTTTTGCTTTAAAATCAAAATTAAGCTAGTTTTACTTATTTTGCGTATGCATTGTTTTTGCATGTTACCGGCAGTTGGACTGAGACGGTAGATGCGGGTATAACCAGGGCCGGCTCAATGTAGTAGCAAAATAGGCAGCCGCCTAGGGCGGCACTTATGTGGGGGCGGCAAATTTCGAATGAACCAATTTAATTATTATAATATAATATAGTATGCTGAATTGTATGTTCATTGTTCAAAATGTACAATAATAAATATGTAATAAGTAATAACTAATAATAATAATATAATATTGATACTTCGTTTACCGAGAACGCACCAAAATCGTAATACTGAATATAGATAGAACGGCGATAACGATACATGCGTTAGTCGACCACAGACGATCAATGCACGTTCTTATCGAGCTTTGAATTATTATTTAATTGGAAAACTGTAATAAGTCTTAAAGGTTGTTAATAATTATGCAAGAATGGTCCTTAATAGTAGTTTATTAATATTATATTATACGTGTATTATCATGATGAGTTCTTTTTAAAACAATAATGGCAATTTTCTCAGACTAGTACAGCTGCTGGCGAAATTTGATAGTGTTTTATCGGAACATGTTCGCAGAATTCAAAATAAGGAGATTCATAATAATTATCTAGGTAAGGGGATTCAAAATGAAATTATACATTTACTACTTTCCCGAGCAATTAAAAATAAAATACTTGAAAAGTTAAAAAATGCTAAGTATTATTCAATAATTGTAGATTTTACACCCGATAAAAGTAGAGTAGAACAAATTCCAATAACTATACGGTTTGTTGATATTAACCGAGATACAAAAAAAGTAGATATTTGTGAACATTTTCTTGGATTTATTCCGGTTGATATTACCACAGGTCAGGAACTTACAAATGCAATATTGTCAGAATTACGAACAAATAAAATTCCAATACAGGATATGCGAGGGCAAGGTTATGATAATGGCTCAAATATGAAAGGTCGTCATTCTAGTGTACAAAAAAAAAATTTTAGACATAAATAGTCGTGCTTTTTTTGTCATGCTCATACACTAAATTTAGTTGTAAATGATACTGCTAAATCATCAACTGGAGCAATCAAATTTTTATTCAAACTCAAGCCATATTTGTATTTAAAAATTAATGTCCATATTTTATTTAACCCCCTTCTCTTCAAAAAATTAATTATTGCATAGGGCATCGTAAACTACATTTTCCTAGGGCGGCAAAAAACCTACGGCCGGCCCTGGGTATAACGTCATCTTAAATCACCATGTACTATGGGTGGAGCCATGCACATATTACAAGCGACGAGTATATAGTATATAGTAACTATATGCTGCTTTCTTTACACATGTATGAAGCGACTCCTCGCCTCTCCATGTTGTTTTGAACGAAAACACCGCGTCATAATCATAATAGACCTTATAAGTACTTATAAAATGAACCTCGCGAATTCTTATTGACGGCCGATGTAATTCAATTTCATATATTATCAATCATAATTGCAGATGTTCTGCATCTTTATAATAAAAGCTTAAAAAAAAAATGTGTAAAAAGTAAAATATACATTAAAAGAAAAATATTCTAATATTGTACGTAAAATATTCATATAATATTTTCATTATTTTACTTATGAATAAAATTATTTGGGGCACGGGCCACAGATTAAAAAAGAAACAACTTAATGAAATAAGATTAAATAAAAATAATTTACTTATGTTATAAAGGAACGTGGAAAACTATTACATTTTTCGTCTATGAATATAAGGTTTATGATTGTACGGGATTAATATAATTATGGGACGAATCACATCATGTATGCGTATGTTAAGTAATTCATACGACTCGTCGCTGTATCGGCAACGAGAACTACACTGTGAGGCATCCATGGTATGTTATGATCTAAGAAAACCAAATTATTATTTTGATACCGTATTTATTAGTAAAATATTATTTTGATTATTGGCACCAAAGTAATATATTTTGTTAATTTAAAAAATAAAAAACGTAATTTTAAAGATAGAAATATCAAAATAATTTTATTTGTCATATAATTGTTCAACCTATAATTTAGGTGCTTAACATTTGTTATGTTCATGTAATCGTTTATTCGTTTATGACTTTCAGTCCCGGATTCAAGAGGGACCAAAGCCAATCAAGCCTAAAAGTATAGGCTCAAAATAACTTTTTTTACATAATTTTGACTAAAATTGTTATTTACTAATTCTTCTTCTTCTAATTATCGAAGCTATTGAAGCCCATGGCTGCAAAACAAACATTTTTCCATTTCATTCTGCCCTGAGCTACTTTATTAAAATGTTTATTTGTAGTTATCTTAGTTCCTTCTTACTTTTGTCAATCCATCTCTGCTTCAGTTTTTCCATAAGAATTTTCACTTTATGATAGCTAGTTTTTTCGCCTTCTTGAGTCGTAGGTCATGTTTCATATTCGTATATTATCACTAGTCTTACTAATACTCTGTAAAATTTTCCTGTCGATAACTTGAATAGCAGCTTCAACCTTATTAATTCTGAAAATGCGTAGATATATTTTCTTCTTGATACAATACATTTTTTAATTTCTTCGTGATGATTATTTAAACTGCTTAGGTTGGTTCCTAAATATTTAAAGTCGTTGACTTCTTCGAACACTTCCAACTCGTAGTCGAGCTGTTGTGTACCAATTAAAATTTTAAAATATTGATAAATAATAATATCTACCTAATCATTTTAATAAACACTTATTTTAATTTTACATGATTTTTGTTAATCTTGACTTGAGTTTTTATGATAAATAATAGTATTGCCAAAAAACAAGTGATAATAAATTAATGAATTAATATCTATTAATTATATAAAAATAGATTTGTATGATACAGATTAAACTATTAAACAGGTACGATTAATCAACGAATTTGATACGTGACCTCACGTATTAAATAATGAAAACTTTTTTTTATAGTTAAAGATTGTATTTCTTTATTTATATTATATAGTTTTGTAATAAATTAAAAACTTAAAAAAAAATAATAATAATAATAATAAGTAATTACTTATTAACTAATATTGCATTGGGCTCTTTCATTCGTTTGTTTGTTACACACATTCAACTTATATACAATAACTATAGTTATTTCAAAGTATCACAGATTTAAATCGTCAAAACACGTTAACTCTCAGCTAGAGTTCAACGATATTTCTGACGATTTTACACTTAAAAAATATATGTAGGTATATATAAAAACCGAAAATCAATATGTATAATCGATCGGTTTTATAACATTGAAATGGATAAAATGTTCATAAATAAAATATAATGATATGATGATACAAATTTGATTATCATTAATACTAGACCCTATATTTTATGGATTTTGTTCATCGTGGTCTAGTAGTTAAGATATAAATAATTTACTAGTTGGTTTTTTCATTGTATAAGTGTAAAAAAAAATACGTTACCAGTCATAATTCATTATTCTGTTAGTAAAAATAATGTTTACAAGTCTGCCTTCCTATAACTATCAATATTGATATTGATTTTATTAATGATTATTTAAAAAATAATCTTCTACAAAAAAAAAAAAACAAGAACATCCTTAAACAGATGTAATTATCAACTCGTATGTAAAAATTATTGATTCATATTGATTCAATAAAACAACCATGTTTAATTTTAATTGGGAAGGCGGAGATGGAACGAATGACAAATTCAATAGATGTGAATTAGTACTTTTCTTTGGTGTCCATTGAAGCATTGACTTGTGTTGGTGGCGTAAGATCATTGCCTGCACCAAGCATTTCTTGAATTTCGTCCATTGTTCTGCCTTTGGTTTCAGGAATGATAAAAAGTACAAAGAACGTACCCAACACGCTGAACAGTGTGAATAACCAGAAGGTATTGTATATATGAATAGCGGATACCAACGTCGAGAAGAATTTCGTGACGAAGAAAGCGAAGAGCCAATTAGCCATACAGGCGATTGAGCAAGCGGTACCTACAGTTGTAAAATCAAATATAAAACACGACGTTATGAGGAATAACCAAAATCTATTTTATTTACCTTTGATTTGTGCCGGGAAGATTTCACCTATCAGCATCCACGGAATAGGACCAAAACCAATAGAGAATAGGATTAGGAACAAACACATGGATGTTAGTGGAATGAATCCAATTGATGAAACATCGTAATTGGTCTCCTTCATATAGAAAAATACACCAATGAATAGAGTGCAAATTCCCATGACAACGATGGAACATAAAAGTAGAATTTTTCTACCCAATCGGTCGACAACTAGTGTAGAGATATATGTAGCAATAACAGACATGAGGCCAACAATAATTGTCGATGTATTTGGTTCCATCGCACTACCGGCTTCCTGTTTTGAAAATGTGGTATTATTTCCAATGTATATAAGTACGTCATAGTTAAATAATTTAATAAATAAATATATTACTTTGAAAATAAATGTTGCATAGAATATAACAGCATTGCATCCAGTAAATTGTTGTAAAAGCATAACACCAACACCGATAAATAAACCACGTTTTGCTGGCGTTGTTTGGAATGCTTCCATTAATGGAACTCTTTCTCTTTCAGTCTGTAAAAAAAAACATTTATGGTATTTTATTGACATTTCTTTCAATAATATAATATACCTTAGCTAATGAGTCTTGCATTATAGATAATTCTTGGTCTACTGTTCCATAAGGTCCACGGAAGTATCTTAATGATAAACGAGCTTTTTCAACGTCTCCTTTCATAAGATGAAAATTTGGACTTTCCGGTATTAAAACCATCAAACAAGCATATACAATTGGAATTATGGCGCAAATAATTGATAAACCAAAAACATTGAACTATAAATATATAAATACGCGTGTTGGTAAAATAGTGGTAGGAATATATAAACAAAAAAACAGTTATTTTAAATAATTAAAAATTATAATATTATCTTACCTTTGATCCAACAATGTAGGTGAATAAGATTCCTCCTGTAACTTGTAGCTGGAAATATGTACCCAAAGTACCACGAATCTCTTTTTCAGCTATTTCGGAAGTATATAAAGGTACAATAATAGAATACGAACCGCCTGCAAATCCAGTCAAAAGTCGGCCAATACAAATCCACATCACCTTAAAACAATTTTTTTTTAAATAAACGCTTTGAACAGCATTTAAAAAAAATATATAAATTTTTATTTACAGATTCAGCCCATATTATCATAGCCCAACCGACAAGTGTGGGTGCGACTAACATGAGCATCATGTTTTTACGTCCTAACTTGTCAACCAGGCCAGCTGTAACTGGACATCCAAGCATGGCGCCAAGTGGCATTAATGCTCCGATCCATGCAAGATTGTCGTTTGTTATTTTGAATGCATATTGGTCGGCTTCCATCATTGGACCGGCTGGAGCTGTCCATCCAAGGGTTGTACCCGCGACGAACCCACCAATCGTTGCTATACGTCAAATGGATAAGGTAAGTAAAGTAAATTTTATTTGCTAAACTACTAATATTAGTTTAATTTTATAATCAAAAAATATTACCAATTAATGCAGCTAAATATTGAGTCCATTTTTGATTTCCAGCTCGTGATTGTTCTTCTTCCATTAGCGATCTTTGGGTCATAGCGATTTTTTCTGAAGCCATATTCAACGAGATTACTTTACTACGGTAATAAATAATATTCCTACGAAATTAAAAGAAATATTATTAATTCACTAATAAAAATAATTTTATTATGTTTATCTATATAGATTCAAAATAAATTGGCAGCCAAATTAAGTAAATATTGAAGATGACTATGAGACATATCTATCCAAGTAATATCAATAGTAAAATAATATTTCACAAAACTTTTAAAAATACATCCTTTGTAGATTGTAGCATAGATCAATGATTTTCAACCTTTCACGAATCGCGACTCCCTAATTTTATTTTTATGTAAGACGACTTCTTCAAAAATTATTTAATATTAAAAAGTATTTGAGACTAAGAAGTTACATTTACATTATTTGTGTCACCCTAATTTTTGGGAGCGAAACTATTACCTATTTTGATTTTGGCAACCTATATTAAAAATTCCATAAATAAATGGACTGTTAGTGAAAATACATTTTGGTGCTGACATTTTACATTTTCATCAATAGGATATAAAAACATAACTTCTTAGAGCTGATTGTTTCTTAAATTTCCAAAAAAAAAATAGTTAATGTTTTTCGGAGTAATAAATGTATATCTACTTTAATGAATCAGCATGTATTTATGTATTTATGAAAATCATTTTTAATCTTTTTAAATATTTTACTAAATAGATGCTTAAAATCTATATTGCTGTCAATATTGTATTCTTTGGCCAATAACTATAAAGATTAATAATTTGACATTAATTGTGAATAGGTTTTTTTTTTAATTTGTAGGTTGTAATACAAAGTATGTATTTATCAAGCAGTATTTTAAATATGCTTCAACAATAAATAATTAATTCTGTATTACTTATATTATTTATTGTTTCTGATAATTTTATCATAAACTTGTTCACGTTCACGTTCATTGAAAAATGGAAGCGTTCAGCGTTGCCATAAAATCTCTAGATATCAAACATTATTATTGTGGATTATGTAGCTTATAAAACCGTAATCCGAAGTGATAAAAAAAAATCTAAATAATTAATGTTACATATTATTATTATATACCATTACTATTGTTATTTTGAAATTTTGAAACGGGGTTTTTGTGGAGGAGGAAATACAAAGACTAAATAAAAAGAGATATATTATGTCTCATTCACAAAACTCTTTCACACAGCGACAGCGTATACTTTATAGTTCAGAAAATCACCGCTAAAACCATTGCTGTTTTTGTATTCTCTCCACTTAAGTATTCTCCGTTTCAAAACTCGACTGCACTGTTACCAAGCGTTTGCCTTGTCGTTGTCAGTCCATTTTATCTTAGTTCGTGATTGTAATACAATATTATTATGACTTTTTTTTTATCAAATGAACGTTAAATGAACAAAAACAAATCGTTCATGTTCGTGTAATAATTGAACGCATTCAAATGTCCTTCAACTGAATGCGTCCGTGGCTTGTTCACGTATAATCGAACGCGTTCAAATTTGAACGCGTTTTTTTCAAACACTGTATAGCATATATTTTATACTCGTATTAGATACATACATGAATGTAAAAATTGCATATAATTGTCCGGTACATTGCGTGCAAATATTTAAATAATTTTGTAGGTATATAATTTCAATTAACTTCCACGTTTTTGTATCTTTACATAAAATAATATACATCTTTGCATGAATTTATTTTGAAGGTCATAAATAAAACGCGGATTCAAATTTATTAAAAACTAACCAAATATGCGCTAAAAAATCTTAAATATGCATAAATATATGCATATAAAAATTAGAAAAAAAAATTGATTTTTTGAATATTTAATTAAAACAATAAATTTAAAATTATGGAACCCTTCTACATAAAAATACTTTTTTTAATTTTTTTTCTTCACTTTCATCATTTCGTTGGTAGTTTTAATAAATAAGACTCTCCAAAGCAATTTACCTTTCGGCATTTTTATGCCAATGGTCAATGGTTGTAATACCATTTATACCTACAAGTATACAAGTATTCATTTATTTTGATATTAATCGAAACTATAAAAATATAATATTTTTTTCTTGTATTATAACATTAATATTTAAAAAACGTCTAAAAAAACAAAAAACATCGAAATATACACTAAAAGATGAAATATGCAAAAATATGCACTAAAAAATTTTCATTTTTAAATCGTTATGTCATGAAACACATTTTGTGCTCACTTGGCATGTCATATGATCAACTAAAATAATTATGCAAATGCATACAAATCCGCGCTCTAGTCATAAAGAACGTTAACAATAAATTTTTGGTGCCAAAAGGAAAGGGTGGACGATATTAACATTATATTTTTTTAATGTATTAATGTGGTTCATGGTGTTTAGTGTATAGTACTAAATAGTAAATATATATATTTGGTATACTTTCTTTAGAAATATAGTATAATTCACAGAATAACTAAAAATAAAATATGTTCTCCTCTTCTGAATTTAAAATTAGATTAATTAATTAATTCAATTTAAAATTATTCAAAAGGATAATTTATTATAAACCTATGCTCATATATGTATATTAAATACTCTTTGAAAATTTAGGGTTAAGTTCGGATGATTTAAGACAAGTATAGTTATTATATGATGATATAGGTAACATAATTGTGTATTATAATTCAAAAAATAATATTTTAAATCTAGTATAACTGGGTCAAAATTACACATATTTTAAATTATAAATCTGAGAATTTTTACAAATCGAAAAAAGTATTTCCAGGGAAAAAAAGGCATATATCTCATAAAATATAGTAAAGCACTAAGCACTTAAAAATGATACCGAGAAAAAAGCATTATATTTAAGGAATACAATACTTCTTAAAACCATTCGGAATACAGTATTGTATATTTAGAGGTATATATTTTTAAAATATTCAAAATACTATCCATATCTGTACAAAAGAAATATTCAGATTAACTACATATCATATATATTTAACACAAAGTTTAAATAAAATTGTACACTTTATTACGGTCTGTGTGTTTATTTATGTGTAGGCATAGAATTTTATTGCAAACGAGTTTTCTAACATGTGTGAAATTTTGTTACGACGTATATGAAGACATGATTGTACACAAATAAAAAAGACCATAAAACGCGATCCCGGATAATGAGGAAAAGACGTGTTGACGCGACGCTCGATAGGAATTCTAAACATAATAGTGTTATGTACATACCTATACGGTAGGTATACTGGAGTTTGACAAAATATTTACAACCATCAGGAACATGCTACCTTATATGTATTCCCACAAATACTGTTTTTGATAAATTCAACGAACCGTATAGCCGATTCTAATTACGGTGTTTATGAATGCGGAAAATTATTATTGTTAACGGGGTGGTGTTTGAAACAACAGAAATATGTTTGTTGAGTGGTGCATAGGTATCTAAAAAGTATAGGTATGTACGTAAATATGCTCCCAATCGAGTGTCCAATTAACTTGCAACACAATAAGGTGCAGACACTTTTTTCGTTTATACAATATATTTATTTCTGATGACCCTTTTAAGTGTTAATATTTATTAATGTTTTATTTTTGTCGCAAGTCATAGACATTAAATGTTATTACGGAGCATGATTGTAAAACATTAAAAAAATAATAATAAAAAATAGTCTTAAAACAATAGAACACAACAGTTACTATACACCTATCTACTTAATTCGTTTTTGTTTTACATTTTTAAAGTATTGTTATGAACTTTGCTTATTCATTAAACAACAATATTTTAATTCGTTTAAAATTCAATTGATTAAATGGCATTCATTCATAAGAAGGATTCTTTCTTTTTAATGCTTATATAGGTATTTATTATTTTTAATCGATTTACTAAAACTGAATAATATACCTAAGTATTCAATTAAAATAATAAATATCATATGCAATATAATATATTTGTGTCAAAAATTTAAATCATTGTCCAAAGAGATAAAATTAAATTCTTGAAAATATGTCTTAAATAGATTGTAAATAAAAAAGAAAAAAAAATAGGTTTATTATTGAAACTGTTCATATTAAGTTAATAAAACACTATAATTATATTTTAGTTTTAAATAAACATTGTTTGTTACTTACTGAAGGTACTATATCATTAACTTTCCTGTGGGCAGGTCAATGACTAAATGAACGATTGAGAGTATTAGTTTTCATGAGATTAATAATTGATAAGTTTTATTATTATTCTTTATCTATTTTTACAAATTGAAAAGGTATCAAATGTTTTGAATTTAAGACGCTAATTTAGATAAAACAAGCTTTATCTATAGTAGTTTTCTAATACTTGTTTTACAAATTATTGCATATAATATTAATCCATAATTTGTTTACTTACATTTATTTGCATATTACTGGTACCTATTTCTAATGCAATTGATGTCGATTTTAAGTGCATTTGTATTTGTTTAGTATTGTTTTCAAACGATTAATATTGTAAATTAAAATTTATCAGTCATATTTAATTGATGTCAAAACACTTTAAAACTAATATAATACCTACCTACCTACCTACCTAGTTTATAGGCACATTGCACAAATAATTATAATCAATAATCATAATGTTTTTAACGTGTGCTAAACCTTTATTGTTTGCTCATCTTATTATTATTATTCTTCTTAAATAATATAATATTTAATTTTAACTAATTTATTGGATAACAGTGCCGGCGTCAGGCACTGGAACTTTTGGGAGGCCCTTGGAAAGGTATTTTGGAGGGTCCTGAAAACAAAAATCAACAGTGAAAACCTTTTACTCATCTCTTTTTTTAGCGCTGAATTTATTTTTAAATGAATAAATGCATAGAATAACATCAATTTATTATTTAACTAACTTCTTAAAATTAAATTTATATATTTATGTATATTTAAACATTATATATTGATGGAATAAATTTTTTTTTCATGTGTATCCAAGTTACAAAGGTAACCTATAAATCAACAGAAACAATTCAGGTTTTGTCCCAAAAATACCAAAAACTCTGGGTCACCCACTCTTTAGAGTTTAGGGGTTGAATTTCGAGATAAAAAATAGGCAGTGGCCTTCCTATTTTTTGAAATGTTGAGTGTGTATAGTTTCATCCACATTGGAATAAAATTATAGATTTGTGTAAAAAGCCAACATAAGTCGAACTTGATTTTATAAAAATATCGATAATTTTTCAAAGATTAATAGATACCTAGTTTATTTTATTTTATATTATTTTGTTGTAAATAATTCTGAAATTCAGAAGATGTACTAGATGTACTTCCGCAAAAATATAATTTTTACATTTAAAAATTAGAATTATTTTAGAATTTCTAGTATAAATTATTCAGATACAAAAAAAAACTTCACACATCATAATAAAACTAACACGTTTCTCGCTTAGCTCAGAATCTAAAAACGAGAGGCCTCATAAAATGTGAGGCCCTAGGTGGGGTGCCTAGTTTCCCTCCCCTTCTACCGACCCTGTTGAATAATACTTGTTTACTATCGAAACATTCAAATCCCGAATTAATTAAGGAAAATATGATATTGAAAAAATAACTAAATTATAAATATTGTATGTTGTACATTGATTAATAGTTAATAAATAACAATTATAATAGTTAATTTGTATAATAATTGATTGAGGAAATATAACACCCCAAAATGTCCTTGAATATTTATTATTTAAAAACATGCTCTAAATAAGATAATTCCTTCCGGTATAATCGGTATAATATTGTACTATAAAAAATAAAGATTTACAGTAATTACGTTGTAAAAAAATAACAAAGATTAGAACTAAATTAAGTATAACATTGTATTTTTATGTTGCGATTTACTCGTTTGAATTTTATAATGCAATAATAAATTGTAAATTAAAATGCAGGGCTTATTATAATTAAATCAATAACCTATAATCAAATGACACAGATGAACATTTTTTAAATTTTTAAAGTACTTTGCCATAAAGCATTATTTTTAAAAAAATATTCTGAATCTATATTTGATTTTTATTGTGGTTTAAATTAATTGCAATTTACCTAGTTTTTGGTAATTTATTGTTTTTTTTTTTTTTTTGATTTATTCATTTAGGAAAAAACATTGAGAAAATCAACAGTTACTTGATATTTTAAAATAATATTTTCTAGGGGTGGTGCTAATAGGCGGCTGCCTCTATTCTCTTTTTCTATTCTTCCTAAACCTTCATCACATTTGCTTAATTCACAATTACATATTGTTATATCCAATTATAAATTGCAAATATATTTTTATAATAAAAAGAAATTACCCTTTTAATTTAATCATAAAAATTTAGTTCCTGGATAATGTTTTTAATAAATTTTACTATCCCTGAATATGTTTTTAAAAATTACTGATATATTGCAGGATCATTTGATGCGTTTAGAATCTAAGAGAGAAAATGTTCTCACCATTGGGTAGATATTTAAATTAAAATGTTTACTTCGTAATAATAAATAAATGTTATTATTTTAATTTGTGGTTAAATAATTAATTATTTTGTTTTGACATTTTACTTATCTCAGTGTTACTTTAACATTATATTTTTTGTAATTTTCAGAATATCAATATATTATTATTATTTTTGAAAACGAAACCACAAAGATGGAATCTAAAAGTGGTAAACCTAAAACGGAAATGGTTAAAATCGTTCTTATAAGAAAAATAGTAATTGCTAATTAGTACATATTCATTATTCATTCATTTATATAGCTCAAGGGTTCTTAAGTGAAGGCATGGTAAAATTTAAAAAATTTTCTTCAAAAAGACTTGAAAATCCGACAGAACATAAAAATGTATATTTTAATATTTATATACTCTAATCTTATAATAGGGAGGGAGCTTGATCTCATTTTAATATTTTAAAAGAGAACCTGGATTTCAAAATGTTGAGAACCGCTAATATAACAGATTAATGAATTAAATTAATAGTAAGTAATTGTATAATCGTTGTTATTCTTTTACTAAAATTTAAATTAAAAATCAGTTTTATATTATAGGTGTTAATTGAGTTTTTTTTGAGCCTCATACTTTTTTAAAAGTTGATTTTTAAGGTTTGAATTTCTATAATGGAGAATCCAAGAAAGAAAGAACCTATGTACTAAATATTGCTAAGGATGTCATTAAATCATTCGGCATTGGAGAGCAAATGTATATTTTATGTGTTAACGAGTTAAATAATAACAATAATAATTACATTTTAGAAGGGATTAAATGATATTGTTTTAAAATCCACAAACCAAAGAACTACGTAATATAAAACAGTAATAAATAGGTACTCATTTATATAAAGAAATGGTATTGGAAAAACAACTTTTTATTGAAAATAATTAATAATAGAATAATGAAGTAAAAACAAAATTATAAAAATGATTAATATTCATAAAAAAATAAAAGTTCAAGCAACTCAAACATATATACCGGGGCATAGAATTAAGTAGGTAGGTTATATCAAAGTAAATAAAAATACAAAAATCATACAAATTGGTCGTTTTACGTAAAATATAGAAATAATTAATTTTAATAGGAGAGATTATTTAAAATGTTAAACGACCAATTTGTATTATTTTTTTATTTTTTCCCTATATATTCCTTCATTTAATTTTTTATATTCAGTCGCGTTTTACACTTTGACTGTGATATACCTGATGATGAATTTTTAATTCGAAACCGGTCATATAGTACACTTATAATACTCCAGGCGACGCATTGATTCATTTATTTATTTTATTTTTATATAATATAAATTTTAATTTATATATTTATTACTTTATGAAAATAATTGGTACGAATAGTACCTATACATGCGCAATAGTCATGGAAAATGTATACATATATGTTCTGATGGATATCATATGATCCCAGTAAGGTAAGACTAGCAATTATATTTATTTAGTTGAAATTAAAGGATTTCATTACCAGCTGTTTAAAATGTATAATAAACGACACTTTGATATAACCTACCTACTTAATTCCATACCCCGGCATATATGTTTGAGTTATTTGAATTCTTGTTGTCGAGAACAATTAGTATAACGGGGTCTTCATGTAAATATTAAACTGCTTATTTCGCAACAGTCATAAATTAAATGCCGAGAAACAATCATATCGCTAAGCCCTATAGGTATCAATGAACCTGAATGAGGATTGATCATGGTGAATGTCCAATTCATCACGAGGGTCAAGACTTAAATTCCAATCATTATCATATTATTATACAGTCTGTATTGTTATGAATGATCTTATTTCTATAAATATAGTCGCAATAATAATAATTGATCTGCGCTGTTCACTAATAAATTATAAGTGGATGGTAGGTAAAGTTGAAACTGGTAATCCTTGAGGTTAAATAATATCTATACTACCGAATTTTAATTTTTTTTTCTATAAGCTATGGTTACTGCATTTAGTAGCAATAATTTCATTACTTATTAATAAACTATTTCGAGTATTTTTATCATCTGTGTACATTTTTCAATATCTAATCGTTGCAGGATACGAGTGAAGAGAATTTATACACGTTTCTATAAATACCAACCTAAAATATAAAGTTTATATGTATGTATGTATGTATGTATGTATGTATGTATGTATGTATGTATGTATGTATGTATGTAAGTATGCATGTATGTATGTATTTATGTTGTATGTATGTATGTACGAATATTATCATATGTATAACATTATAACACATTATCAGAAATGAAATATGTTAATAATGGTTTAATTTTTTTTGCATTGGTAGCATATTTACAATTTTAGATTGGTATTTTTAGGTGCCTACTTAACACATATTTGTACAAAATAAGATATTTTACTTTCATATGGAATAAACTTTATTCTTCGAATATTTTTATTTCATAATAGGTACATTAACTAATAATAATATATGAATACCTAGATGTTATTTAAAACAAAAGTTTATATGGGTAGTCTCTTCCTCATAAACTATAGTCTATATGCAAACGTTAGTAAAAAAAAAAAAAATCATATACTTACTATTTAATCATACTTTTTTTTTTACATCAACCAGTAGACGGTTAATTAATATTGAATTATTATTATTTCTTTTTTTTTTTTTGTTACATTACACGTTGTTTTGCAAGATGACTGTATATTATATATTATTTTTTTAATGTGTATATACAGGACGAGGAAATTAATACTCTTCGCCTATTCAGAAATGTTGTAAAGGACTGTAAGAACAATTGATTTAAACATGTATTCAATTTAATAGTAGGTATGTATGTGTGTACGTGTTTTATTGTATTGATGCAAATATTTTTTTTAAGTAAAAAAATGAAGAACGATTTGGCTTTTATTTAAAATATGAAAAATCATCTTTATTTTATGATGTTTAGGACATGAGACAAGTGCATGTATTTCCTGATGAGTATTTTATTTTAATATTACAAATAAATCACTGAAATCATTTCTACATTTAAAAATTTGAATTGACAAACCGCATAATACATATTATCCAGTATATACATATAGTAAGTACCTAAATATTTGTAATGATTCGTAGTTATCTTCATCGTATTTTAATAACGATTTCATCAATTTTATAGTTAAACGAATTGATCGAATATTTCTTTGAACCTTAAGGAAGTATAAACATAGTTACTATGGATACTAAATTGATAAAAAAAAAAAAACTACGGTACCTATTCATCTAAAACGACTATATACGTCATACCTATGTATTTACGGTTGGATTTCATATCATATTAACGCATTTCTTATAGGTAGGTAGGTATCGGAAGTAATAAAATACTCGTATTATAATTTTTTATACGCAAACGTATCGTTTGAACGATAATGCGCACTTCTGTTATTGATTTAATACACAGTATAATGTCGATGTAAACGTACACGTACCTACATAATATCTACGTTAGTCAAAATTGTTTAAGATCAATTTTCTTACAATTTAAATGTCAAGAGCTTGTTGTATAGCTCGGAGTGTTTTCTTATATTATTATGCAAAACCCATTTATATAATAATAATAATAATAATGATAATAATACATTATCGATCAAATCGTAATCGTTTTATTCTCAACGCTAGCGTTTATTTGATTATAATTATTACCGTTGCAATCGGGTAATTATTTAAAATTTAAAAAATATTTAAAACGTAATTATATATTGCAGCCATTGTGGAATATACCTAATATCGGGTTCAAATACACCTAATAGCAGTCGACGATTTAATGTAATTGTAAGCGTTAAACGCGGTCGAAAATTATTACGATTAAACCATCATCGTCTGGGAAATTAATCTTAACAATAATAACTATTGGTAGCCGTTTAAACACGAAATAATACTGGGTCGACATCATTCCGTTGCAGTATTTTCAAAACTATTAGTATTTATGTAGGCTAACCGTCGTTGTATTATAATAATATGAATCCTGCCAGTTTATTGTTATAATACTCGCGGGTAAGTATCGTAATGTAATATTATTAAACTAATAAACACAACAATAATTATTAACAGTTATAATAATAATAATAATAAACTAATTTATACCTGATGAAGAATAAATTACGCTCTTGGTATACGACTCGAAAACTGATAGCCCGTAACGATTTCGCTCGGGGAAAGGGGTAGAACGATCGTCGGTTTATGGCTTAAAATATTCTCGATCGTCGGATCGAATAAAATTAAAAATCCAAAAACCGTTCGGCGTGCGTGTGATGTCTACCGATTTCGGGCGAGCCAAAATGAAAACCGTCAACCTTCTCGAACCGCAGTCTACACAAAACTAACCGACCGCCGTGCGATGTCGCGACTTTAATATACATTACCGTTGTCGTCATCGTTGGTTGTTTTTTTTTTTTTTTTTATTGTATTTTGCCCATAATCGGGTTATTTTATTATTATTATTCTTAATACTGCTACTACTACTACTACTACTACCACCACAATCTTCAGATTTGACGAGATATCCTGCACCGTTGACCTTCCCCACGGAGACTACTTGTTCGTATATCGCCGTCATAATATGTTTTCATATTAATATACTTGGGCTAGGTGATATTATGATATGGTAAAGGTATAGGTATTATTTGGTGTACATATACGTCCTATACGTTATCGTGTCTATACTGCGCGCCTTATTATGGATTTCGCTGGGTAAACGACGGGTGACGGTGATGGCGCGACCAGCTATTAATAATCAGGAAGTGAAAATCACCATATTATTATATTACAAATAAATAGTTTACAACAACAATAATAATATAATAATATTCGGTGCACTTCCGAGACGAAATGAGATTTTCGATTTACGTCAAAATTTGTCGCTCGACTTTTCAAACGAGTATGGTTATACTATTATAATATATATCTAGTTTACCCCTACTCCTTGTGACGTTATATTCGTAAAAATCCAATTGGTATACGAATCCCAATCACGGTCTGTCGTTTTTATTTATTATGATATTTTATAAAAAGGTGAAAAAAAAGTGTAGGCATTAATATAATATACTGGAAAATGCATCAAAATGATTGAACCGGCCTTGAGTTTAATGTAAGCACCTATCGCTTAGTAAATATACCGGCGTATACATACAATATATAAATGATTTATTACTTGAATAAAACACGTGAAATGAAAGAAAAAAAAATGTTATTGTCAACTCTATACATGGATTAGTATTGTACCGGTCTTGTTAAAATCTTTTCAAAACCCTGTTTAGTCATATTATCAGCACCAATCTAGTATTTTGTTCAGAAAACTTGACATTGAACTTGACGGGTTTCGAAAATAATATGTATTTCAATAATTCGTTCCAGGATTGTGAACGATTTTTGGTAATATTTACATTTTAGGAAAATTCAATAGGTATGCATAATTAGGTACCAATGTAGATTCTTGTAATAGAATTGATCAACAATAAAAGCAGTTAAGACATGTATAGGTTAGTATATTATTTCTATTATCTGTTGATGAACTGATATATTCGGTAAACATATAGGGGCATGATTTTATGTAGTGTATGTATAATTCTATTGTAGTACTGTAGACGAAATTAAAAAAATGTTTGGTAAAATATTGTCTAAGAAACGGTTATATTTTTCAGAACATATACATCATGGCGTGGCATGATGTATGTGTAAATTATAGTAACAATAATATGGTCATTATGTCAATGTTTGGTAAATTAATTAACTAATTTATTTTTTTATTTTTTCGAAACTAAAATTATTAAACTCAATACTATTTCACTCGTTGTTCATAGTGTGAGTATACTGAGAACGATATGTTAATATTATTTAACTATACAAAAGAGAAATATTGTTTTAAAATTATAGGTAGTGAATAAAAGTGGCAATGTTTGTAGGTAGATACAAGTAATAAATAATATAATGCAATTTTCCCGTAAATATAATAAATATTATAATATATTTTTAATAAATATAGGGCATTCGAAACGATACATCTTTTGTATTTTTTTATATATGTGACATGTTGTTCGGTGCTATACAAGTAGGTATATTTTATTGCTTAGACGTGATTATAGTGAATGCGAAAATATCCAGGTCTTTATAAATTAGCAACATTATAGAATTTCGAAATATAAAATCCTTCGTTCTCCAATAGAGCATAATTTGCGAATAATTTATTAATATTCATTCAATGTTTATGAATGAATCAATTGTCTCTGTATAAACTACAACCAAGTGTACCTACTTATTAAGTATTCAAACAGGATGATCTGCTAAGGATCGGTGTCAAGTACGTATTTTTGCAATATTATATTTAAAATCGCATATGTCCACAATATATTATAATATTTTGTAAGCTGTCATCATCAGGAGTATCTATTATTTTCATAGTAGATATAGGTATACTAGGCGATGACGAAGAAAACGATTTGTTTTATAACAAGTGACATAATATGCTTATTTTAATAATTTTTAATACTTTACGTGTGAGTTCGAGGGTGATCAAAAATGTTTTCATTCATTTCTCATTTGAAAATTTAAAACTATACCTGTTTACTAGATAGTGTCTAGTCTATATACTATACTTATGTTATGTATATTGTGTAGGTACCTGCAATAAAGTATATAGGTAAGTTAGAAGGTTTATATTAGATAAAAACGTTTTGTAATATTTTGACATAGATTAAAGCATATTGTTGAATAGTTTAGTGTAAGGTATAATAATAAAGTTTGTCGTTCACGTGGTTTTCAGTTTTTTTAGCAGAACTAAAAGAAACAGAAAATAATGGATGACAGCTATTGGAAAATATCCATATATCTGAGTTTTAACCAAGGACGACAAATTATATTGTCCGTCCTACTGGACGTGTTGATCAATATTTTACTATAAACGCCTCGAGTGTTTTATTTATTATCAGGTAATTAATATTATTAATTAATAGGTATTATAGATTATGTATCAAAAATAATAAGTTAAAAATTTGTATAGAATATAGTATTATTATAGCTGTATAATGGACATGATAATATAATGTATCATCTACGATCTACATAACTTTTATAATACATTTATTATTTAGCTGCCTATGAAATAATAATTATTAATAATGTGACAATAATATTTGTCACATAGGAGCCCATAGAAATTTGTCAAGGGAGATGGGCAAGATCCAATATTTTATATTTTATGGCTTATACAATATATTATTATTATTATTATGAAAATTAGTATATATAGCAATTAATACCTACCTTAAATATAATATTATTTATTTTACACAAGACCGCGAAGGTTAAATAAAAATAAAAATTATATTTTTGTTGTATAGAATTCAATAAAAGCAGAAGCAATTATTTAAATAGAGCAAATTTATTTTAAATATTTTTTAGTGTTATTTATTGTGATATAAATTATAGTATAAATATTGACAATTGTCGTGAAAAAGAAAATTGCAAATGGTTTGAATATTTCCCAAAATGATTAAAAATCTCACTTATTAAGTTGTTCACGTATAATTTATATTATGTAGCATGCATAAAGAATCAATTTTTTTGTTAGTCATAGTAGAACGTAACCAGATTTCACCCTCCGAAACGTGCTGAATGATCGTCCAGTTACACAAGTAGTATGATAAAACCAATTCAAATTTCAGTAAATATTTATGGAGGAAATAGTTCTGCTGATTGTTTACTATCTATTTTTCATTTATAATAACTATACTAAATTATAGATTCTGCTGATGAATTATCTAGAAAACTACCATATTTTTTTAGAATATTCTTAGTCAGTGATGTATTATTATACTAGCTATTATTGTTCATCAAGCTCTATCATCTATTGAGGCCATAATTGAAATAATTAACAAACGATCATAAAGATGCTCTTTAAGGAATGATAAAAATGAATTGAGATACCGTACAAAAATAATTATTTTAAAATAATAAGAATAATAAAAAAAACTCAATTGTTTTTGCGTTTTTTTTATTGTGAACAAATTTGCTTGTCTTTAAATTTTACATGCTATAAATTCTGTTCAATTTAAAATTTTGCCATTTATCTTTTAAATAAATAATAATATGTTACATTTAAAAAAAAAATAATATTATACAATATATTATTATTTAAATTCACCCCATTATGCTGAGTTTGTTTTGAGGTAAATTAATTATTAATATACAATATATCTTCTTTATAATATTTAACAAAAATTAAAATATTAAATCTCCTAATTAAACAAATTATAGTTCGAATAAAAATCAGTTAGAAGTAGCTTTTTTAATAATTACATACTTATTCTTTATACATTTGTTCAGATACAACGCGGCGATATAGCGTTAAATTAGTTGGACTTAAGAAATCCAAAAACTTATTCCCAATATTTTTTCTTGCGTAACTAACATCAACATATGTACTTACGTCATATGCCCTATTTTTCCATTTATTGTTTTGTTTAATAGTTATTATACCAGTATGCTATTATGTCTAATGCTTGATTTTAAAAAATTCAGAGAGTGCAAACGATAACCCTTGCTTCCCTCTGGATGCCTATGATAATTATTAAAACTTGTAATTTTTAACTGCAGTTAAACAAAATTGGACTTACTTATATTTGAATATTAGGACTTATCTATTAAAAATATTCAACTAGGTAAGTATTATTTTGTTTTCTCAAGAAATTTGGATCAGGAAATACTGCTGAGAAAAAACCTTCACAGTAGGTAATTTATTAACATTTATATTCTTTCAAATTTACTACCTTTCCGGTAAACTTGGTACGTTGTAAAGTATAATAAATTATATTAGTAATTTTTTTAACAGTTCTACATTTATACACGAACAATGTACAATATTCAATAATTCCCATTTTTGGCAGACAACATTAAATCTTTCGCGACCAGAAAATAAATCCATATCAAGAAAACTGGAAGTCCGGAAAATAAAACTTCGAAAACATATATAATGTTATACTAAAAGTATCAACGCAATAAATAAAAAGGTATATTACTATGTCAATTAATGTTGATTATCGAAAAATTATAGCTTAGGCCATTTGATTTAAGACTCACATTATTAATAATTGCTATACTTACTAAGAAATTATAGACTAAACAATGAAAATACTTGGTTAGAACGATTATTTGAACTTAGAAAAAAAATATATCGATAATATAAACTACTTTTTGCTCATGTTTATGATAGTATTATATGTAGGTACCTACCTACTTTAAAGTCAATTTTATTTAGTGAAAGTGATAGTATTAGCCATTAGGTACTATAGATTCGTGCCGAACATGATAAGTTCTTTTACATACCTAGTATTTATTAAATTATAACAAACAAATCATAATAATTTGCACTTCATTCTAGTAGAGTGTAAATCATTTAATAAGTAGGTTTGAATTAAGAAATTAAGTAATAACTTGTAAATAAATTCTGAAAACATTATAACAGATAACATTGAGGTACTGCAAAATCTAACTTGGAGAAAAAAAAATGAAAACTAATAATTAAGTACCTACTTGGTAGGCACTTTATAAGGACTACTTTTATAAGTAGGTTTGAATTAAGAAAATTAATAATTTGTAAATAAATTCTGAAAACATTATAACAGATAACATTGAGGTACTGCAAAATATAACTTGGAGAAAAAAAAATATGAAAACTGTTATAAATAAGTACCTAGGTATACTAGGTGTACTATAAAGAGTATAGATACACATGAGTACCTACATGACTATGAAGTGTACTTTGACGTTATTTTTCTAATTGTATGATTTTCTCTGACGAATACCATATTTAATATCATGTAGTAGTGTAATTTCTAAATTTGGGCCTGAGATCAAAACTTTCAATCGGTCCCTCTCACCCAAGAATATATATGGAGCTTTGAGGGGATTGCATCTCCCTTATTGAAATTATTTTATACATTTAAAAAAAAAAAAAGACGTTCTAGAATAATGAAGACGTGTGCAGCCACTGTTATAGATCATTTAATGTATCTGTAAGCAACGATACCACCATTGCTAACGAAAAAAACGATTCTGAGCGAAGTTCAGTTGACAATGATGCTTTGTTAACAATATATATATCATATTATGATAAAATAATTAAATATGCATTATATATTTTCTTTAATAATATTTGATTAATATTGTACCCGATTTTCCCGGTTTTTCACATTTCCTGGAAAAACTCATAGAAAAATCGAAAAATGACCTCCCTAAAGTAAACTCCCAGTCAGATTTTCTTTCAGAAAAAATGCTTCATTGTAAATTAGAGGAAAATTTCTAGTTGAAAAGTTGTACACAGAAAAAAAAGGCCATAATATATTTTTACTAATACCTATATTTAGTAGATTTTCCGTTTCTCGACATTTTATTCCGATTTTTCCCAGATATTATGAAAACCGCTTGAAAAATCGAAAATTTACCTTCCTAAATTACCATGGAGATAAAATTTCCATTCGGAAAATAAGCTATACTTCATACATCGGAGTAATTTGTTGAATACGTTCTGAAAAGGTAGTTACGAAAATAGTGGCGGCGCCAGGGAAAGGCTAGGTTCGTTTAGAACTAAGTCTCGAAACCAAGACTAAAGTTAAATAATGTCCCTAAATTAATACATTATTAAGATACAATAATTATTTTACTCGTTTATTTAAATTTAATAACTACTTAAAAATGTTGTCTTATTGAACAACATGTGTGTATACAGTACGTTTTTTTTCACAGCAATTCTATACAACATGATACATTTTATCAAGACATTAAAATAATTTAAGCGATTTTGATAAATAATCAGGTAAATTAAACGAGGGTACTGATTAATTTTGTTGTAGTCATAGTATAGGTACACCCAATTAAGGTACCTTATATATACGCTACACAATTTTGTTTTTTCAATTACAAGAAGAAATATATATTTTACAATTTATTATAATTTTAAAATGTTAAATGACCATTAATAAAAAAAATTTAATGTTGTGGTACTTCCTTGTATAATAAGGTGAACGGCCTCGGATAACATTAGGTCGACGACAATAAAAACACATCCTTGTTATTAAATCTTTACTCATCCTAGCATGCAACTATAAAGTATCTCAGCTTTGTATAGGTACCTAATAATAACAGTCGTAGTATAAATAACAACAATAATGATAGTTGTTATGTAGACTACTCAAATCAAGGATGTATAGAATACAGTATAGTTAATGCAGACAAATGTTAAAGTTCGATCTCATTTTTAATAATAATTTGTATCTAAATAATTATAATGCAAATATTCATAATATTTAATTTTTTTTAACTTTTTATAGCTTTTATTACCAGTAACTAGTATGCTATCATTTTATGACATTATTTTATTATAGTTATATCTAATAATTTTGTGATAATACCCTATCTTTCAATTGTATACATACTTAATACGAGATATCTTTAAGTTGTTTCAAACACATTGCTATTGCAACCATTTGCATCATAAGAAAATATATCTATTATTTTAGTATAGTTTATAATAAATAATATTTGGAACGTGTTTCGTGATTTTATTTTGTTCTAAATCATTTATATTAACTATAAATATATATTTATATACTAATATAGGGTTTTTTCTTAAAAAAAAAATAAAAAAATGTATGAGTTAGATATTAATTTAATTTTTATATTTTTTAATATACATAACAAATATAGGTGAATTATATGAACCGACCTGTAAATAGATTCGCATCACTGAAAAATAATTTATGGTAATACATCAAATATGAATATTAACCATATTACTATACTTATGTGATATTAATTATACTTATTATTTAGGATGACTCGAAAAATTTCATTATGAAATTGTATTTATTACTATTTTATGCGCGAACGTATAATACCTATATGAAATAGCCAAAACACCGAAAAAAATACCGGAAAATGACATTTCGGCATTACGAAAGGATACATTGAAAGGATTTTTCGACGAACAAATATTTTAGTGAACGGATCTATGTTTGTATATATTTTGTATGAGAAACGACGAAAAGATTATGGTCGAACCAGAGCCATATTTTGACTTTTGCCGCCAATTGTAATCACGATTTTCTCACTTCACCCTTCCTCAAAAAACGAACATATATATTTTGAAGTAAAACAAAAATAGTCGAACAAAAAAAAAATTACCCTTTCTTCTTTATATAAACAGATATACATATAACAAACAACAAAAATATTCAATATTTTTTAAATTTACGTTTTTTTTTTTTTTGTAGTTATTTTGAATAAACAAAAAATAAAACTATAAATAAAAGTTACTATAAACAAAGGACAGTTAAACATTTTTTCTTCTTGCTTTCAAACTGGCAAAACTTTCAATGAATTCATTAAATTTTAAATTTGTAATAATGTTAGACTTAATACATAAAATTGCCAATACAAAGCATCTCTCTTGGATAGATCTCAAATAATTTTTCATTCTCCTCAACAGTGAAAATGATCGTTCTGAGGAAAAATTTGTTGCTTGTATTGTAAAAAATATGCACATCGCTATTTCAACATATTGATGTACAGTTTTTAAATCCCAATTGTAACATTTCATTAATAGTTTTTGGAGAATTAGTGCCAAGATAATTTAAATACCTTTGAAATTGAATAACTTTATTAAAGTATAAACTTTATTAACTGTATATCTAAATCTTTTACATATGTTTTTTTTTTAATATTTCAATACTCTTTTGAACTTTTTGGGAAGATAACTTTTCAATATTAAAAAAAAAAAATTTGTCCAATAATACATCAGAGTCCGTTTTCCTTTTTTTCACTCACATACACACTAACAATAATGTCTATTAAAATATTAGTATAAAAATCTTCTTGTTTTGTAAATATTGTCTCACTAATGTTAGTTTCGTCACAATGCAATTTCTTTTTTTTTTGAACCTCCTTGGGATTTATTATAGTTACTAAGATGAGATTTCTTTTTGCAAGGTCTTCGTATTTTTTAAATGATTCTCTATTACAAATTAAGTTTACGCAATATATAAGAGGTTCATATAGTTAACATATCAAAATTAATGAACTGAAGCCTTTTACTTGTTATACTAAGGCGTTCGAGAATATCACTTCAGAAGTGTATTATTAAAGCAGATTCAAAGCAATTTTATTTTATTTTATTTGGTTTAAGTAGTGTTCATCAAAATATCCATTTAATACAATATTCTTTCGCTGAAATATCCTTTGGTCGAAATTTCGTCCACCGAAATATCTTAAAACTGCCTTAATCTGGTCCTGTTTGTACGTATTGTTCTCACGTCGTATAGGTACTAGTGTACTACACAACATGATAACATGCGAGCAATCGGTTTTTCAGGGCAAATGCCGTAAAACCAGTAAAACAGTCTTTAAATATGTATATAGTTTGGTCTTACTAAACAAAAATGTTTCGTATTTTGTATAATATTATAATTTTAAATTTTAAATATTTTATAAAAAAAAAAAATGTATTTAAGAAATATTTTACCTAAAACATGGGTACTAAAGTTATCAGTTGATATTTTTATATAAAAAAATATTTTTTAATATTTAATTTGTGGAATAGAAAATATCAAAATGAAATTTTGTGTGTACAATAATTAAACGCATTTTAATATACAAACCAGCTATTTTTTGACCATTCAATAAAAATATGTAAAATCATATAAATAACTGTCCTCTATAGAAATATAGAAATTGCATAATGTAAAAGGCCGTAGGGGCACCAAAATTTGACTTGCAATCGATCATTCAAATGCTTAATTACAACATTGGTCGTATATACCTACGTAATTAAATCGGACTGTTGAAATGTATACACAATATTACGTATCGATAATAATTAATAACACTATAATATATGAAGCTTTGCATGTGTAACGTGAATTTATACCGCATTATTATTTATTGGTTATTGTTACCTTATAATATATTGTTATCATTTCTATTCACGCATTTTTAATATACCCCTCGGAAATTGTTTTACACGGGTACGGTAGTACGACGAGACAGGAAACATTTGACTGTCCGGCGGGTATACCTGTTGCTGTGTACACTGCTGCTGTTGTACGTGAACAGGCAGCATTTAATAATATTTTGTATTGTGGTCCATACGACCGCGAAACTCGTAGTGCAGTTCAGTGTCAAGTGAAATTGGTTTAACCTAATTATTATTAATCGCTTAATTATTAGAATATAATTTAATATAGCGACACAATAATAACGTATGTATAGGTGCTTAAATTTGGCGACACGCCACGTATGTGTTCGAACGCGATCGGCAAAATGTTGTCATATTAGGTATTCCTAAACCGTCGTCGTGCGCCATCGTGTTGTGTGGGTCGAGATTTACATTAAACAAATATAATATTATGTTATATTATATTATATGCTCTTCTTCATATGATTTAAATCGTTTGCGGTCGTATGAAATTTATTATTATTATTTTATAAATATTATATTAATATATTACTTATGTACAGGTAATATTATTATACGTTTTCCTTATTCCTTTATTTATTTATTTATGGAAATCGATGTTTACCTAAGTTTATATAATAATAATATTATATTGGTGATTTTGATGTTTTGTCGAGTAAAAATAAAAAATTAATATTAATTACGTCAAAGGTTAATGCGTGTTAACTCGTCAATGACGCAATTATTAATTCGCGAATGACGTAATTGATAATCACGTGCCACACACCGCAATATATACGGTTTAACGTGTTAAACGATAAAAAACATCCACTATCTATAATGATATATTGTGTATTTTGTCAGCTTAGTGTATCTATTACGCATAATTTATATTTTATTAACAACAATATATAAATTTAATATTATATTTCAAGTTTTTTTCTTTTTTTTTATTATTATCTGCGCGAATTGAGGGATGTATTAGTTTTACTACAATGAGTGTTATTTTTTTTTTTTCATTCAATAGTATTTTCTCGAGATTCTTCTTCCTTTAGACCACATGAACTCAAACACGAGAACTAGATTTTTTGAAAGTAGTATATCAGTATATAATTACATAGGTAATATCATATATTGTCCAATTATGATGTTTGGTTATTTATTATTTTTAAGAGAATATTTCTATATAATGCAAAATAGGTTAAAGGGGGAAATTCGACAATATATAGTTATGGAGTTTTGCTGCTCAAGGGTATGTTTTTTGTCTTTGAACAACAATTTTTTATTAGAAATCGTCAACAACAAATAGTAAATTTCGTGTAGTTAATTGGTACATTGGGGAAAGAATTTTTGATTTTCCTCGTAGTTTCCTTGTCCTTCAACAGTGGCAGAAAATTTAAAATTGTTACCCAATTTTGTTATTTTGTATTACAAAATAATCGTAGATTTTTAGAGACCAGAAACTTTTACCGAATATGGTACTAGAATTTTATAGATGCAGTACAATTTAAAGAAATATTCTGGGATTTTTTGAGTTAAAAACTATTTGAAATTGTCGAATTTTTGAGGGAGTTTTACTTGATATAATTTTTTAAATTTATTTTAATCAGCATTTTAAGTTTAAATTTATAAATACGAACAATTGTGATTTATTTTGTAGTTACAAATAAATACAAAGTTCAATTTAAATTGATCAAAAAATATCTAAAATGTTCGCTCGGAATATTTTTCGTATGACTTATCGTTGCATACCATTATGCTCTGTGTATCTATTAATTCATTTTTATATTTTAGATATTATTAATATCCCGTCATCACTATTAATCTATGTAGGCATAATAATGTTGATATTGTTTATTGTATTTTTCCTTTCTCCCTCTTACGTGGTGGCCAGTCCACTAAATAAAATTGTAATGTATAAGTTTGGATATGAGAAAGAGTATTTATACGGTAGCTTTCTAACATGATTATTATTATTAATAATTACATTTTTTTGTTTTAATTTATTTTATACACACCTATATCTATATATATATATATATTGTATTTATATTATTATATGGATTTATTAGTAGGTATATATGATTTTATAACGAGACAAACTGTAGTTATACCTAGGCTAATTCGTTTTTTTTTTTTTTTAAATATGTGTATAACTGAATAATATATTATATATATACTAATAATCGTATGGGCTTTATTACTCAACATGTAGTCGAGACGTTATTCGAATATAATATCATAAAATATTATTGTAATATTGCAAATCCACACTTGACTAAAATCAAAAATCGACTTATCTTCATATGCAAAACCTACAGTATTTTTTTAAAAAATTACTTCAAATTTGTTTATTTTTTTTACTTACACATGTAACCGACATATGATCTCAGTTTTTTTTTGTTTTTTATATATATATATATATATATCCAGTATTGTTCATCGCAATTTGTTTCTCAGCAACAATATGGAATGCAAAACTTATTGTTATATTAGGTGCGTCTGCTTACAACTTATATACCACGCCAGTATAACATTTATAGCGGGCAGTATAGATAATATACTATCGGCGTCGGTCGTGGCAACCGATATTTTTTTTTTTTTCAACATTTCGAATCAATCAGGTAATGTAGCATGAGCATGTGTGTGCATATTAAACATCATATATTCATGTACCTAAGATTTATTAAGAACCACGTGCACAAAAAAAAATGAAATATCGCTAACGAATTAACGCCGAATCGAATGAATACCTATATCCGTATTGTAAACGCGAAGTTGGCCAATTTATGGGTACGCTAGGCGAGATGCGCGAGTCTTCTTCACAAAATTTGTCTGAAAATCGATTTTCAATAGAAATTTATTGTATGGTTTTATCTATTTTCATGGGAACCCATGTATTCGTCCTGAAAATAAATGGACGGAACGTGTAAATTCTGGAAAAAACCCGTATTTATCTGGAACGTAATATAATTCCGGAATTCAAAAAGACGAAAACTGTATTTATCTGCAGGAGCTTATATATATATTGGTTATCAACGTAATACATTTATTTGCTTGTTACTTTGGCTTTTATTTTGATTTCACCATTCATTTGTGGCCGGTTTGTGTTGTTTTGTAACGTTATTAGTTTCGTTTGTAGACATTTTGTATTTATCGCCGGAACGTATTCATCCGAAATTCCGGACCGAACATGCCTGAAATCTAAAAATCTAAAAGCAGTATTTGTTCAGAAAGTTTAATTCTGAAATTAGTATTTTAAGCAATATAGTAATGGCAATTATGAATTACGGAATTATACATTCTGGACAAATATAGTTTTTGATTTTTATTTTCCGGGCGAATATGGTCTGTGGTAATACTTTCCAGATTGTTGTTTAGTCGTGGTATCATCTTTATGAAATTCTAAACCATTCCGAGTGAATGTTATCCTTATTTTCAACGTTAAAATTTCTATCTCTATTATAACGATTTCATAAATATATTTTATTTTTTTTATTTGTGTATAGGTATCGTCCAGTGATGTACCCAGGAATTAGCAAATATTATTACACAAATTAGAGGGGATGTAGCAAATAAAAATCGTAAATTGTCTTCTCTACCTAACTTGACGATGGAAATAGGTAATTTAAAAGCCGGATCCTAAAAAAACCCAATTTATAATAAATACATCAAGCTTTTCTTCGTAACCTGGCTGAAATATATGCATTTCATTATTGAATAACTTATATTTTTTTTATTTTTAAGCCAATATGGAGGAAATAACTCCTAACTTCCCCCCCCCCTGCGTACACTAATGGTATCGTCATTAGGACCCACCACACGAAAGTAATAAACAATAAATAAACATTTTTATATCTATGGATTATGGAGTACCTAATAACTATACCATATAAAATAGTACCTATAAATAACTAATTTTCAGTTGAATCTCAAAATTACGTCACTTGACTGTTTCTCTCAAAAATATTTTCTAAATTAAACAATTGTATCTATATACCTGTATTGTTAATAATATAATTAACAGAACAAAAAATGGTGTTAAATAGAGTAATATTATAGGACGCTGGCTTAGGGGCGAGTTGGGACTAAAAAAGTCACCGGGATTTCGTTCTAGAGTGGCCCTATAAGTTTTTATACAAAAAAAGTAGATTCTATGATTAAATATTGAACTTCTTAAGATTTAAAAGGGTGTAAAATACATGCTAAATCGGTTATAAGTTTTGCAAAAAATGTTGAAACGTTTTCCAAACTCACTGTGTCAATTGTAAATTCAAACAATCAGTACATTTTCCAAGTAAGAACTGTTAGGTTAGGTTTTCCAAGTAAGATCTGTTTCAAATTTAATCAACTTTTTTTTTAGGTAATGATCCTGCTGTAAATCGCGTCGAGGTAATTCAAAAGAAGAAGACATTTCTTCTAAAGTACTAGATTTTCTCACTTGTCGACACGAATTATTCCGATTTATTTGTGTTATACCTCCTGTAAACTCCAAGACCCGCCAATGTAACGTCCACAAGCCACATGGCGGAATTTGGCATTGGCCTATTGGGAAATTTCCCGGCAACCAGATGGTCCAGTCCATCCCTGGGCTACGAGTTAAACATTATTTAACAATCTATACAAGTAATATAAAACATATTACGTGTCTATGAATATACGAATAGTATTATTACAATTTGTTAAAGGTACCCTAGGTATCGATTGTGTTAAAAAATGGTGAGAAGCCAATAGAGTTATGCACGTGTACAACACACAATTTGAATGAAATAAAAAATATTTATTTATAAGGTAGGTATCTATATAGGTACTGTAATATAATGGGTGTTCTATATAATCAACATAATATAAAATAATAACATTGTTCACGTTTATAATCACAACAGATTACCCGCAGAAAACGTGATAGGCGTGGGCATTTGGATTAAAAAGTATTATAAATTATAATCAGTAAGTGTATAGGTACCTACAGAGTGTCTCGTTCCCAATGCATTAAGTACTCATTACTTATTAGTTATTGTAATAACTATAATAGATATAAAATATATATTATAAATTATAATATATATACTTTGTTGGCAAATATATTATTATATACCTACATTTTATTATTTTTACATTTTATTTAACTGAAGTTTTGATTTAGTTTTAATACATACAACTGTATAGGCAAAATAAGTCTATTTGTTTTAAAAAAAAAGCCTATACATTTAACAATTATTATTGTAATTTATAGTTATAATAATGTTTTTCCATAAAGATATCATAACATAATTCGTTATAATACTAATATACAAGAAATTGTATTATTAATGTCAAAACAAAAAAAAAGAAAAGAAAGAGGATTACATTTTTAGTAAAGGGAGCTTTAAAAATGAAACATTTAATTCATCAAGTAGAAAGATACGCTACCTATATATTATAATACAATATTAAATACCTCAAAATGACAAGCAAAATATTAGTAAACCACAAACTCTATTTAATATTGTATATTTGAATACAGTTTTTCATTAGTGCATATATCTAAAAATGAACGCAGCAAATATTATTTTATCTAATCGTGTAGAATCATTTTTGTATTTGATCGACAGTCACAGTGGTGGTTATACGTAGAAGGCTATATTATAGACGTATATCAAGGTGTCATTTTATGTTTTCCAAGTATACCTACCGAGGCCTCATTTAAATGGCAAAAGCTTTCACATTATTAATATACTCTTGATCAAATGTATAAATATTATATCATTTGAATAAAATATAAATATAAATAATTTCCGCTCCTCTCGTATTCTATTAAAATGATACGAGAAGAGCGGAAGTTATTTATATAAATCCGGTTTAAAAAAATATAACAACATCGTATTCATATTTCTATTTTATATTTATGGTTTTGCACATTTAATTTTTATCTAAAACAATTTTTTATTTGTTAAATATATATTTATGCCTATCTAATTGGTAGGTAACTATATTAAAATATCAAGTAATTACCAATATATTATCAAACTATATGTTCAAGTACGCGTAGTTGGTATACATTATAATTATATTTAGTATGTCAATGTATGGTCATACACGTCTATCTCGATCTGTACAGTTTGACAGTTCATGGTCTTTTCGCTACTGCATCAGTTTTTTAATGTCGGTTTTTTTAGATTTTGAGGAAGAAGTTGTTAGTTTTACTAAGTTGTATTTTTTTTTTTTTTTTTTTGAGAAAATACGCTTTTTCGGTTAGTAGAATATTGATCTAATTTTTTCATATCGTATTTTAAAATATGCCGACTTTTCGCCTGATTGTACATATTTGAACATTTACTAATATTTTTTCTACGAAAATTCAATTTATACTTATCAAAACACTTTGAAATGTCCAACAATTCACCTCTTAAGTATTTTTTCTGTTTTTTTTTCACAGAAAATTCTTATTATGTATTTAAGTAAAAACGATATAATTTATTAGTATTATAAACATATTCGTACAATAAGTGAAAATGAGAGGGCATGTAGAGATTAAACTTCCTCAAATATTTATGAGTCCTCTAAAAATGTTTTATGTTTCATGTATTGATCTTATATTTTTTTTTTTGAATTTTGGATATTTGAGAAGTTATTGCTATTTATTTTTTAAATTTATTTGTGACAATTCATTTTATCAAAGGAAATCGTTATAAATGTACAATAAGTATAACCCCACTAACCATACCAAAATAATAAATATGACCTAACAATACTTTCCAAGCGCTACAACATTTATCACTTTCCTGTATATATTATGTTATTAGTTAGGTTAACTATACTCCATAATCCTTATCTCCCTGAAAATTTAAATTAATTTCTGTTTATGCAACGTGCCGAAAAATATGCGAATTTTCGTTCCGTAATTGTGGTATGTAATTAATTTAAACACAATCTCTGAGTTTCTAATAGCTTTTTTATAATATTTAAAAAACCGGCAAGAAATTTCGATACACAGGTTTTATTGTTGTTAATTTCTGGTTAATTTTTCGTCGATAAGATAAACAGGTAATACTTAACATGTAAATAGGTATATTAGCTGGTTAGGTACCTATATATTAACTAAATTATTAGGTATAATATATTTGTTTTAAAAAATGAAAAAAATTATCTATTTAACATTTTACAATTGTATTTAAATATTACCTATAAACTTAAATGTATACTTACAATACTCACATACACTTATCAGTAAAATAAGCATTATAAATTTATACAAATAAATATATACTATATAATAAGTTTATAATGTATACGATTGTGAAAGTACCTATGTGTTGTTTTTGTGTGTATAATAATATTATGTTCCAGTTGCGAACGTGTTTACTGCAGTAAATACATAATAAGTATACAATATATCAACATGTACTATACATTTTATAGGTACTTGTACATTGTTTTTGTTTTCAACTACTTATATTACGAAAAAGCCACCTACTGCATTAAAAAAAAATACATTTTTCTGCGAAAAAAAAATTCTACCAGATTTAATAATACCTACGCAATATATACAATTTTATACTTACTGTTCAGTCGCGTATTAAATCGGTTTCTATTGTCGTAGGTGGGCGTGCATAAAATTAGTCTATTATTATATTTTATACGATTATTCAAATTTGATTTTAACACTAATGACCATCAATTACGAACTTACGAGTTTCCTGAATGGAGGGAGAAAATGAATAACAGATCAGACAGTTTCACGATCTGACGAATCGATAAATTATATATTACTTTAATTTGAAAATTATTCTTCTTGATTAATCAAAAAAAAAAAAAAAAAAAAAAAAAAAAACAAAAACAAAAAAAAGAATGTGTATACAATTCAACATTAAAACACGAATTCTGCATATGACTTACACATACGCATTTATGTAACTAAAGTCATATATGTTTACTGTTTGTTATTAATTAGTTAATATATTATTCTTATATTAACTACAGATCAACCGATTAGAACCTTTAACTGCAGTTTCATTGGAATAACGAGGCGAAGATCATCACCGAATTAATCCTATTCTCGTAATAGTTTCAAAATCAAAACGTATATTATTAAATATGGATTACACTGTCGTAATTCGTAAGATATTGGAAAATAATTCGCAATTATAAATTGCGCACATGTTTTTTTTTCATAGGTATAGATACTAATAAGACACGTAATTAAGGAGGCGATAGGAACAATAATTCTCCCACCTAAGGCCGCAGAAACTAATAATTAAAAAATTAAAAAATTAGAATTATATAACTTCTCCATACAGTATAATATGCTCCATAGTCCATACTATGTAAAAATTATACATTTTTAAAATATATTGTTATTTCTTATCTTTATCTTAATATTAAAATCTATAGGTACCTATTTTATATTATGGCATATTTGCCAATTAGCGTAATTTAGATAAAGCGCTCATTTTCTACATTAAGAAGGTAATAATTTGTATATGTATAAATTATTGCATAAATATTTTACTTATAAGCTACATTATTTTTAATATTTTTTATTGATTGTTGTTTGCTATTATTGAAGATTAAAAATTTGGTTACCTACGTTCTAAGAACGGGCAAGACGGCTATGCGGTTTGGCTATATTATACATATTCGTCGTGAAATAGATATTTCAGTTGATGATAGAATATTAACCACGGCTTCTATGAAAAACGAAAAACTGACTCATTATTATATTTTTTAACTATATTTTGTAACCTAACCTAAGCTAACGATGTATATGTTTTATTATAATTTTAAGTTTTTGAAGTCTCATTCGAAAAAGGTTAATCGCTTCCCAAAATAGGCATCTACCTACATAAATTACGTGCCTGACCTATAATATAATATACAGATTATATCGTTTGCAAATTTGTTGTTATAGTTCCTCTCAAAATATATTAGGTTAATCGACCGCAACAGTTTAGATTATAATCGTATAACAAGCGGGCGCTTAATTTAAGGGGGGCGATAGGAGCGATAGTGTCCCCTCCCCAAAGACCTTATCGTCGTAACTAATACACACCTACATTATACAGTTAGTACAATACGTAGTTGCACATTTTTTAAGCTACAATACCATTCTGAAGAAAGTTTATCACTCCCTCCAAAAAAAAAGAAATCAAATTACGTACTTGATAACGAGGAATATATTGGTATTTATGATATGTGATTTTAGATTCTGAACCTAGTGAATAATGTATTGGTTTTATTATAATATGTACGATTTTTCTATAATCTGTCGAGTTTCGGAAAATTACTTTTTAACCAGAAATCTTGCTCTATACAATCAAAAAATCTAGACGGTGGAAAAGTATTTTTTTGAATTTTCTCGTAGGCTTCTTAATAATTTGAAAAACTAACGTTTCATTATTTTCGATTGTTTTATTGTTGTAGGTAATTCGGTTAAAAAATAATCTTAAAAAAAAGATCTGATATTGGGGATGGGAGAGACCATTGTTCGTGAGAAGTTGGAAAGATAGGATACATAAGGTTATTTTATTTATATCTATAAGCTACAATAAACCATTAATTGACGAAAGACTATTCTGACCGCAGTTCAGTAATACATAATTTAAAGTGCCATCATTTTTTATGCGATTTTCGTTTAAATTTGATTTCAAAACGCTTACTAAAAAAAAAAAGTGGTTTGATTTTTGAAATTTTACCACGTCCAGGTAAGTCCAATCTAAGTACTATTACCAAGTTTCAAGTCCCTACGTGTATTTATAACTGAATTACAGCAAAAAACTCCCAAAAATTAAAATTCCTTAAAAGTTCAAAAGTGGCTCAAAAGTTTTGGCGGTGATACCGTAAGAAAGTAAATCAACAAGACGACAAAAAAGGTATCTTGTGATTTTTCGATTGAATAATTTTTCCTGGCAGAAAACGTCGTCCTTATTTTTATAAAATAATGAAATCGTAAAATTGTACGTTTTCCTACGTTTTTTCCCGATGAAGTGCTCTTATTAAAAAATGGCGTCGAAAATCAAAAAATGACCTCTTAAAAGTATCATCTAAACAAATTGAGCTTTCATAAAAGTTGCTACACGTAAAAATCGGAGCAAGTTTACTGGAAAAAAACGTGTCCACAAATTAGAAACAAAAATAAACATCTCAGTAAAATCTATAGCTCAACTCGCTACGCTCGGAATCTAAAATCTGAAATTGTCGAGCATATCTATTCATATTCGCCTTTTGTAGACGTCGTATAACGCAATTTGATTAGAGTATATATATATATTTTTTTAATTACCTATACCTACTAATATATTCTATTGCGAATACAATCATTCTGTGTATAATTTATTCGTGAGTACCTATCTTTAATATTATTATGATAATTATTTATTTGTCATTATTAAATTATCAACTATATTTATACCTCCTCGTGTATGCAATAACGTTTAACTTGCAGTTTTGGATTGTTTTTTTTTTTTTTTATTTTGCAATTTACACGCATGATGGAAATAGGAATAATAACGTTTCATGGGTACTTAGTACCTACCTATTACAATTATTATTATAATTTTTTTTTTATTTTCATCGTTCATTAACAGCGAATCTTGCATTCCTTGCATGGATATTATTTTCTTACTAGTCACTATTGACTACTCACCAGTGCAATGCAATGACAAAGACCGTCGTTCAATGTACCTACCAGAGTATACCGCAATAGGTACTTAAGCATACCGCATTATCGCGGTTCATGGCGTTTTAAAAAATAATTGCCGGCCAACCGAGCTCATGGGTTTCTAGATCTCGGTGGAGGGGGGATCCACTCGGCGACCGTTGTGGCGCCACAACGTTTTATCACTTTCGTTTTTTTTTTTATTCTTTTTTGTATTATCAAAAGTTAGAAGATAACTTGGAATTTGGAACTTCAACTTTTTTGCTTGTAATTCCAACATGTAGAAATCCAGTACATATTTGTTTAACTAATTATCATATTATTATATGATAATATAGGTAACTAATAATTACTATTGATTTTGATTAATACCTAAATGTTCTTAAATGCGAGTACCTAATTAATAATTTCTCATTGTGATAAACAGATGTCAGATAATAGTATTAATAATAAATAATTATAATAATATAGTAACGAAGTCCGTAAAGTCAATTTTAGTTGGTTAAGTAATTCTTTGGTGTCAATTTCAAATAAGTTTGTATGTAAACAATTTGAAAACCAGTAAGTAGAGAAGTAATAAAATATAACTTGATAACCTATTTCTCGGTGTTGTGTAAGGTGTAAACCTTACATATAGACACCATCAAAATAATTTTGATTAAAGTGAATATTTTTCTAATAATTTAAGTAGGTGGATAGTAAGGAGACATGATACTTATACTTAATGATCTATGATATTGAATATTGGTACCTAACTATATACTATGATAAATTAATAGTTATTAGAACTCTTTAATTTGAAAGTCGTTGAGAAATTAAATACATTTATTACCAACTAGGTAGGTAGTTTTAAGTTTGTTGTAAATAGGTAGTATTATATTAATTAAATAATTAGGTTTAATATTTTATTTAAAATGTTACTCAAGGGGCTAATATTTTATTGTCCATAGTTATTTTGATAATTATTTAACATTATCACCTACAGTGTCTTTATAGTAGATAGCTTTCAAGTGTGCTGTTGTTAATATGTTTATAAATGGAATATTCATGTTTGATTATTGTATAATATTTATGATGAATTAACAAAATATGTGAAATAATTGTACTAGGATAGGTGCCAATAGTTTTTTTGCATACATTATTGACTGTATTAATGTTAAGTAATAATACTATAGGTAGTGATATTGGTTTTCTATTATTTTGTTAATGATGTACTATATGCATAGGTACATGATATGTATTAATTATTATATGCCATTATAGTATTTATAAGTACTAATATGTAACTTTATAATAGGGAAACTTGTATGTACATATTCGTTATTCAGAGTTAAAATTAATGTTAATAAAACCACTGTCATCTTTTGCCAATTTAATATCGAAGAAATCAATTTTATTGACTTTGAACTATAATAAAAAGAAAATGAGTACATTGGAAAATGTTATTGATGGTTTGAACAATGTTAAATGTAGAATTGAATTAGCAATTTTAAAACGAGATCAGGTACCTATATTATTCACATAACTTATTTAACCTAAAACTGTATTTTATTTTGGTAAAATTATTAAATTAAGTACATGATTATTTTTAGAACAATTTAAAACAACCAAGGCTTGTTGCAGTTAGTAAAACAAAACCTATAGAACATATAATTGGTATTTACCAACAAGGACAAACACATTTTGGTGAAAATTATATCCAAGAATTGCTTACTAAATCATTTGATGATCAAGTATTCACAATTTATTATCCTAACCATATATATCTGTACAATACAATTATTTCAAATTTTTAACTGTTATTAAAGATATTAGAAAAATGTCCTGATATAAAATGGCATTTCATTGGCCACTTACAACGAAATAAAGTTTCAAAAGTTTTATCTGTTCCTGGTTTATACATTATTGAAACAATTGATAGTGAAAAACTAGCAAATGCTGTTAATGATGGTTGGAAAAAACTTAATAAGGATAGTAAATTGAAAATAATGATTCAAGTTAACACTAGTAATGAAGAGGGTTAGTAAAGATTCATAATAAATATAAATTGTAATACAATATTTCTTTAAATTACTAGTTAAGAAATATTTATAGTATATACACATAAATAAATATGTTTATGTGATAATTATTTCATAGGAATATTTTGAATCCACAATATGTATTCAATTTATTATTATAAATTTAAAATTCAGCTACTACTCCATTACTTATATAGTTACTAATAGTTTTAAGTAGTGGTACAAAAATCGTTAAATTTTAAAATGACCTAATATAATGTATTTTTAAACTAACACTTCACCCGCCTCTTCTGTCTTAGTTCAAATAATGGGCAACAGAGCAAAATTATATACATTTAGAACATTAATTGTGGCATTTAGGTTGAAATTAAAGTTTACAAATATACTAACATTTAAAGAGGAGAATATTGTTCATGATTGTATGTAGCTCATTTTTCAATTCAAAAGCTACAGCTATTTAAATAAATCAAAAAGTTACAGCAATGTAACTTTTTTGTACAATTATTTATAAAACAGCTGTATTGCCATGAACAATTTTCTTCTATTTAATTTATTTTAATTTTGATTAAACTTTAATTTCAACCTAAATACCACAATTTATGTTCTAAGTAATGAACTATTTTATTCTGTTGCTTGTTAATTAGACTGAGCCAGTTAATGTGAGTGTGGTATCCTCTTAAGTATATTATAAACCATGTGTATAATTTATAATTACTGTTTAATATTTTATAGAAAAAAATGGTATATCATCTGATAAAGTTGTTGATTTATATAAATATGTTATTGACAATTGTCAATATCTAGAACCTATTGGTCTAATGACTATTGGTCAGTATGGTTATGATTGTTCTAATGGCCCAAATCCAGATTTTTTGGTAATTATTAATATTTGTTTATGTATTCATATCATTAAAATGAAAAATGATACCCATGTATGTATTACCTTTTCAGGCTTTAATAGATTGCAAAAAGAATGTATGTGAAAACTTAAAATTAAGCCTATCTGAATTTGAAATGTCTATGGGTATGTCTGATGATTTTGAACATGCTGTGAGTATCTACTTTGTTATTATTAACTTTTGAACTATTTTATATTTTATTTTAGTATTTATAATATTATGTATACCTAATGTATATTATTAAATTGATTACAGATTGAATTAGGAAGTACAAATGTTCGAGTAGGAAGTAGTATCTTTGGTTTTCGTCCAAGAAAAGAAAAACAATGATTTATTATTAAATATGTATCTTATTTAAAAAGAAAACCTTTGTTTTAATTGAAATAAATCTTAATTATTTTAATTAAACACAATATGTTTTTCATGGTAACACATGCTTCATCTTCATATATATTTGATATGTTTAATATTATTTGTTGTGAATAAAAAACAGTTGAGTTATGTGAACAAAATATAATGTGGTCATATGCTTGGATTTCACCCAAATATATCAATAAACTGTAGAGAATTTATATTTTTGATTAGACTATTATTTTTGTTTTTCAAAGAATTAACTCTGAAAAAATTTTGGACCACTAGTCTTCACATACAAATTAAATTTTGTTAGTGTAGGAATAATTTATCTTTTTTTTTCTAAATTGTATTTATCTAAATTGTTTCTATTTCAGTAAATTAAAAAAAAAAATTATAATATGTCTAACAATAGTGAACAAATGGACAATATGGGTTTGTTTTATTACAATAATAATGCTATAGTTTTAATTTATTTTAGTGATACAATATCTTCCTTCAGACTATCAAGCTTTCCAATAGAAATAGAAACTTATTTGATAATGCTAATAGTCATGACTAATAGATATAGAAGACAATAAAAATAAAGATTAACTGGATTAAAATTTATTCATTGTCACCAAGATGAATTCACTAAACAGACAGCTTAATAAATATGTTTTAAAATGATATTATTTATAACATTATTTTGGTTTTAAAATTATTCCCAAAAATTAATAACCATACCTATTTTACAAATTCATTATTGTATTTAAGATTTTGTCAAGAAAGGATATATTGAATGTTGAAATATTTCGTTACAAAGATTGTATGTTTACCTAGACTAAAATAAAAAAAAAAAATCTAATTTTAAATTTATATATTTTTTTGTAAGTGGTTTATAATTCAATTACTCTAACATTAATATTGAAATATTGTAATAATTATTATTCTTAGGTAAGTTATACTATTCTAAGAATAAGTAGAACTTTTTTTATATTAAAGTGGTTTAGATAGGTTTTGTTTCTGATAAGAAAATTTACCTATAGTTCAGGTTTTTATATATTTATTAATTTGATACAAATAGAATTTTTTAGAATTTTTCTAACTAAAAAATAAAGAAATTTGAATTTAAATAAAAGGTATTTGTATAAATAATTAAAAAAAAATTTCAAGGTGAGAGATATAACTGATCTCTCTCCTTAAATGCGGCACTAGTAGGTTATAATATTTATTATAAATATTAACTACTTTTTATTATCAATGGTATTATAAACATTTATTTACAATAAATTACAACATAAATGTTGAAATAGGAAGTAAATATTTATTAAACAAATCAATATAACATAAAATAAAATAATATAGAATGGTGTTGATTCATTAAAGTATAACATATTCATCATTCAGTGACAAAATTGCAAATTATATTAATATAATTTAAAATAATTGGTAACAAGACAAAAATGACAATATAATAAATAAAGTGAATAAAGTAAGTACAATTTGTATTATTATAATAGATATCCACTCTTATAGATGTAAATATTTATTTCATATTACATTTTAATAAATACTATTGATATAAATATGTATGTAAAAATATCCATTGAAGAAATAAAAATCCATTCATTTTATTTAAATCAATGCCAACAAACAATACATGATAGATTTAAAAATGCCAATGCATCTTTGGATGATTAAAAAATAAATTTAAAATCGTGTATTAAATAAATATATTTAAAAATCTTAATTTATGATTCATACAAAAAAAAAAAAATTCTTACTAATAGATGATTTAATTCTTTCAGTGTGATATGATAGTGTAATTGTACATGCAGAATAATAAAATTGTAGATACAAAATAGGATTATCATTACTTATTATTAACATTATTTCAAGTGTGTATTATATTATAAATTTTTTTAATAGCAATGATATTTCAAATGATGAAAAAACAAAACGTGATTGGACTACAAGTTTTAAATTTTATAAAATAGAAATAAATTAAATTTACATGGTTTAATTTGCATTTGTTGATTAGATTAAAAAACTACAGTTAACTATTTATAGTATGAAGAACTATAATTAAATAAGATATTACTTAGTACAAATTGTTGGTTGGTGTATAAGTATATATAAACTTGTTTATAGATATTATAAAACATCTATTTAAAAACAAAATAAAATACAGATATACATTCAAATTTATTTGACTAGAATACATTTCATAATGTCATTTTGTTAAATATTTATAAAACTTAAAACCTACGTAATAAATTTCAATAGAAATAGAACCATATTCAAAAATCAATGCCTATGAAAAAAATAATTTTATAAAAAGATAAAAATATATAATATATAGGTGTATTTATTGAGTCAAATTCATGAATCCAACAGTCAATATCGATGACGTGAATCAATTAATAAGTAGGTAAATATATAATAATATGAAGCTATTTTAACAATTAAGATGATAGTAAAAAAACATGAGTAATATTTACAATAGTTGTACACTTATATGATGCAGGTACATTTATATATTTGATTGTATGAAGACAATTTGTGTGAGTACAATAAATAATAATTATTAAATTATGTTACTGTAGATATGGATATGTATCATAAATCTAATTTTTATTTGCAGGCATCAACAATACACTGTTTTAAAATGAATTGTGATATTGTGGAAAATTCAAATGATTAGTAATTGATTTAGTAATAAATAATAATTGCATATTAAAAAGAAATATTAATGTAATTGTTATATTGAGCACGTTCATAGATTCATTACAGTGGCAACACAACACAAAAGAGTAGGTATTTAAAAGTGAAATTGAAATTTAATTCTGTAAGTAAATAGTTTAGGCAATATTTGTCTACAATTCAAGTAATATAAGTTTTTTGTCATTTAAGGTTAATATTGACTAATTATAATAATTATATTAATTATAATATTACATTATAAAAAAAAAAATAGTATTAATAATAAATTTGTCTTAAATAATAAGTTACTAGTTTAGATATACTAATAAAGTAATACACCTATATACTAAGATTTGGTCATTTGATAAGTTCGATTCCATTCAGATAATAATATTTTAATTAAAGGTACAAACATTGGTTTTATAAAATATTTTAAATTCAATGACACAAGTAAAATAATAAAAAATAGAAAAACTATTAATATTTAAAGACTATACAAAGTGATAATAGTTAATTATAGATCAATGATTGGTATGGCAGTCTCAAAGGTTAAATGAAAGCACACAAATAAATTAATCAAAATGATAAGGACAGACGCAGAAAAGTTTTTTTTTGGGGAGAATTAGAAAAAATAAAAATTGATACCATTAATTTGGTACTGGTAATTATTTGTTATATTTTTTTATAAATACCACGTTTGAAATAACTTATTTCATAATTTTTTGATGGTGGGGTTGAATCTCCAAAATCCCTCCTACGTTCGCAACTGATCAAGATGATGTTAATAAAATATTATACAATTGAAAAAGTAGTATTAATAAATAAATAAATGATTAGATAATTCTTTAACACATTTTTTTTTTTACAAATAGTTTTAATTTAATTGTTTGGGAACAATTTTACGACTGTTCATATACCCAATAAGCTGGGCAGGAATTTCAGCCAATACTTCACGGGCCAGGTATAATTTGGCATTCAATGGGTTTTCAATTTGTTGAAAATTTATAAATGGCACAAACTGCACTATATCTCTGGCAGCCTTGATTCCATTTGCTTCAAGCATTACGGTGTCCCCGTCCAATTCTTCCATTGATTGAAAATCAGCATTTCCCACGCCTACAATGATAATAGACAGCGGCAGTGTGGACGCTTTGATTATAGCCTATAGAATATAATCTAATTTATCAATCTAATTTTCTAACTGTAACAATAAAAAGTATATAATCATATATTTTAGTGAAAGTGGAAACGAACAGCACGCATTGAAAATTAATTTTGATCCTATCGATATTTACCCAAAAGCAACACAAATTTTATAATATTACAAATAAGCATAGGCATTAGGCACGCAAAATTGCATTTTTTTTTCATTTTATCAAATTTATTTTCTTTATTAAAGTTCTTCAATGGATAAAATACATGTATTACAATAATATATAAACCAAATAAATATAAAGTTAATAAATAATAATTATAATTAACAATAGTGTAATCAATGATTTGTGCGTAAACATTTATATTAAAAATAATGTTTTGTACATTTCATTTTTCATAATCTTAGTAGGTATATATATATATATATATATATTTAAAAAAAAAATTATGTTAATTGTATTTATTACCACTTATAAATATTTCTCAATACAATAACACATAAGAGATGTTGCCATAATAATTATTGTTATAATATTATTTACTCTCTCAGAAAAAAATAAAAACCAGTCTGGTTTAATCCAAGAACAAATAAGCATCTAACATATGACGATTTTGATTAATCTTACAATGATTATATTACATATTAAGCCATATAAAATATACCTACTTAAAGTTGTTTTATTATTATACTGCGTAGATCTATTAATCTGGTTTTTAGTTGTTACAATACTAACAAATTTTAAATGTAATAAATTATTAAATCATCTAAAAGTTACACTATAGACCATAGATTAAGCATATTCAAATTTAGTTTTTAAAAAAAAAACACAAAATTAAGCAATTTAACTTTATATAAAGGGCACATTTAATTAAATAGATTAAGTAGATTTGCACATTCGAAAATATTTTCTAAGATCTAAAAGTTCTATTCAAATTTTAGCACAAAATTTAATTCAGTTATGTATTTACGGATAAGCTGTACACGTGTAACATACTTTAAAAGGCTGCAAAATTTTAACATCATAGTAATTTTATATAAACATGTGCAGATTAATTTTTGTTAGGTAGCCAAGAATTGGTTTATAAGTAAAAAAAATGTGTCAATTCACTCAATTTATGTCAATGAACAGGAGCAACATTATGTGGTATACCTAATGCGTAAAATATTCAAGTGCTATTAATTTTGGTATTATATTGATTAAATTAGAGAATTAAAACCTTATAAATAAAAAAAATAGATGAAATAACTTAGTACTTTTTTAGATTTCCACGAATAAAATATTCAAAATTTACATTTTAATTTTAAGAACACTTTGTCTAGAAATAAATAGCTTCCTTATAATATTGTATCATACTTTGAAATTAAACTCATTAATTCAAATTTGATTATAATTATTTAAAGGTGTATTTTGTATTAATTAGTTTATTAAAAAAATTAGTTCTTAATATACATAGGCAAAATTTTCAATAATTTTATTAAGAAAAATGATAATATATATATAAAAAACAATAAACATGTAAACAATAATTATAAATATATAACAAATATGGCCACAATTACACTATCTCTTTAAAATAAATGCATATAAATTCAATGAGGAATTATTTTAAGACTTATCATTAAAAAGTAAAATACCCATAAAGATAAAAATAATGTAATAAAAGTAAAAAGGTTAAAAATCACAATTAACTAAGTATAAATAGTATTATATTTTAACAAAATAGGTTAACATAAAATAAATATCATCTTAAATTAGGGTGACCATAATATATCCAGTTAAAAACGGGATTGTCTCTTTTTGTGAGCATTATGTCTTCATTACCCCTTCAAACAAGTTACTTTTTAGAAGATTGGTTCTGTTATCCTTATAATAGTATGCATTTAAAAGAAATTAATATTAAATATCTATGTTGTACATGAACAAAATAGTTTTACAGTATTACAAATATAAACAGTTATTGTGGAACAAGTATTGAGGCATATTAAAATATCCAGTCAAAATTGTTTGTGCCAATTTTTTTTTTTAAATAAATATGGCCACCCTACCTTAAGTATTTAAAAAAATTATTTTTGTTGGTTCTTTGGAATAACATTTTTTGATTTCATGTACCCTACAAATTGAGTAGGTATTTCAGCAAGTACTTCTCGAGCTAAATTTGCCTTTGCTACAGCTGGGTTATCATAAGACTGGAAATCTTTAAATGATACAAATTGTGTTATGTCTCTAGTTGCACGTACACCACGAATTTCTAATGGAACCGTATCAGCATCCAGTTCTTCCATCGCTGCAAAGTCTGCATTACCTACCCCCACTATGATAATTGACATAGGCAAAGTGGATGCTTGGATTATTGCCTAAATAATATTTGTCAATAATGAGCTATACCCCTTCAAACATTATTTTTATGATCTCTTATATTTACTATTATTCTAACTTAATACAAAGTACAATAGATTCAAATGATTTTTAGTACCTGTTTAGTTTGGAACATATCAGTTATAACCCCATCTGTAATAATTAGCAGAATAAAATACTGAGATCCATCTTGGAATGCTTGAGCAAACTTTGCAACGTGATTGATTACAGGACTGAAATTTGTTGGTCCATATAACTCAACACTTCTAATGCAATGATGATATGCATTCATTACACCTAAAATTGAACATAAATTACATTTTTTAAAACCATAAGTGAACATTGACAATATCATTTAATTATAGTAATATAAATTAGAATTTATAATACAATACATAATATACATATATAGAATTTAGAGACAAAGTGTAGCAGGAATTTATTGATTTACTAGGTGTTTTTGTATTTTTCAATTTTTTGTGTCTGAACAATTTTTCTGCTAGAAATCTTGTTCTGAATTAAAAAGTGTAGCACCTTTTAATAAAAGCAAAATTGCTAGTAGAAAAGTTATGCTGAGGAAAAAAAAATCTAAATATTTAAGTAATATATTTCATATATTTTTCTTCCTATCCTTTCCTATCCTTTCCTTCCTCCTATAAGTTCTTCCACATGCCAATTTCCTTTCAGAAAAGGTGCTACATGTAGAAATTGAGAGAGACTTCTATGAGAAAAAAATGCGCACAGGTAAAAAATAAACATCTCTTTAAGACTATAAGCTCTAAAAGAAGACAAATTACAAAATATGGAATAGAATAAAATTTATTTCGGGTATCAGATCTAATATATATGTGAAATAATTTAGATACAATCAAGATGTAAAATTTAAACATATAAAAATAATAAATTAAGAAGGTGGTACTCAACACAAATCTCAAATAATTAAACTGTGTAAATACATAAGTTCATACTATCTGGTCTATAGCCAACTGATACACATTTTTATAATATTCTTAGGAAAATTAATTTCTCAAGGCTGTAAAAAGAAACATATCCTGGGTAACTCCTGAACTATAAAAAAAATATCTGAACATTTTAAAGTGTACATGGAAACATTATGAAACAACCTTTTACTTTTAATTTAGACATAATGAAAGAAGGGGAATGTCTGCTAGATAATATATCAGAAGAGGACAAATAGTATGAGAAAAGTATGCAATACTCTGGTCAGCAATATGAATATGAAATAGAGATAGGTCGTTCATAAATGTTTCATTCATTCAAACTTAAATGAACGAATTGATTCAGATTCAGTAACTGAGATAAAAAAAAAAATCAAATTAAAGCATAAATATAAATTAGACAAAAACAACATAATACAGAGAACTCTCATTATTATCTTTAAAAAACAGAAATGTTATGCATATTTTAAATCTAGACATCACTCAAATTTATATCATATTATCGGGTATAATTCTGATTTTGTTTAAACGTATACAGTCATAAACATCTGAGCTCTAGTTATTATATTATTTAGTATTTAAATATGTAAATAATTTAGATTTTTATAGATTACTTATGTAATGTGTAAGTAGTGATATTTACCTTCTATTCCAGCACAGTATGGATCACTGGCTTGTAAATTTAAGAAAAATTCATGAGAAACATTGCCTTGTGGTGGAATTTTTGCTCCAAATCCCAAAGCTGGAAACATTTTATCACTGTCATAGTCTTGAATAATATCTCCCACAGCTGATAAAGCCTGTTCATACTGATTGGGTCGATTACTGAGGTAATGCAGAGAATTGTAATCTTTCGGATCTCCATTAGAAGCTAATAAGCAAAGTAATAGAATTAAAAAAAAAAAATAACAATAAAATATCCCCGATTCATGAATATATGATAATACCTTACCCGTGAAATCTATGGCAAATGTACAATTAATTTGTGTACCGTTCATTATATAATCCAGGAAAGTAAATGTTTTTTTTAACTCAAAATGATTCAGACTAACAGTCCCATAAATTTTCTGAAATGAAAAATAAAAAAATGTTAATTAAATAAAGATACTTAAATTTAAAATATATGCATTTTAATTGACCAATTTTCATTAATATTTGTTTTTTAAAATAGTTAAATAATTGGAATCGGCAAATAAACAATCATGGAAAATACATTATTTAAAATCTTTATTGAAAACCTTTATAACAGAAAATTATAGATAATCAATTTCATAATTGAACAGATAAAGTATATACTTAAGTGTTTTTGACAGTTAATAGAAATTTGATTTATTTTAAGATACAGGCTCTTAGGTTACCCCTTAGGCTATTAACAACTATTTTTAAGGAGATTTCCAACCATAATTAGTATAATTAAATATTGTATTAAATTGACTATAAATTAGAATTTTTAGAAATTATTAAGAATACAAATATATCATTTTTATGAATATTAATGTAATATGTATAAAACTATTATAGTATTAAAAAAAGGGGGTGATTATGATCTTTAGGAATATAATCATCAATTTGATTTTCTATTAGTTTACCATTTTTGGTAGTAGTTTTCCCAATATATTATACTAGGTATTGTTATATTATATCATAGGGGATCTGGGACACAACCTTATTTTTTTTTTTCAAATCATGGTTTACAGAATTAATGTCCAATTTAATTTTTTTTTTTTTTGTAGGAAAGAGGATAATTTCTTATAAGGCACATTGCACTTTCAATTATCGATTCTGAGTGTAGAGTGATCTATTAGTTTTACTGTTTTTTTTTTTTTTTTGTATAAACTTTTTTACCAGAAATCTTGCTTCAATTAAGAAGTTTGTCAATAATAATAGAGAACTTAAATCAGCGTTGTCTTGACATGGTAAAATTTAAATTACTTTGGCCATTTTTGATCTATTTATAGACATTTTACATTTTTTTCAGGGTATATTTTATGTGAAATAAAGAAATCATTAAAAATGTACCAGAAGGTTGTACACTTAAGTACATTTAGGTATGAAAATTTATCTAGTTAAAAAAATATTTCTTATAGCAGGCCATAAGAAATATTACTGATCTTATATCCCAAGTTTATTTATTTACATATAGTATATTTAAGTAATGGTTTATGATACGGTAATTACAAAATATAATTTTATGTTTGTAAATGTTCAACATTGAAAATGCTCGATTGTGCAATACAAAATATGTCATTCCATTATTTTTCACCTTGCAAAATAATAAATTTCTAGGAAATTTATCAGTTACCAAAACACATTGCCTTTTTTTTTGTTCCACACATTTTTTATGACCTCCAGATATACTAAATATTAATGTAAAAAAAAATTGCAGCTGATGTAGTAGTTTATTGACGTAAATAATAAATTTCGTAATAATATTATTATGAAAAAATATAATCGTAATATAAAATCAATTTTGGCAAATTCCTTAAATATTACTGCAATTCAAAACATGAAGTAAAACTGAAATTTGCTCAGAATTGTATTTATTTAACATCATATATTGTTGCTTACAGATATAAATTAAATAACTTTAAGAAGTCTACCATTCCAACTTCATCTAAAACAGTTATTTTGCAGTATCAACTTTATTATTTTTTTTTTCTGATTATATAACCAAAATACACAAACAAAATAAGTTTAAAAAAATAATAAACAAATTATTTTTATTTAGATTCTAAATATAACATTTGAAAATACATTTTTAAAATCAAAGTCCATTACGGAAAGTAAAAAATCTTAATCTTTCAAGGAAAAAAAAAAAAAAAAAGATTGAAATCAGATTACTACAAGGCAGGAAAGTTGACCCTTTGACATTATGAAGAGTGGAAACCATTTTACATTTTCATTTTGGGCAAAATCAAGTCATGCACTGTAAAGAAGCATCTCTTTAAAGATTATTTTAATTGCATATCCTTCTGTTAGTTGTTTCAAATTTAAACTTAAATCATCACAATAATTGAAATGATATCAAATAAAACTAATTTTGGATAAATATTTTATAAAATAAATCACCTATATACTCCTTTCATTTAATTGTAAATTATACTACAATATTACAATAATATACTTACAGATGACTTTGATTTGATACATTTATGTTCATTTTCTGGTCCAGGGCCTTTTTTCAACTGATGCATTGTAGTATGAAACTCCCCTACAATATCATGTTTTTTAATACAAATATTTTTTTACGGATAAGAAATAACAAATTTAAATTAAAACAAATGTAGATTATTTTGTTCATTTAATTATTGTAATTCAAATTTGTGTTCATTATAATATGAAAATAAAAGTACTATATTGATAGTTATATAAGTACTCAATGTTTAGATTTAATACCATTAGTAAAATATCTCCTAAATAAAAATAGCTTATAAAATATTTTATGCATAAATTATTAATTTTGATTAAGAAATAATTTCCAATTTCGAAAGTTTTACCCTTCCATTTTTATTTTATCATTTAAATTTAAATAAATAATGACATATAGGGATTTTTCTATAGTAGTAGTAATATTTACTACTACTACTAAAAATGTCGAAATAAAAATAGCAGAGACTGTTACTAGTATACTGTTACCTGCTATTTACTTGACAATTGATATTGTAATTTTATTATATACAGATTAGTAGGCACTGTTTTACACTGGAAAGCAAATGTGAGGTAATGCATATGGCTAACTGTATCAATAACACTACTAGAAGCAGTCTGTGATTTCTACTTTGAACTTTAGAAAATCATCACTATTGATATTTCATGCAATCACTAAACCTAATCTATTATAAGAATGATTTTTTAAGCACTTAGTCACAAACTTGATCATTTTTCACTGCAATATAACAGGTGATTCTTTTATTGTATTACACTCATTATCTAGAAAAGTATTAATTTTTTTTCGGAATCTTTTATATAGAAAATTTAAGAAACAAGTACCTCTACAATTTTACATTTACATTATTTTTCGCCACCTTAATTTGTGGGTGTAAAACGACTACTTACTTTTGATATTTAAATGACAACCTACAATAAAATCCCATAAATAAATGGAGTATTAGTTAAAATAAATTTTGGTGTTGAAGTTTTTAATTTCCGTCAATCTGTTGATGAGATATTACATTTTTAAGTTTGGGTCAGGAGAGAGTAGTAGAGCATCGTTTGTGTGGCGGCAGTAAGGAGAATACCGTTTTAATAATGCACAGCTACTCTCCTCTGACTCAAACTTGTGGAATATCTGGTTAATGAAAAGATAGAAATTAAAAATGTCAACACTAAAATTTATTTATCCCAATACTTCCATCTATTTAAGGCATTTTTAATATTGGTTGGCATTTGAAAATCAAAATTATGTAGTCGTTCCACCCAAAAAAATAAAGGTCACAAAATAAATGTGATGTAACACTTTAGAACTATTTGTTTCTTAAATTTTCAAAATATTGACCTTTTTTGTTGCAATTTTAGTCTAGTTAATTAACAATAATATCGTTTATTAATTGTCAACATTAAAGTTAATTAAAAAATATATCATTTGAAAAACCTACTATTAAATATTATTATATATTTACCTATTAACAAATGATTTCCATTTTGTCTGTAGTGGTAGGATATTACTTTAATGTCTCTATCAAAGTCTGTACCGCATAATGAACGGACAGGTAAGGTTATAGGTTTCCAAGTAGGATTGTTTGTCCAACTAACAACTTCAGTTCTATACACTAATTGATACTGTCCATCCTCACCAACTTTATGCAATTCTAAAAATGGATATGCTTTTGAAAACCAAGAGAAAATCCTGAAATACAATAAAATATAAATTGAAAATAAATTCTTGATATCACAGTCAAATTATATTAATATGCCTACTTTGCTGTCCAGTCACTTCGCTCTAAATTTCTTCCACTAAAATATAAAGTGACTTCATCATGACATGCAGGAAGTTCTTCAGCTTTAACAATAACCTGACCTTTGTTATTAGCTTTAGCTCCTTTCAGAGGTAAAATAACTCTTACTGAAGATACAATCTAAAAAATACAAAAAATAAACTCATAATAACTTAAATAGCAAGTAACCAATCAAACCAATATATTACATGGCCAAGAGTAGTTTCACAGGATCCCAAAAAATCTTGACATTTCAAATCATGTAGTCTTGAATCTATATCATATACTTCAAGTTTAATTAACTGTTGAACTTCAAACCGATATAGAATATGAGCCTGGAAATAGGTACATATAAAATTTTTATTATGATTTTAAATAAATAAATAGATAAACAAATATTACTTTTGTTACAAAATCAGGATTTAAAGAATTATTAATACATTCTGTACGACAAATTTCATTCCACTTAAAACTTTCAGGGGTTTTCATATACACAACACACATAGGATCAGATTTAGAAAATACATCACAATCCAATAAGTTTCTAAAAAAGCAAAAACAAATGTATAATGATAAAAAAAATACACACAATATTATTAATACATTTTTATCATTTTAAATATTTTAACTTTTGATTAATATTTTGACATTTTTAATGAAAAATAAATAATCCTACAATTGTAAGTATGTAAACTTCTTTGTTATAAGAGTATGAAAGTGTACAATTTTACCCCCCTCCACGAAATATTTTTTGTTAACGCACCTACTATCAGACAAGGAAGTAAGTCCACGCTGATTTAATACTGTTAGGTGATCATGCTAAGGATGTTTAATTTTTAAAGCAAAGACAGCAAATATTAAAAAATGCCTCTGAACTTGTTCTAAATGTAAGGAGTCAGTTATCATAAATGGATCCAAATAAAATATACATAATCAAGTAAAGACCGAACAAAAGAACAGTGCATAGTTAAAACCTAAAATCTTAAATGTTTACAGAATAGTATACTTAGGTAAATCTTAGTAGTGAGTAGTGACCACATAAAAACACAAGCTGTTAATTAAATAAGTATAGTTAATAGGAAAGCAGTACCAATCAAAATATATGGACTTACATGTATTAATGTTAAACTGTAAACCAATGGAATTAAACCACATGATAAGCACGTTTAACTCCTCTTGGAAGATTACCCAATTACCTATCGAATCAATTTTATGTAAAAGTTTTGAACTATTTGCAAACATAAGAAATCTAATATCAGGTATAATCTATAATGTTCTTCTCAACTATTTGTGGTTGACCACCTGTCCTAAACTTCCACTTTACACGATACCCTGTATCATCCTCGCATACATTCACCTTACACATAATAGTATCGAACCTTCTATTTTTCAGTCTTCCTCTTCCACTCTTTTGTCCTACGTTTATATTTTCATTACAATTCTCAGTGCTTTTAATTTCTCTCTCCTCATGATATACTCAAACAATATCTATTTGTTTATTTTCTCTTATTTTGTTCACTATTGAAGCAATGCCTAAACTACCGATTATGTACTCATTCCTTATCTTATCTCCATCTTGTCACTTCATTCGCCCATAATGAAAATAATAAAGGTCATAAATGTCCTTCTCAAAGAACACCAGATTTCTTACCACATATTATTACTCATCCCCATTAAATGTGATTTGAATCATTGATAAAGGACTCATAAAAACCACCTTAAGACAGTACTTCCGTCAGGAATCTGTGATCAACATGGTCAGACTTATAAGAAATCAGTAAATATTACATCTACCTTAGAGTGATTTTCAATTGCATTCAAAACATAATTATTAATCACAATCAAGTTTAATGTAGCTGATCATTGTAAGATTATTAAATGTGTCCTAAATTTTTAGATTATTATCTGAGATATGCTTAATCTCAGAGACAATCAATTGGAAAATCTCTGCTACATTAAAAGTATTATGCAAAGGAATCGTTAGAGCCAGAGGAATAGTTAGGTAACAACGATAAGCTTTCACCAATTTTCACACTTGTAGGTATTAATTTATTAACAATTAAGTCAATTAACATAGGCGTCATCCAATGCACAAGGTTAAGCTTAGAACTCGAAAAATTAAATTTCTTGATACAAAGTCAAATATAAAGCCTATCTAGTATTTATCTATTAATCTAAAACTATTCCCCTGTATTTGAATTGGATTTTTATTTTTATAATACTTACAACCTTCAACAAAAATATGTTCAGTATCAAATCTTGTTTAAGTTGGGCATTATTTCATGGTATAGGTTAATATTTTTTTGAGATGTATATTTAGATATCAAATTAATGATAAAATATATTTATTTAGAAATCTAGATAATATAATTCTAATAACAGTTTTAGGCAATGTTCAAATTAGAAAAATAAAAGAAAGAAGATAGTTAGACTTAAAAAAAAAAAATGAGTGTTCCTGGTAATGATTGAGCTTTACTTAATCCGAGCTAATTGTTCATAATACATACTCAATTTTAAAATCTATATTTTTTTACTATTGATATAATTGTTTTAGGTTTTAGTTAATTTTAAATATTGTAGATATTTAGTATTATTAATTATATTGATACATAAGTATGCACTAATAGAGGATCTTATTGGTTAAATATAATATATTTAATTTATTTGTATAAATTGTCAGTTTAATTTTACTATAAATCATTATTCAATAAATTAATTAACAAAATTTAATAAGATATACATATAGAAACCAGGCATAATAGGCACGCTCGCAGTGATATTTTCTTTATTTGAATTTTTGAGTTAGTACTAGGTAGAAATAATGAATAACTAATCTAAAATTTAATCATAACATTATAAATATAATAAGATTTGAAGGTTGAACAAATACAAATTATAATACTATATATATTAAATGGATATAACATTATATCTTTGTGCATGATATTCTAAAGATCATCTAGTTATTAAGTAAACTAGATTAAATTACATTTATAATTATTAATTTAACTATATTAAATCAAGTAAACCATACATTTCTGTAAAAACAATTGTGTTATTAGAACATTTTAATTAGATACAATTTTAAATTTTATAAATATGAATATTGAATACTAATACTGAGCATATATCAACAAAATATTAAAAGATAACACTTAAATGATCTAAGACTGTTAATAAGTATAAACAATTTGTATTGTTAATATCTATTGAAAAACCAACTGATTTAAATTTTAAATAAGCATGCCTTTATCTCGCATTATTTTATTACATTTTCTATAATGAATTATGAGTCATAAATTTGGCCATGACTACAAGCAAAACCTAGTCTTATCTCAAACTTTCTAACTACCAAAGAATTTTTTATTGTGTGCAAGATGACTCAAAAAATTAGTGCTTTATGATAAATGGTATGGATTGAATAAAAACTTAATGAATTAGTGCACGATGACTAAGTTATTCATAAATGTCTATGAATTTAATTTACTGAAAACAATTTATAAAGTTCGGTTGGTTTTATACTACAAGCATGTTGTTTTATTTAAATAAAGAATTAGATAAAAACTAATATAGATAATTTAAGTAATGATTCACTTAAAATAACTATATGAACTCCACCATCAGAAAACTTAAATTTAGGTTGTATTTTATTAAATATATGCTTTTATAAGACTAAAATAGGTATGGTACATGCATTTAATTTATTCCAAACCATACTACATAATAATAAAACTTATTAATAATGTGTCATTAGTAGGTACATTCATTGACCACCAACTTACCTACCTATGTGGTGAATCATACATTTACATAAAAAGTCTGATTAATCAACAACAAATATGTATATTAATTAACTACTACCTATACTGATAATTTTTGCTTTATAAGCATAAAATAAAAATAAAGGGGGATAGTCGACAAAAATTTTACATAGTATTCATAAGGAAGTTGACATTTTTTTATGACTTGAGGCTTGTTTTTTGTTTTGGCTTATAAACCCATAACCATCATAACCCCCTTCCCTCCATCATCCGAGTTAAAAGTGCTTTTTTTGCCTATGGTTGTTTCAAATATTATGCATAAAAATATAACATTATTACATGATTACATTATATTCTATTCCTATAAATACTAAAGCATATTTTAAATACTATTTATATTGTAACTTGGGTTAATTTCGTAACATATTCAAATAAATAAATAAATAGAATATACTTATTGCAAATAAAGTATATCTACACTAGAAATTTTCGTTCAAAATGTATCTATGCTGTTGTCAGCATTATAAAATTAGGTCGTCAGAGCACGATTGAACAAATCTAAAAGATTGGTATTATGAGGGTGGCTAGGCGTTCATATTATAAAGAAAAGTACCGTGTTTTATATACTAGTCTTGTAGTTTCAAGGACACTTAAATGGTGTTAAAAATTTTACTTTTTTTAAAAAACTTTCCAAAAAAATAAAAATGATCATTTGTAACACCCAAGTTATTATTATAGTATAAAATGTTTTCAAACAATTTGTGTTCTATATCTAACATCAAAGTCTAGTGTTTTTTTTTTTAAAAGAAAATATAATATTTAAAAATAGCTGGTAAAAGTTTGAACTGTAAAAGCTATATTTTGTTGGTTATTAAGCACTTTTTAATAAAAAAAAAAAAATTGTACATATAATCAAGAGTTTTTGTTCAGAAATCAAGTATTCTTAAAAATATAAATTTATGTAAACATTTTTTTTTTGTTAATTTTATTTTACCAAGGAATAAAGATATTTATTTTGTTATTAGATATTACCATTATAAATATATATGTATTTAATCAACTTTTTTTACTAAACTAGTTAATAATACCTAATAGTTATTTTATTTTGTATTTTCAGTAGTGTAATGTTAGATTAAAAAATATATTTAAAAGTAGATATGTAAATTATAAATATAAAATATTACTATGTTCCTTCACACATCTCAGTCATCTAAATAATTAAAATATAAAAGAAAAAGTTGATTATCGTAATAATACATTATTGATCACTACTCATTTTTGTCTAGTATTTTAATTTTTGTATAATCTAGCCACTCTGAGTATACATTTTTATTATAATACCTTTAAATTAATTTTGTAACAGGTATGCAGTCATATTATTAGGTATTATGATAACAGTGGACTTTTGAAAATAAATCCATATAAATTGTAAACAATGGTTTAATGTCATATAATATAATAATACTGAAATAAAGACCTCTTTCTATAAGTCTACAAGTGATCAAATCAAAGAGTACCTAATGTTTTTCTTGTTAATATGCAAATTAAAGTTAAGTATATAGGTGCAGAAGTAAATGACAAAACACGTAGCTACATTGATAATGTCAATATGTGACTAGAATCTTAATGATTATTAAATACGTACTGTTTGCAACAGTACGTATTTAACAGTCTAATAATATAATATAACAGTATAATAATATAATAATTAAATACCTGCAGGACAATGATAATTCAATTTCTGACGTTGGCTCGGTGGACGAACCAGGTTTAAATAACTTGGCCATGATAGTGTACGGCGGTATTTCTGATATTTTACTTTTGGAACGAATGTTATTGATACGTTACAAGGCACGTAACTTCAACTGCTGCCTGGGAGTGTGCGCCTGTGAATATATTATTATTGCTCGAGCATAAAATTTTGTTGTGCTTGTTTGGGACTTGCGCGGGAGATAACAAGAACAATTTTTGATTATCTTTCCACCCGAATCGACCTAGTATACTACATCAATAAGCTAGATAATTGATTTAAATTTGTATAACTACTATAAAATCAATGGTTATATATAATTTAAATGAATAAAATTGTACATGCAATTGTAGAGTACTTATCAGTGGCCACGCTGACAAAATATAATACAAAATAATAAATAATACTACATACGAATTAAAAAGTAATAACACTCCTATTATTAAAATAGACAAAATTTACACTATTTTTCATTTTAGACGGGGAGGGAAAAATACAACTATTTCTGATAACGAAAATATGGGTTGGGCGTGTGATAACGAATGTACGATACGAAGAGGTCGTTTGCCAAGGAGAATGGGTTCCATGTGCCATCAGATCGGATGGAGCTTGTGAACGGGCCGAATAGTACCAAGAAAATTTCTATCGGACAAGAAAATTTACTGATGATCACTCGCCGGACTCTAAAAATGGGCGTCTATACGTTAGACTTGGTCATGAATTTATTTTTAAAAATTTTCCTCCCCCTGGCCGTGACGGTTCCAAGGACGCTATATACCCGGACTACGTAGATTGTCCCCGTACCATTTCACCCGATTTTCATCCTGTCACTACTTGCGTAAAAGGCGGATGTGTCGTGACTTGTGAGCATTTTCCAATTTCGACCAACAGTCGCCGCCGTGTTCATTTACGAACAATAGTTCATTAAACGGAACTACCCGCTACCGCGCCGTCGCCACTGCTGTTGACACCGCTATAAAATCGTTTACCTACTTACATTAACATTTACAAGCTTACAATATTTATAAGACACATTGTTTAATTTTTTTTGTTGTTGTTTTTGTACCTCCACCACATAATATATATTTATATATAAATTTATATTATAATATATAAGGTCAATGGTATTCGACAACATTGTTACCTTAGTACAGTAATTATAAATGTTACAAACCGAGAGGATGCCTGATCTGGTGGAAGTGATGAGAATGGGCAAAGATCATCGCCTCAAGCACAGGCAGTTGCCCCTTCAAGTCGACGAAAACTTGACTGTAAGTCAAACTTTTTTCCATTACTCCCTTCCAACATGTATCTCTTTGGCGCACTAATATTAGGATTTCCTTACACATGTCATCTTACCAAACGACCATATGTACTTTGACTTCAAAAAGGATTTTTGACACAGTTTGATCCATACTTATTTCCTTATTAGATAAATCCTAGGTGATTTTCGGTTTTCACTTTTTGCACAATGTTTTTGCTTTAAACCAATTTTATTTCTGAATTTCCATGTTGTTAATATAATATATATGCAATATATACAAATACTTATACTTAAGTTCATAACTATCTTGCAGTGCTTACAATTCTGGATTAAATTGTATTTTGTTTGCAGTTGGTGATGGATCTTAGTAATGAAGATCTGGTGCAAGAAGTAAAACAAGTACCACCGATAAAGGTTCAGTCTGTTGATAGTTTTGTGAAAAAATATCGCATGTTAAGCAAACGTGAATTACAAGATGTTTTAAAAGTTTCTATCAAAGAAATATTGAATATAATGAGTGAAAGTATTGATTGTGTTGGATGTCGTAGGAGGTAAGTGTTATTCCATCATATTTGTTCTCAATTTTATAAAAAAAAACACAAACTTGATAAATTATTTTTGCAAAACATTAATTTATAAAGTTAGGTATACATTTATTAGTTTATTAAAAGTAAAACGATGACTGGTTTAAATTTCTAACAATATTTTAATGATAATATTATTAGCTAATCATTTTTGTATTGAAAAATTAATATTAATTTTATAAAACCTAGATTTTCAATTATATATTATAAATAGTTCTATAAATCGTTTGATAGAAATTAAATTTTGTTAAATTATGGTTTATTTCACAGTAATACTGTGAAAAAACACATCTCTATAAATAATTATAGAAGTTGTAAATTAGTAATCTTAAAACATAAATATTGTATTTAAGGTAAAACTATTTAACCTTGATTTTAACTGATAAAAATTTTTCTTTTTGTTTGAACTACTTTCTGTTTTTACAAATTGTAATATTCATTTTTTCAGTTTACTCTAAAATCAATTTTAAAGGTAGATATATTTAAATTTATTGTATTTTATCAGTGTTTAATTTAATATTATAAAAAATATTTATAATATACATAGGTACCTACTTACAATTATTTAAAAATATTATATTATAAGAATTACTATTAATATGATAGTAAAAGTATACATGTTTCTTTTCCAGTGCTGAAAAATTGTTTCTAGAAATGGCCAAACTCGGTCAAAATGCATTATTTCCTCTAGTAATAGTTAACAACTACTCCATATCAATAAGATGTGAATTCTACGATGAAGAAAGATGCATGTATAATTTACTTCAAAATACTAATGGGTAATTTATTTAAACTTATATTAAAATTTTAAAAATATATTTTATTTTGAAAATTGTTTAGGAATCGCTTATCATCAATAGCATCTAGTCGAAGGCAATCAAAAAAGAGTAGAAGGTGTGTTTACCATTCCCTTGAGTCTCAAAGACTTGTCAGACCAATGGCAAGTGGTTGGCAAGATATATGGAAACATATGACTGAACCATGCAGAGATGAAATAGTACTTATAGAAGCTAGTAGTTTGTTAAGCACTCTAGATAACTATCTTAGAAAACATAGGTAATTTGTAATTTATGTTTCTGAGATATCTCTTTATCCTTAAATATTTGACCCTTTAATATTTTTATGTTGATCAAGGGGTATTTTGTATTTTTTAAAACTTCAATTTTGTGATAATCAATGAAAAATATTTGAATTTTAGTCATTTTATCATAAAATAGTTTGTTTTAATATTTTTAAACAAATATTAAAAAAATAAAAAAATATGTTTCATATCAAAGCATAATTTTAATTTAGCTAGCAAACTATTTTTTATCAAACTGTTTTTTGTGCTTAAGTATAATAAGAATGTTAAAAAAAAAACTGATTGTTTAGATATTATGAGAGAAGAATGCTGAATTTAATATTGAAGAAAAAAATGCTTGTTAAAATATGATTTTAATCGTAATTTTAAACTAACGTAAACTAATTATTAACGACTTGTTCATAAACCTTGAAAAATGGAATTTTTCAGAATTAAACTAAAATGCTAAAAATTTACATTTTTAAACTGTTGGCGAATGGAGGTCATTATAGGACTAGTCTTTTCATTAACTTCCTTACACTTGTATTAGGTTTTTATCCACAGATTGTAGGTTTCTAGTCTGTATTAATCAAGCAAAAATTGTCGCTAATATTTATAGTTAGTGGTCATTAGACTTCTCTCCATAAAACTAAAAGTACCCAAATATGATAAATCTATTTTAATTCCATCAATGGCTGATTAAGTATTGGAAACCATACATTTTTACAAAATAATTGAAAATTTTAAATTCTCAATATTTTTTTTAAAATTAATTTACATTATGGAAACCCAAACATTTTCTTGAAGTTTCTATGTTGAATCTTGTACATTTTTACATTCTTATTATAAATATGAACAATAAAATTGTTAAATTATTAAACTATAATTGCTCCCAGATTAAATACCAAACCTTACAATTTGTTTTGAAATTTTATTATTTATATTATTAATGATACAATTGTCCAAAATCTGCTTTTATTAAACTAATAATTACTTTATTACATTATAGTATTTTTAATAAATTATTTCTATAATTATTCATTAGGTTTTGTGGAGATTGCCGTACTAAAGTGATGAAAGCATATGCTCTTCTTATTGAAGAAGAAGATCCGTCCAAAGAAAAGGGTTATGTAGAAGAACTTTACTCTGGTATTAAAAGGTGTGTTGGAGATAAACATGTGCATTTGGACACTGATATTAATTATATCGGAGCATTAATTAGTCGAGCTGAACCAGAACTAATGGGAAAGTAAGCACAAACTTACAAATAATAATAATTATTAGGGTCCAAATGCTAATACCTCAAACATTATTGTAAAATAACTTAAAAAAAGAGCTTCTTTGCTAAATAAAACTCTTAAAAAACTGATACTAGGGACAAATGTATCACTGTTTTAGATGGGAAGTTGGGAAGATAGGATACATAAAGTTTTTAAATTTATATCTGTAAGTAACAACAAACCATTGCTAATAAAAAATTATTTTGAGCGAAGTTAGATTATAAATATATTGAAATGCTGTGATTTGTATGACTCATCAAAATTTTAATTTAATTTCTAAACAAAAATTGACTACAATTATACTCTACTTGTTTTATTTGACCATTCAATCCTACTTATAATAAACCTCCTTTAAAATTTTCAAGTAATTTTGTTCGGTTAAACAAATTTTTCCATATAGTACCTACAAAATAAAAACTACATAAAAAACTCATCATTATATTATATATAATATTAAAACTTCAGGAAATTTTGAAAATTTTACTAATTCATCTAGAAAAGGCCAATACAGTTGAAATTGTTGATACCTCAAACTTTTTCCATGGTCCCTATAATTTCCTATTTAAATAATGTATAAAATATCCCATTTAATTTAAATATTCCGTTGATAACCCGAAGTTCCAATTTTATTAGAATCCGTGTTATATGGATTATTCTCCTGTGTATATACATGTATTATCAAAAATAAAGTTTATTAATGTTATGGTTACTTATGCAGTTTTTACAACTGGTTTACCACTCGTTAATATAACACATTATTCACTTACATGTATATATACTTTAGTGCTTCATTATGTGTTTCAATGAAAATGATTTTAAGATTGTTTGATATTAATGAATCAAATAAAAGTAATAGAAAATAATGAATCTAATATTTTCTGCTCTTTTTATTTTTCCCAGTATTGGTCAATTATTAACAAATCTGTATGGAATATTATAAAAACTGCTACTTTATTACTCACTTACTAAATTTAAAATTTAACAAAAGTGAAAAAAATTATCTTATTGTTTTTTTTATTAACCAGTTGTTGGTATTGTTAGATAACATCTCATCATTGATGTTAAGTGAGTGCCACACTTCACCCCCTTGTTTTTTCATTATTTTCTATATAATAAACATAAAAACATTGAAAGCAACACCAAATTATTTATATTTTACATATTAAAAACAACACTATGATTCATATTGGCCTGAGTGGTCCAACATGACGTTAAGTTGTAAACGCAACACTCATTATATGAATTCTGATAACATACAATGTTTTATCATATTTATTCATATATTATTAAGAAATATTTATACAATTTTTTTATTTACTAAAGTATTTGGAAACATGTGGATTGAAAGTATAAATAGTATCAGAAGAATTAAGTAACAAATGAACAAGTGGTTCTCAAAATACTAAAAAAGTGAACACTCGTAATGTTTCTAATATAAAACATAATTTGCAAAAATTTAAAGCAATGGAATCTGAAAAATTGCAATTTAATATAAATATTTGTGTGTTCTGCATGTACATTGTTTTCCAGCTTTTCCTAATTATTTTTAAAACCCCATGAACAATCAAAAAATAACCTTCCCAATACCCCAACTAGATCCCAAATGTAACGAAAAAGGTTTTGTCATTTTCGATTGGAGTAAACTTTTTGGTAGAAAAGTTTCTCACAAACACACACACACACACTCATAAAAAAAACCATGCAGTATAGTAAGACAAATAGATCCCTTGATCAGCTTAAAATCTAAAAATGTTAAAAATGCAAAAATTAAAGTTTCACTATTGAAGTATCTGTTCCAAGAATCAAATTTTGAATATGAAAAACATTGTCTTCTTTATCTGAAAAAAAAAAATGTTTTAAAAAAAGTACATTTAGCATTGAATTCTGGACTTAAAAAATAATGGTAATAATAATACAAAAATAAAAATAATTATGAATTAATTATCATTAGTCGTAGAGAGCGACATGCTAAAACTATAGAGATTGCTCAAGAAGAGGTTTTGACGTGCCTGGGTATTTGTGTATATGAACGATTACATAGAATACAATTGAGGATAAGAGAAGAACAATATACTTGCCAAGTTCTGGCAGCAGCAGCTATTGATGGTCTTGCCAGAAGATTTGAAGTACTTTTATTTTTATTTTATTTTTTTTCCAAGTGTAAAATATATTTCATAATAAAATGTTATCTAGACTGCCATTGAAGTTAAACAAGGATTTACCAAATTAGATCAGTTTTATAATGAATTTTCAAGAAAAGAGAAGAAAACACAAAAAAGGAAACGATTCAGGAAACAAAAACGATTACAGAAAAAAGAAACTAAACAAGATGACTCGGAATTAAAACCATGTTGTAATGTAAGTTATATATTTAATCAAATATATGTATAGTATTATAGTATGAACTAGATTCAAAGTACAAAATACTAATGTGTTCTTATATAGGTTAGTTTAGATGAAGATTGTTTGTGTGATGTAGATGAAGAAATAGATTTTGGAGGTGATATCGATGATGATGATGATTATGATGGTGCACAATCTAATGTATGTTTTGATGTATATTTTGAAATTATTTATTGATTTTTATTTAATTTCTTTTTTTTTTATAGGAAAGAGAAGATTCTGATGAAATTTGTGATCATATTGATGAGGATTGTAGATGTGAAGTAATAGAAAGAGTAAAAAAAGTAAGTGTTATACTTTTAAAGTTTGTAAACTTAAAAATAATTAATTTATGTTTTTGTAGCAGCTTAAATTATTGACTGGCGATCGAAAGAAAAGTGTTTCCACACCAATTAAACTATGTAGTTGTGTTGAATGTAACTCTAAAGGGACTAGAAAATCAAAAAAGAAAAAAAATAATGGAGAAAAAGAAAAGCGCAATAAAAAGAAGCAGTCTAAAAGCAATAGAAAAAATGCCAAAAAAATTAAAAAGCCACCAGTTCAATCACAAAACCAGCCAAAAAACAAAAATACTTACGATTTGAATGTAGACGAGGATGATGACATTGATGATGAAATAGAGGACCAAAATTCTGTTGATGAACATCAGTCAGAAGGTGGTGATTGTAAGTCAAATGTAATCAATCATGATCTTTTACCTGGCAGTTGTAGTTCATGTCCATCATTATGTGACCATTCACAAGATTATGGCTATGCATCAGCAGAAAATAATAACCACAGTAACAGTACAAGCTCTCCAGATGGTTCAGATGTGGCATGTTCTGAGGGATTTTGTAATCATTCAGGTAATGCAAAAGTATAATAAAGTACAATAAGTACAATAAAATAGTGAACTATATAAAGTCATAATTTGATATAGAACGATTTTGTAAAGGTGTTGTATAATTCATAATGGATAAATAAAAATTGATTCTTTTAACAATAGATACTAAGTAGATGCTTCTTCTATGAATTATCAAGTATTAATGTCAAATTTTCCATAGATATCTGTAAATGCTTATTATGCGAGCTCTGGAGTTTTAATAATAAAAGTATACATTTTTAGTTCTTTAAAATCCATTTAAAACACCAAATTAATATCATTGAGATGTGAAAAAAATTTTTTTCTTACCAAGTGTTCTGTTTTATCAAAAAGATGATTTTTTAATTGCTAGAACTTTCGAGTACCTTTTATTATTTACTTACAATACAATTTTTGCTTATTAAAAAGTGTTTTTTCAACATCTCTAAATTGTTCACTTTTGTTTTTGTTTCAGGAGATACTAATTTTGTTAAGTTAAGATGTTATTCAAACATGGGAACGGAACTCAGCAAGTCATTGCCACTTCATCAGTTATTAATAGAAGAATTGGTTGGTTATTATTTATTTAAATTTAAATTAATTTGCTAATATTCCATTATAACTTTGTTTTATTTTCTTAGGAAAAGAACACAATCATTATGGATGAAACTTTCATACCATCAGAAGAAGTGGAGATGTACAAAGTCTGTGCAATGTTAGTGAATGAGAAACGTCTAAAGCTTAGGCAGACACTTAAAAGTGGTTTTGCTAATTTAATAGACCCTCAGATCTTGTGAGTCATTGTTGGAGTGGCATTCTCACTTCTCTTATTCCAAAACATTTTTAAGAAAACAGTTTTAGTTAATTTTTCATTACTTATACTTATATAATATAATATAGAAACATTTTTTTTTTTTTTTTTGCATACATAAAACATATTTCTTTTAGTTAATATTTATAAATAATTTGTTCTGACCCGTTTTGATTAGATCAATGCAAATTTATTTAAGAATATTTTTTATATTATAAATTAAAAATTTATTAGTGGATTTTAATAGTTTATTTGATAACCATTATTAAAAAGAGTATATGCCATTTATTTTGCTGGTATAAATGTTTTATTGTTTCCTGTTTAAAAAAAATTATTCTCAAAATACCATGGTTTAAATTGTGTTAACAGATAACTGACAAAATTCAATTATTTCAGCTCATTATTTAAATATTGTAAGGATACGAGACTGTATAGCTATAATTTGTTTAATATTATAAAATTTAATAATTTGGTTTAAATTAAGTAATTTTGATATGAATTATCTTCAAGTGAACATGTTTATGTTATTCAAATAATGATGACACAAATTCTTAATCATTGTTTAATCAAAATCTAGGGTGTTTTTAGTTTGGAGATAATGCCTAGTGAATAAAATATGCGTACACAAACATTTTGTTAAATTCAATACATCAAACTGGCTATATTTATTAAGTCAGTTAGTCTTAGAAATGAATCGTGCCCTAATTTAAAAATGCGAATCTAAAAGTATTATATTATATACCTTGTAAAATTTACATCCACTTACAATTGGTCTGCAGTTTGTAAAATAAAAACTAAAATATTAAATATTAAATAAACAAATATTTATTTTTGAATGTACAAACATAGTAAAATCAAACCATTAAATCATACAATTTTTAGTTTTAATTAGACTATACTTTTACTTACAAAATAAACATATTTAACACAAGATAAATATATTTTATAAAATCATGTAATTTTTCAAACATTTAGGTACAGTGAATTCTTTAATATTTTGCTCTAACAAACATCCTAACAATACATTAGTGTCAACTATTTTACCATTAATTAAGTGTAAAAAGTTGTGTTTTTCTTTATTTGACCAATACATTCTTAAACGCTTACTGATGAAATCTCCAGTTAATGACAATGAGGCTACTGGAATGTAATCTCTCAGACTAACAGAGTACAATTCCACATAAGCTCTCAAACTCTCCCAATTTTCCAGTGCATAAACTGGAGAATAAACTATGCGATAATCTAATCCAATATCTGTGTATAAATGTTTATAAATAGCTAACATTTCATCAAATTGTTCTTTAGCTTTGTATTCATCCATTGATCCAACAATAAATTCTACAGCATTTGTTTGTACAGCAGAGAACAATCCGTTATTATTGTTTGAAGGTTTGTAAGAACGACCAGTAGTAAACAACTTCAGTGGGAGTTTGATTCCACCAACACTTTGTTTGGTAAGAAAAGCACAGAATGATTGAAGACTTGCACCACCAGTTAAATGCAACTTTTTTCCACTCAGAATGAAAGTTTGATCTGCATTGTTAATATCTCCACCACACCCTTCAACAATAACACTTTTAATGATATCTGAATTACAAAATGGTACAAAGTTCAGTTGTTCTAGGGTTTCACTCGCATAAGACATTATTGCTTGTTCAAAAATAGATGCTTCATTCTTTAAATAAACAATAACAGAATTAGTATAATCTATACAGTCTAATGCTGTGCCAATTTCCACATGACCTATACCATGTTTATTATTGTATTTGTTTTTACTGTCATAGTGAAACAAAATTTTACTTTCAGATAAAGGACAATCGGGATGTAAAGTATTAGGTATACCAAGACTAGGAATAACAACTTCTTTTTCTAAAGTAGTAATTTGATCCCTGATTAACCTTAACTGGGTTATGACTTTTGATTGACACTCTTTAAGCCTGATAATCTCATCATTATCCATTTTAGATCTCTTTAATTGTAGAGCTATATTTTGTTTTTCTGTATTTAAATTGATTAGTTTTTCTTTGACATTTATAAATTCTGACCAATTATTAAATATTTTATCCAAATCAATACTCAAACCTCTTAACGTGATATTATCTTTTAAAGTTTGTATATTTTTTAAACGATTTTCTAAGTCAATGTAAGGTTCAACAACAACATAGTTGTAAGAAGTTTCATTGTAAGGTATGTACAGTTTTGATGTACTATATTTTTTAGTTATCTTTAAAAGGGAATGAAGAGAAGAAGACAATTTTTTTATCATTGTTTGTCTATATTCAATGAACAAATATTAGCAAATTGCTCAGGTTCTTTATATTCTTCTACATTTATTGGCTGTGTAATAATAATTCTTGCCTTAGGTTCAATGTAACTGCCGAAACCAGCTGCTCGTTCAGACTCTTCAATGCTGTATGGCTCAAGCTTAAGTTCCTTTATCCGTTTTTTGTGTAATTTGGTACGAAAATGGTCTTGAAGGACTTGAGCACTCAAAAAGTAACGCCTAATAATGGGATTAATTAAGTATGTATTATTTATTATACAGATTATTCATTTAAGTGGCTAAATTTGTATTGAATTCAAAATTATTTTTTTTGATCATTTAAGAAAGAAGCAACTCTAAAATTTTAGATTAATATTATTAAGACTACCTAACTTTAATTTTCAAGTGATAACTTAAATTAAAAATTCTATAAATAGATTGGAGTATTATTTATTTAATATTATATAGCTGTTTGTTTCTCAAATTCTAAAAAATATAAAATAATAATTTAAAAAAAAATAAATTGTAGCCATTTAAATGGATCATCTGGTATTGTAATGATAAAGTACTTACGCACAATGTATACAGTAGTGTTGTCCTTCACCAGGCTTATCGAAATCAAGTACTTGTTTCAACAAACGATCAGCATTTTCTTTTTTAAGGTCTTTATCAACCTAAAACACAATTATGTTAATTAATGTACATGTAAGCGGTAGTAAAACAAATAACTTAATTAATATTAATTATAGTAAAATTAACTAAAGCCTAGCCCACCTAGTTACACGTGTATTTTAGTATTTACTCTACAATAGTTAGTATTTATTAATACTTATTATAAACCTCGTCAATGTCTCTTGCCCTGTACTTAGTCTTATAGTTCCGTTTGTAAAAAGTATCACCAACGTGATGTTTTTTCTTCCTTTGCGGTCCGGGCATCTGCAAAAACAAGAAAATTATCAGCTATCACTACTGCTTAGATAATTCATTCATAAATGATAATAACAACGTAATACCGACTACGAAAAATTCGCACTCACTTACATTTTTCGAAGAGAGACGTAGTAGAAAATTAGCACCTGTAGAATGAAAATTTGACGATAAAATCAATAATTCGGAATTACGTAGGTACTAGCCACTAGATACGTTTTCCATCATAATTCATAACCTTAAATTTTAAGACTGAGCTACTGCGAGCACGTTACACGTGTCGGTATTGATAACGAAAATCTATATTTTTGATAAATGGCACAAACATATTAAATGGTAAATTTGACCATAATATTATGTAATGATAAAAAATATAAGTTTTAATTATAGACCTTATACTATAATAAAAAGGTCATAAATTTACCTCAGCATTATAATGTGTAAATTTGTAATATTATCATAAACAGGTAATCAATAAAATACAATCAGGATCGATAAGATGCAAAATCACAGCCACACAATATCTATATAGCCGTGCGGGATACACTAAGTTCTCCCGGTGTGATAAGAATCATAACCTCAACAAAATAAAGTACCAACTATCAAAATTTGAAATTAATATCTGTACGAATTTAATGCCAACGAGTTGACGGCCCTAAAGACTAGTGTATTTAAAATGTATTCACACTGGAACAGACGTATATTGTTTTTTTCCAATACCTTATCAACATTTTTTTTTCGTACCGTAATAGTCACAGAATAAAGAATACATCAATCAGTGACTTGCAATGCATTAAACATGTTTTAAATAATTATTTCTTGCATGATCTTCGACACGAAAAAAATTTAAAAATATTTTATTTTATTATCTTAATATAAGAACTTGTTTATTTCAATTCATATGTGTAATATATATATACGAAATTTTCAAAATGTATGGTACATTGATACGTCAAAAATCTACCCAAATTATGTTAACAATAGATAAAATAAAAATGATAACACAGACAAATTTATAAACAATTTCGACTAGGTGAATTTTGTATGTTTCCAAGTTGGTATTTTTGGATTTCGATTTTTCGGTCATTTTAAGTTATATTTCTTATCATACCGGGAGAACTGATACCCATGCGAAACTATAGATAATATTATTTGACCGTGATCTATGGGATAAGATCAGATATAATAACTATCATGTGATATGCCATGATTTTGGACGTTATTATTTATTTATTTATAATATATATACAGGCCCACGCCCTACAATGGTAAAACAGAACATTTTGTGTGAATAAACTATATGTTAGTAAAATATAAGTATGCATGAGTACAATATAATAAAAACGTAAGAATAAGTTAAAGTATTAAGACAAACTTAATAAGATTTAATAAAATCAAATCAATTTAAACATAAATTAAATGTGGAGTCGTTATTGGCAAGCTTCATAATGCTTATAAAGACTTATAAGCTCATTACTAAAATAGTTGGTGGTATGAAGAGGGATGAAAAAGTGGTGTGAATTTTAAAGTTTATGTGTGAGAGGAGGGTTGGAGAAACGTCGGCACCAGATAAAAGTCTTTGGAGGTAAACAAGGTTAAGATCGTGTCTACTATCGGCTAAGAATATAAGATTGAGTTTAAGGAGGACAGTACTTTAATCGTGAGGAGAGCAGGTGACTTATAGTTTAGATTGAGAGATTTAACTTATAGCTTGTAATAGAACTTAGAATTGAAAAGCTTGATCCATTGAGGCCTGTTATTAAAGAAAAATCCAAACCAAAACAAAAATGGATCGCCTAATCCTGAAGAAGTGAGTATATCTATTAGAACGGTGTGATGGATGGAATCAAGAATAAGTGACTCGAACATTTTAGAAATGTGAGAAAGGATAGCATGATAGTATACTTGGTATTACTATATTATTATTATTTTAGTAATACTATTTAGTATATTATCCGAACAAGTTTAGTCAACCATTATTAGAGTAAACTGATTAAAAATTTTACAATAAAAAAAATTTAGTGCTTATTTTTCCCTATCGTGGAAGCGAAAAATATCATATACAATGTCTAATCTAATAATTTAAGACCTAACTGTGTTCAATGTTGTTCGTACCGTGATAGTTACTATCATTATCACGATAGGGCTAAAATTTACGTTTCTACTAGCGTTTTATTACCTTATTCCGTGACCAAATCTAATTATGTTACTAGAGTAGTTTTCTTCCCCTGATCTATCCTGCGTTCCAAGATCTAATATAAAACATACCTATCATAAGAGGTACCTATTATATATTAGGTAGGACCGTAATCTTGTCTACGCACATCAATTTTGATAAGCGAGCAGCGCTCCCAGTGTTATTTTTTTTATCCTATTCGCGTTAAAAATATGGTTTCTGATTTCAATTTCCAGATAACAGTGCATTTTTCTTTTTAAGGAGTGCTTTGTTCGCTTTAGCCAAAACCAAAAGTCAAGTTACACAAGTTTCCTCTTTCGTTGAACTCGACTGTGATATTATGTGAACAATTATTATATTTGACTAACTCATCATAATATCCCTTGTATAGCAAAACTTTTCGAGAATATAATCATCTAATCTGAATAGATAATACATTTATGAAAGCAAATTATATACCATGCATATATAATTAGGTCGCTATATATGTAATATATTTATCGGATGCAAACTGCGAGTGTCTTCAATTCTGTTGACTGTCATTTCAAATGTCGACTTTTCCAGTTTACTGTACTTTTAAGACTGACCATAATACAATGAGTCATATCAACATGACTGACAAACTAATAGGGAACACAGTAAATACATACGATACATAGTTTATTGCCTTGTAATTTTATGTATATATATATATACGTATATACAGTGGATCATTCAATAACAATTGTTGATGAAGTAAGTATATGTGAACATTTTTTAATTTTTTGAATACATTCCATTATTAGTGAAATATTACTGTATTGTTTTTAGTAGTACTTATAACAAAGTTCAAAGTGAAGATTTTGTGATTGAGTTGCAATGCAAAAAGAGGGCAAGCCTAGGTTTCTTAAACACCACAGCAATAGTGTCCGAGGTGTAGCGTTCAGCCCTCGGGTTTGTAATATTGTTTTTTGGTATTAATTGTTTGACCATAATTTATATTATTTTTTTAGGATCGGTATCTATTCTGTTCTGGCGCTTATGATGGAAAAGTTAATCTTTACTCCTCGTTACGTATGGAATTGCTGATGTCATATTCTATTACCACAATGGCTGTTGCAAAAAATGTAAACGCTGTGAGGTTCACTTCTGACGGTTCCAGGGTAAATACGATATATAATTAATATGGTACCTATAAGTACAATTTTTGGCTTTTATAACCGTCTGGTAATAGGATTTAACTTTTCTATCACGGTTGCATTGCTTATAGTACTTATACCATTACATTTTAATATATAACATATTTTTACAATTAAGTAATATACTATTCCTAATTTATGTTATATAATTATGTATTGACATAGAACTCATAGAATTGACATATCAAATATAAATTAATAATATTGGTTTATAATTAATGGTTGTATATTCATCAAGCAAGAATTTTAACTAAGTATATGAAAAATAATTTTCTGATTTTATATTATCTATTGTAGCCGAAACAATCATTAAAAAATCCGAAAACTTCTTTCTAGCTCAAACATTAATTTACCAATTATGAACAAAATTAATCCTATATAGGTATTTTACTTTGTTTTATTAACTTGGTGCTTATGTAATTATTATGCAATTAAGAAATTATTTTTGTTCAATGTTATAATTTATTTATTCTTTTTTTTTTAAAAATTATTCATCATAATACTATACATTTGAATTATTAATATGGAATAAATAAATTTATTATGTGCTAGGTACCTATTTTTATTTTATTTTATTTGTTTATTATAGTTTCTAATTAAGCATCTTGATATATTTCTATTTTACCAGCTACATTTTTTTTACATTTTTTTATTTTCAAATTATGTATTTTTAGATACTGAAATGAGAGTGCATACAAAAGTTGGTGTTGATCAACAGTTTTAAAGTTATAGCTATTTAAATGTTGTTAATTTTTTATGGTTATGGTTAAATAGAGCATGTATTCGTTATTTACAACTTACAGTCTGGGTTCGAATCCGGAATGACCAACACAAATTTTGTTTTTCTTCCTGTTACCCATCCTACGTGATTTTGCCCAATAAATTGCATGATATTCTTGTTAGAAAAAAAAAAAAAAAGTTGGCCTTTACAGGTTTAAACCCAGATCATAAGTTTCTTATGTGTGACTTTGACCATTGCACAATGATATAAATATGTTGTAAAAGGCAAATGTACATTATTTAATCATAACCATAAGATCAAGAGCTTTAAATGGCTATAACTTTGAAACCATTGATTAACAACAACTTTTGTCTGCACTATTATTTTCAGTACCTAAAAACATGTATCTTGAAAAAAAAAAATTGTCAGTAAAAGGGTGGCGGTAAAATAGAAATGTTCCAGCATCTCTAAATAATAAGATAATTGATATCTGATTTAATTATTATAGATTTTAGCTTGTACAACATCTAGGAGACTTTCAGTTGTAGATGTTGAACGAGGAGAACAACTGTTAGCTTATGATAACTGTGCAGCAAGTGGACGGGATAGAACTGGCCTGGCTACTGATCCTTCATCACCTAACATCGCTGTTTCTGTAGCAGTAAATGGCAAAGGTCTTACGTTATTAGACCTTCGAATGCCTTTACCTTTAGATTATGTATATGATGTGAGTAACTAAAAAGAAAATATTAGTTTATTGTGTGAATACAATTATATGTTATTTTTAATTATTATTTTCTTTTTCCTAGTTACATTCTAGCACTATTCGTGATATAGTTTTTCTAGAATCTTCATGGCCCTGGGCAACTAGCAATGGACTTCTTAGTACTCTTATTACGGCAGGATCAGATGGTTGCTGTAAAGTATGTACAATGGACGGCAGAATATTGCATACATTTTATTCAGGTCATCATTTGAATACTGTTTGCCCAACGCCAGAACCTTTTCACAGTTTTTTGTCAGACGGATTTTATAGTAAGCATTAGAGTTCTCAGAGAATATAGTTTTAAATATCGATATCAAAGTATTATTTTCAAATTTAATCTAAATATCAAAAAAATGTTTGATATATGTTATTGATATATTTGAATGAAAAAATAATATTTAAAATATTTATTAATAGAAAAATTGATATCATTATACTTAATATTTTAATAAGTATTGAAATGATAATGATAATGATGATAATACACTGCATTAATTAATTACCTAATATACTGATGTATAATAATTTAATCGAATCAAACTTTTTACTATTAATTATTAAATCAAATTTATTTTTAATACACACATTTTAGGTGTAATTATGAGTGGAGGTGATAAAATTACATCATATGTACCTAATTTGGGTATTCAAGAAAGTTTCTGTGAAAACCGTGATAAACCAATTTGGAAAGTTAGATATACCTCAAATGGCAGTTTTCTGTACTCTGTGTGTGAAGGTGGTGTTGTTAGAAAATATCGAAGATATCCAGATAGACACGAATATCTTGGAGCAGTGTATACACATAAAGGAGATATTCAAGACTTGGATATATCTCCATATGATGAATGTATCCTTTTAACACAAAATATTTTGCAAAAATCACTGATACTTGCAATAAAATTTCACACAGAATAAATTTAAAAAAATAAGTTATACTTAGAAATTTAAAAACAGTTAACCATTAAAACTAAAACTTAAGACATCTTAAGTTTCAGACAGTTTTTTTCTTTTGTCCTGTTTGGTTTAGCATTATTTAGAAAAAACAATTGGTTCAGGTTTACATAATTTGAATATTAATGAATTTTATAAATACTTCAGTTTTGGTTGTTTGTTTTACTTATTGTCTTCTACATTTTTGCATAGCAAAAATAAATTGTTATTTTATCTTATTTATGTTATTTAAATTAAATCAAGATAGAAATATATATAGAGAGTGAGACACTCGTAATCTCAGAAAGTATTAACTTTATTTGGAATTTCTTTTTTGATAAATTTGAATAAACAATTATCTTTAAATTATTGTAATTAAGTTTTCAACCCTTATATTTCGAAGTAAAACTATCACTCATTTTTGTTTTTCAAATAACATCACATATTTTTATTTAAAAAAAAGTATTAATTTTTAACGTCAGAATTTTTATTTTTCATCACATAAGTAATTCATTGAGAAAGTTTAGTTTATTTTGCAAAACAATAATTTTTTAGAATATGTTAATTTAATTACTTATTACTAATGATGGCTAAATTTAATTCAATTTAGGTATTTCTTAATTGCATAAAATTGTGGCCACTGTTCACCAAAATTATCATTTTATTAATAACTATATTGTATAATAATTGCAATATTATTGGTCTATCTAAACATTGGAATTGTAACTGGTAATCTTGAGTTGTTATTTACTAATTGAATACTTTATGTTACTACAAAGGGCCTTCTATTATATCCTACATCATGTATTTATGTATTTGAAAGACTTATATCCATAGACTTTAACATTTTGACGAAACATTCAGTATGAAAATGCGTTCCAGTTGGTGGAGTTTCATTACCAAGACAGAAACATGTAAGCAATAAAAGTAGTATTTTAATTTACTGTCTTGAGTGCAAATTTACTTTCTCTCTCTCATACTTTGACTAGACTTTATATAAGCCTATTTCTCTTGGTCCAAGTAAACCAACTACATCTAGTTATCGAGGTTAATGTCTGTTTAGATGTATAAGTCTGGTTATATCTCACAAATGGATCATCAAAATTTAAATCTGTTAACGGCAACTTTTTAATACTTTTGAGATAGTGAGTATCTCACACCTAAACAGTAGTTAGAAACTGCTTATTTCATACAGCTCAATTTAGTGTGACATAATTTAATTTAATATTTTTTAATCATAGATATCTTTTTAAATTTTACACATCCTATGAAAAATAATCGAACTATGTTTATTTTATGATGACAAATGTTCAGATATTAGAAATATATCTGCAAAATATAGTATGTTTGGGTCTACATACATGTGTGTATAGGCATTTTTCTGATCATACTAAACAGATAACTATTTGCAGTTTGTGCTTAGGTTGGGTTTGACAGGTACAAGTAATTTTGATGGGAAAATTGAAAAAAAAAAAAAATAGTGAATATCCAATACTAATATTTAACATACTAATTTCAAATTGTTAAAATAGGAAAATCAAACTTTTATTTCTGTCTAACCCAGGCCTCTGAACCTTCTCAATTTTTTTATGTTACCCAAGAGTTCTAAAAGGTTGTTTAATCACTGGAATAGGTTATATATATATATATATAAGTTGTATTTAATTTAAATAGTTATTTAATGCATGATTTATTATAGTTTAATAACTAATTATTTATAGTTTTAATTGGTTAAATCAAACTTTTATAAACTCATGATTCAGTCTAACTGGTACATAATATATTTATGGTTTTTATTCAGTTCACTGAAATATTATTTCTTGACCAGTTTTGATATTTGAGATTACACATCTTTTTTATTTTTACCCCTTATTTTAATTTCATAATTACTGAATAGTTTATTAAATTGGATTAGTTGTAAATACATCTACCACATGTAAATTTAATTTATTTTGAAGTTTTCCCTTAATTTTTCAAATTATCAGACTTAGTTACAGCATCAAAGGATCGAACAGTAGGAGTATTACGATTGGGAGCACCTAGCCACGGATGGACGGACTACGGTGAATTAACGTGATAATTTGAGCAATATTTGGACAAGATACAAAACTAATATATTATATTTATTATATTTTATTTATCATTTAGTATTTATTATAAAATATGAAAATGTGTATATTTTAAAGTATGTTATAAGGGATTTTTTTTAAAAACTTTATAATGCCAACAGAAGCACCAAATGATGTGTGATATATAATGTATTAAATTTAAAACAAAATTATAATATACTGTTTTGGGTAAATTTTTGGTAAAAAAAATTTGAATTAGATTCTTTACTAGATGGTTAAATTGTTAACAAATAATTTTTGTGTTGCTAATTTTTTTTCAATTTTTGAAAATAAAGTTTTGAACTATATATTTTTAATATTATCAAAAGCATTAGAATATATTTGATCAATTAAAATATTCTATATACTATTAAAGTAAATAAATAAATAATTCAAATTTTACAATATACCTTATTACATTAATTAATAGATAAATTGGTACTTATTTGATTGTTAAATTGGAAAAAATCAGCTAGTATAATATATAATGACATATTTATTTAATAAATAAAATAACCTTAAAGTAGCATAATTGACTGAGCAAGAAAAAATTTTAAGAGGTGAGGGGAGGGTATGGTAGTTTTTGATATCACTTTGTACGTGTGCACTCCAATTAAATTGACGGGTGGAAAAAAGATAATATTCCTCATTACCTAACTCGGAAAATTAAAAAAATAAACAACTGTTTATTTTCTTAAGTTTTAATTAAATAAAAAACTTGTCTGTACTTGTCTGTGGCATACAGTAACCTACATACACATTCGGTATATAATATTTAACCTCTTAAAATATGAGATCATAATAATCTATAGGTTTTTTTTTTGTTTAGAAAAGCCTTGTCTGCTATCTAATTGCTATCTCAGTTTATTTTTCATATTTTTGGAATATATCCTTTTTTCATTCAGTTGTTTATAATTGCTGTGCATGTAATGTTCATTGAACTACTAGTTGTAAATATTCCACTAATTCTCCTTTTCCCTTCCATGTGGAATGAAACTATAAAACCATTGTTAATAATTTAAAACTTTCCCATAACCAGACAAAGAGTATTAATTATCAGTTTTAAAAACTCTCAATGTTGTATTGAGACATTGACTCAACAGACATATACAACTGCATTAGTCCAATTAAAATGTGTGTTACAACTACAAAAACAAAGTTATTTTCATTGTTTTCTTAATGTAATACTAACAGTATTGATAGGTATTTGTTATTTTGCTTACCATGTACAATTTAAATAAATTGTTTTTTTTTTTGTTTTTTTATTCTCTGTGAATACAAATGAATTACTATTAAAACTATACCTATGTTGGCATTGTGTTTATTGTACAACTTAATTTTAAATTATATTATAACATTGTAAAGAATTAAAGATGTTCATATAGTTTTTTCCTACATGGCAAAGGTGGTTCTTGACCTTTAATTTAATTATAAAACAAAATTAGTAAATAGTATGATTTATTAATAAATCACAAACTTGTAACACTACCTATTATTCATTTTTAATTTGTTTACTAGGTATATCATGGTTCATTTGAAATTAACAATAAATTATGATCAAAAGTCATATTAGTTACCTAATTTAATTTTTTTATTGCCTACCTTGGTTTGATGGTTTGATGATTGGTTTATGGGTTAAAAAATGTTACAAATAATGTGAATAGATATTGTGTACCTATTTAGATAAAATACTTAATTAATACCATTGATAGTACCTAATACATTTATTATATGTATACTTGATTTTTTGGTGAGAATCTTGAATTTCGGAGGAGAGGGGGTCCAGACCTAATACACCTCTCCAGGAGCGTAGCAAGAGTAGGGGGGGGTTAAAAATATTTGAGTGGTGTTCACATCTAATTGCACTTATCTTTAATGGTCACTCGAACTCAAGTAGACGACTGTCCGATTCTGATCTTTATTAGAACAAAATGTTAATGTTTTCTCATTAAGTATTAAGTATTATATTAAGTAAGAAAAGTACTGATTATATTAGGTATTTCATACGTTGACCAGGTGACTTTTATAAAGTATTAACTGAAATCAAAGTGCTATAAAAAAGTTCTTATGAAGTTTTTTGATTGGGTAAGTATTCGAGGAAAAAACAAGTGCAATCCAAAAATCGAAAATAAGATCATCAGCAGTGTTGAATCTAGAAAATATTTTTGAGGGGGGCTCAATTTTCTTTGGTCACTTCTATGCAACAAGTATTATACATTTAATAAATACATTTTGTTGACAATTATATTTGACAGAAGGGATGAATGAAATTTTAAGGAGAGGAATTTGCTCCTCTTGGATTCAACATCGCCTTCTGTCACGCCATGACCATTCATTATCCAGCGGCTACATTGGTATTTGTGGATTCCTAATGAATTTAATGACAATTTTGTTGGTCCAATGAATATGTATACCTATACTCTACTGTATATTTTAATCAATAATTGATATAATTATTATTAAAACTCTTAGTTATTCATATAGTTATAGTAGGTACCTATAGATAGTAAAATAGATAGGTAGGTATACTACAGGCGTGGCTCTAGGGCGGAGGGGTTCTGGGGCCATGTCCCCCTCAAAGCTTTCCAAAAATTTAAGTTTTTAATACATATAGTTCTTGTGAACAGTAAAATTCCGATTATTTAATTAGGCATTTAACAATTTTATTTTGTTTGAAAACCCATATTATTATAATAATATACGGTGTGTATCATGTAGGAACGTGTATTAATATGGGAAATTGCCATTTTTGGTTATTTATGTACCTATAATACAATTTAGTCATCAAATAAAGATAAAGTATAATATTATAAATGTATTTACTATACACGTATTGACTATCGACGTATAATTCTTCTTATTATTTTTCTTTTGCTATAGCAATTTCGGCGTAAAAACGTTTTTATCGGGAATCGTTTTTTCCGCGGTCATTTTTGATTTAACTAATAGTACCTTACTTAATCGGTGATTACTTATTATAAGTTAGGTGTGATTCGAATACGGATTTCCGCAGGGGGGGACTAGGGACCGCGGTCCCCCTAAGCCCGTATTTCTGTTAAAAACAACTACAAAAAAAAAAAATAAATTTGTAAAATATGTTTTTAATACAGTATTCTGAAAAATATGACTTGCCCTCCCCAACCAGGTTTCTGGAGCCACCCCTGGGTACATATAAAATGCCCGTAGAATGTAGATAGCTGGATATAGATACTTACATTGAAAAACTATTTTCTAAATACCAAAAGGTACCGTCTAAATGTCTTATAATTATTAGACGTAATAGAGACGTATTAATTTGATTGAATCATAATTTGTATAAAATTATCTAAAAATATATACGCGTAATCAGTGGCGCTTCTAGCTGGTGTATGACGTATGCACAGCTATATTCGCATTTGTGGGTGGTAGTTGTTAGTGCTACATTTTTTTCTTTTTAATGTAAATAATTAATATTCATAATACGCTAAATAGAATAATAATAATTATTGTTATAAGAAATTTTTTGGTAAATTTGTATACATCTACCTGCAGTAATTATTATTTTTTAAAATTGAATCGGTGACACTGCGCGTAATTTTATAATAATAATAGGTTAAAATACCTAAATATTACTATTAATACTAAGTAGATGGGTATTTTAATATTATTTAGAGTTAATGTTTTATAAGTAGGTATAACTCGTTTGCGAACATTTACCTAATAGTACCCATATAGGTAGTCTATAGATACTTAGTGTATATTTATGCTTAAACTTATAATCATTTTTTATGTTGGTCCAATTTTTTTTTTTATATAACTTAAACGATCAATAGTTTTGTTTTTGTATTCTTTCGAAAAATTTTTCATTTGTACAAATTCATTTATTGTCCTTTTTCTTTTAAAATTGATGATTTTTACTGTTTATCGAATTAGTTTTTAAATTGGTTTCATCTTAAATTTCAATAATCATATCGATTACTTGGTGTATCTAGGTGTGTATGGATGAGTAGCGTAAAATTGACAATTTTGTTGCACTTTGTGTGGATACTGTGGAATTCACGTAGAATATGAAATAAATGTTATTTAAAGATGTTGATTTTTATATGTGCTCAAACGAGTGACGACGATTTTTAAAGATTTATATAGGTTTATAGGTTGATTTTTGTATATATATATATATATTAATGAGTCAGCTATAATGTATCGAAGTAGGTATAGGTGTATTGTGTATAATAAAACTATTGCAACTATATTTTTACTTAAATGGTTATGCGAAATCATGGAAAACTTTTATTTGTCTTTTCTAGACGTGGTCAAGTTTTCAAAACATTTTCGAGTTAAGAATTTAAAGAGATTTTAATTTTCCGAATTTTTTACATAATTTTTATTTGGTAGGTACTCTGTGGATAAAATTGTTGGACCAAACAGTTATGCTTGAAAATTTAACAGGAGGTTCAACATTATAAGTTGTATTTAATGGTCAACAAGAAAAAGTCGAGTGTAATGTAGGGTAGTATTTTTGTTTTATTGCTACGCATTTTAATATCAAATTTTGATGAAAATCGTAAATATTACGGCCTCGTAAAACATATAATCGAACTTCCATAGGAATCGTTTTTCTTCGTTTTCAATGATTTTTTAATCGTTTCGTATAGATTTAGACATTATGGGAACTCTTTATCCTATCCTTCAAACTTCTCATCTACAACAGTGGCCCACCTACCGTGCGAAGTATGGCCGTATTACATTCAAATATATATTGACGAAAACATTTTTCTAAATTTGTTGGGGTCAAAATTCTTCCCCCTCTTATATTTGACCATGTCTCAATTATAAACGCATTTAGCTTCCCTCGGTTCAATTCAATGACATTGTCATTGGTTCAAATTAAAACGCGACGGAAATTTGTGCGATAGGTAGACACGTATTTTTTTGGGGTGGGTAAATTTTAATCTCCCAGCTGAATTTGATACCCATTCCGCTCCTGTTACCATCTGTTGCGGTGGTAGGTAATATCCAATAGGCATGCGTGTATCGCAGTGCGCACCAACAGCAGCCGGCTGCCGGTCGTTATCATAGTCGCTCACGCACACCCGCCTACTTTGCCTGCTGATTATTGTTGTTATATTGTTATCAGTTCACAGGGCCCGGCCGACGTCGTGATTTTCGAGGAAAATTTCGACGGTTCGTGTTATTTTATTTTTTCGTTAGATTCCCCAGGCCAATCTTACAGTGTTTTCCGGTCATGTCGTCGGGTGCTTACCGCCGGACAAGTCGAGTATTAACATACCGTCGGGAACCGTCGCTTGGACGTCAACAAAACGGCCAAATGCAGTAACCGTCTACCAACTGGAAATTCAGGCGATCGGCGACCGGACCGTGTTCCTACCCCGTGTAGCGGCCCGAATCTACGGATGAAATGTGCTTTTGACCAAGGAAGGTTCAGTCGATATTTGTTTGTTCGCAATCTCTATTTCAGGTAAGCGATAATAAATATCTAACTATACAATGCCCACTTGTGTTGCTGTCGTTAAACAGCACCAGGTAAATGTCCATTCTATGTAATTAACATAGGTCAATATTCTTTGTAACTCGTCTGTGGGACCATTGACTCCTAAGTGTGTATTTTGGGGTCATATCTGATTTTAGTCTCTAATGAAACAATCCATCCATTAATTATGGTCTGTTTTTTCTATTCTAATTATCAGTCACCTTTGCTCTGATAGCAAAACATTTGACTTGCAGGTTTATGTGTTGTTTTTTTATTTAAAATGTTAATTTTGTTTGCTCCATTTGTTCATTGATTTAATCTGTGAAGTTTCTATTTTTACTTGCCATTAATGAACTAATATTTATGGGTGTCTTTGATCTTTATTATGCACTAAGTCATATTGTAGAACTAGGTAGGTAGCACATTTGTTGGGATACAAGTGTCAATATTATGTGACCTTTGGAATAATTTATTTTAGTAATGGATAATAATATATTTTCATTATATTGTCTTTTAATTTATTATCGTCTACACTGATATATTCACATTAACAATATAATTATAAAAATTACTAATGTTTAAAATTTATTTGCAATTGCCAAAAATATTTCCATATAAATTATATAAGCAAGGAATTGTTATGTATGACGTACTGACTAGGCATTGAAAACTTAAAATATGTAGCTGTTGGTTAATTATTGACTTTTTTTTTAATAATAATGTGTTTTGTGCAATATGATTAGTATTTAAAATAAACCCTATAATTAGCGTAATGTTTTGCCCAATAATTCAGATTTCAATTTTTTAAATAACATCCATTGGCACCTATAATAATAATTAGATAAAACATTTTTAACTTGTTTCATTTTGTAAATTATTACTTTTATCAATTTAATATTAAATTAAATTAATCTTATTGAAAATAGATTTTCTACTCATTCAATGTTTAACGAGTTGTTTAATTTGTATACTTATTTATAATAGGTGTAATGAAAAATAAGAGTGGAAATCTGATGAATACTAATAGGTAGTTATTACATTTTTGATTAAAATTATACTTAAATAAAAACAATTTATCCTTTTTATTTATGTATTAATAGCATCTATAATTTATTAACCTATCTATTACTTTTTATTATTATGTCATATATATCTTTGAAAAAAAATACCATTATTATTTATAAGTAGGTTTGGTATTATTTTTAAGTTATAACCATTAACATATTATCTTATATTAATTATTTATAAGATACATTTATAAATAATATTTTGTAGGTAGTATTTTACCTATTTTTAATACCTTGCCAACTAACCGAGAAGTTTACTAATTCACCAGTTCTATAATATGAATATTTTATTTGAATTAAATTTAATATTGTGTGAAAGATAGCTAGTCATAAACTCTTGTGTTATGTATTGTAATAAGTACCAGGTGGTCGCTTATCTGTAATCTAAGAGTCTAATAGGTTTCTTAGATGTTTCATTTGTAATGTACCTATCTATCGTTGAAAATCTCTCACAAATTACAACACATCACAATAGTTTTTATAACTAATTCAATCAATCAATTAAATAATATACAATCCAATTGAAAACATATTATATTTATTAATGTTTAGCTATTACATAAAATTAAAAAGTAGGTAGCTAACAAATAATATTAGTTGTTAACTAATATTTTTTAAACTTTTATCAAGTGGTTTTCATAAACAATATTAATTTTTTATTGCACAACTTGAACTGTTCATTTAACATTTATTGTTGTTTTTTACAACTCACGTAGGTACTTATTGGTTTTCACCACGGTTATATATATGTAGGTTGTTTTATCAAGGCAAGGGTTAAACCATTATCAAAAATTTCACTAAGTCGTATGAGTTGTCTGCTCAATTTTTGATTTGATGGTTGCCTGTTCTTTATATGTACCAAAAATTGTATGATTGCCGGTTTAAACTTGTTTTTCATTATTGGTTACCAGTGAGAACTAGTTAAAAAAAATAATCATAATAATGAGGTTTCCTGTTGTACTACAAAAGTTCACTGATAATCGTACTATAAAAAAAAAATTTGTTTTTATTATTATACATATTATTTTTTTTTATCATCAGCTGCTGATGAATTGATATTATTTTAAATGATACTATTTGTTTTTGTATTGAACTATAGTGGTATTAAAATATTTGCTTATGTTTGTTAATAGAATAATTCAGTTTCCACTTATATAGAAAAATAGCGTTGCGTATCAGTTTTTATATCATGTTCAATTTATAGAATAATTGTTTATTGAGTAATTATTATTTTTATTTGTTTCATAGAGTGGTTAAAGATTAGTTTTACTGTGCTTACATGAATTACATTTGCATTACATGCATACATTTGAACGGTCCGGAACATATCCAAATACATTCTATCCTTTTCCCACTTCGTCTATAAGGTTCATTCGGTTATAAGACCCACTTCGTACTGGTCCCAAAGCAGTGGCGTACCTAGGACTCTCTTACGGGGGGGGGGGAATATATTTCCATCCATTCTTAATATAGAACATTTCTTAAAGTCATTTCTTCAAGTCATAGCTAACCTAACCTAACGGGAATTTTATATTTGTAAAATATTAAATAAAACATTTTAGTAGGTACATAAAAATATATTGTTGTTAAATATAATGTAATGCATATTATTAAAATAATTTTATAATAAATTGTATTGTAACACAAAGTCTAACCTCCGGTTTTTCATACGAGAAAATCGTTCAATAAATTCATCCACTGGTATAATTATTTCTTGGTATATGTGCACAAAGTGCAAGTTCGCATAAGCGATCCTGGCCCATTTTTGAGCGTAGCCATGTTTTTAGTCTACAGCACAAGCACGAATACAGGCAAATAGTATGTATAAATAATTAAAAAGCAGTAGGTAGGTACTACGTAGAATTATAAGCCAATGCCAATTATGTAGATACATAATAATAATTATATTAGATCATATATTATCACATGTTTTTATTATCAAACAACTTTGAACCGCCAAAACAAAATGATAACACCATGTATTTTGACCCGGTTCGACTATAGATAACAAAAATATTTTTAAATCCTGGGCTTGATCATGTTATCAAATATCGTATTATTAACAACTTCGTGATAAAAATAATTATAAAAACACTAGAAAAAAAAAAAAAAAACGATGCACACATTTAGTCACTTATGATTATACGACCCACGGGGGGAGGGGGACGGGAGAGCGAATGCCCCACAGTTACGCCACTGCCCCAAAGTGAGTAATTCCGATTTTTCGAAAATAAAAGCGGCTATCGGTTCCCAAATTATCGGTAATCACCGAGACCGGTTTTTATATTTAACGAATGGTTTTATTTATAATTTATAGTTTGAAACTATGTATATTTTTTTTTTCCAGAAGAACAAATATTATAATATTGTAGAAATATTGCAGATAGGTGCCTATCATATATTCGGGCCAAATATCATACGGTTACCTATTTTTGGTTTGACTACATGCAATAATTCGTTTTTCAGGTAGATTATTGTAATTTGTTATAAATACAAATAATAAATACGCATAAAAATAATGCGGAAAATGTCCGATTTTCGAAAAGCACTTATTAAAATGTTATTATAAATCGAATAATAATGTATAGTTACCCAGGGGCGATTTTACGGGACCAGGGGGTCTGGACACCCTCTCAGATTGCACAGAGTTTAGATTACGGATAGTGGATTTTGTGTTGTAAATTTTAAATTAAACTTTGTTGATGATTAAATCATTAAATCATAATATAGGTACATTAGCATGTAGACAGGTTAAAATCAAAACGAATTACTTAATAGATATCGGGCGAATGTTTTTAGTATGTTAAATGTATCGCAAGTTAATATCAAAGGAACCGCCCTCCCTACCCCCCTCAGAATAAAATCAAAAAACCCGCCACGGGGTACACACCCATTAAACAAAATATCATATAAATATTACATATAGCACGTTGTTGTTATATTCACCGACGGAAAGATTCGACGCGTTGTGGACAATATTATAATCGTTACCTTGACCGTTTAAACAGTCGTCGGAATACCGCGAACACATTAAAACGTGATTTATACAACAACACGTTTAATTTCATCGTGTTTTTTCGAGAGAGAGAGAAAAACCGTTTCGCCGCGATTGTTTTTCACGTATTTTTCGTACGGAACCGTTCGGGGTAGGTACCGGGCGGGAGTCGGAACATATCTAATAATCGCACCCGATCCGTTTACGCGAATTTTTTTCGCTCGTCGGCGCGCGCGGAACTTTTGGACTTTTGTCGACGGAAACGCAGCGACACGATGATGATAATAATAACGATAACAACGACAATAATAATAATAATAATAATAATATGCAATACCGTTGTATGTTTGCGAATGTTACAAAACACGATGACGGATAAAAGGCGGCGGTTGTTGACCAAACAATGCGCGGCGCGTATTTTGAATATTGTTATGTATTTTGTCTACAGGGAGTTGTTGTTGTTTTTTTTTTTTTCATGCCCCCGGCCGATTTTCGTGTTTGCCGTAGGTGTTCGGTAATTATTTGTTGTATTGAATGGCGCGCGGGCTATTCGATAACATGACGACGCCGCCGCCGATGCATTGCTGCCAGCAGGTGTACGGCCACATACGAAAACCGACGACGGTTTTAGGTCAAGTTTCCGCGCCCGAACACACATTACGTTCGTGTCGTAATGGTCCTGTCGAGAATTCCTAATTGAATGTGTTTGGAAAACGAAAGTGCGCCTCTGGACAGAGAGAATCGACGGACCATCGGCGGCGGCGGCGGCGGCGGTGGTATAATAGCAGTCGCGACAACAATAACGCGGGGAAGGACCGTCATCGATGCGACGCGCGCGTATGTTATATTATTATTATTTACTGTTTGGTACCCGTATAATAACAATAATGATAACACGCGGTACACGCATACCTCCCGTTGTCGTCGGCACCTCTCCCGTAACCTTTTCGCGACTCGTACCGTTGCTCTGGTCGCTGTTGTTGTTGTGCGCGCATTATGTACGGACGGCGGGCGATAGGGGGGTGGGGAGTACGACGATTGTTTCCCATATTATATTTATTAACGCACGCGGTTCCGGCGGCCACTCGCACTGTAAACCGCGACCCCGGCAGCACAGCTAGGGCGACGCCAATCGCCGCCGGATTACGATTACGCGACGTTGCATACCCACCTCGCACATACGGTGGACGGACGTCCGACGGATCCGGTTATCCCGACTGTACCGCCGGTCGCTGTTACGGTGTCCCCCCCCCGGACGTCGCCGATCCCCGGCGCGTGGTTGTTTCGCTAACGGATCGCGCGGTTTGGGTTTCGATCAAAATCCGACACGAGGCCCGCACTCGGGTGCAACGAACGTTTTTGGCTGATCGGTGATGGCGCGCGTCCACGGTACGCTTTACGAGGGCGAGCGACATAACACACCCGGTTCGTTTGCAAAACTGCGTCGTGTTAGGTAACTGTAGGTGACCGAAATTGCTTCGCGTCAGCTTACGTCGGACTTTTAATCGAAACGAAATCCCCTTCCGACTCGGGCACTCAATCACGTATAGTTGAGATAATCGCACTGCGATTGTCGGTAGTCGAGATAACCGGAAAATAATATTGCCAGACTTCAGCATGTGTGCTTGCTGTTTTGCGATTTGAGTGTTTCGGTTTGCTGCGTTTCCAGTTATTTTTCTACTCCCGAAATAACGTTTTTCATACCGAACCGTTAGAAAACGTATTTTAGGGAGGAGCATCGTGTCAGAGAACGGACAGTAGAAAATAGCCATGGCTAATATAATTAATGAAAATAGAAGATATAAATGGAAATTATGTAATTACTACCCGCTCGAGATTCTCCTAGGAGATCCGAGGATATAGCTGTGATGTGTGTATAATATTTTGTATGACATATAGTGTATTTGCAAGATATTACAAGACATATACATATTATATTCTCATTTTATTATTAAGTTTTATTTTTATGTATTTTTATTTATAGTATTACATTAATATGCATATTGATGAAAATACTTTTCTATGGTTTTTTACATTTTTTTTTTTTTTTTGAGGGGGGGAGGTTGGGGTGGATTTTGAACCGTCAAACCCCCTTTACAACGTCCATATGAATCAAGCGAAAATGTATTTAGTTCCCTTGAGTACGAAATCCTAACTACATGCCCCTAATGTGCGGTATATAAATAATTATTTTTTATTTTTCGTATTCACGGCTTTTTGACTATCCATCGTTTGGCTGAAAGAAACCCCGTTTTGAATAGTATTCCGAATAGTTTTTTTAGTTATAATAATATAGAGTCTATCCGTATGTTCTGTTTAGAATCATGTTTTTGATTGTAATGATTCACCGTTGCTTTCAGTATCTATTCAAACTAAATAAAATTACTCTGTATCGTATATTATACATATATTATCGTACATATACTTTTAAAAATTGCCACCTACAACAGTGGCCCATTAACGATGCGAAAGACGTCGCCTTTTTTTACCAACATTTCATTCCATCACACTGCATAATTCGGGCAATTCGTACCCATGGGGTATTTCGTTATAGTAAAATTATTTACTATTGAAATCATAAAAAAATTACAGGTATCTATAGTGCCACCGTGCATTACTGTTATCTAATATTACACGGTATGTGTAATTAATAAAATATTTTGTCAATATAATAATTTTACAGAGATTTGATGATACCGGTAATCTTTTTTATTGTGCTAGTTTACTATGTTTATATTATTACGATAGCACATTTAAAATGATATAAAAAGTTTGTATCTAGATTATATAGGTACATTTTACCCTTTATTTTATCTATTACCGATTACCGCAATTCGTAGAAAATTTAAAACCTTGATACTTATATCACATTATCCAACACGTTCACATTTCCTATCAAATATACTTTTTATTTTGATGGAATATTTCGGCAAGTAGGTTAAGTATTACATTTTAAATTTTGAGTAGAATGAGGGAATTTATTACACATTTACACCTACTATTTGAATGATAAATGTTTTTTTTTTTTTGGTGAGTTCTTTGGAATAGTGAAATGCATCAAAATTTAGTATTTATCTATCTATAGTACAGATATACCTATTTATCATGAAACAGATGGTATTTTTAGACAAGTATAATTTATCGGATATATTTCCCAGTTGTTAAAAATCGGTTCAGAATTATTGAATTTATGGATTAATTTTGTCATCAGCGGTTTCCAATTTTGTCGTTGTTCAACTAAAATATTTGTTAATTTTTTGTTATAATATAATATGTTTATGTTGTCTCCATAATACACATGTTACTTTTGTCGTGTGTGTATTCAAGCGTTAATATATTATAATATATTTAATATTTTATTTTGTCCTTCGGATATTGTCTAATGTAATGGTTTTAGAATTCCTCTATAATAACTCTTGTCCTTATAATGTACTTCGAATGTGTATTTCGGATAAAACACTTCAACACCTAACTATTGCAATTACGTACATTATACTTATTGAAGAATTGCTCTTTTTTTTTAACAAAAAATATTATTTGTTTCGGGTTGACCGCTTGGATTCGAATCCAGAACGCATTATTCGGTTTTTTGTATTATTTTACAAAACATTTTATTTTTTCTAAATTATATACTATAATTTGAGTTTTACCAATAATTTATTAATCTGATTTGTTCGATTAAACCCAAAATGGTGGTTCACACTTGAATATTGTATTTTGGGGTTACTTAAATAAAAAAACCAGTTATTGCTTGTCAAGGGGAAGGAATTTAGATAATATACCCAAAAGCAAAGAAGTGATATAAAGCATATGAAGTATATAGTGTAATTATATATATTGTAATGTATTGTAATGTACAATTTAACTTTGATGCTATGTAATGAGATTATAATATGTATTTAAACATAAAAAAAACATTAAAAATCAAGGTTTGCCGCACAAATGCCCAAATTCGGATATAAACTGACACAAATGAATAAGATCCTTAGTTAGATTTAAAAATTCCGAAGTGGGGAGTGTCGTCGTTTCAGTAGCATCCCCACAAAAATAATTCATTCAAATTCAGGATTTGATGTACAAACGTTCAAACTTGTGCACAAACCAACACAAACGAAGGCACTTAGTTTGGTTCCGAAATTCCGAGTGCCAATGAAATGCACCTCCTGGCTCCTACCTATATTTATAATATTTTTTCCATTACTATTCCCAGGGACGGATTGGAATTATAGACCAGTCCGGTAAAATTAATATGTAGCGGCTCATATTTGGGAGGGGAGCGTGGGTGTAACCTGTAAATGTACTTTGTTGCTCAAATCAATTTTTTTAGTCAATTACAATTTTACATTATTTTGCATTACATTTTAGATTCTGAGCGGAGTGAGGAATGTATTTTTTTTACAATTGTGTTTAATTATTATTATTTTTTTATGTGGACACTTTTTCTATCAGAAAGCTTACCGAGTTGTACTTTAAGGTACGGCCCAGGTAATTTTTTGAAATTCCCATTAATATTCGAGATAATGTGGTAAACCTAATTCTTTAGGTTAAAGAAGATTAAAAGATTAAAAAAAACAGTTATCATTGCAACCGTTTTTATTTATTTTTTGGTATTATTAAGTTTTTTTTTTATTTTAATCTTTTTTAAACAATTACTGTCATGGAAACGCACATAGTTGTAATTATTTTATTTTACCATAATATGACATAAATATTGTTAACAAAGCAACACTATCAACTGAATTCCATTCAGAATCGTTTTTTCGTTAGCAATGGTTTATCGTTGCTACTTGTTTATAGGTATACATTAAATTCCCGTCTGTATTTAACCTTCCCAACTTCCCACCTACAACAGTGGCTGCATCCACGTGCGAAGTATATCCGTTCTTTTTTATTGATATGTATATTACATTATGGTATATTAATTGAATTAACAATATATAATATAAATTGTTATACAAGGTGTCTCACGAGAATTCGACAATTGCAATAACTTCTGTTCTATTTAATATTTTTGATATAAACTTTTTTTAAATAATAAGTATGCCACAGCGCTACTTTATATGAACATTCTTTTTAAGGTGATAGTGACTTAAAATAAAAAATTTAAAATAGCCATTTTGTAATATAAATTTTTAGAAAATGTTTGGTGGTTGAAACTTTTGTTAGGTTTTCTACGATTTTTTAAAAATTTGAATAATTTTTTTTTCAATCATAACAACATTGTTTATCAACATAAATTACCGTTACTGATTGATTGAAACTACCTAATAACTATACTATAATAATATTATTGCATGATATTAATTTAAGGAAACGAAATTCCTGATAATTGAATAACCACAATAGGTAATATTCACATTTGCAAAAACTTCAAAAATCGTAGAAAATAAAAGACTACACTTTAACAAAAGTATTAACCATCAAAAATTGTCTAAAAATCTATTTTATAAAATGGTTATTTTTAATTTTTAATTTAAGTCCCCCTCCCCCTAAAAAAAATGTTCAAGTTTAAACTATAGCCTTAGGCATACTAATTATTTAAAAAAAATGTATATCAAAATTATTGAATAGAACAAAAGTTATTTAATTTGTTGAATCCTGTTATTGAAAACTTTTTGAGCCTAGACTCACTATGTATAAGACCTAAAGTAGCGTATATTATATTAGTTTATGATATCTTAAACAACCTCATCGACTGTCCTGATTTATTATCAGAAATTGGTCTCCGTATACCATGTGAAAACATTAGGAACTTAGATCTATTTGAAATTCCCCATTACAACACCAACTGTGGATACAATTTTTTTTTTTCAAGGGCTCTCGTTTTGTCCAATAAGATTTTCACCACATTCGATTGTTTTTTATTCCCTCGAAGCACATTCAAATTTAGGGCTTTAGAATTAGTAAGATTATTATATTAATTTTAATTATGATAGAAAACATTGTATACTGTATATATATATTTTTTTCTTTTCTATTTTTTCTCTTTGATTTTATATAAAATATTTATTATTTATCAATTAGTTATATAATTTTGTAAAAAGGGCATTTGCCTGTGAACAACAATAAATAAATAAGTAAATATTTCTTAAACGATTGTGATTCGATATAGTTTTGTTGACGCAGATTCCATTGCCATTATATGACTATCTGCATCACACATTAACGTCATATTATGCAGACCTTAAGGTTTGACCTTGTTCGTGGTTTTCAACTAAGTTTTTATCCAATATTCCCGCATTAAACAATAATTATATCGTGTTGATATTGTTGCTTGTCGTGTGTTGGTTAAATAATTTAATTGATAACCGCCGGTCATCGTTGTGGCCAATTTTTTCTTTTCTTAAGGTTATTAAGGGTATACTATTATTATTAATTAATGCTATTATTTTAGATTTTACAACAACCAAAAAAAATCAACACGAAATGCGTAATATTTAATAAAAATCAGCAAAAATTATAAATTTACATAACCAAAATTTTATGCCAATTCAAGATTTACTATTATAATGTGTGTGATAAAACAAAACTGTTAAGTTTCTTTCTTTTTGACACTTCACCTAAAATTAAACATATTATATTTTAGAATTTAATAAAAATAAAATCTGGAAGTCTTACTAGGGAAATTAAAAAATGAACAATATCAGAACATTTATACGATCGAGTAACTTTTTTAGTATCACACAAATAGATTTTTTTAATTTTGAGTGCAGTTAAAAATATTGGTTTTACTATATCATGTTTTTTTTTTTTTGTTCTTTCTGTTTGTTAACAATTTTTCTACCAGAAATTTTGATTTGATTTTCAAGTTAAAAAAAATTTTTTTCTAGTGGGTGTACAAATGGACATTTTTTGATTTTTTTTAAATAATTTATTGAAAAAAATGTAGGAAAATCAAGAAATCAGTATCATAATAATGGCTTCTTTATTTTGGATTTAGTTTTTTTTTTTGTTGTGATTTGATTATAAATGATAGTAGAGATCTTAAATGTTCACAGTGTATTTATATTAATCTTTAATTTTGGTTCAAAACTTCCTGGACATTTTTAAACTATTATGCATTTGACATGTTCGAGTTTTTAAATTTTTGATTTAGTTTTATGTGGATCGAATAGAAATGCTTAACAATATTTAACATGAAGTTCATTATACGTTTTACTCAGTAGTAAAAAAAAGTTTAATTTAGCGTACAATTTTTTTATACAAGTGGTTTATGTACAAATTTTGATTAAAATTGTAAAAATTACGACATTTCAAAACAATTTTAATGGAACTTCGCTCATAATCGTTTTTCGTTAGTGATGATCTATTGTTACGTTTTCATACTTTCGTGCAACTTTTAACAGTGGCTCACCCGTCAGCAGTATCAAGTTATTTTTTAATAAATGTTATAAAAGTTTTACATCAAATATTTCGATAAAATTTGATCATGAAGAAAATCATACCAATGTTTTTTTTACATATGTTATTTTTGGTTTTAATTTGAACTTTTATAACAAAATGAGTTCAACTACTCACTGACTCACTATTTCACTAACCACCATAATGGATATAAACTTTAGAAACGAGATATGTAACACCGCATAAAATGTTATTGTAGGACGAGTGCACTATAATTTGATACAATTTATTTCGGGGCGTATAATTGGGTATACTTTTGAAATATATAGTATGGACTTACTATAGATAATTAGCGTGATTGAAGTATAATGTTGCAGTAATCCCGTTTTCATAGCTCGTTTGGGATTTCCTCTCCGTATAATATAATATTATGATGCTTCACACGATATATTTTTAATTTTACGTAATAGGCAATAGAAATTTTGCAAAACGAAACGATTCGGCTAGTCGAAAAAAAAAAAAAAAACTTCACCAAAATGTATAATATTAATTTTTTTTATCGTTGAACTAAATACTTTTCAATTTATATTTAGGTATTTTAACGTAACAAATTAGTGTATAGGTGTAGTTGTGTTTATATAGTATAGTTATATAGGTATAGTTATATGAAACTCATACTATGTGTTGTTTTGCCCAATGATACCTATGCACTGCATTCATATATTACGTAGGCACATTGTCTGACGATTACGAATATCGAAATCCCACTATGCATAGATAATATCAAATAGATATAATTTGGTAAAAAATCCGTCAACTCAATTAGCGACTACATACCGCATATACCGCTCACTTTCCATAAATATTATTCATAAACGATTAAATGTATATATTTTTAATCTGTATATTAGACGTGTGTTATAGTTTGTGCGTCATTATATTTGTGTAGGTATGGAATATATGAAAAAAAAAAAAAAGAAATTATTTACGGCACAGTTTTTAATTTAGTTTAAATTGTGTTTTTTTAGATTCTAAGTGCAGTGAAATAATTTTTGTTTTTAATTTAGTACGTTTTTTAAACACATTTTTTTTCTCTCTTTTAACCATTACTTTTCTTCCAGAAATATTGTTCCAATCAAAAACTTAATAGACATTTCCATGTAGAATTTTGGTTAACTAGATCTGTTGCTACATTGGGGAGTTCATTTTTTTGATTTCCCTTGTATAGTCTTCTTAATAATTTGGGAAACATGGGAAATTTGTTGTTGATTTCATTAGTTACCTTCGTAACAGCATAAATATACGACTCATACTTGTTGTTGCGTATAGTATGTAAGTTAAATTACTCTGTTTATTCTGTTTTTTTGCGTAATAACTATATAGCAATATTATTTTTAAATGAAAAAAAAAACGTACTGGAAAATCCCAACCAAAACGTATCCTGAACCTACTACGCATAGTTAAATTAATTACGGTCTTTCTAATCTTTTAAATTATTCAAGCTGTCACGACTCACGTGTCTTGAGTCTGTTAAATTCCGTAGTTGCGCGAAAATAATACCTCCCTACCGATAGTATTTTTAATAATTATCTATGTTTCAACAGCTGGTCACGGCGGATAGATGATGCGATTAAATTGTCGTATACATTATAAAACATGTTTTAACCAGGTCTATAAACATACCTATACATTGATCAGTTGAAGAGGGTATCAAAAGGAGAAGAAAAAAAGCGGTTATTATTATAATCGGCCGATTTTGGCAATGGAGTCGCGGAACTTGTACGTTATTGTAAACTCGCGTGTCCAAGGGAGACCAAAACTATTTTACTCGTATTTCTGCGGTTTGTTCACCTCTATTATAAAATATATTGGCGTTTTGCCATTCGCACTTTTTTGGTATATTCTCGAGCATTTTTCAGTGTACCTATTGTTATTGTTGTTGTAGTAGTAGCAATAGTAATATAATATAGGTATAGGTAACTCGTAGAATTTACGAACGGTCGTTAGGAAGTACATTCAACATTGTAATATATATTTTATGTACATTTATCGACAAAAACCAAGTGAAGTGCTAAGTAGGATAGTGTATGCTGTATGGTATAATATTTTTACACATTTTTCACGTTTGAATCATTATAGTATTATACTGGTTATAGTTACGCGGCTCACATTCTTTTACAGAATTGAAATTGAAATTTTAACTTATTACTTAAATATATTGACTTTTGAAAAATTATTCAGCGGCAAATTACTTTTTCGTAATGTCTTCTCAGTGGCCTCAGTAACAACTAGAACACAATTCACTTAAGCCTCATGTTTTGTGCATTGATCATCTTGATCAATTTAAAACAAACTATATTTTTTCTGATAAAATACAAAGTAATATAAATAATAAATGTAGTAGTAATCAAGTAAATAAATTTAATTACATACAAATTGGGTGTAATAAAAGTGTAATGACATTACAGGTATATTTCAGAAACGTAACGTAAATGTATTGTGATTGTAATTGTAATTTTTTAAAGTAACTAGTCCAAGACTTTTGGCTAACTTCAGCCGTCTTAACTGTGTAATGTATAAATTCCTGAAAATATAATAAATATATAATACATATAATCATTTGTTATTTAAAAATGCCCCTATAGATTTTCTGGATTGGATGGTATTATAAGCGTATCACGAGAAAATTTGCGGTCTAGGTTTTTTCATTCAACAATATATTATCTGTGCCATTTATACGTATTTTTATGCTATCATATTATGTTATTCAGTTTCTTATATTATTAAGAAAAAAAAAAAATAAAATAATTGCGTTCATAATGATAGTTCGTCAATGGGTATTCCCGTGCAATTTCATGCGGATTTCCCCTCTATACGTTGGGTATCCGACCGGTTGAACGGACGTGCGGATGTGCGCAGTTATTTTTACACTATACCACAAGAATTTGTGTTCTTATTTGTTCGTATCCGGTTGTACATATTTTGTTGATAATTTATTCCCGTATTCTTATTGTCGCGTAAAATTAATGCGAATGTCTGTTTTTTTTAAAATTGTTTATAATATTTGCGCGTTTAGTCTGAAGTGTTATATCCCGACCTTCGTATCGGTCTTTCGTAATTTGTCAACGCGGCAACGGGAATTTGAATTTATCGATTTCATCGGTTTTTCATGAAAATCGTAGGTACATAGGGTATTCGAGACTACTTAGTTTAAATAGATAATTAAAATATCATCACCTTGAATTATCTTTGTTTTTTTGTTTTATCTGTAACTACAATATAATAATAATAATAACTAATAAGTGGGATTATGGTAATTTTTAAGAACTTAATCAACTCTAATGACATTTTATTGTATTACCATATATTATTATAATAATTGCTTAGTATAGTTATTATTATTGCTCGTATCTAATAGTATTCGTAATATTATACGTTTTTTTTTCTAATAAAAAGTCACTGTATGTCGTAAAAAAGTGTCGACGGAGGTTTGTGTAACTCTTGCATTAACCTGCAGGTTTCGCCAACTATTGTTAAATATACTCTCAACGCAATTTGTTTAAATTTTACATCTGGTCAAATATAAAGTATAAGCTACACCGTCATACGTATTCATATATTTTATATTGCAGCATTTTTAAATTTTATATAATAGTTTATTGAGTTAATAAAACATTTTAGCCCAGTTATCAAAACGACAATTAGATACCTATCTTGATTCTAATAATTAACTATTGCCGGTATCATGAAATATGATTCACTATTTGTGAAATTTTAGTTTTTTTATTTCGTTAAAAAAAAAAAAAATTAGCCGTAATAGAAATAGTTTAAGTAATTTTAATTATATAATTTGTGCACAAATAATAACGTGCCGATTGAATTTTCAACAAACCCATTTCGAATGAACGCTTGTAACTAACATTTTGACATTTTTAATAACGCGTTAAAACTGAAATCATGTTTCGATAATACCGATTGTTTGTGTTCAACATTTTGCATTAGTCCCGTTTCCCGCGATCAGTCAGTTTAGTGGCGTGTCTGATTAGTTTCGAGGAGGCCGATGAGTACATACGTAGTAATTCCTATCCATTAGTCGGTTTCACATTTTATTCAAACATGTCGTAGTATTGGACGACGCGTTGCACAATGTGATATGGTTCCGACAGTTTATTTTTCTAAAAATGTCGGCGGAGTTCACATCTTTGAATTATTAACATTAATGTCGGTGGCTAATAGCGCAGGATCTACGGATAACTAGTTATTTCTGAGCACTTTTACTCCGAGTCAACTGCCTCCCCGTATAATATGTTAATTTACACGCTACTTTGTTGGGGTAGTTGACCGTGTTTGACCGGAAAAACTTTATTATTGTATAGAATGTGTTTTTTTTTTGCTAGATTTATTATCGATCGTCTACCTAAACAACCGGTTGAGCATTTGCTAATAATTTATTCCTACAGTCTCGGAATACGCGTGAACAGTATTTTTTCGCTATTTCGATGTGCGATAGTGCTCGGAAGATATGTATGGTCAGCTGGGCGATCCTGACCTTCGTTACAAGTCTTCTAAAACCGCGTTTGTATTGCACGACCGTTCCTTTTTCGGAACTTATAACAATACCTATCTTAATTCTTACGTTAAAATGTTAATGTTATACCATCATTTTGTTCTAAAAATATTTACTCAAAATCAACTGGAAATTGTAATATTATATGCTCGCATATTGCACATCTTATCTGTTTCACTTATCGTCTTACATATAGATTTGTAGGGAGGCAGGTAGGTAGGTTTGAATTTAATTTTAAGGACTTTCGAAATTCGCACATTATAATTAATTTAATTTCGACAATTTTTACCTATTGGCAATCTTTTATAATTATTGGTAATAATATTATAGTTTCAGAGTAAATCCAGACATCAGACGAATTAATTTTTTTCCGTAAAATAAAATAAAAATACATTTTTTATTCCTCCTATAATATTATATAAGAAAAGTCTAAAGTTTTCTTAGTCGAAATAATGTATGAGATACAAGATTTTCATTTTTGAATTGTCCCGTTTTATGGGACCTTTATTACCTTTATAATATTTAACGGGATATAAGTATATGATCTGAAATTGATATTTTAAAATATATTTGTATATGGTGGAGATTATTTAATCAAACTAGGTATATATATTTATATATTATATATTTTCATATTTAATAGCCGTATCACTCTTATAAACAACATTTAGCAAATAGATAAAATATATAGCCGCTCGTAAAAGTTGACATTTTTGTTTTATTTTTAGTATGTAGACATTGCAATTCTTATTGTCCGATTAACATTACTTATTTGTGTGACGGTAACCTATCTGCTTTCATTGAAATTGCAATATTTTATTTCAAAGTAGCTCATTTTCTATTGCATAGTAACAAATACATAATCATTCTGTATTCGCTTTTTATGATTAAATTATAGTTTATCGTCGAATTATAATTATAAATTTATACGATTTATTACGTACAATAATTCTTGACGAAATATTTAAGTTTTTTTCTTCTTGTAATATTTCTATATTAATCGCTTTTAAACTCGTGTTGAAACTTTTAAAAAATGAATATAATATTAACATTTTTTCTAACACGAGTTATAAATTATATTATATAAACAATTTATCTACATTTATTTAGGTATGTATCTACTCGATTATTGCCACATTTGATTATGTTTTGAAATACATAGTAATATTATTATACTTAGTTCCATCTTAATTAAAAACATAAATTATTATAAATTATTATTAGTTAATACATTTATATGTTGTATAATATTACCTAATATTATAATATTAAAGTAATGATTAATATTAAGGATGCTTAAAACACAATTTATCGGTACCTATTTTAAAATAAGGGTAGTTTTTAAAGTTATAATTCCATAGTGATTTTTTATTTTAATTTAATAGATTTGGAGTTTTTTAATGGTATTGTGTATTACATTAACGAATAAGTTATTTAATTATTTTTATTAATTATTAATCATTCTAAAATCTAATGTAAATCAATTGTAGCTATACGTAGAGTATTAATAGAAGTTGTATATGCAGAAGTAGAATATCGCTAGTAAACATAATATATAAAACGGGCTGTTTCGTCTCGTGGAATTTTTAAGCATTGTGCGACGACGGTCGAACTTTTTTGTACGATAATTTATTTACACACTCGATATTTACAATTTTATATCTATAAAACTTCGTTTTTGATTTGTACTCCATTTCCATCTGAGAAAAATAACACTAACATAAAGGGTTCATAGTCGAAATTTGAATTAATTACTTTATTTAGTAGTTTTAAAATCGGTGAAACATACCTAGTGTGAATAGAAAATAGAAAAAAGTGGTACTTTTAACTATTTTGTGTTTTGTCGTTTCGTGTGTTCGAATTTATTTCATTTAATACGAGTCTAGGACCTAGGTAATAATGGACATGGAAAAATTATCCAGGTAAAAATAACTACATGTGCAGGAAAATATGGGTAAATAAATATAAATATGGCCATGGAAAAATAAAATAAACAATTTTTTTATTGGCCATAATTTCCTCTGTTAATTTTTGTATTTGGCTATATTTCCTTTCACTATTTTGGTGTATGGATATTTTTCCCAGATATTTTTTCCATGGCCATTTTTGATTTATTCATTATTAGAGAGACAAACTATTATTAAATTATACAGAATGAACGGTTTGATTTACGAATGTCCTTATTTCATATTTATTATAAATTCAAATTTAAAATGATCACTCGCATGTCAGACATCTCAAAATTCATAAATAATTAATTTAATTGTTTCGAAAAATATTTTTCGGCTATCTATAGGTAATACGACTAACGGATATAATTTTCTTTGAATTGCAATTTAATGCGAGGACCGTTCGTATCTAACCATAGGTTTTGACGTTTAGAATGTATAATTTGTATGTTATTTGTAAGTTTTTCTATAAACATGAATTAAGTACATTTTTTTTTATATTTATAAAAATTAATGTTTTTTTTTCTTCGAAAGTTTTGACATTTTAATAAAATACCAATGCTTAATAATAATTGACGTATCGATTTTTTAAGATTTGTTTTCCATACCGTTGCGTGTTCTTAGCCATATATATTTCTCATATTTTATTGTAACTATACCCATGGGTATTTTATATTACATTAAACATAATAACATTCATTATATGTGATGACCGATCGGATCACATCATACATAAAATATTGGGCAATCTATAACGTAATTCAATGAATGCATTTTGACTTTTCAATCCCACTGTGCGGGTAGACAATAGAGTAATATCATCAAAACGATAACAATATCGCTATAGGTTAAATCCCTACTTGAAGCCAATTATTATTATTATTATTATTATATCTGGGAATTGGTCATTCACACATGATTGTTCTTATTCGTCGTTATCAATGTAGAATATTGTAATTATTATGGTTATTTAATTTTTGTGTTTGTTTTCATCCTTGAGCATAAAATATACTAGAGGCGGAAGCTCTGCAGTGTGTACGCGATGTAGACTTCATTGTCGCTATTTCGATTGTACCTATATAGATGTATAACTATATAGATGTATACCTATTTATATATAGACTTATATAAAAATATATTGTATTAGAAACAATAATAATAAACAATGATCATTTTCGACTTGCACGTCTCTGCACTAACTGCAAACGACTTTGTTGACCTTGTGCACTGGGCCATTTTATATAAGTTACACGATTTCGATCACGTTGAATTTGATTCGTATTTGGTTTTAGTATTCTAATCATCGTCAGTCGCTCGATAATATAATAATATTGAATTTCTACGTGTATTAGGTATAATCGTAGCTACCTCTAGGTATAGTATCTCACAGACGACTGAATCTTATAGCCCGAGTGGGACTATGTATTTATTATTGCAGGATAAAAAAAAAGAAAAGAAAAAAAAACAGTTCTCATTTGTCATGCTTTCGCTTGTAATAGGCAGGTATATATATATATATATTTAACGATTTGAAACTGTAACTATCAAAAATTGTTATTTGATATTAGCCAACGTAAAATCTATTAATTTTTTTTTATCAACATTATACAATAATAATATTATAATTTATTAAAACTTCTAACATATATTTCATTGTGTATTATGTTATAGGTAGATACCTAAAAATCAAATGTGCTTAATGCTCGTATAGAGTATGATGTATTATAGATAATATAGATATCCAGAATTTTATTTTTTTTTTGACGAATAGTTGGTTTAAATTTCGACATTCCAATTCTTCGTTCATTCCGGAGACTAGTGCCTGCAGTTTTATTATAGAATATCGTATTATACAGAATGTGTGTATGACAAATCTGTCATTTGGCCAAGTATTTGGCAAACAATTCTAAATCTTCTGTACAATAAATATTATTCTTCGCACAATTATTATATTAGGATATAGACCTTGAAAATGTAATAAATCTATTGTACACCAGAGTCTTAAAATATCTGTTTCTACAGTATTGAATTAAAATTAAACGGCTGTATTTTGGTGATACGCAGCGTAATATAACAACATTTTGATAAAATGTGTAGGTACCTAAACGTATATTTTAAAATACTTAAATAGATAATATAAGCACGGTGGAACTAGACCACTAACCTTGGGGGTACTAAAATTATAGACACATCACAGACCCTCATAGATTCAATACCCCTACAATCCACTTTCCATGATATTTATATAATAAGCAACTACACATTTTGTTTATAATTTTTTCGTATAACTTTTTTAATTTAATTTTTTATACACACATGCATTGTCTATGTAGGTAATTTGTATTTTGCTTTGCTTATTTATTATGAAATACATGAACAAAATATTTAGTCTATACTCTAAAAAACCTTATTGGGTAGTTTTAAAAGTGCTAATTTTAAACTTGGGGGTGCTAAAAACCTTCTAACACCCTCCTAGTTGTGCCTATATTCATAATTATATAATATTACAAGTGAATATATCACTGTTGTACTTCCATAGTGAAAAAAAAACGTAAGATTTTAATCTTACTCTTGTATAGGTATAAAAAAAATAATAATAAAAGTAGATAATATATTTTTGCGTAAAAGTATTTTTTGTTAAAAAAAAAAAATAAAGAATGACAGTAAATTTACAACGTTTACGTATTTATTTGTGAACATAATATTATATTATGTACTTTATGGAAAAATGCTTTTAAGTGTAAAAAATCTACTCAGTATCTACCTACGAGTATATGGAATAAAGGATATCATTTTTGCCAATTTGTATACTTGAATAATTTATACTAATATATTATTAATAGGTACAGTGTACATGCCTAACAATGATGTATTGTTATGTTCCGAGTACAAAATATGACATTTATATATTATAAAGTTTATATCCTAGGAAGATTTACTATTTTAAAGTAGTTAAAGTGTACATGAGTCATTAATGCCATTACTGCAAGCACTTAAACTAGTAAATCCTCACCAGAATATCCTGTTTATTGAAAATGGAAATCAATATAATACTATAGTAGAATTAATTACAAAATATTAAAGGACATATTTGTTATACATTATGAATATAACTTTTATAAAATAAAAGTATATGTGTGCCAGGCACTACACTGTGCCTCCTAATAGTTCAAAAGACTTTACAAATAGGACGTGCAATTTTTTTTTTTGATATATTGAAACCATCTAGTCATCGTGGCTTAGAAAAATGGTTCTGAATAGTTAATAATATTCTTAGTGAATAGTTTTCATAGAAATGGATAATATTAGGGCGTTCATTATTTTTGTTTCAAGTTCAAATAATTAAAACAAATCCTTTGTATTTTTCAGATTTTTATTTTGAAGCTAGATGACTCTCCACGAGAATTGAATTTCCCCACGTATTTTTACAATGTTTAAGATTTTAATTTATCTTTAAGTTCATTATAGCCAAAAAAAATCCTAAACTGGTAGGAATTAATGGGCAACTACTACGTTTTTTTGAGGAAGAAAAAAAAACTAATTTTGACGGAGTTGTACATGTTTTTGTTTATTTTTAAATTTATATGTTTATAACTCTGTCAAAATTAGTTTTTTTCCCTTAAAAGTTGTTAGTTAATTCCTACTAGTTTAAAATTTTTTGAGATATACTGATAATAAGGATACATTTAAGTCATAAACATTTTAAAAAACCGTGTGTTTAAATGTGACTGGGAAGACTTCATTTCCGCAGGGCGTCAAAATAAAAATTTAAACAAAACCACAGGTTTTTTTTTTTATTATTTTCAACTACTTTCTTCACTTAAGAATTTTGAACTTTAAAAAAACTCACTTAAGGAATACCCTTATGTGTATACCATACGTTTTATAAGTTTTCGATCATTTTTGTGCAGACAAGACCACATTAATATGGGTACGTCGTTTTCGCGTTCAATTAATTGGTAATAGCTAGGTTAGGTTATTATTTTCGATTTTTGGCGTGGATGAAAGTTTAAAGAATTTTAAGTATTTTAAAGTGTAATTTAAACCTAAGGAAAATTAATTTATAATAATATAGCTAGTAATATAATAATTTTATACTTAAAGGGAGCCTTAACAAATATTCTGGAGATTCTGCGACTATGTCAGTTTACACTATCGTCTTCGATTCTGATGGGGAAAACAAGGCTGTCGTTGGTTGTTGATCGTGTGTGATATGTAAGAGTTCTATGGAAAATAGGAAAAATGTTAGTTCTTTTTGTCCTGGTAATATTTTTTTAATTTGAAAATCGCATTGGTATATAGGTATTAGGCACATTAATTATTATATTACTATAATTTTACATTCGGAAAAATTGTTCACGGCCGTCCATTAATTGTTTATTTGTTAATAATAATAAATTTATAACACGATTAAATACATTTCTAGGTTAAACCAATAATCAGTGGGGTTTATATGTAATAATTGTTTTAGCGAATAAACAATAAATTAAATACTTTTTAATTTTTAGCGACTATATAGAAAAACGTCATATACCCATTTTATTTAATCTTTAGCGACTGGAAAAATGTATAGTATGTAATTTAATTTTTAGCATACGACGGTCGTCCTTAACATGCAATTCAGTGGTACGATATAGCTTTTGTTTGTTTATATAGTCGCAGTCGTAGATTACATAGAGAAGGCGAGTATGTTGTGTATGACAGGGAAAATACATGTACGAGTTTGTGTGTTTATATGTGTATATATATTTAAGTACGTTTGTGTGTTGAAACTGATTTGAAGGTTGGAATCGAATTATGACGACATTACTATATACGTTATTTTTTTATTATTATTTTCTCTATGCCATAAAAATATAACATATTGAACCGCGAAGACTTATTATATTTTTATACATAGAAAAAAAGAAAAGAAAGAAACTAAAATCATCTGTTGTCAAGTTTAATGTACCTATTGTAGATTTTATGTATATTGCAGGTAGCTAAGTATAGTAATTTTCAAACATAAGTGTATACAATTTCTATAGTGTAGTCGGTTTTTTTGATGAAGGGTTAACGTGTAGACGCGTTGTTGTTGTACACGCGCTTCGAATTTTTGAACTCTGATAACCCTCGGTGTTACGAAATCCAAATCTGTAAAAAAAAAAAAATTATATATATTCGTGCATATTATGTACATATACTAGCAAGTAGCCTAGCAAGTAATATATTGTAAGGATATACAAACGCATTTATGATTAATTATATATAGGTATCTGGTATATACGCGTAATTGGCCCGCCATTATATTGATGCCCACGATAAAAATACTAAAAAAAAAAAATAATAATAACAATAATAATTACTTTATATTGAATTCTCCTATATAATTTCGTTTCACGTTTTATATTTTTCGTTTTTTTTTTTTTTTTTTTACGGGTTTTTAAAGCAATACGTGTAGACACCGCGCGGAAATGTAGTTTTACTCATCAATGATCGTATACTTACCTACGTATAAGAGGACACCACACCCGCTTTTAATACTGTCTCAGCCCGGGTGACGTATAGCGAAATAACGTTACGTATAGAATACAGAATGTGTAGAGTTCAAGTTGAAATCGGCGTTTAAACGCCAATAACCGAATTTAAATAGGAAAATATTTTTTGTGTACGTTGCTGGTTTTCTAAAATACTGCCGGGGGAAAAAAAAAAAACATATAATTTTTAAAATATTTGGTCCATTTTCGAGTTATTTATAGACATTTAAATTTTGCGATTCTTTTACGTAATATTTATTCGGTAGGTACTCTGTTAATAAAATTGTTAGACCAATCAGATATGCTTGGCAATTCAACTGGAAGTTTATTATAAGTTGTACTTAGTGGTCAACAAAAAAAGTTTAGTTTAATGTAGTATTTTTTTTTTTTTTATAAGAATTTGATTATCAAATTTCGACCTTTCAAAACATATAAAACCGAACACCGCTCAGAATCGTTTTTCTTTGGAAATTATTATTCATCGCGTACAAAAATAAATTAAATTCCCTATACATCCTACGTTCCCAACTTCTCGCCCACAACAGTGGCCCACTTATAGTGCGAGGTATATCCGTTTATTTTCTACAAAATATATAAAACTGTTGATTTACCTATATTTCATAATTTCTTATATATTTTATAAACATAACCAAATAAGTGTTTACATTTATCACATATATTTTAATATCTAGTTTATAGGTATAGTAGGTATAATGCAATTTATCTGTATAAAACTTGTGATTCAATACTATTTTTACGAGATATTTGTATAACATCAATTATATTGTTTTTGAAATCGAAAAGAGACTTTATTATTTCTATTACATCACAACATTTGTCTATAATTGTTTGCGTTTCCCTGAACATAATATGTATTTGTGTGCGTGCGTGTCTGAGTTGTTGTATAGGTCTCGAACAAATTTCAAACGCACGACAGTAAACATTGAGACCATACTCATCTCTCTCTTTTTCTGTGCATAATATTATGTACAAGATAAATACGGAAAATGATGCATTTCGTATTTTAATTTATGCGTCGTCGTAACTATACTGCATCAACGTCGGTTTTCGAAGTGTACGGATTTTGTTCTTATATTGACATTTCTATTTCAAGGCGATTTATTGACACACTATAATATGTACGTATGTAATATTAATAATATTGTTGTCTTACAAACAGACGGGGTCACGATTACAGACAGTGTTCGAAGGCTTTCTGAAGTACCTATATTTTTTTTTCGAAATAACCTGGGTATCTAATACGTTCGCATTTATAGTATTTCCCCTCTGGGGACCAATTTTCGAATCAATCGGGATTGTCGAACGAAAACAACCGAAAACGCGTCGACTTTCGATTGATTTGTTATTATTTTGTGCGTCGAAAACTTCTTTTTCGCTCGATGTGTGAGAGAATATTTTATTAGGCTTTTTGCAGATTATTGTCGGTGTTCGACAAACGGTATAACTAATTTTTTTGTATGTTTCGAATCGAGCAATCAAATGGAAAATAATAGGTTTGGACACAAACGGAATAATTGTTTTTGCCTATATTATATTTTATCGTTTTTGACACAGAATCATATTTTATGAAACACTCGCATCTCGTATAACATGTTTTAGCTTTATTCTAGTCGTTTATACGTCTCTAATGTACCCGCTCGAGGATTTATACCTATATAAATTAAACGTTAAAAAAAAATGTATATATATATATATAAATGCGTAGGTACCCGTTAATTATGTAGTAGGCAGAGTTAAAATTGATTTGTGCACATTATAATAATACGATTACCGCATTCGTGAGCTCTCCGGCGCGGTCCATCGCGCGTATAATACGATGATATAACTCTAACATTCCTATATATAAATATTATATTCTTGGGTTCAACACTCTTCGACCTTGATTCGGGTATTAATATACGAGTATTATTATCTACACGGCTAAAACTAGAATTTTAGAGATTTAGAAGTTTTTCACTTTTGTTTTTTTTCTTTCTTTCAAATCCGGTTGTGATTATATAATATCAAACATATTGTTTTATAAAAACAGCTTTGCTTAAAACTCGCGTTTTTTAATAAGGGGCCTCGTCATCTGTTTTATCTGTCTGTCTCGCATGTATATAATTTAATAACAAAGGCATTCCGCATTTCCGCGATACACGTGTTTTAATTTTTTTTTTTTTAAATTCTAACCATTAATGAGATAATATTAAGAATTGCAAATAGAAAAATCATTCGTAGAATCTATAGTAAATCAGCGCAGCACGTTTGGCCACTCAAATATCCCTTAAGACATATCACGTTTGGGCATTAAAATGAAAAAAAGTATTCGCTTTTGTTTAAGAAGTATATAAAATATATAAATACGCTATACACGACGTATATTATACAAATATAAACATATAAATAAAATAACTCGTGTTAAATTAAATAAATAGTATATATAATTATATTGTATTTCCTTGATTTCGAATTCCCGTAATTTTTAAATATTAAATTAATGTTATATCTCATTTTTCGTAAGCGTTCTAGTTATCAGTTATATAGTTAGTTTTAAGTACAGACTCGTTTCGAATGTAATTGAATTAATTTTTGTTTACACTATTTATGTTTAATGCAGTTTCTGCCTGAATGTTAATGATTACAACATGATGTATGTTCGGGTGTGGATAGTAAAATTGTGCATTAAAAAATGTTTATAAAAACCTATACATATATTTACTAACTATACGGTAAATAGTGTACCTATAAACTATAGTGCTCATACGTGTTGTAATATCAGAATAAAATAGTGTCCAAACGTGTAGTGATTTTGTGTTTAAACGTGTCGCAATTTGGGTTAAAATGTCCAAACGTGTTGTAACCATAGTAAATACTTCTCTCCTCTTCCTATAATAGGTCTCTTTGTCCTAAACCCAACCAGACAGTCACGATCTTAGAAATGCGTGGAATGCCTTCGTTGCTATATTACGCGCAAGATAGACTGAGAAAACAAATGTTACTGACGACATCCCTTAATTTTAAAAATTGTTTCGCTCAATTAGATTAATAATCGTGTATATTTACTTTAGATAAGACGTTTTAGGTACCGCGTTGGGAAAGATAAATAATATTTTCATCTAGATAAAAGATAATTTTCAGTTATCTAAATAATGTTAACAGATAATAAAGATTAAAATATGTTTGTAAAAATATTTTAAGAAGGTAATTCATATTTTCATCTCAAAATAATTTGTACGTTTAGGTATTAGAGACCTGCAATTCTTGGTCTGGCCCCGATTTTTTGATGGCGTATTTACGCTCTGCCAGGTTAATCCTAATTATGGATTACCTAAAGAATATATGAATTAAAATCATAGAGCTATAATAAATCACTAGTCACTTTCCAAGACTAGACCATAATATAATATAATATAATAAAATAGATTCCATTATAAGATTAACCTTGGAAATAATAAATTAATCAAATAATTTAATCTATACATAATTCATGACGTCATTATACCTATTATTTGTATCTGTGGTATTGGCCCGGTCCAAGTGTTCTCGTGTAAAACAAGTACGGCCTAGCCCGTTTTAAATTGAAAATTTAAATGCTTGACCCGGTCCGCATGTTTTTGTAAATTAAGTCCGGTGCGGTCTGCTCCGGATTTAAATTTAACGAGCCCGGCCCTTGAAGGTCTTTATTAAGTCTGTCGATAATTTTTTTGTTTAATATGAAAAATCAATTTTTTAGTACCTATGTGTAATAAATAATAGGATGATATATTTGTGAATTACCAAAGTGATAAAAAAACTGAAACTGCTGAAACTGCCGATGGGTGTGCCACAGTTGTATATGGGAAGTTGGACAGGTATAGGACTCATCAAGTTATTTAATTTATATCTGTACGAAACGGTAAATCATTGCTGAAGAAATACGATTCTGAGCGAAGGTTGGTTAAACATGTTTAGAAAGACCGTGTAATATTTACGATTTTCGTGGAAAATTTAATTTAAAACGTTAAAAAATACTACTACATTAAGCACAATATTGTTAAAATGCTAAATTCAACTTATAATGAATGTTAAATTTTTAAGCATTTTTATTTGGTCAAACAACTTAATTCATATAAAATCTAAAAACCTAGAAAATGTCAAATGTTTGTAAGCAGCTCAAAAATTTCTAGAATGTTTTGAAAATTATATTATGTCTAGAAAAGGTTAGTTGGCCTTCTTTATTAGGATAATTAGTTAACCTTATAAAATTACTATGCACATAGAAATAAAAGTACAGGAAGGAAACTCCTTATCAACAGCAGCCCAAGTAAATATAGAATTAAGGCAAGGGATACATTGTCGTTATTTTATTTAATATAGTATTAGAAAAAGTGATCTGAAGCAGTAGCTTTGGATAAAAAAAGTACAATTGGGCGAGACTCAGTTTGAACTTTTTAGCGGAGAATAAAAAAAACATTCATTGAAAAACCTCAATAATTATTTGGGGCAGTGAAAAGAGTTAGATTGGAATAGGATGGTTTTACCAGAAAATATTTTAGAGAGTATATATACATAATCATTTGGAAGTGGGAGCATACAAATTTAATAGAACAAAGCTGAGTTAAAGTACCTAAATACACTTATAACTCAGAATAATAAAATACAAAAGGAAATGAAAGCAAGAATGTAGGCAGGCAATAGATGCTAGTTTGGATCGAGCAAGTTGTTTAATCAAAATTGCTGTCTTATTGAATGTTTTTATTCGGCCTGTGGTAATGACGTATAGTTGTGAAACTTGGATGCTTCATAAGGTAAAACAGAATACCTTTTTAGCATTTGAAAGTAAAAACGAAAAGAAAAGAAGGCTAATATAAATTTTAACTGAATTATAACTAAAAGTCCATAATGAAATCGTTAGTTGCGTACGTTTGTTAATTTTTCCAGATTTTCTCAATTATTATGAAAATTTCTTGGAAAATCAAAATGTGATTTCCAGAATGCTACCAAAAAGCTATCTTGTCATGTTTTGATTGGGGCAAGATTTTTGGTAGATAAGTGGTTTTCAGACCATCAGATCTAGATTATTGTTTAGACGCTTTTATCTGTATATTATCTTAACATTGTGGTTAGATAGAAAAAAAAATTGGTTTGACATCGTTTATCCTGGGGTAACCTCGAAAATTTATCGCTTCGTGATATTTGGCCCTCTCATGGTAAAATTCATACTAGAGACGCATTTAACAGGTAAACATTCTCTTGTGAAATTTGTCCAGGAGAGGGGGTTGTAAAATTTCACGGGGGTCAATAATCACTAGGCACACCGGCGCTAAAGCACATTATATTCTGTATTCAAAATATAGGTAGGTCGAATTGTAACCATTTCTTATTTGATAGTCAAATTATATCCGTCAGTTTTTAACGGGACTCTGGTATTGTGTTGTCTTTTTTTCCATGAAAATTATAGGTATATACTTACTATAATATAGAGGTCACTTTTCTATAGCATATTATATTATACTTTCGTAATATTATTTTTGTTCGGTTGTTAGGTAATCAAATACATACATTGCATATACAATAAGAAAAAAAAAACCTTTAGGAAATTATAATTTGTATGAATATTAGTTGACAAAGAAACGCAAATAACATTGAACATTAAACAAGTATTTGTTGAACTAAAATCCGTAATATTATCACATGTCCCGTCACTATAATATTGTATGTATTTTTATAAGCCGTTTGTACGATTTAATTGTCGATATTTTAAATTTCGTGTTTTAAGATTATGATTAATTGTATACTTATTTTTTTTAAACAGTTGGCAAATGACCAAAAAAAAAAAAAAAAAAAAAAAAAAAAAAACATAAAAAAAGTCCCCGATTATTGTATTTTAGGACGTGTATAATAATAATAACAATACTCGGTTGTCTAATGCAGTTTCGACAATTGCGCCGATCGAAAAGCGGTAAACCATTAATAATTTACGAAATTGTTTAATTCCACGATAACCCATTACCGTAATAACGTGGATTAATAATTCAGTAAAAAAAAAAAAAAAAATCTAATAGTAATAATTGTAAGTATAACAATAATTTCTCGCTTACGAAATAAATTATAAGTACTAGGGGTTTTTTATTTGCATGCTTATTATGCCTAATATTTTTACGTATAAATGAGTATTTTTTTTTGCCCATTTTGTGAATTAGACTTTAAAAATGGTGATCATTTTATGAATTGGCAGCTGGTGTTCTTAAAATATGATTGAATATTAAACACACAGACCGAATATAATGAAAGTGATATTTTGGTGGGTTAATGAATTTTCAAATGTATTATTCACTATTCTACTACTAATATTTCGTATAAAATACAGTGTTTTAATTATTAAATCTGTTTTTTTTATATATATGTATAATAAATTCACTTTAAAAAATATATTAACAATTAATAATAATAAATTTATAATAATTTATTAAAAATGTCTTATTAACTTGTCCGTTCTATTAATTGGGCAATTTTACCCATTCACCCACCATGGTATTAATAGTAGTTATATAGTCGCAGAACAATAATACAAAAAAAAAAAAAATAAAAAAAAAATAGTTTGGAATTTTTTGCAATTCATTTTAAGGAAAATGTTTTTTTTCTCTCAACCGTGTCGTGTTTTTTGCATAATAAAAACCACGTGAAAAGTATGCAAACATCGTGTGCCCTTTACGGGGCAGTATAGTGTTTTATCTAGATGGTTTATTTTCATCTTATATATACTCTTATGAGTAATAACTAATAAGCTATCAAAGGTAAATAAGTGAATAGATATATATAGTTTCAAATCGTGATTTACGTATTCGTCGGAAATAAATGGGAACAAAAATATAATTTATATTATGGTTTAAATTATCGAGTTACATCAGTCACGACAACATTTTTGAAATTTACAGACGTGTACCAAATCCGGTATACGTTCACTGTACCTCGAACGGAATTATCCAATTTTTTTTTACCTAGATAAAAAAGCGTCGATTATTTCTCTCTAGATATTTTAAAATTTGTTTTCGTACCCCACTGTGTGTTACATAACAAGGGACATAATACACGATTTTGTCATTTTTTTTATCTGATTATTTGGATATTCACTTTTTAGGCACCTATATTATGTATTGTAATGATATCTTTGATTACAACAGTATGTTATGTAGTTATTGAGTTTTTTTTGTAAACATTATTCGAAAAAACATCGTTTTAGATTCTGAGCTGAGTCGAGTATTGGTTTTACTATTATGTTTATTTTTTCTGTGGAAAATTTTTCTACCAGCAATTTTGTTCCGATTTTCAAGTATAGCACTTATTCTGAAAGGAAATCTGACCGGGGTGGTACTTTAAAGAGGTAATGTTTTGATTTTTTGGGGGTTTTCATAATAAACCGGAAAATGTACGAAATTTATTATTTTTAAATTTCAAATATTACGGCCTTCTAAAACATGTACAACCGAACTCCGCTCAGAATCGTTTTTCGTTAGCAAAGATTAATCGTATACAGATGCGTACAGATATACATTCAATTTTCCTCTGTACCCTACCTTCCCCACTTTTTATTTATATTAGTAGCCCACCCATCATGCGATGTATGTCCGTAACTTTTTCGTTCGTATCCAAAACTGGCGACGCAGCCGCGTTGGGTTTTCACTGCGAAAAACCGTGCCGTTGGTTGCAGACATTCGGGAGGCGACGGCGGCGGCCGCCGCGGAAAATCGTGCGCGCGTGCGAAACTGCGGTCGGTTATACAGCGGGCGCGCGCGCGCGCGCGCACACGAACGTGTATGTGTAATTGCCGATATTTAATACTTTCTCGTCGTTGTCGTCCGCGGCGGCGCCGCCGTAGTGGGGCCGGTGACCGTCGGGCCCGGCGGCGACGGTGGCTCGCCAGTCGTCGTACGAACATCGTCGCGCACCGCACACATACACGCACGCGCGCACACACGGACACACACACACATCCGCACACACGCGCGCGCGCTACACACAAACACACACACACACACACACACACACACGCGCGCGCGCGCGCGCAGCCGTCGTCGCTTTAACGCACCGCGGAAAATCCCCGTATTATCACGAACACGGAAAATCGTTCGGGTGGCCCTCGTCGTCCCTTATCACGGATCGCGCGGCAAATCGGCCGTGTTTATATCGACGGCATCGCGCATATCATCGTCCCGCGAAACATCGCCGCGGCCAATCCGCACGGGACGGCTGCCGCCGTTTTGTCCGCGAACAAACAACCTCCACGCGAAACGAATCGAAAAATAACAACGGCGTTTGCGGCGTGCACCCGACTCTCGACCGCAGTGCACCACGGCTACCGCTGCTGCTGCCGCTGCTGCTGCTGCTGCTGCCGCTGCTGCTGCACGCACGACCCCCTTACGTGTACGTACGTCCCGATCCCGGTCGACCCCGAGCGAGCGTGCGTCCGTCGCCACTCGAAATATTATATTAGATAATAATATAACGTAGAGCGAAGGACTGTTGTCACGACACCGTCCGGATTTCCGTTTTCCCGCCGGCCGCGCTAAAGGTATGATAAAAAAAAAAAAAAAAAAACAAACAAGTAACGCCTAACTAATAATAACATTGTAACGATATAACTAACGATATTCAGCCGATTGGCGGAGATAATATTATGATATTTACCGTGCCCGGCGGGGGAATTCGTACGTCGCGAGCGGACGTACCTACAACGGATATCCGCGGACGATACCGCGGGAAAAAAACAAGCGAAAACAATTTATAATATTATTATTGTTCGGATCGCGGAATTTCGGATGTTCGCGTTGACCGGCGGCTGCGCGAACCGACGAGATAACCGTCGGCTAACGGCTCCCGTTTTCCGAGCGCGGGCGCGCGCGCACGTAGCCGTCGAGATACGCGCGACGTCCGTACGACGGTACCGCGCGCGCAATTATTCAACGCGAATATTTCAACGGTGCGAAATTTGCCCGAACTGCGTACGGACCGCTCGGCGCGCCCGCGCGCGACCAATACGCGTGACGAAACTTATCTGTATATATAATACGGTACAATAATTATTACAAGAATAATATGTGGAAAACCTTCACGGCGTTCCAATTCGAAACTCGTATATGCGGAGAATTTGCGATATATTTTTATTATTATTTTTTTTTTCATTTGCATCGCCGCGAATATCGCCAACGACAGTCGCGTATATTTATCATATTTGTACCAGTTTTGCGAAACGAGTTCCGTTCGCGCGCGTATAAAAACGTTTAAACGTGTATCATATTAGATTCTGAGCTCGGTGAGCGCTGTGTGTGTTTAAATCTCTGATACGTTTTTTTTTTTTTCATTCGTTCGGTTAGCTTAAACCGGTGTCATCCGGAAAGAACGCTTTCAATAAACGATATACGCGAATCAATGATTCATGTATCTTTTGAATATAATAAATATCGCGTTGCAATTCAGAATTTAGCGATACCACGACATCACTTGTAATACTATTATTGTAAAGAACGCCGATAGATAGTGTGTATATTGTTTATCTATTTCGCTGATGTTACCTTTGTCACCGAACCATTGCAGACCAGTGGTTTCGAACTTGGCGGTCGCAAATGATGGTCGGAGGGCGTCAACAACCATAAGTATCATGTATATAAGAGGCGGTCTCACATAAAAAAAAAAAAAAAAAATATGGAGGGCTGCGATTCGCAAACGGTTGAAAACCACTGCCATAGATTAAGATGAACACAATTATTTTATTAATGTGCGCATGTTGTTCGTCTAAACTATTTCACAAGTAAAAGAAAAAAAAATTGTTTATAATGTTTGTATCATTAACAAAATATCAATAATACGTCTCGCCCGTCTGTTTTTAAATATTTTTTTTCTGTCTGGTATTATTTCGTTGTTTTTATCGATAATATGAAATATTGAACCCTACTCATTTTTATTCAGGTTGCCAACCTCCGAATTGAACGCATTCACTTTTTAAAAACCGAACGTTCTTTTTGAGAATTATGAACGTGGACGTGAACGCGTTCATTTTTTTAGTGAACGTTCGTAACACTTATTAAAATTCTATAAATCGTTTACACAGTATATTATGTATTTTAAAAGATGTGAATTTTCGGTCCGGCGATGGTATTTTTCATTTGAACAACTATTAAAAAAAAGAACCGATGGCAATGTAATAACATCGCGGTTTTACATCTCTGACTTCTTTGCTGAAAAACACCACTCAACGGTTTTTTCGATTGCATCGATTTATTGTTTCGTTCAGTATGTATAATATAAATAACATAATAGTCACGACCGTGTATAATTTTATCCCGAATTGTCACAATTTCCCATCCACAACAGTAGCAGTCTATCTGTGGCGCGAGGAATGTGTTGGTTTTGCGATGACGTGTGCTTTATTAATATACTTTTTTCGGTTCATTATGAAAATGCTTCAAATTTTGTTCGCGTCATATGTATTTTAAAATATGCGACTTTTTAGTCTGGCGATGGTATTTTTCATTTAAACAGTTAAAATATGAAAAAAAAAGAACTTATAACGACGATACATTGACTTCTGTTGACTTTACCAGGGGGAAAATCTCTGGGAATATCACATGACTATAGCTCGTCATTATTGTTTTTCGAATGCGACGTTTTACCGTTTCTTTTCAGTGTATAACATAATAATATGAACTGTAATTTTATTATTTTTTTTTTTTATACCTTTGAATTTCGTTTGCTGTTGTAGGTAGAATCATATCGTGATTCAGAATCGCGTGGTTTTTTCAAACCGGTAAGCTGCAGTGATTGTTCAAAGGATGATATTTTAACATCGTTGTAATACATCAAAGTTAGACTTACTGGCACAACCCCATAGTTTAATGCCATATAGATTCAAATGGGTTTTATAATAGCTACTTATAAATAGTAGCCGATTATCTTCTATAGTTTTATTCGGAGTAGAATTCGACTAATCATTAAAGCTTTTGCAATTTTAAAACAAAAAAAAAAAAACGAAACAACTCCCAACAATGGGGGGGGGGGGCACTGTTGTGGGTGGGAAGTTGGAAAGGTAGAAGGGAAATTTAATGTATATCTTTACGAAATGATATATCATTGTTAACGAAATTGTTAAAAATTCTGAATGGACTTCGGATATAGTACACGTTTTGAAAGACAGTAATATTGACGATTTGAAAATATTATATATATTTCGCAAATTTTTTCGATTTTCCTACATTTTTTTCTCGGATTTTCCCATTTTTTGGGAAAACCCCTTAAGAAAATTAAAAAATAATCTGTTTAAAGTACCACTCCAGTTAAATTTTCTTTCAGAAAAAGTGCTACATTAGAAAATCTGAGCAATATTTCTAATAAAAAAGTTGTTCAAAGATTAAAATAAGCATTATTGTAAAACCAATATATTCCTCGCTCCGTTTAGAATCTTCAACAACCGTATAATATATCATCCCGAATATTCAAAATTTCAATCTTAGAGTACTACAGTAATGGTCACGGTATTTTTTGTTTGTATAATGTGAATAAAATCGTTAAAAGCTGCCCAAAAACGCTTGACAATTTAACACATAATATTATATAAGTTGTTAAAAATCATGGTGTTTCAAAACAATATGTTTACTATGTAAAACATGTTAACCATATGATTAAACAAACATCGGCTCAGAATTGTTTTTCGTTAGCGACGATTTATCGTCTCGTGCAGATATAAATTACACATTTCTTAATACATAAATTTATCATCTTACCTTCCCGACCATAGCACCACAACAGCGGCACAACCGTCAGCAGTCAGTATCAGTTATTTGTTGTTTTAATTTTTATAATTATTATTATTATTATTAATGAGAATACTACGTGTACGTTATCAAAATAATATAATATTGTGATTTTCGATTTCACGGTGCCGTATCTACCGCGGTGTTACCTTTATTCGTACATAGGTAGGATTACGCTGTCTTTTACGACCTACGCGAACTGCAGTTGGCACCGCCAGGAAAACGTTCTTCTCGTCACTTGTCGCTTTTTTTCTTTTAAATTTTTACTTTGAAATAATAATTATTATGATTATTTAGTTTGTCGGTGGTTTTTTTTAACGGTAGGCGGATACGTACCTATACCGGAGTGCTGGGTATACAATTCCACTATTAATACGTCGTGGTGAACATAACAGAACCGAGAAAAAAAAAAATTTACAAATTTTGCCAAATTTGCTATATGCTGACGAATGACGACGACGACGTGTATTCTCTCTGCAATAGTCTGATTTCCGTTTGAAATGTGCAAAACACGCGAAAAGAGTTTATTAATGTAATAAAATTAAAAAAAAAAAAAAAAATCGAAATAGGTCAAAAAAAAAAGCGAACCGTCGTTTTCGAGTGTGTTGTAAATATAATAATAATAATATTATACTTTTAATATTATTGTATAGAGTTGTACGTGCGCAATAAAATAATAATAATAATGTTATAACCTATACGAGATAATACGAGTATATTATAACAGCCTATGGCTGCAACACAATATACTTATATCATTATTACACGGCACATAAAAAATATATTATATTTCTGTAGGACGTCTGCACTGTTTACACGCTGCTGCAGTTGGTTATGATGTTTTGTCGGTTTGGGAAATGTATTTTTCTTTTCGGGTTCTCGGGCGAGCGCTTTACAAAAAAAAAAAAAATTTGCATATGAAAAAAGACACGTTTTCTACACGAACCGAAGAAAATATTACAATAATAATAATACAAATCTGCTGTCGTTCGAGCGACGTGTATCTAACTCAATATAATATGTGACCTAGACCTAAACACGCGCAGTATAATATGCTCTACACTATAGGTATAGGTATGCGCCGCGCGTATGTGTTTTCTTTCGAAATTTAAAAAAAAAAAAAAAAAAACTGCGATTAAATTATTATTATTATTATTATTATTGGCCGTGTTTTATACGTAAAACCGGTGATATAAACCAATCACTATTTATTTTGGTCGCGGCTTGACAGAGGTCTCCACAGGAGAATAACACCTTCCTCCCCGACAAACTTGACAATTTAGACTACTGAATCATCGGCTATTCAACTATAGTTTAACCCTAAAGTTGACAACATTTTTAATTTCTTCGTTTTTTTTTATTTTGGTATTTATTCCGTGATGATTATATCGTTATGTTATTATCATAATATGTAATATTATTTATTATTATCATTTATAAAAATATATTGTAATCTATTTTCGGAAGTTTGCAATTTCGATATTTGGATTTTAAATTTTTTTAATTATACCTTCCGCCTATTAATTTTTTTATGTTAAGCTATGGTCAGTGAGACGCGGACGTTTAACTCAATTTAGATAATGGTTAAAAATATTCGATCCGAGATCATTTAGATGCTGATTAAAATAACAAATATTTAAAATACTTCAGACTGGATATAATAAATAAGTGGAATTTATCAATTTATCTGGAAAACAAAAAAAAAAAATATTTTTTTTTTTAAATTTTCTATTTGTCTATAAGTGTATTTTTCTATATCAGGTGGATAAACATTTAAATAGAAGTACAATTTTTTTGTAAACTCAAAGGTAGTAGATCTCTAGCGATAGTAACTTTAAATGTATAACTTTAAGTACCTAAACAATTTTACTAAGAACATGTTACTTAGTTACTCAGAAAATAATTATTTCTCATCTTTGATATCCCTTAGAAAATTTGCATCTAGATACGTTAGAAGTCAAATAAAATATTATGTAGATAAATCTCAAAACTAGTCGCGATATTATGAGAAAGCTACAAGTAGCTGGTGAAAAATATATTATGTAATTCTCCATTACTTTTGTCTTATAAAATCCAATTAGCTAAAGCCCCGGCTACCTATTCGTTACTTAATCGTTACTTACCATCGTGGATTTTCATTGACTAGGCAGTAGATTTAAGGTTAACATTTGGGAAACTGACTTTTTTGAAGCATTATCAGGTTTTGATCCAAAAGTAAGTTAATGTCCTAAAATAAATTCCGGGTACGCCGTTCCGGCTTGGGCCTAATCCGGATAGGGTTTGTAAATACACCGTGGCGGTTTGTTATACAAGAACAACACCCGGTATAAATAGCTATCGCGGGTCAATAATAATATTTGCATTGCATGGAATAATTCAACCTATATTACACTTATTTTCGTGTTATTATTTTTATTATCATTATATGTGACAAGTCGTTTTATTATTATAGAGTAGGTGTACGTCGTCGTTTTCGTCCGATGGGATTCATTGACATGTTTGGCACCTACTGAATGTTTCATAATGCACGTGTATACTTATAATAATAATAATAATAATAATATACTGTGTAACGAGACTTGAATGGGTATCCTAAATGGTGGTTTTAGAACGAAAGACAGAACCGTATAATACAATAATTTTACTTGCATACGTACAATAGTATATTATTTACACAAGTAGTCATTTTTGTATATTTTGGTAATTAATTGTCAATTGTTATGTAAAAAAAAAAAATCTACCTATCAAATTCTGCGTACTGGACAATTTACGAACAATAGTAATATATATGAATAAGATACTTTAATATTTTAGCAAAAAAAAATAAAAATATATTTATTTTAATTCGAGATTTTTATCATGCAGTAGGCATAATAATATAATATCGTGTTTGTTTATTGGTAATCGTTTGTAAAAATAAATATAACGACAAGCATTAAACAAAAAAATGATGAAACACAAAATTATAATACTTTAAAGTTTAAATGCAACATAATATAGGTACAAATATTAGCGTATTTTGTTTTTAAGCTCAATCAAATACATAACTTACTTTTTATATGATATGACCAAATGTAAGAATACTTCAATCGATACATGGAATCAATAATGTTTTATATTAATTATGTAGACCTCGATTGAAAAAATTAAAAAAGGCTAATACTGCTAATGGATGTGTCCCTGTTTTAGAAGGAAAGTTGCTTTAGAGAATACATAGAGTAATTTAATTTATACTTTCACACAATGATAAACCATTGCTAATGAAAAATAACTCTAAACAGCGTATTATTAGTTGTGTTTTCTCCGTATTGCCAAAGTAACACAGAAATCAACAAAAAAATATACAAATGAATGCCAGTTTTTTCCATTTATTAAGAAACCTACAAGGGCAAAAAGACGGACATATTTCGCACAAAAGGTGGGCCACTGTTGTAGGTGAGAAGTTAGAACGTAGGATATAAAGAGGAATTTAATTTATATATTTATGTATCGATAAACCATAACGAAAAACGATTCGTAGTTAAATTTATTTTATATATTTATACGTAATTTTTCCCGTTTTTCCTATGGTTTTTTCAATTATTATGAAATATGTTTGGAAAATCGAAAAATACGAAAGGTCCTATGTAAATTCTTCTATATAAAAATTACTTCATTAAAATCAATTTTTATGAATTTCTGTTAAGTCTAACAATTTTCTCCACATAACATGAATACAAATTACGTACAAAACTAGCATAATTAAAATGTCTGAATTAACTGAATTACAACAAAAAAACAAAGTTGAAAATAATAACATTATTTTCTTACATTTTCCCGTTTTTTCTAGGTTTTTTCATGATTTTTCCCTGTAATTAAGAAAATTGCTTGGAAAATCAAAAAATGATCTCCCTAAAATACCACCCAGATAAAATTTTCTTTCAGAAAAAATGCAACTAGTATTATTATTATTATTATGGGTAACATTTCCCTCATTGTTTTAAAAATACAAACAAATAAGAATAATATTTAATATTGAAATACATATATTTCAGCCAAGTTACGAGGAAAACTTTGATGTGTTAAATAGAAATTCCCCTCCCATTGACAATTGTTGAGCACGCCACTGGATGCGACACTTGAAAACCGGAGTAAAACTGCTGGTAGAAAAGTTATTCACTGAAAAAAAAAATTAATTTTATTGTAAAAACAATATATTCCTCGTTACTATCCGAATATAAATATGACTTCATTATGCACCAACTGGATAAAAAATGCCACAATAATGTTTTTATAAAGTTTCTAATTGGAACAAGGATTCTGATAGAAATGTTGTTTACAGACAAAAATAAACACATCATAATAAAATCAATACGTTTCTCGCTATGCTCAGAATATAATACGGAGACTGTGTAGGAGACCGTGTAGAGCTGGAAAATAAGTTTTGTATATTCATCGACGTAGGTAGTATTTTCTAATTAACGAATCGGAAGCTATTCCGTTTTACATTAATTAAATTTATTTAATTACCAATTAATGATAAGAATTGTACAATGGAGTGTTGTGTTATAAACGATATTAGTCTTCCAAGCTAATTTGCTGCCATCTTTGTTACTTCCTTTTACATAATCTATTTAGTTCTATCGATTTTACATCCTCTTTTACCCTTTTTTTCACCTACCTGACGGTCTTTTACCAATTAGGTCTTCTTTTCTCCAAATAACGCATGCCCAGGTAATGTGTGTTATTCTTCTTCTATTTTGTTATTATATCTATATATCTAACTGTTGAAACAAATTCTTCAGTTCTTCAAAGTGATATTTTCTCTGTTCCCTCATATTGAAATCCACACATGGTCTGTAAATTCCAAAATCGATACCAGTGTGTTCATTTTTAGAATAAAAAACAAAATAAATAGGTATAGAATTTATCGTGTAACGATACAAATGATCTCACCAAAAATATGAATCTCAAAACGATCGTTTTTCCAAAAAGATAAAATATGTAATGAGTTAAAAATTAATTTGATGATAATTTAAATATACATTTAAATTACAACTGATTTTCTGTATTAAGTTTGAATTAATCCATAACACATCGACATTGTTTACTGTATTTTATTTTTACAAATATACGGGTTATCTCTTTTACATAAAAGTAATAGTACAACAACGAATATAATATTACATTATAGGTATTATGTAGACATTCTTATACAATAAATATAAATTATAAAAATACAAATGTACTTATAGTAGGTTTATTATTACATATTGTATAGGAGGAAGAAGAAACTGATAAAAGAAAAAAAAAATCCAAGTAAAACAAGTTATTTACCTGAAATTGTTGTATAAGCTGTGTCCTTGATATTGAATCCAATTACTTAAAAGTATAATACAAATCTATGTTATTTTCTGTAAAAATCCTAGTTTTGATTTCATGTTTTATCACTATAGTTCAATTGCATATTAAATTAATACTGCGTGGTTGTTAATTGTATGACCAGGTACAATACCAGATAAGAGTTACATTATTTTAAAAAAGAGCTGGTACTACTCATGGGTGCGTAAATTTTGTAGGTGGGAAGTTGGGATGGCATGATATACAGATTAATTTAATTTGTATTTATATGCAACGATAATTTATTGCTAACGAAATACGATTTTGTTGAGCGAAGTTCAGTGAAAGATGTTTTGAAATGCCGTCAATTTTACGATATTTGAAAAAATTTGAACTTAAAACGCGTATGAAAAAAAGACATATTAAATTCAACTTTTTTCTTTTTGATCAATATAAGTATCGTGTTTAATTTTGAAACATTTCAATCAATTAGTCAATACATTTTATCTAAATGAAATGTAATAAAAACTATAAAATGTTAAATGCCTATAAATAGTTCGAACATTGCCAGTGTTTTAAAAATTATATTACGTCTACAAATTTAACTTTCTCAGTAAATAAAAATCATTAAACAACTACACGGAAAATTAAAAACCGCCTTTCTTTCCAGTAAATAAACAAAATGTTCTTTCAAAAAATATGCTACTTTGGAATTTGAAGCAAAACAAAATTAAAAAAATCTTAATTATCGAAATCAGTATTGTAAATTTGTCCGTTTTCTCTGCAAGATTTCTGGTAGAAGAGTTGTTCACAGATACAAAATATCGCACATATCATACAATAAAATCTATACAAGTCAGCTGTGCTCAGAATTTAAAAAAACCATGAGTACAGTGTACTGTAGTTGTATGGGTGAGAAGTTTGATAGGTATTATAGGATCATTGATCAATCAAAAAACGATTCTGGACGAAGCTTAGTTAACTAGTGTTTCCCCTTCCCCTTGTAGCCCGTGCAACTCAGAAAATCACTAAAATAAAACCTATGTATAGTTGTAAACTTTTGCCAGTTTATTTTAGGAAAATGAATGGAAATTCAGAAACCGTTTCAAATAAAGTATTATCTAGTGAAAAATCCGCATCTTTTTAAAGTATGGCATGAGAAGATCTGAGTAATTTTTGCTAAGCGAGAAAATGTTTCATCATCTTAATAAAACTAATGGTTTTTTCGCTAAAATTTCTTTTGCTATCAGAGTTTAATATTTTACAATAAATTAGATTAAAATGTTATGGGTATTTTAAAAAATTTAAAAATGTAGACAATTTTATTTAGTTTATATATCATTAAAAAAAACATATTTGTTTACAGTTAAAATTCTTAGAATTGGATTTTATGAACCGAAATAAAAAAAAACCCATGTAAACTACTAAAATTCTAACCATAAAATTATAACAAATATATCTAGTACGTATATTTAGATATATTAAATATCGTTTTACACGAAATATAATACAGGAAGGTAAAGATTTGTTTTAATGGTTTAATAAGTTTAATAAAATAAATTGCATAAATTAAACAAATATATATGTGCATGTATATTATTTATTATTCATGAAAATTCTATTTCGTGTCTTTTTCCTGCAATATATAATAATATGATATAAAAAACGCCTTATGAATTTAAAATGGAGAATATACCTATTATAAATATGTAAAAAGTGTAATTTGTTAAAAATGGATAATAATTCAGTATATACATATAGTATATATTTTTTTAATTATTATTATATATATATATATTATATAATTTGTGCTTATTAAGCGTATAGTTTAATGAACAAAAAAAAAAAAAAAATGTTCAAATACATTCATGTTTTTTTCGTATAATAATAATTATTATTTTTATAGTTCGTGTTCATTCATTGTGAAGACTTATTATTTAAAATATGAACAATCCATTTTGTGTTTATGTTAGATATACGCAATAAATAACGATCATTTTTATTCAACCTACGTGTATGAAAATATAATATTTCCGACGCGTAAATACGAATATTTTGAGAAATATTCTTAGTAATCAACGATGTAGTCCTACATTTTTATTCCAAAAATAGTGTTAATTTTCGCAAGATTTGTTTAAAGGATTGTTGTCAACAAATATACCTCTAGCAATTCTCAATTAAAATTATTTTTGGAAAATTATACATAGAGAGAAATCCTTAGTGAACATGTTCATGAACATTTTATATAAAAACAAAATTTATAAACGCATATTTTTAAAGCATATTAATTTTGTACTTTTTTAAACGCATAAATTAATGCACATTGAGTAGGTTCTTTTTAAGGACATTAAGTTCCGAGCCCAAGTCATTAGCAACCGTTTGGATTAAAAAAAAAATAAGGAAAAATGTCACCGTCTGTTTTCGTTGAACCGTTATGATAACATGCATCGATATACGATGTTTTGATAATGATTAATAATACACAAGACGTATATGCGAAACTGGATACACCTATAGTGAACGTATACCCGCGTTTCAAGTAAAAAAGTTTTGAGCAAACGCATTGTCAAAAAACCAAGAAGTGTGTTTACGTCGTGGTTTCTCGCATAATAAATCGGGGTTTACCAGTGTTTTCAGTTAGTTCGCTTTTCAGAAATTTTAAAAATAAGTATTATAAATTAGATTTAAAATGTTACAAATTTAAAAACAGGTATAGAAATTACGCTTTTGGACCTTTATCGTTTGCCCCTTTTAGTAGTCCGATTGCGTGAGTTTTAACGACTACGTACGATTTATATACCTGACCCTTAAAAACATTACGATTTCCTACGAATTACCCTAATACGACATACCTATATATTATTGACAAAGCAACACTATTAACCGAGCTCTGCTCAGAATCGTTATTTTGTTAGCAATGGTTTATCGTTGTGTATAGATAAACATAAAATTCTCGTCTATATTCTACCTTCCCAACTTCCCATCTACAACAGTGGCTACACTCGTCCCCATTATCCTAGGACAGGAATGTATTGGTTTAAAAATGACGTTTATTTTATTTTCCTTTTTTTTTTTGGTTCAGTTAAAAATATTTGTAGAAAGATAAAGTTTGGATACAAGCTTATTTTTAGCTTTTCTAGATGTGGTAAAATGTTAAAAACATTATAGCTATTTTTGAGCTTTTTATTGACGTTTTAATTTTACGAGTATTTGTGTAATTTTGGTTCGGTAGGTATTCTGTAGATAAAATTGTTAGACCAAACAGAAATGCTAGACAATTTAACAGAAGGTTTATTATAAGTAATATTAGTCGCACTTTATGGTAAAAAATGAATAATGGATGGGTTACTGTTGTAGGTTTGAAGTTGGACAGGTAGAGGGGAACTTTAATGTGCATCTTTTTGCAACGATTTACCGTTATTAACGATAAACGATTCCGAACGGAGTTCGGTTAATAGTGTTGCTTTAACAATAATAACATATATGTTATATTATGATAAAAATAATTACATATGAATTGTATATTTTCTTAAGTAATAATTGTTTAATATGACACAATTAATTTAGACATTTTTTTAGTTAACTAATCAATATTAATTTTGAATCATTCATTTAATGATTTATTGTTTAAATGTATTATTACAATATTATATATAATATCAACATTTAAAAAACAGTCACATGCATACAGTAGATACAATTAAAATAGTTAATATAAAAATATATTTATTTGTAAAATTTGGGAATATGTGATAATTATTGAAACCTATTTTTTTTTAATGAAATATGAACAAATTTCTTTTTATTATTTAATCATCTATTGATAAACGGGTGTTGAATTATGAAATAAATAATAAATAATTTATTACACAATTATATAATGATTATTATTGGTTCTTGGTTCATGTTATACATCCACATTGAGGACAAATTATTCTTATTTGTTATTAAGAACTATAACTTGTTGAGTTTTACTGTCCATTGTTTATGATATATAATTATTTTAATATATACATATATCATTTAATATATTATTTTGATTTTTGTTTTTGTTTTTTTTTAAAACCTAACCTTACAACGATAGTACTTTTCTGAAATGAAATCTAACCAGGGAGGTACTTTAGGGAGGCCAATTTTTGATTTTCCCTGGAGTTTTCTTAATAAATGGGAAAAAACGGAGGAAAAACGGTACAATGGTACAACGGTACGAAATGTAGGTATTTGTAATAAAAAATGAATTAATAGCACTAAAACTGCACTATTAGTCATTAGTTTATCCTTGTGATATTTTTCTCATTATTTTCGGACAACTGCGCGTGAGACAGAAGATTCAGGAACGATCGATAAATTATAGCTAATACGACCCATCAAATTACTGCTGCTAATTCGATTTTAAAACTGGTCAAATATTACCGCGGTATTCAGTATTTTTTAGAATCTTTTTCAAGTACATATTCCTGTCGTATAGTGTGTATATGTTACGGGCAAAAGCCGAAATCGAGCAAATCTCAGAAATGTTCGAGCAAAACGCAGGGTGTTTTGCTCGAACATTTCTGAGATTTGCTCGATTTCGGCTTTTGCCCGTTACATATATAATATTATTCCAGTGTATAAAAAAATCGCGGAAACGAATAGTATTTATAATGTTTGCATTTTTTGAAATAATTAGTATAATTTTCGTTTTTAAATAATATTGTTGATATGGTACGTGTACTGTATTAACTTCGATATTATTTGTTTCGAAAGTCATCGTTAACATTTTCATTATTATCATTGAAATGTTATAATATCTCGAAGGCATATTATATTGCAAGAGTGTGTAACGTGTAGAAATATTACGACGGTTCGTATACAAATACAAAATATTATAATGTGTGAAATATATTTTACATTCCGAGACAACCAACACTTTTAAAAATAAATACAAATATTTAATAGGTGCGTAAAGTCGCGTATAGAATATTCTATAACAGCAAAGCAATCCGACTAAATTGTCTACTTATCATAATAATTACTATGCAGAAAACAACAGAACATTTGTAACGTTTATTAGCATTTTTCTGCGTTACATTCCTGCGTTTTAGATGGAATGTACTAATGTCAATTATATTATATAAATATAAAAAAAAAAACACCGTTTCAAAATACTTAGTTTAACGTGTATTAATAATATTTATAGATAAAAATATGATAACGTTACGTACAAATCAAATCCTATTAAGTATATATTGTATAGTAGAATAATTATGTGTCGTAATAATATTGTCATGCCTACTATCTTGATATTATCTTATATATTATATTTTATACAGATCGTTTTAGGAATTAACTATATCGACATTGTAACGTCTTATTAAAAAAAAAAAAAAATTGTTCAAATAATACGTCCATACACGTGATATTATGTTACATTGTATTATATCGTATAAAACAAATGTTTGATACAAGTATGTCGGAATATTTTGTTCTTACATCTTTTCCGTTTATGGAAATATAAGCGAAAACAGCTAGTATTCGTATAGCTAGTAAAGTCCGATCACGAAATATCCAACGAGACAATATAATTTTAGTGAAAAAGTCGAATATTTGTTTTTTCTCGTCCTACGTCCGATCGTCGACGACCCGGGTTCTCCTATATTGTTTATTTATCGGGTCATTTTGTCTATCAATAATCTTCTCTACGATTAATTTACCGCCGCGGGCTCTCAAAATATGTCCGAACCATAATAATTTGTCTAGACGTTTGCTTTCATGAAAAATTCGGTTCGTTTTTTTTTTTTTGAAGCAAGCTGTTTTTGTTGCAGATTTTGATTATTTTTTTCTTTACTCTCGTCGTATACAACTCTAATTAGCTTATGCGTGTATAATAATAATACGTTTTGTGGTGTTTTTCTTTTTTCCGAAGGTTAAGTTCATATAGCTTTAATATAATTATAGGTTTCGGATAGTTTTTATATATTCATCTCATTTGGTCAGTGATTGTAGGTTTCTCGCACATGCAGTAGGTATATAACAACGTTGAACGTCATAATTTTCGAAAATCGTAGCTGCTAAATAATATTAAATTTATGATAAGGAACATTATAAACGTAATAAGTTAGCCATAATTTGCATCATGTGTTGTAGAATTCAAATTGTTGTTGGTAGCAAATTATTATAACCTATTGGGCAATTTAATTGATTTAATTTAATTAATACAATATGTTTTATAAGATGTGTTGAAAGTCAACCAAAAAAATTGGTTCAAATAGAGTATACGCGTCGAAAAATCCGCATCTTGTCAAGTACGATGTAGAGTCTATGTAGTATGTAGACAATTTGAAGCATTTTAAACCACCGAAAACGTATTTTCTTATTGTAACAAAAAAAAAAAAAAAAGGGTTTTGAAAGGACTATACTGATTTTCAAAAACACTTTTCAAATAATAAGCATTTTTGGTCAGAGATTCCGCATATTTTAGGATACTTCGTGAAATTAGAAAAAGGGTAAAAGTATATAGTGAATAACAGTTTATTTCGAAAAAATATCGGAAACCTCGAAAAATGATGTACCATCAGTCGGAAAATCTGCATCTGTTAAATACAAATGATAATACAAATATTTAATTTATTTTATGCGTTACATTTTAATACTGTATGCTATGGTGTGAATGGAATGATATTGTGGAATTTAAAAGTGTTAAAAATTTGAATAAGCGATAATGTGTCGTATAAATATTATTTTGGATAAAGTGTCATTTATTTGTTATTTACCTACCTAACTTGTATAGGTTTGTTTTTTTTTATTCCAATTTCATTTTGTTTTGTTAATACCACGGTGATTATAATTTTTGTTTTTCTTCCAGTACGACCAACGTGATAATAATAATATAATGTTTTTTATTTATGATACAAAACAACTTTTTAATTCAAATACCTAATTATCGCGCCATTGAAATTATTCTTCATTAAACATACCTCTAAATTTGATGTTCACATTAATGTAATAATTATTAAAAAAAAAAAATAATAATAATATAATGAATACATCAATAAGTGTAATGTATTTTCCAATTTTTTTACGAGATGTGATGAATTTGAAAAATTTCAAGATTTATTTCCGTGTCAATAAAACAACCATTTATTCTTACTCGTTAACTAATTATGTGAAGATACCTCCTCATTAGTATAATAGATAGACCTTGGTTGAATGTAATTTTTGGTTGTAATGTTTTTGAATTACCGCCTTTAATTTTTCGTTGAAATTATTGATAGCAAAAAAAATGATTCTTCAAATTTTAGATTCTTAGTGGAGCGAAGAAGCTTATAGTTTTACAAAGATGTTTATTTTTTTTTCTTTATCTGTGTACAACTTTTCTACCAGAAGACTTGCTCGGATTTCTACGTGAAGCATCTTTTCTGAAAGGAAATTAGCATGGGGAGGTTCTATACGGAGATAGTTTTTCGATTTTTTTAAAAGTTGTCTCATCAAATATAAGAAACTGAATAAAAACAAGAAAATATAAGAAATTTAGGTATTAGTTAAAATGTATTACGGTCTTCTTATTTTCTGTACACAAGTTTTCAACCAGCAATTTTACTCCAACTTTTAATGCAGCACTCCGTCAGTAAACTAAAGCTCTAAAGAGGTGATGTTTAGCATTACTATTTTTATTTTCTCTTTTATTAATCCAAATACTGTTGCGTTGAAAATCAATACTTGTATAAATTATTTCAAGTGCATTACGATTTTTAAGTACTTTTTAGTATTGTAAAGGGACTTCTCGATATACTGGAAGCATACCTTTTTTTTTACTCATATATAACAATAACATACAAGGTGTTCCGGTGTTTACGTATGTGCTTGAAGGCCATGTTAGGTTATGTCAGACAACTTAGAGTCCGGAAAAAAGTAGTGTAATATAATTAGACTTAAGCTTAGTGCCATCAATTAAATGTTTTTATCAGTGTCTGTTTGGAAGCTCTTAAATACTATTTTTTATTTATTTATTTTTATAAAATAATCATAATGCAGTGGTATTACAAATTATAAATACTTATACAAATTATTATACGTAGTGTTAAAGATCTCAATTGAATTTTTCATAAATAATTGTTTATTCGATTTTTTTTTTTTTTAATCAATTTTAATAATTCGTTTACCTATACTCTGCGGTCAACACATTTGTTGAAAATGTGTACTTTTATATATTATGGTTCTTTTTTAGGTTCTTTCTTTTTTAGTTTGACTTTTGTTGATTTACAACTATCTGGGTTTCTTTGACGCTCAGAATAATTTTTTGTTTATAATTATTTATTGTTGTTTATAGTATATATTTGCTAAATCACTTTGTTAACCTGTGCATTACCAATTATTTACCTATACTTCAGTGAATTAAAACTACAACTACTACAAATCGTGAGTCGTATTCACTTTTTTTTTTCATTTTTGTTCCGAAACAATTACATAGTGCGATAGTTATTACGGCGATATTTTGGGTTCGTTTAAACTATTATAACTATATAAAGAGTATATTTCTTTTTACTGAGGTCAGTTAAGAGTATTGACGTAAAATATCTATAATCGTATCGTACCCATCTGTTAAATTGTATTTTTCCGTTTTAAACGACTTTAAAAAAATATAACGTTAGGTAGATTTGAGATTTCTGTGATGTCATTTTAATACAATAGGTAGTTAAAACATATTCTATTATCTTTTAACCGGTTCAATAGATTCACGTTTCTCGTGTGCGTTGTGTTCAATAATATAAACTGATACGATGACACAAACATTTGCCTCAAAAAGTCAAAATTTTTGTTTTCAGACGACACGCTCGTGACCGACGACGTTATTTTGTTTATTATCCATTGTCATATTGCACCGCGTGTACATTAAATGTGTTTTGTTGATGAACTCTTCAAGTATACCAGTAACCTTGCTACTGGAGGCCGACAGGAAGAGTGCCACTAGTATGCGGCTAGTTTTAATCAGTATTAATAACGTCTATATTATTCGATTTGGATATAATAATACAATAATTTATCCCCTTTGTTATTTATAATAATTTAGATTTCCATTGATAGTTCTTTTAAGTACTGTAAGTTTCAACTTTTTGCTGGCGATCTTAACATAAACTCTTGCATAATAATGACTGTTCCTTATGACAAGAAGATTGAATTCGATATCAGTATACTGTACTAAAAATTATCTTAGTGTAAATGTCTTTAAACGCGCTAAGATATCTTTTCTCCGAAACTAAAATAAATATCATTTGATTACTCAATTGGGAATAACAATTTAATCGAGTTCGACATCATACGTGACTTTAGTTTCACCTTTCAGTCAAATCTTCATTTTACTCGTATAAATCCGATGGTATGCTTAAAAGTAATGAAAATGTGGGTTTTTTTTTTTTAATTTAGATCAATTAAATCTTTCCATAATGAATAATGTACAGTTCTATATTGTTCATTGGTCCGCCCTTTTCTTGAATATGGATCCGTTATATGGAGTAAACATTCGATTTATCATACAGAGAGACTCAAATAAACATAAATAAGATTCGTACGATTTTTTTCGGCTACAAAAAAAAAAAAAAATTAACTAATACAGTAATAACCTAACCTTTGACGATCTTACTATGAACTGTTTCCATGTTAATCTAAAACTTGATCCCCTTTTAACGATTCGTAAAATAGCCGACATGTCCTTTCCTTCACAAATCATTAAATGACCCTTTAACCTGCCCATAATTGCCTGAACGTGTTTTTCTTTCAATGTACCACAATACTGCTCCCAACCATGTCCAATATATTGCGACCCACTGCAGAATATCATTTCTGAACCGGTCGTATAGGTACGGGAGATAGATTAACGTAATTTTTTTCACAAGTGGTCGTTGACAATAATGCATAATATAATATTCCGTAGTTTTGTCCGGAATCATTTGGGACGATACGATTACTATAATTATTATTGGGAATTTCGTTGGTTCGACCTCTGTCGTTAACTTGTTATGCCAATTCTCGAGTCCGGTGGTACAGGTAGAAGAGGAGTATTGTTACAAAAAAAAAAAGAAGGAAAAAACGAGTTACACGCGTATCAAGGAGACGATTGTTTTTATTTCGTCTGTAACATATTGTTTTACGGACCCAAACTGACGGATAAAACGAAAACAAACATGTTTGCCACGACATTAGGCGTGCGTTTCAGTTTGTTGCGTTATTTGCAACACTCGGTTGCAATTATTGTTGTGAATGTTGTGATTGATGTTTTGTTTACTGCACAATATTTGACAGTATTTTTTTAGTTAATGTTAAGATGGTAATCGTAGTTTTTAATTGTTCGTCGATTCTAGCAACTCGGGTTGTCAAACAATTTCGGTAAATCGGTATCACCAAAACCGAGTTGGTTCGTTAAACTAGTAAAGGTACAGGACGCTTGAAATTGCATGTGTCAAAACTGAAAGCACGCCTATTGGCTGTTATAGTGGCGTATTTGGATATTTTTATATTGGGTGAACGACGAACATTTTAGTTTACAGACCCGTGAGAGGAGCTACGTATTGACATAGCCAAACCGTTCGACCACACATTATAAATAAAAAATGGGGGTCACCGACTGGCGGACCGCGAACGTTTTCTTACCGACCCCTATCCGCGGACTAGTTTTCAAAATGTTTATAATATAAATAAATAAAAACTATAAGTATGTCATATAAAATTTATATTACGACAGAAAAATTATTTAAGTAATGGAAAATAATGTGATCCACCTCCCATGTATACGCCACTGGCTTATTTAACAGGTGGAACGTACCGAAAAACAAAGTGACGTCGTCGGTTCCGTGTGAACTCCCGCACCAAACTCTTTCTGTGAACTTTTACTACTTTTGCGCTTCACCCACAGCTCATTCGTCGTTTTAACGGTCGTCCGCTCATTTTTATTCTAGTCGTATCAGTCTTACGACACTGTCATCATATTTTGGGGTGGCCCGAAAAAAATCTTTTTCCTTTTATGTACACCAAGTTCATCTAGATTCTAGACGCGAGGGTCTCTCTAGACTCTAGAGAGACCTTCGCAAATTTCATTTCGTCCACAATCACATTAGTCATCAATTCATTCCATTTATATTTCATTCCTCATTTTCGCCGTCGTCGTATGTCGAACGTAAGGCACAGTTACGGTAGTCGATTGGAGCCTCATTTCTCGCGGCAAGGGTTTTTGGCTTCGGCGTGCCTTCCAATCCCCACCCCCCTCTATTTTAAAGAAAATTTCAAAGTAATATAGTACACGTAAAATATATTATTTAGATAATACGTTTTTTTATTTTTTTTTTATAAATGTGCCGTTTGTATTAATTTATTTTCGTTCACACCTACATAACAATATAATACCCTGCATTTATTATGTTATTATATTATGTGGGTGTATCGAAACAACAAATTGCGTCAAAATCGTTTGCGCACGCGCGTTTTCGTCGGAAAGCGGACGGTTTTTTTTTTTTGCCGGCCAACGGCTCCACGCATCGTTTCCCCGGACAATCGAGTACGTAACGAGTGTAACTAAACGTCCCGGTGGACGACATACTTTTTTGTATACTTATATATTCTGTATTTATTATGTATGTAATGCAACGCGGCAAACGGTACCAACACTATTACCGTACGTACGTAATTATGTATTACATATTAGGCGCGATAATTCCGTTTGTTGTCGGATGCCGACGACAGGGGGCAACGGCGATGATGTCGAAATCGGGATTCGGACGCGTGACATAACAATAACAACAATAACAATAATAATAATGCGTTGTTTTCACGGATTTTCACGGCATAACGCACCGTGGAAAACGCCGTATTTCCACCCGAGGTGTGCGGCGGTTATTATATATGCGATTTTTTTTTTTTTCTATTTGCGTTTTTCCTCCTCCCGCCCGAAAAACACTCTGCGCGTAATTAGTGTGAATTTGTTGTGTCACTAAAAATAGACACCCCGTACTATCGAATCTGTCGCTCAGGTGCCTGCCAAAACCGCAGCCGCGGCCTTTGAACGCTCATGCCGAATCGACAGCGGACGACGGCGAGTTCGCGTTCAGCGCGGACGACTCGGCGCTGTTAGTTATGACCTGTTATCTGACCTGAGCGTATGAACATTATCTGTACCACTGCGTCCGGTTTTTTTGTTTTTTTTTTTTTGTTCCCGGTCGGGTTAACTTTTAAACGAGACACACGCGTTATTGACTCGCGTCTGTTATCGCACAAACTTTGAACTCGACCGCGTGAAAATTCACGCGCACAATCATTATTATACACAGTTACATTGTGGTGTGGAGGGGAAAGGGGAACCCCGAACCGTTTTCATGATTCGGCGGCGGATAGGAGAATTGGCGAAAATGGGAAATGCCAAAACAACTTTTGACGGAAACCGTTAATTCGCGGTTTGCGCGCGCGTGTTATTTCCGCGGTCGCGGTCGTCGCGAAAACGGCACACGCGGAACGGGTTATCGAGAGGTCCGCGCCGACGACAACGACCTTGCATCCCTCTGCCGGTCTTGACCCTGCGCAGAAACGCGTCTAAACCGGTCCGGTTCGTTTAGGCGGCGGCGGCGGCAGCGGCGGCGGCATAACAAACTCGCGCGCGCCGTGCCGCCACGCCACAAAACCGCCGCCGCCGCCGTTCAGTCACAACCGTACTGTCGCAGCAGCGTCGCTCCGTGTTGCGCGCCGAACATCGTGTTGCACGCCAGTCGCGATCCGGCGTTCGAACGTCGATCACTGTCCGCTGCCATCGCCACCGCCGCCGCCGCCCCTTTTTTGCCTCGCGTCCGATCGTGTGTCCGTTACACGCTTCACAACGATTCGTCCGCCGAACAGTAATAAGAATTTTTTTTTTTCTCGTTTTTCTCGTTTTCCAATCTCGTATTATTAACAACCCGTATTAACATTTTTTTTTTTATTTTTTTTTTCTTCGACTCGAATTTTGTATACTGAGTTTTTTTTATTTTTGTGAATTCGCAGGTGACTTTTTTTAAGGTGAACACATTCCTATAAATTCGCGTTCACGTTACGGCCGGCTCAACAATGGTGGGCGTTTTGTCCGCAGTGCAAGGATTTTTCGACAACTATGGCGGTGAGTACCCATCATATTATAATAATAACAATAATAGTACCCTGTAGGTATTTTTTTTTTTATTTTTTTCCTTTCTCGATTTCTGTAACCGCTCGAATAATTTTGCACGGTTCGCGAAAAAAAAAAAAAAAAACAAATCCCCATAACAGCGTGACATTTTGACGAAAATGTGTCCCGGGCTCTCGACGTTTTTATCGCGTACCTGCCTATTATTACGTTTTCACGCGATAATACTGTTGTCATTATTATTGCTTTTTTTTTTCTTCTGAACGACAGTTTCGTTATTTAATAACGAAAAAGTAAATAAATATAAATACTCAACGCGGATGGAGGGGGGGGAGGGGCACACAATCGCCGATAAATGTAATGATATATTTATAACATATCGACGTTCGTTTTTTTTTTTTTTTCCCCCCCAATTGTTTTTGTCGCTTCTCCGTTGAATTCAAATAAACGTACGAAAACTATACATTTATTTATTTTTTTTTTTCACCACTACTACTATTACTTTTTTTTTTTTTTTTAATATCGCTACTGTAATATCTTCTCTACGCACGTATTATCAATTATTTATAATATTATTAATGCACGTGAAATTTAATTTTCGTCGTCGCTCGCGTACGAAAACGCGATAACATTATAATATTACAGTATTTTACATTTAGGTAATTATTATTATGCGTAATTCGAGCGGCGGCGGCACCGGGTGAATATCTAAAATGTTTTAAATACTTGTCGATATGATATGTATAATGTATATAAATAATTTTTTTTTTTTTTCTATACTTTATAGTAGCCGTACCTGTTAATACGTGTAATATACGTATACGTATAGTCGAAATAATAGATTACGTGTATTATATTATTGTACCTAGGTGCCTACGTTTTTTTTTTTTTTTTTTTTGTCCCCCGAACCTCTAACCGCGAGTTATTAATTTTTATTAGACACCTAATATTTTATTATACGGGCGACAATCGTCCCGCGCCCGTGTAAATCGCGATATCTGCGACGCGTATATTATTATGTGAAACGATCGTATTGTTGTTATTGTATCCGTTATATATTATAATATTATCTACACCGGCGGCGCAATCGTTTTTTTTTTTTTTTTCTAAGTTCGAGCCTGACGTCATTACCGTACACGACGACGACGGGGGGAGAGGGCGCGTAACCCGAAAATAATGTAATATTTTAGTTCGAGGCTCGGACGTAGAACAGTAAAAAAAAAAACTCACGCGTACCCTCCCCGTCCTCCCCTTTAATCTTATACTGCGGTTTTTTTTTTTTTTTATCGAAACGGTTAAAACGTGTCTGCAGTAGTTACCTATCGATTCGCGCAATCGCCACGCGCTGCGGTACCCGAAGGGTAAATATTTTCCGGCGATTACGTCACGTCGATATTCATCCGAGTATCTGTTCGGATAAAAAAAAAAAAAAAAAGTTTGCCTTGTATCGTGTGGACAATACAGGAAACGGATTTATATGCACTTAAAATCCGTGAACAACGTCGAAAAACGGTCCTTATAAGTTATAAGATACAATTTTCTAACCTATAATAATGATATACGCGGTGTTTTTTCATTATTACAATACGTACAATTTTATTTTTTTCAAAAATTCTTCGCGTTAATCGCGTTTTTTATTGTCGAAAAATCGTATTCAATAAGTTAGAGCCGGTTATAGAGGACGGGATAGCTTTTAAATCACTCTTCCGTTATGGATTTTTTTAAAATGTTTTTTTTTTTTCGTTTATAAACGTTTTATTTTTCGCGGGTTTTAAGTTTGTTCGCTAACCTAGCGGTATTACATTAAAATCAAATTTACCGAACAAATATTTACACGCGGGTGAATGCCCGTCACTCGTCACCGTCGGTCTTCGTTTAGTAATGTATTTATAATGTTATGTTTTTGTTTTATCTGTTTTTCGCGTAGATTCTCGTACCAAAGACTGGTTTTTGATGAGCAGTCCTCTGCCGACCGCTCTGATATGCGCCACATATGTTTTCACGGTCAAGGTCGCGGGGCCACGATTAATGGCCAACCGCAAACCCATGGAGCTCAGAAACATACTAATTGCCTATAATCTATTCCAAGTCATATTCAGTTCATGGTTGTTTTACGAGGTAAGCTCGGTTACTTCGATAATATTTTACAGACGATGAATAATACAAAATACCAATAACAATAACAAAACATAATGCGTATGGGCACACACGTCGACATCGAAAACGTTAACAGGGCCCCTAGCGGTGACGTTTTTCGTCTCCGTCTGTCTAACGGGCAGTATAGCAAAAATGTCTTTTCCACACACCTAAAACAAAAATGATTTCATCAAATTGATGACCACGCGTTTATTAAGTTTTCGCCGGGCTGGGTATTTGTCGTCGACATATTCGTTGTACGGTTTTCTGTTAAGGCAAAAAAAAATATTTTTGTTTTTCAAGTTTGAAAAATGGAAAAATGGAAAAATATCTATCCCTGCGAAACCGCAGTAAACGTCGTCGTCTTCCTTAACAACTCGGCGAAACAGTTTTCGTTTTGGGTTTGTGTGCGATCCCGAGCACTGTTGAAAGTACGAGAACATATTTTTGCCATATTGACAGTTATAGATTTATAGACAGAGAGGGCAAATGTTATTGTGACGCCCTCTTAAAGCGATCGTTCGAGTTCAATGTCCATATTTATTATGCGTACGCCTTACTTTGAAACCATGTTTTTTTTTTTTTTTCGCGCTGATACCCGCGATAGAAATGTTACAGTATCGCGCATAATATGCCGACACGTGTAGGCGATACGTGTGTGAATATTGTTTTTTGAAGATTGTCGCGCACGCGCTATTTTTAAGCGTTCCGATGATCGCGTGTTATTGTCGTGAAATAATATTGTGTAATGTATAGAATTACCGTATAATAGTATAACAGATGCATAGACGAAAAAGAAAAATCGAAAAAATACGTTATTGGAGTCTGACGAATTTGTTGGGACGCGGAAATCGAGTGTTAAACGCCAAAGTTTTTGCTGCGCGGGTGTAAATGGGCGAAAGCGAAACAGGTTATGAAAAACTGCAGGGTGAGGGAGTTTTTTTTTTAAACTGTACAATATACGTCTTATACTCCGAAAACCGTGAAATAAATTTGAACGAATATTATAAAAGCTTACTGTAGTTTTTTTTTTTTTTTAAGAATCATCGTAACAAACTAATAATCCAGTCATATTACTATATTACAACTTAAATTTAATACAATATTATTTTTTCATTTTAGCACACAAGAATTTAGTTTTCAGTGAAATGTTCACGGCTATAATATTAGTACATATTATTAAACTATTTAACAACAAATTGTTTACATGTTTTGTTGTGTCTTAAGGTAGATTACGCTTGCAAAACGACGATAAAAAATCGTTTGTAATTCATTTAGTTTTATTGTTTTTTATTTAGTTTTTATTCATAACATTCATCATCACGAATAGAACATTATTATGCTTTCATATCTTTATCGTATGTATTAGTAGCGGAATAATATGGAAGTGTGATCCGTTTTATAGCGTTCAGTGTTAAATTTGGTGGAATAGGACAATTTCATCAATAGTATAGTAGGGTGTAAAATACACACCCACACACACACACACACACATACATACACACACACGCGCACACAACAAAAAAATTAAAACATAAATTATATAATTAAAAAAATATTATTAGGCATGATGTAGAAGAGAGAGCGAGACTGGTCGGTCCGATTTTTACGAATTTTTTTTTATTAAAAAAAGGATTTTTCCATTGTTGCTTCGAGACATAATTTATTGTATTATGTGAAATATACTGCAGTAAAGCATCGACAAAAGTATTAATTCCGTCCTTAATTGTATCGATATTTATTAAATATAAAAAATCGGTGTTTTTTTTTTTAGAGTAGTTAGTGGAGTAAAAGAATTAGAGAATTCGTTTTACAATCAAATCTTTAGATTTATTTTACAGCGGTTTAAACATTCCGGAAGGTTGTCAATTTCGCCATTTCCGAAATAAACAGTTCTCAATTTTTTATATACTCCTTGTGTTTCGGTTTTCATTTCGTTCATAATCTTCAGAGTATAACGAGAAAATGCGGAACACTGAAGCTGCGCGAATGATTTTCTTCAAACGCTTTAGCCACTGAACATTAATACCTAATGCGTGGCCCCTCAAATTTTCGGGAATTTGATAATTTTCACACGAGTCCCTGCAAGAGCAGATCGTAATATTTTGAACATTACTCGAGTAGAGTATTTTCGTGTTTTGAGTATTACTATTATAATTTTTTTTTAAATATCTAATACAAAAATCATTAAAAGAAAAAAAAACGTTTGGCGGCTTCACACAGTGTCTCTGACATAAAATACATACAAATAGTATTCGACCTGCGGCTAACTGACTTGTAGCACTACACCAACCAGTCTTGTTTTTCTCAATAGGTAAAATATCGGTATAGTACAATGTTTAGACGTGTACGCCGCTGGTTTACGTGTTTGATGATTTCACAAAAATCTCACCTACATCAGTCTATCTATTAATATTACATTTGTACGTATAGATAAAATAAATTGAATGTTAATATTTTTCTACGATTTGTATACTTGATGTGGGCATTATAATATTGCAGTGTATGATGGGCGGCTGGTGGGGTGAATATAGCCTCAGTTGCCAACCGGTAGATTATACGAATAAACCGTCGACCGTAAGAGTAAGTTGACAATGTAAAAATAATAATTCTTCATCGATAATATTTTGCGGATTTGATAAAAGTCAGCCTCGTGTACTTGACACAATTACTATATATTTTGTACCGCGAGTGGGGAGGGGGTGGGCTAGGGTGGGGTTGTTACACTGACACTCGTGCAATCGATTTTTTTTTTTTAATAAAAATATAATAATATTATGCATTTTAGGAATTTAAATTATAAAGAATTCGATTCTTATCATTAATCCACCATTAAATTAATATAGAAAAAAAAAAATGAAAAAAAAACGGTCATTTGGGTAAGTAAAAACTAATACAGTACGCTACAATACAATAGCTTTTCGGTATAATTGCATGGTGTATATTATTCAACATTTTTAATTATATCCTCTGGATGTGAAAAAAAAAAAACTACGAATAATGTTCGGGTTAATATACAATTACATATTTTATTAACACTATAATAATAATAATATTATTATACACATTGTACATATTCTTCTGGCTGTATACTATATAGTACATATTATTTATAACACGTACCTAACATAACATAACATAATATAACATAACATAACATAACATAACATAACATAACATATCATATCATATTATCATAGCATATAGAGTGGCGTATTTAAGTGCATTTTTCGAATAATAGAGACACCACGGTGTAATATTTTTTTTTTTTTCCAAACACTTATAATCTCGACGATTATAATCGATATTATGTTTCTTAAACACGCCATCGATAACACATAACATCATATATATATATATATCCGTATTTTAATATCGGAGTACATATTGATAATAGCTAGCGTTATGTACACACCAATATATTATTATTATTATTATTATTACCGGACCCGTTAATGTTATTTGTCGAATCGTCGAAAAAACACACGTGCAATTTTATTTTTCAAATCAAGACCAATCGTCGTCGTGAGACATTGAGCGCGCAGAATATATTGTAATAATATATAGTGTGCGGAAATCAACGTTTTTATATATATATATATAAAAAAAAAATATATATATATTTGTAGTATGTATTTCAAGAAAAAATAACGAAAACCCCATATTTTGCGACGCGCGTTTACTATCACGTTTAGAAGGTTTTGCTGCGAATGGTTTTTTTTTCTTCTGAAAAACGCTCGTGTAACGCAATATGACAATATTATTATTATATATTGTTAGTTTTTTTTTTTTTTTAATGCTGGGTTACGGTGTATATTCGTTATTATTATATTATATAATCATACACGGAACAACTTGTACATTATATATGTATGTTATTGTTACTATTGGTTATTGCATGCTTCTTCGAGCAGTATAATAATATTATAATACACTCATTTGGCAATATATATCTTTTATTGCATTACGGTTCCTAAATATTATTGTATACTCGTATGTTTGTCAAATATGACGTACAAAACGGTATCGGCGTATCGGTTATAAGGTCGTGTGAAACCGTGTTCAACAATAATAACAATCGCAATCGTTGTTGTTGTCTTGTGTCGGACATAAACGGGATCCGTTCGAGTCTCCCCGGGTGATAAGAGAGAAAAAAAAAACGGTCGGGAATGGGGTCAGATACCGTCTGATAAGGAAAACAAAAATTATGGAACGTTTAACCTCGGGTATTTCAATATATCGCTTCGTATGAGGCTTTCGCGAACTCATTCGAAAAATAATAAACTCGGATTTTTTCCCGAACGTTTGGTTAACGATTTCGTTTTATCTATAGCGGGTTTCACTGTTCGAGTCTCCGAAAAAACGCGATCCTTGTATAGGTATACGGATTTCGAAACGCACCTGCAGTTATTCTCGTCTAAACTCCGAACCGGACGATATTCATGAGTAACCGAACGCTCTATAGGTGTTTGGCGGTTGAAAAACCACGTCGGGTGTAGTAAAATATAAGGTGTAGGGGCGAAAGGCAAAAGCCACGGCGATGGTGACCCGACATTTCGAAGTATTACTATCATGATCGTCGTCCGGGGTCAGCTTTAAATTCGTACCGATAATAAGTTCTAAATAGTATTTTCTTTTGGTTTTGAGGTTATGTTTCTAGTATGTTTCTTATCACCAGCGGAGAAGTGATATTTTTCCGGTACAGATACACTCGCGGATTCGTTTAATTGTGGATATAGCATGTCGATTAAATTGTTTTTACGGAGTCGGTTGCGCAAATATAATACATGTAAAAGCATATTTAATATAATAAATAACCTGCAACGGGTTTTCGGAATGGGAAAATGTAAATGCATATTTAATATAATATATACGGCTGTAAAGATCCTCACTCGTCCTTTAAGGCTTAAGTGCCATTGGTTATCGTCCGGTAAATTATATGTTTTCTGTGTGATATTATAATTCTATAAAATAATATTATGTAGAATTTCGCAGATTTATGTGCCTATAAAATGATGTAAGCATGGGAATTTAAATTCCAAAACGTTCATTGAAAATGAGAAAATGTTGAAAATTATTGTGTTGTTTTTATCATAAGCGTAATAGTTAAAAGTAATTGAGCCGGTAACTCATTTACAGTGAATACCGCGAATAACTCAAAACTAGTATTTTGTTTGTTTCAATTTGATAATTTCGTGCCCTGGCATTTCATCGATTAATGGTTGGAAAATATTCAAACACTCGTATACTAATAGAGAATGAAAATAATTCATAATACAGCATAGGATAGTTCCTTTTTTTTGTTATTACGTACCTATATATTATAAAACCGATAAAATGCAGTCATTTTAACTGTATTGGTAACACGTGATACTATTCACTAGAAATCCATTTGGTTTGAAAACTTAATCAATTTTCGACATTTTCCACTCTTCGACAATTTCCTTGAAAATTTACATCACTATATTATAGTATGTAAATCTAATACGAGTATTATTATCGATACAAGATCGACAGCATGGTTTTAAAGAGATTTATATTTCGGATTAAACAGAAGAAAAACACGGTTTTCGTCTATTTGAACTAAGCAAAATAATACCCTTTACGGTTAAAACTAACAACAAAGAAAAACCTAAACTTTATTTCGGGAGTAACAACTTTACAGGGTTGGATCAATCCTCGATCATTGTATCGGAAAGTATTATGTTTTTTTTTTTTTTTTTCTGGAAAACGTATGAAATAAGCAGCTTTACAGTTTTAGATTTGTGATTTTTATATCATTCTATTTATTGAGAGGGAAATCCCACTACCCACTTTTGATATTCAAATAGCGACCTATATTTACAATTCCATAAATAGATGGAGTTTTATTTGAAATACATTTTGGTGTTGAATTTTTCAATTTCCATTAACCCATTAACGGGATATTTGTCTTTAAAGTTTGGATAGGGGAAGGGGGAGAGAGTAATGGAGCATAATTTGTGAGGCAGCGTGGTGCGTGACATTTGAATAGTGCTCTATTACTCTCTTACCTATTCAAATAAAATTGTAATATCTCGGCATCTGGTTAACGGAAATTAAAAATTTCATTACAAAAATGTATTTCATCTAAAACATGATCTATTTATGGAATTTTCAATACTTGAAAATCAATAGTGAATAGTTGTTTCACCCCCAAAAATAAGGGGGAAAAAATAACGCTAATGTAACATTTAAGAACTGCTTTTTTTCCGATATCGAGCAAAAAAAAAAAAATCCGAAAACGTCTATACTTTTTGAGAATTTTATCAAGGATTGATCATGTGTATGATTTAATAATTTATTGTTGAGCCATAATTTACGCACAATAATGCTATATTATACTATTTACCTTTATACGATTAATATGTTTTATGTAATATTTTAAATGTAAAAGTTGTAAATTATTTTTGGTGGTGGATTTTACAGATTGGAATGTCAGGTTGGTTGACGGGGAGATATAATTTCCGGTGTGAACCGGTAGATTATTCCAATCATCCGATGACTGTGCGGGTGAGTTAGCATGGCAAAATATAATATTGCGTCGTTTTTCACATTTTTTTTTTTTAACCTTATTTTATGATGACGGTAGGTATGTATGTCAATTGCACAAACCGCAATCATATATTTTTTTAACTTGTTTTATTTTTTAATTGTTCAAATTCTGAGCGTGGTGAGGAATGTATATTAGTTTTCCCATATATATTTACGGGTTTTTTTTTTTTTTTGTTCAGTTTCTCCTATCTGTAAACAATTTTTCTATCATAAATCTTGCTTCGATCAGGGGCAGTTTCTAGTTAGTGCATTAGGGAGGTCATTTTTTTATTTTCTTTGTAGTTTCGTGTTGACGGGGAAATAATCGGAATTTTTACGTAATAACGTTTTCTGTTAATTTCGATCTTATTTTTATGTTGTAATTCAGTGAGAAATATTTATAGAGACCAGACATTTTCACCAAATCAGATGTATTTTCTAGACATGATAAAATTTTCAAAATATCCCGGTGTTTATAGGTAGTTACAATAGTAATAATTATTATTAAATAGTTTTTACCTTTATAGTGATAAGACTAATTGAATTTATGAAAAAATATCCTAACCGAACTTCGCTCAGAATCATTTTTAATTTGCAGTGATGTTTCGTTGCGTGTACAGATATAAATTAAATTTAAAATGTACATCCACTTTCCCTACTTCCCAACTATAACAATGGCCCATCCACGGTGTGATGAATGTTAGCTTTGTGTATTTTTTTTTGTTTTGTTAAATTTAAATTTACGTTTTTATTATTTTTTTTTTTTCCGGTGTGTCAAGTTCCGTGGTTTTCTTTTAATGGATTTATAGAATAATTATAATATAATGAGGTTTTTAGTTTATAATATTTGTATTATTATTGTTGTACTAATACGCGTTTTCTGTTTTCGGGCGACTAAATTATAGATGGTCAACGTATGTTGGTGGTATTATTTTTCCAAATTCACTGAATTCATGGACACGGTAATATTCCGAATTTCACGTCGATAAAAAAAAAAAAAAGACGTTTTTTAAAAAAAATATATCATTTAAACTATCGTCATTTTTATATGTTTTCCGTGTGTTGTGTGTGTACGAATATAGATATTCTTTGTCCTCCGCAAAAAGGACAGACACATCTCGACTCTGCACGTCATTCACCACGGAGTTATGCCAATGAGCGTATGGTTTGGAGTTAAGTTTACACCAGGTAACATAAGCAAACGGCTGATTATTATTTTTGTATTATTATTGATGCCCACGTGTGTTGTTTTCATCTTACAAACGTATTACGGCACAGCCAATTTGCATGTAGCAGGGACGACATTATACTGTTAGTTTTAATATTAGAGTGAATTGACATATTATCGAATTTAAAGATAAGAACATTTTTTGCGCAATATTGGCGCTATTGTTTTCGTTATTATAATTTTTAAAGAAACGAGACGAGGCGAGAGATATATCGTGAAACATCACGATTTAATAACGCTTGTATCTCGCCGGGAAATAGAAATATCGAATAAATAGTGTCGACGATGCGCAGATGTTTCTTATCTTTAAGTTTGATAGTGGATCAATTTTATTCGGTTTTAAAATTAACCGTACAAAGTTGTCGCTACAAATTCGCTATGTCGTACGTTTGTAAGACGAAGATACTTAAGAGGACTTCTAACAGTAACACTTTCTGTCTGTCTATCGAACGGATAGTATTTTAGCAAAACCGTATTTTCTTACTTCCAATAGTACACATAGATTTAATCAACTTATAAAAATGATTTCATCGAAATATTTCAGCCTTTAGGCCACGCCGTTTATTGCACTTTAATAAAGATATTTTTTTTTTTTTCATGTATCCAATTTACAATTTTCTATAATGATAAAAAATATTAAAAAACGAATTGTATTTAAAAGTTTAAAGTACAAGTATAGATTATCTGGGAACTAAATATAAAACAAATCTCCACGTAAAATCGTATAGTAATAATAATTATGTTGTCGTCTCCAATTTGGCGAAGTAATTATTGTTCTGAGTCTCCAAGATGTCGCAAAGTACTGTTGGAAATACGAAAACACGTTTTCGCTATATCGACCGTTCAGATGGACAGGGGCGGCAAATGATACTGTTGCGCCCTCTGAAGGAGAATTAGTTTTAATTTTTTTCCACTTGCCGCAGTATAATAAATTAACGATCCGGCCTCCGGCGTATAATACCGCCGTAGAATTATTAATATTTAATATCGCGTGAGACGATAAATATTATGCGAGGTTCACGATGACGGGATTGCCGCCGGCGATGACCTTTACCGAGACACTCAAATATCGCCAAACTTCCCGGTCGCGTACGAGATCGCGTGTCTTTTTATAATAATATACTCGCGTCGACCGTTGCGGTGTTCCGAATTTCCGAGAGGATTGTCTATAGTATTATTTAGATTTTTTTTCCGTTTTAACTATACCCGGCGAAAAATTCAAAATCACGCGTTAAATTTGATATTTATCGTTAACAAAATTGTATTCGTTTATATTTTTAGATTTAAATACGATGCGTTTGTGTTTTTTTTTTTTTTTTTTGCCTGAAAAATGCTTTTTCGGTTAGGTGCTCCGAGTATTTTCCACGCGACATCCCGAAAGACGCGGAATTTCTGCCCGTTGTTACTTAAAATTATTCGAATCGTACCTAATTGAAATGATGCGGTTTCTTATCGCGGTAGTACATTTTTTTTTTATTTTTGTATTATAATATCGATCCGTGTTCGATTTTTGCGTACAGGTGGCCATAGCACGTTCTTCGGTCTCCTCAACACTTTTGTACACATCATCATGTACGCGTACTACATGCTGGCCGCGCTCGGCCCTCAAGTACAAAAATACCTGTGGTGGAAGAAGTATTTGACCAGTTTGCAAATGATTCAGTTCTTGGCCATTATGGTCCACGCTTTCCAACTGTTGTTTATCGATTGCAACTATCCAAAAGCGTTCGTCTGGTGGATCGGCATGCACGCTGTCATGTTCTTTTTCCTGTTCAAAGAATTCTACAAACAACAATACACCAAACCGTCGAAACAAAAGGTAAATATGTACTTTTTTTTAAAAAAAAAAAAAAAACAAAAAATATAATACGCGTTGTCAGTGTTGACCCGTGCTCAGAATGGTTTTTCGTTAGCAACGATTGATCGTTGCGTACAGATATAAATCAAATTGTCCCCCTCTACCTTCCCAACATTTCATCTGCAACGGCGATGGCCCGCCCAACGACGTGTGAAGTGTATATATACATGTGTATGGTTTTTAATAATAATAATAATAATAATAATAATAAGACGCAGTAGGTATACGGGACGAGCTGGCCTCACCCTTCCGACGACGCCCTATCGCTCGTCCGTCTGACGGGGTTTATTTATTATGTTTATTTATTACGCGAGCGCGCGCGCGTCAACCTTTAAGTGCCGTTCTCGCCGACACAAGAGCTTTCGTTAATCCGATTTCCAAACCGATTTTATGGCCGATACCCGACCGCGATCGGTCGGTCATCTTATAAACTCCGTTTGAAAATCAACGTTGGTGAGAACGGGCGCCGCGAGTGTGTATACGTAGGTACACTAATCGCGTCGGATACGCACGGGAAAGGCGGCGCGCGACGATCACGTAACCGCGGTCGCGGTCGTGTTTAGCCGTAAGTGTGTCGTCGATTTCTCGTTACGCGAGAACCGCGGCTCGTCACGGGCACAAAACGACCGTGTGTGCGTTGCGATCGCCGCCGCCGTCTTTTGTGTGTACGGTTTTCGGCCGCTCTTCGTATTATTGTCTTCTGGTTTTTTTTTTTTTTCTTTACTTTTCTACTGCGCATACATCCGGTTGATTTCGCGGCGTTTGCACCGTCGCCCCGGGCGCGCCGCTAATAAAAATCAACATCATAAGTACCTAAAATAATAATAACGACATTATAATCTCGTACCGCGAACGCCGGATTAACGCTGTTCGCGCCCGATCGTTTTTTTTTTTTTTTTTTTTTTTTTTTTTTTATTGTTATTCTACGCCTCTTGTGATTTTCAAAAAATCTCACNGTGTACGGTTTTCGGCCGCTCTTCGTATTATTGTCTTCTGGTTTTTTTTTTTTTTTTTTTTTTCATTTTTAAAATCGGTCGATTCGTCGTGCGCGCAAAACGACGACGACAACGAAAACAATATAAACGCTGTTGCGTCACCCGTCCGGAACGGTAGCCAAGTCTAACGGTGCGATCGGCGATAACGCGCACGGCATTCTTTTCGTCCGGGGGACCTTGCGAACGACGCGGTAACGACCGACGCGTCTTGTCCATACCAATACGCCAGTTCCACCCCGCCCATAGGTACACCGGTGTGATAATAATTGTAACGCGCGACACATTATCGCGTTATGCGACGCGAACCGCCGGGGTTTTTTTTTTTTTAATCGAGTTTCGAACCGAACCGCCGCCGTCGCCCCGGGGCTCTTTGAAATCTCGGCAGCAAACGCTCTCGCCGCGAGCTCGCGGCCGTTTTGTCGCGACTCGCCGGCGCGATTTCCTCCGAAAGTGTCCGCGGGATCGAGCGAACGTGTCTCGGGTTGTTGATCGGCTCTGCTGTGACCCGTCGGGCACCCCCCCGAGAACGATTGACTCTGGCTCTCGGCCTTTGCCGGCCACAACCTTACCCGACCTAACATGCCGCGTCCGGGCTTCCGACGAAAACGTATCGAACGACGACGGTTATTTAAGTCCTTTGTGGAGCGCTTTGTTTGTTTTTTTTTTTTTCAAATATTTTCCCGGTCGTTTCCCGGCCAGGTTCGTTATCAGCCGATTTACGCGCGCGCACCGCGAACCACGAACCGAGATCTGTCGAAGATGCCCCGCGATTCTTATATATTTGTACACGTTTATTTTTTTTTGTTTTTCAAAAATAATAATAATAATAAAAAAAAACATTTGTTCCCTCGATTTTATTTCTCATTATCCTAAACCTTCTCGGATACGAAATGTCGGCACGACAAACGGCGTTTACACAATACTGCAGTATAATGACGAGTCGTTGATTTTCTACCATTGTTGATAATTTGAATTATTGTTTTCGTCGTCACCGGTTTGGTCTATGGAATCGCCGTGTTTCGTGTACGGGAATAACATTTCCGTGGACTTCGAGAAAATAATTATCGTGGGAAATTAACGACTCCGTGATTACCGGTGTAAATAATTTGGCATTTTTTTTTTATTTTTCTTTTCTCAAAAACGGATTCGATAAAATTTCTATTTTGGATTCGGCGAACAAATTAAATATTTCGTTTATAGCCCAGACAAAAAAACAAAATACGTAATAGATAATATAAGAATCGTAGCGCCTTGGGCATTATGTAGTAGGTACGATAATTACTGTATGTATATAAAAAAAAAAAAAAACAAAAATAAACAATAACACAAACTCAATGCTTTTTGAACAAGGACAAACAGGATTTGTTTCCTAACAGGCGTGTGTGTGGGGGGGGGTTGTGTGAAATTCTTCTCTAGAGAGGAATTTAGATACCATATTAATATAAGCGCGATATAGCGACGATGAAAAATTGTAAAGTTTTAAATTATAAGATGCGCGAATTTACCATATATATATACATGGTAAATTTAAAAACGATTTATCTCGTGTTTTCACGTTAACCGACGGGAAGAGGCGTGTGAGATTTTTTGAAAATCACAAGAGGCGTAGAATAACAATAAAAAAAAAAAACTAAAAAAAAGTTGGGAAACACTGTTGTTGTGAACGGTATTGGTGTGGTAACGACGCGGCGACACTCCGGCGACGACGGCGCTGTGACATTGGCGAGGACCCGACGCGAATCGTTAAACTGGTTGCCCCCCCCCCGGTATAATTGTCCGCTCACCTTTTCTCATTCCCTCTCTCTCACTCTCTCTCTCTCACTCACTCACTCGCTCATTCTCGCTCACTCTCACTCTCTCTCTCTCGATCCTCGTCCCCCGGCCCCGTCGTCGTGCCCGACACGCTCTCTCTTTCACCCGTCGTACTTGTACTTTTCGTCGTCCGTGATGCACGCGCATCACACACGCGCGTACGATAAATATATACGTAATAAACTAGCTGACCCGACCACGCTTCGCCATTGCCAGACACCCGCGGTGTAAATAACATTAACAATAATGGTTTTCTCGTCCGTGACAGCCGAATCGCGGTATCATCCACGTCGCCGAGGTAACCCGCGAACATACAAAAACATAAACACAAATAAACGATTGCCGTGTTCGCGCCGAAAACGCGTAAACAAAAAAAAAAAAAACAAAACGAAAACCCTGTTTTATTACACCCTCCCTTTCGGGGGGTACGCCCGAGTCGCTATAGCCATCCGTTTGCCGAATTTCAGCGCGATCATATCCTGCGCGGCGGTTCTGGGCTAGGCGGCGACGAATCGGCCGGGGCAATTTGTCATTTTATACAAATCTATATACAATGCATTTGGGGGGATAATGCGTGTCCTTGGTCGGTTGACCGATTCGTCGTCGCGCAGCCCAAATCACCGGACGAATTCGGACGTACAAACGGGGCTATTATACGACGTGGGCGTCCGATAAGAAGGGAAGAAGGGAATTCAACTACCGAGGGGTCGAAATGTGGGTTTCTAGGTATTTTCGGTGCGAATATCTAATTGTTTATTCGCGGGTCTCCCGGGCGATTCGGTCGTCGCGTATTCAAGAAAACTATTATTATTATTATCATCTCGTATTATTACTGTTATTTGCACTGTTATCTAGCGAATCATTGCCGGGTCAGCTAGAATATACACGCGTACTACGGATAATATATTTGCGGCTTAACGGAATCGCGCGCGGTGTACGACAGAGAACGGCCGCGGGCGTTTATGTGCACCGGAAATGGCGAAACACGCCGATCGTTGTGGTCTTAACGAAAAATCGAAATTCGTTGTTCGGTCCCCTCACCCCTCGCCCCTCCCCCCACACACACACACACTCCCTCCCCCGATGTAAGTGATTAGTTTTGAGCCGGGTGGCGACTTTTTTTCACGCGTATCGTTTCGTTCCCTCCCTCCCTCCCTCTCCACTTCGATTGATAAACATAACAATATCGTATAACGTTTTTTTTTTTTCTCCATTTATTTTCTTTGCTCCGCAGGTCTCCGATTCGTCGAAGCCCACGGCCAACGGTTCGTCCAAGTCGGCGAACGGTTACAGCAAACAAGCGGACTACTACATAACCGGGAACGGGCTGTCCAGGCCCGACCTGGTGCACAGGGCCACGGCCGGAGCGAACTGACAGCCGCCGCCGCCATCGACGACGATGACGACGGCGACGACGACGACGGCGGGTCGCCGTGGCCGCAGACGACGACTCCTCCGCCGCCGTCAACGACACCATTGCTCAAATTCGCCCGAAAATACAACTATACAATAACGGAGGAGACTATATTATTACGTATATGTATAGTGTATAACAATAAATTATGGTCTAGGTATACATATATATATGTATGTATGTATGTATGTATGTATGTATGTATGTATGTATGTATTATTAGGTAATATTATGCGATAGTAACGGTGCTACGCGGGCGCGCGGGGAAAATGTCGCGACGTTCATAATCATCAGTGTGGTCGTGTCCCGTACCGGCGAAACGGGACGGGGGGGCGGCTTTCGCGGGCCCGTCGTGTGTCGTGTGAAATGCCGTTTACACCGAACGTCCCGCCGGAGGACGACGGGGCGCGCGCCACGCGGATTCGGACCGGCCGAGACGTTGGGGGCGAATACGCGTGCGGTGTATTGCTGCGCGCGGCCGTGTTTTCGGTGTCCCGGGACCGTTTCGCGCGGGAGCGACGACGGCGGCGAATCGACGCCGGGTGGAGATTCGGGGCGACAGTAGAAAAATAAAAAGACCGCGTACCCCGTGAATACGGACAACAACGGGGTACGTAGACGTGCGATCGTGTCCCGTCGGTTTCGTTTCGTCCCGGCCCGGCGACACAACGGCTCTCAACGGTCTCGTAAAAATTCCCGATTTCACACGACGCGAGTGTCTCTCTTCTCTGCTTTTATCATTCTTATTTTCCCTCTCGTTTCCTCCGTCTCGCTTCCTACGACGTGTGTCTGCTCCTTTCGCACCGCACCCGTGCCCCGTCCGTCACCATTGTTTACGCCGCGTACGCGCGACGCGATATTCCTGTACGTTTTCGACAGCGATCTTTCCCTCCCTCCCCCCTCGTGGCCCGCCGCCCGCACCCTGCGAATCCCCACACCCCCGGCCATCGGCCCTCCGACAGACGGACGCGCGCGCGTTATAATATTTCCGTTCGAAATGTCCGTCGGTCGTCGGACATTCTCCGGTATTCGACCTGTTCGGCGAAACGGCCGCGACGTTAAACAATATTCCGACCGTTCGGACAACGCCTTATACGTATAATATGTATGTGTGTGTGCGCGTGTGTGTAAATACGTACTCGCGTTATAACACGCGAGCGTGTGTATGACGTACGGTACGTATCGGATACATATCGTTTGTATTGCTCACCGCGCGTGTTACTGTTGCAAAGTGTTGCCCGTAAGCGTTTGTTACACTGTATAGGTGCGTATAAATACGTCGTTGCGTTATTGTATTGTGCGTGTCGTTTACCGCGCGGCAATAACAATTCCGCCGGTCGGGTTCGGGCGGTCTCGTTTTTTTGTTGATTTCCCCCACCCCGCCCGCCAATTGGCGTTACGCTCGCCCGAGCCGCGTAAACGAAAATAAATAACATTTACGCGCGCGCGCGCAAATAAAAACCCCGCGGTTATTTTACCGCCTATTTATTTATTTATTATTTTTTTTTTTTTTCGAATTTTTTTCCGTTTCCCGTTATTTTCTCACAGTGCCCCCCCCTCCCTCCCCCCCGAACTATTATTTGTCGTCGCTATTGTTTATAATATTATCCGCGATCTTCACTATTATTTGGAGACCGATACATATATATATATATATATATATAGCTATAATTTATTTTGTATGATGTGTACATATATATATAAAAAAAAAAAATATACATAATATATGTGTTTTTTTTTTTTTTTTTTTTTATCATTATTATTACTTAGAAGTTGTCTGTCTATTATAATATTATTGAAATTATTAAAAAAACAAAAAAAAAAAAACGTGTGTGCGTTAGGTGTTGGAAATTAAAACAGTCCGCATATCACTGCAAAAAAAAAAAAAATTGTATTTTTTACGCGTAACTCGGTATTTTTATTTCGTTTTTTTTTTTTTTTTTTTTTTTTACCAACGTTGTAAAATGTGATACCTCTAATGTTTTAATTTAATTTTTTTTTTTTTAATACAATATTAATGTAATGTGCGTATAAGATATTGTATATAATATTCAAATTGTACGTGATTGTTGATTATTATTTTGTACGAAACACGGCCGTCGAGTGCCTTAGTATTTTCTGTTTTTTTCTGTTTTTTACGGGACCAGTGTAATTACCAATTAAGAGATAATTAGTATACATAATATATTATACAATGATATAATTATTTACGTTTACGTTGCGAATAATATTATTATTGTATATGCACTCTGCGTCGTAAAAAAAAAAAAAAAAAAAAAAAACGATCGTTATTCGAATAAAAACAAAAGTTGTCAGGTATTTTCACGCGCGCCAGACCGTACACGAACAAAACCGATACCGACGGACAGCACCGTTTTGATAATTACGTTATTATAATATACACATATAGACACACGCGATTTTTAACTAAAACAGTAAATAAATAATAATAATGAAAAAAAAAAAATACATTATTAAAACGTTATTTAAAAAAAAAAAAAAAAAACCGCGGTCTTCGTCGCATAATTTGTGTTTGTCTTCGTACAACGTGCAATACATTAACATCGCGTCGCCTCCGCCCGAACAAATTATACAATTATAACAACCGTGTATTGTATTTTTGTAGGCATCACCCGCCGTGTAATTATAACAATAATAATAATAATAATAACGTAAACGACCTTGCGCAAATTTTTTTAATAGTTTTTTTTTTTTTTTTTTTTTTTTTTTAAATATACTATTTATTTATTATATTTCTTTCGCGATGTACGCCACACTTATGCGTGCGTGCGTACAGTATAATATTATTGTTGTCGTATAGCTCGCGTACCGCATCGTCGTAACAACCGTTTCCACACACACACACACACACACACACACACACCCTTCCCCCCTTTACACTCCTCCCTGCAATTTTATATAAGAACCATTCGCGAATTCGTAATTTGTTTTGTCGATACCGCGTGTTCCGCGCGCGCGAAAATCTATCCGTCGTCGTTACCCCTTCTTTGCGTCGGAGTTTTTTTTTTGTTCGTTTTTTTTTTTTTTTGCGAGCGCGGACAAAATACGGGGGAAAAAAACAATTTTTTTTTTTTACCGAAAACCATATATTACCGTTTCGTTATAATACATTTATAAATATTAAGAATAGGGCGCTGAAATAACGTTTGTAATATTTCGTTACGGGGACGCCGGCGTGTTTTGTCTACGATTGCGTTGTTTAACGCAGTATTTTTGTGTTAAGACACGCGGTGAAAATAACGTCTCTAGCGCGCGGGGTGTATTATTTTAAAACAAATATTATATATTATGTGTATATTATTATTATCATTATCATTATTATTATCATTATTATTATTATTATTATTATTATTATTATTATTATTATTGTGTAGTCATATTATGTACGATGTGGAATGTTACGCGATTCAATATTTTGTAACATTAAGAATGAAGAAAAAAAAAACAAAAAAAAAAAAACAAAACAAAACAAAACTAATATAAACGCGATGCGTGAATTACACACACGAAACGCTGTTGATTTTAATTATTATTATTTTTTATTTTATTATTTTTCCTCGCACACAATCAGAGTTTCAAAACCAAGGAGAATAATTATCATGATTAGTATTATTATTGTTTGTCCGTAAAAAAATAATACCGGCGTGATCACCGGGCCCCCCGTATAATCGTTTCGGGCAAACAAACACGAGTGGACCGCCGGACGAACTCGAACGTTCGATTCGTTTTGGCGGCTCGACCGTGTGATGTTAGTGCGCCGTCCCGCTGTCGCCGGTCGACGGAGCGATAGTTCCGGACGGCCGCCGCGGAGACGCCGAACGGACGGACCGACAGACGCGGGGCCGGTTGTCTCCCGAGGACGGCCGGCTTTAACGACTCCGCGTTTTCGTCTATTACATTACGGCGCTCACGTTTCCGTTGCCGAAAATATAGACAGAGCTCCGTCCCGGCCGAGGTGTTCGTGCCCTCGCGGGTCCCGCCGACTTCGCGCAGGGAAACGCGTGCGAATTTCGCGCGGTTTTACGCCATTCATCCGGAAAATCCAAAAACCGCCGCCGAAAAAATCGCGACGCGTTAACATCGCACGGCGGATGTTGACAACAATACGCGCGCTATGCGCTGCGCCCGCGGTGACTCGCAACGGTGTCGGCCAATAGAAAATTACGCCGAGTCGACCGGCTCTCTTTCTTACGCATCTAGTCTGTACTAATAAACGCTAGTTGATTTCCCCCACCTTAAAAAAAAAAGCTGTACGGTCAGACAGACCGAATCTACCCCTTCGGACAATTCTCAGTTACCCCTATCCCCACCAGTGTGGGGGTGGGGCCGACACAATAAATTAATACAATATTTTGTTACAAAATCCAACGTTTTATCCGATTTATTTTCTAGTGGACACACAAAATCTCGCTCTCCTATATGTCCATTTGGACACAGACAACATCCTTGAAAAACGACCCGGTTCAAATGTCGGTAATTAATACTGTACGCATAATAACAGCTTACATTTTCAATTCACTGCGATAGTTTTTTTTTTTTTCGTTCATATTTTTTTTTTAATAACGTAACGAGCACTCGTATTTTTTTTCGTATTTTAATAAGTACTCGTATAATTACGAGTATTATCATAGTAGAGGTCACACTCTGACCGCGATCTTGTCTTTTCGTCGGGACGGTCGTACCGGTCGTCTTCGGCACGAAGGTCGAGGAAGACGGAACGATCCATTTGTTCGTGATGAGATCCACACAATACCTATCGGATAAAAACCATTAACTAATTAAAAAAAAAAACAAGCTCAAAAATCGCCGAAAAGTTTTGAAAATTAAACCAGGTCTTGACTATAAGTATTTAAGTATTCGGTGAACATTTTCATTCTCTACGAATATTTTAAACTGAATAACAAAAAAAAAAAAAAAAAAAAAATATAATAATAATTTTCCCGTTGTTTCATCTTTTTTCTTCTAATTTTAGCCAATTTTTAAAAAAAAACTATGGAAAATTAACGACTTTCTTACTCGCAAACGAGACGACATTTTTTTTCAGAAAAGATGCTACTCTTTAAATTTTAAGCAATATTTCTTGTAGAAAACATAAATCGTAGGAATTTTAAATAATGAAATCGTAATGCTAATTTTGTAATTTTGTCGGTTTTATTTTACGATTTCTTCCGGTAATTGTTATAAAACTGATTAGATCGAAAATGAAATTAAAAAAAAATGTTTCTTGTCGTTTTTCGACCGAAGGAAAATTTCTGGTAGAAAATATAACGCGTAAAAATTGAAAATAATGAAATCTGTAACGCCGCGACGTGCCGTAAATATTTGTCAGTTTTTCCCATAATCTTTTCTGGTTGAAAACCTCTTGGAAAATGTTCTTTTTCATGCACCGACCAGATGCCGAATGCAACAATGTTGCATTGGTCTTGTCATTTCTCGATTGGAGCAAGTTTTCTGGTAGAAAAGTGGTTTATAGACGAAATAAACAAAAAAACATTATTCGTTCCTCGTTACGCTAAGGATCTAAAATATTTTCTGCCGAAGATGTAAAAACTCACCGGTCTATATCCGATACGCTCACGATACTAAACATAAAACGGAACCAGGTGTATGTCAATGCAACTCCAAACTAAATGACCACAGGTTGCGAATTCACACGAAATGGCGTATATAGACGTGACATTTCCATTTAAGTACTATCCGAACGATTTTGACACTTATGCACGCTTGTTGACGTTCTTGATTGACTCTGTGCTCGAATGCTTGTGGTCATTTGGGTTTAAGGTCACGATTCCCGTTTGATGTTTCCCCGTCGCCATTTCAAAAACATCAACAAGCATAGTACATAGGTGTCAAAATCGTTCGGAGAGTACTTAAAGCACGCCAGGGTATAACGGTAACCTCTTACGAATTGTGTAAAATATAAACACGTATACGTGTTAATAGAGTAAACAAACAACGGTTCTTCCGAAACATAATAAAATACATCATTATAGACTTATCAAATTCGTTATCTAGGTCTTCCGCATTCGGAGCCCTCCGACAAGAGCGGTTTTCGAACACGGTCTTTTGATCTGTGCTTCACCGTTAATCGTAAAACATAAGATTGTTTTGGCTATGCTATTTTATTTACAAAATATTCAAATATCCGACTCGACGTATTATTATTTGTAACTGTGCGTCGTCGATGATTACTTTAAGAACTCGTCCAATGGATCGCGAATTAATCAATAAGAAAATATCGAAACCAATTTTACAAAATGTTTAAATTAATAGCGAACTGTTTTGTTTGAAAAAAAAAAAAAAAAAGGTTTTAAAATAATTAATTATTTACCATCTTAATTAGAAGATTTATAACTTTTTTTTTTTTATAGAGTCGGTAAAAACCTATGGACAAGTGCAAGTCGCTAGTGCCGGGCCGTGGTGTACTTTCGGGGGAATTACTAAAATCAGTAATTTATGAAGGAGATATCGTTGAAAGAGTAGAATGTCTAGGACGGATATTATATTGGATGTAACCTAACCGGTCAAATCATCTCTCGGGTATAAAATGTATCCGGAACAAAATATAATAGGTACTAATCAAATCACGAAGGACTCGAATAGGGAAAAATAAAAGAATCTAACAAAACTAAGCTTTGATAGGGAGATATGCGGAGAATCACAACAAACATAATCTTATGAATTATGATAATTAATATTATGAATATTTGTATCGTTATCACTTGTTTATTGAATGCACCTAATAACTATAATCAGTCCACTCAACCTATTTTGCATACCTACTTATATATAAGACTATACAGGGTAAACAACATAACGTGATTATTTCCGCCTTGAGGTATTCCTTAAATAAGATTGCCGTTGTGCCTAAACGAGTTGACGGAAATTAAAAATGTCAACACCAAATCTATTAAAACTCAAACATCATCTATTTATGGATTTTAGATTCAGAGCGGAGGGAGGAATATATTAGTTTTACAAAGATATTTATTTATTTTTTTTCATTGAACAAGTTTTATATCAGAAATTTTGCTACTATGCATTAAGTGTAGCACCTTTTCTACGAAGAAAATTTTATCTGGGCGATATTTTAAGAAGGGAATTTTTTGATTTTTAAAGCGGTTTTCATAACAGTTCGAAAAAAGCGATGAAAAACGTAGGAAAAATGGGAAAATGTACGAAATGTATTATTTTCAGTTTTTTATTTTTGTTGCGATTGAATTAAAAATATTCGTAAAAACTTTAAATTTGGTCACAAAACTTAAATTCACAAATTTGTCTTTTCTAGACGTAGTGAAATTTTCAAAACTTTTTAGCCATTTTTGAGCTATTTATAGACATTTTAATTTTACGAGTGTCTTACGTAATTTTTATTTGGGATGAACTCCGTGAATAAAATTGTTAGACCTAACAGAAGTGTTTGAAAATTTAACTGGAGTTTTATTATAAGTCGTTATTTACGTATTTTAATCTTTGAGTACAGATATATATTAAATACCCCTCTATATCCTACCTTACCAACTTCTCACCTACAACAGTGCCCCCCCCCCATCGTGCGAAGTATGTCCGTCTTTTTATTTATGTACCTAAATATTAAAAACTATTGCACAGGTTAGATTTAACTTAATTATTCTTTATGTGATTGTTTTAATATCAAATTGGAACTTATAAATTCATAAACTCACATCAAGGTCCGTCAAAAAAATTAACATAATGTTAAAATTATTTATGAAATTCATTATCGAATTGTATCAATACCTGTGTGTGACGATAAATAACTAATAATAAATAAAATTCTTATTAACTTATTAACTTATAGATAATTTTTAAACCTCATCTAATAAATATTTGTACATAATTTAATTTGTAAATCGTATGCCGTGTACAGATTGTTTTAATATAGGTCGCTATTTGAATATCAAAAGTAAGAAGTGGTTTCACATCCGAAAATTAGGGTTAGAACCGACCGTTTCTTAAATTTTCTGAAAAACAAATTTCGAAACCAGTTAATAAGGTACGTACTTTCCGAAATATTGAGCTGTCTTACATAACGCAATTCACCCTGTATAGGCACGATTTATTTATTCTGACTGCGTTCATTGACGCTCTCTCAGCTCTCTATATAACAGTGTATTATTGTTAATACGTATTAGATAATATTATATTGTATCACCTTTCCACCACGACCTCACCTAACTTCTAGATTATAGGTACCGGTTTTATTGTTAAAATATTCACGGATACCGGGAGCCGTGATGGGCGCAGAGTCGCACTGGTTTTACTTGTATAACCCATTTTAAAAAAAATAATAATTAATTCAAATATTAAAAATTTTAAATCTAGTTTATTCGCTGTTAATAAAATGCTCGTTATTTATACTTGTATTTACCAACCCATAACTCGTTAACAAAAATTTGTTTTAAAGGTTAACAAAGTTTTTTTTGACGAGCGATCAAAATTAAAAATTCATTATAGGTAGGTATATAGTGGGGGGGGGGAGGGGTCGAACCTATAGCACGCGTGCCAAAAGTGATACGCAGGCCAAATTTCAATGGCACGCCATAATAATATTTATCGTAAAAAAAA